AACGTAGCTACCTACTCTAGTATTAATTAAATCTCTAAGCTTAATTATAAGACTATTTATAGATATTTAGTAGAGTAGAGTAAACGTAGAACTACTAAATAGCTTTTTACGTAGGTTTATTACTCTAGTAGGTAGCTTTAGAGAGAAGACTTCTTCTAGAGCTAGACTTTTTCTAAATTATTAGATTTATATTCTAACGTGTTATTCTTAGGTACTTATAGCTCTATAGACTCTATAGGCTCTTTCTCTAGATTAACGTTCTTAATAGCTTTCTATACAGTAAAAGCTCTAGAGTAATTATAGCTTAGGTAGCTAGGTTAGTAGTATTAAAAATAGGTAACTAGCTTCTAGATTACTAGAGCTTTATTAGATACTAGAAAACCTAAAAGAGCTAGAGGCGCACGTTATAGTATTAACGCGATTACGTTACACTTTTTAGCCTTTCTAGTAGTAACGTATACCTCTCTAGAGGTAAGCTCTTAAGTAAGGTCTTAAGTAAAGTTTATATAGTAATTATAGTTACTAACGTATTAACGTTAGTATATACCTAACTACGTGCGTATATTCTCTAGTAGCTTCTTATAAAACTTCTCTACCTATTAATCTACTAGAAGCTAGCGCTTCTATACAAGGTAGAAGAAATTATTCTAGAAGTAGGCGAAGTTAGTAGTACTTTAGTAATAAAGCTTTTAGAAATTATAGTAAGTATTTAGCCTTTTATATAGGTTTCTATAGCTTCTCTCTAGCTAATTAAGAATATAATTATAGAAAACTACTACGCTACTATTCTTAATAGTACGTAGTATTACTAATAGAGTCTAGTACGCGTCTTCTTTAGTTCGCGTATAGATATAGGTAATAATAGTTTTCTTAGTATTTTCTAGTGTATCTCTAGTATACTAATTCTAGTTTACTTAAAGTTTATTATATAAGCTGTCTCTCTACTACTTAAAGGTAATACTCTTACTATCTAATAATAAAAGTAGATCTAGAAATTTAGTAGAGCGTGTTAGTTAGCTCTTCTACGCTTATAACGCTAGAGATATAGCTAGCTAGTATATAGAAAGGTAAGAATCTAAGATTAAATTCTCTAGTAGTAACGCGCTTAAATCGCGTATAATTAGTATTATAGAGAAACGCGTTACGCGTTAAACTAGCGTAGTAGATAGTATCTAGTCTTTAGAGTAGGTTAATCGCGCTTATAGTTACTAGATTTTAGCGTCTTTTTTAGCTAGAGTAGTAGCCTATATCTAATATCTTACGTATATATTATCTCTCTTAGTAAGAGCGTTAGTAGTAATCTAGTAATATATATAGATTTGTTGTTTATATACCTATTATATATATAATTAGCTAACTATTTTATTAATAATTTTAGCTAGCGTTTCTAGAAAGAGCTCTTAAAGCTCTTTAGTAGAGGTAGAGAGTGTATATAAACCTAAGGCTAATAATAGCTCTAGTATTACTAAGCTCTAGTAGAGCCTTACAAGCTTCTAGTTAAAGTTATTATTCTAATTCTTATTAGTTATCGCGTTATGTTACTAAACAGAGTTTTTATAATAGAAATATTAATTAGTATATTCTACTAGCAGGTTTACTATCTTAAATTTAAGAACTATTAGAGTAAAGAGGTATTATAAGGCTAAGGTCCTACCTCTAGATTAGCTTTACAAGAGTTCTTCTATAGTGTTTAGATTTATTTAGCTTTTTAATTAAGAAAGAAGTAAAGAGAGGAGGTATTTAGCTACTAGTAGAGTAGCAGGTTGTTAGTTCTACTAATAAGATAGAAAGATTGTTAGATCTACTAGTAGAGTAGAGAATTATTAATTTTTTATAATTTATAAAGGGGGGAGAGGTTTCTATACGTAGAAGTTCTATAGAAGTTCTCTTATATATAGAGCTCTTAATAGCTCTCTTTAGCTTAGTGCTAGTATCTTTCTACTACTAACTAGATCTACTAGTAGTCTTATATAGTACTAAAAGGTAAGTAATTAATTAGTAACGTTAATAGATTCTTAGAGTAAGTAACTAGACTCTTATAGCTCTAATTCTTAGTATAGCTATTAGTAAACGCTTCTTATAAGGCTACTTAGTTTAGCCTAATATTATACTACTGTCTCTAGCTAAAGAAGTATTAACCTTTAGATAATATAAGAGCTAGGTCTATAGTCTCTACTACTATAAGCGTCTCTAAACACCTAGCTAGGTAGGTTAGCTATAGATAGCGCTGTCTCTACAAGCTATAAGAATAAGAGGTGCTAGCAGAGTAGGTTAGGTTAAATTTAGCTATCTAAAGGTAAGAAGTAGAAGAAAGGCTCTAAGAAGCTCTATATATAGAGGTGCTAAGCGCTAAGGCGCTAGACTAGGTTACGTAATAAGATTACGTAACTTAAGATTATATAACCTAAGGTAAATCTCTAAACTAAACTATTATAGTCTAGGTTTATAGAATCTTCTTAGAATATAGTCTATAGTTATCTAGTTCTAACTATTAGTAGTATAGAGTAATCTCTACTCTATTAATATTCTAAATTCTATTTATACTATTAGTTATTAATTTTTACTACTATTTCTATTATATTACTTAGATTCTTAGGTTATTTAGTATATATAATATTATTCTTAACTAACTTCTTTAATTCTTTATAGAAGAGTTCTACTAGTATAAGATTATTCTATATTATAAGCTATTCTCTTAACTAAGACTAAGGCTTACTTTTATAAAAGAAGATAAGAGGTATACTTTAGGCTAGAATCTTTAGTAATAAAGAGGTAGACGTAATAATACTATAAATTATAAGTTACTATAGTAATTTAATAAATAAAGTAATAACTATAAGAAGCTATAAGAAGTAAGCTTCTTCTAGTTATATATATATACTATCTTAGCTAGATTAGATACTAAGGTTCTAGCTCTTATAGATCTTCTAGATTAGAGCTAATTACTTAGATTAGTTCTAATTCTTCTAATCTATCTAATCTACGTTACGTAACTCTAATTATTCTTATAACTTTACACGTAACTTCTCGTCTTATAACTCTTAGGCTTAGCCTACTATTTTCTCTATTCTAGCTAGTTAACTCTATTTTTAATTCTATAATTATAACACTAATACTCTCTATATAAAGTATCTTCTTTAGTAAATACATTAGTAGTAATCTAGTAATATATATAGGTCTATTATTTAAGTACTTAGCGTATAAGTAATTAGCTAACTAATTTATTAATAATTTTACTTAGCTTTTCTAGAAAAAGCTCTTAGAGCTTCTTTCTAGAGGTAGAGAGTATATAAGAGCTATCTACTACTAATAACCTAGATATTACTAAGCTCTAGTATAGCTACACTAGCTTCTATTTAAAGTTAATATTCTAATTCTTATTAGTTATTATATTATATTATTAAATAGGTAATTCGCGATAATAATATTAGTTTAAGTAACTAGCTAGCAGGTTCTCTACCTAGAATTTAAAAATTATAGAGGTAAAAGAGTACTATATAACTAGCGTCTTACTACTAGAGTTATTTTATAAGAGTTTACCTATAGTATTTAAGTAGTTTAACTTAGATATAGCTTCTTGTTTAAGAAGTAAGAGTATATACTACTAGCGTAGTAGCTAATTATTAGCTCTACTAGTAGAGTAGAGAATTATTAATTTTTTAAAATAGAGAGAGTTTCTATACGTAAAAGTTCTATAGAAGTTCTTCTATACGTAGAGCTCTTATAGCTCTCTTTAGCTTACTACTAGAGGTATCTTTTCTACTACTAACTAGATCTACTAGTAGGTCTTATATAGCGCTAAGAGGTAAGTAATTAATTAGTAATGTTAATAGATTCTTAGAGTAAGTAACTAGGCTTTTATAGCTCTAATTCTTAGTATAGCTATTAGTAAACGCTTCTTATAAGGCTACTTAGTTTAGCCTAATATTATACTATTATCTCTAGCTAAAGAGGTATTAACCTTTAGATAATATAAAAGCTAGCTTTGTAGTCTCTACTACTATATATACGCTCTAGAATACCTAGCTAGGTAAGTTAATTATAAGTAATATAGTCTCTATAAGCTATAAGAATAAGAGTAATAAGTAGAGTAGGTTAGGTTAAATTTAGCTATCTAAAGATAAGAAGTAGAAAGATACTCTAAGAGGCTCTATATACAGAGGTGCTAAGCGCTAAGGCGCTAGGCTAGGTTACGTAATAAGATTACGTAACTCGAGGTTATGTAACCTAAGGTAAATCTCTAAACTAAACTATTATACTAAGTAGATAGTTATCTAGAAGCTTTATATAATTATACTACTAGTAGAGATATATTCGCGTCTTTAGAATAAGTAGAGGTAGAATAACTTACTCGTCCGCGCTAATAGCTTTAACTAACGTTAAATAATCGCGATTTATCTATGTCGCGACTGTAATACCTTCTTAACCCTATAAACTAAAGTAGACAACTATCTAATTACCGCCTATACTAAGGCGGAAGCTAGTTTCGTCGAAATTCTAGATGTCTTGTAGCTGTATAGCGTAGTCGTATATTACCTGGCAGAGCTTCTAGAACTAGCCCTCTATAACCTCTATAGTTTACGCGTTTACCCTATCTTTATCGCAAGGCTTCTGCTTCTGCTTCTTTAACTCTAGATTGTGTTTTAGAAAGCGTAAGACCTAGTTACGCCCTAGAAACTGTGCGTGGAAAGGTGGGTAGGTTGCCGCGTTTAGGATAACTTCGACCGCGCGATAAATTATCTATAGCATTAGCGCAAAGCTACACTGCCCGCAGCGCTCTATATAAAAGAGAAGGGCGATTTCCTGTTTGTCGAAGAGTCGTTTATTTGTTAGATCCCTTTAGCTTCTTGATTGCCTGCCTTTGGCGCGGCGATAGAGTCGTGAGTATAGCACATGGTATTCGCGGGCGGCTTCCGACAACTTTGCCACCTTACTACTATCGACAGCGGCGAGCGCAAGCTGAATTTGAGCTTCGACATCTCCGTAAGAGCCGTATCAGCTCATTTTGGCGTAAAATAGGTGTGCGCGGGCGACTTATTAGGGTCGGTTTGGTGGTTGTGGGATAATTTTGCACTAAGCCCAGTTTTTGCGTTGAGCCTGGGAGGGCCAAGATGACTACCCTTGGCGCGTGGGGCGAGTAGCTCTGCTCCTAATCCTGAGTTAGATTTAGTAATATTCCGAGCGCCTGTGCGATCCGCACAGCCACATCTCTTTATAATAAAATACCCGCGGGTGTATAAGGTGAGACGTGCGGGGTTATCTCCCAGTAGCGAGGATCGGTCGTTCGGTACCAATCGACATGGCGGCCCTGCATGAAATTGCGCCCTGCAGCGCGCATAGGGCTGACAATGACTTCCTACTACCAGAAGGAGGTTCTGGGGGCTTGGACAGGTTATTCTACAAAATTCTGGAGCGATGAGGCTGAGATTGGCGCTGTGGGAAGGAGAGTCTGTTACGCCACAGCAAAAGGTGCTGTACAAATTAGGCTCGGAGGCGACGATGCGAACGTAATTTTGGGGAAGAGTGGATTACACACATCTAGGATTGGCTGCAGCGGATTGTTTTTATAGAATTATTGCAATATTCGTTGTGCGCATAGAGTTCCAAGTTGCTGCAAGTTAAAGTACCCCCCATTTGTCTCGCCATAGAGGGTGTCTCGCCACCCAGGGACGGACATTAGTTAAGAATTGAGTGCCAATTCAAAGTGATTGCTGATCCAGGTGCTCAAAGAAGCGCCACAGACCGAAAGCCAAGCTCCAAAGTTTTCTCACCTTGGTCTGCTGCTCCATTTACAAGCTGCTTGATCTCCTCAAGCCTCGCCTGGGTCGTTGCCTCTCTACTGTGGAAGTTGGGTAATGAGGAATACAGCATGTGTGGATAATTGGGTGGTGAGTGTATTGTATTGAGTATATAGAGGTTCGAGAAATCGAAGAAATCTCTGTGGCGCTAGTGCCCGATTAGGAAGCTTGGCGATTGATCTCCAACATCTACCACGAAGCGCAATCTCACCAAGCATCTCCCACATATCTTTCAGCGGTGTACCATCACTACCACAACAAGGGGCCTCTCGAAACTCCAGCCAACCCTCAGAATGCTCGCACTTCTCGTGTTCTTGCGGCACGTTCTCCCAGCTACTCTTTCGACCCCGGTTACAGAGTTTAGCTACCTCTGTGTACACACACCAGCAGTCGTCGCTCGTGCTCCAACGTTCCGACGCGAGTCCAAAGTCGATGACAACGAGATTCGGAAAGCCTGAGAAGTCCTGCTTTGTAGGGTCGAGCATGAGGTTGCGGATGTGGAGATCGTTGTGCGTTATAACGGGGCTGCACTCTTCGTGCAGGAAACGCCCCGCCGACACGAGCTCTATGAAGATGTGGAAGAGTAATTCCTCGGGTATAGGAACGCCGTCGTTTAAGCAGAACCGCTGGAGAGACACAAGCGTGAGAGAGCTTGTGAGAGCTTGGAAAGCGACCCAGTCGCCCTCACCGCGTATGTCGTAAGAGGCGTCGTAATTAGTAACAGACACGAAATAACGAGCAGCGTCTTTGTTCGCGGCTTGTTTGTGGACTGTTGCGAGGATGCGCACCTTGTTCGAAGGTTCCCGCGACGACCTTTCGTTGACCACTTTTACAGCTACAACCTTCGATTTCAGGTCCTCGAAGTAGTCCTCTCCCTGGCGTAAGATGTGCGATCTAGCCTGGACGTAGTCTGACTTCTGCATGCAGAAGTACACTTCGCCACCTGAGTTGCTAATAGCGACATAATGCTTAGGCATGCCTTCGATCACGGGTATACTACGTTCTATAGCTTCAAGCTCTTTATTCGAAGATCCTACTGCATCCTCGGCAAATGAGCTTTAGGCAACACTTACCGTCCCTTCGCTATCTCCATGAAGTTAGAGTAATTGTGTACCGGTCGTCATGGCGCTCGCATAATAGTAATTTTAATGTTCTTGCTGTCCGGGTAGAGATCTATTAAATACCATTTCGCTACCAATAAAACGGGATTGTGAGTGGATAACACCTTTATCGTTCTTTGTCAAGAACTGTAGATAATAGGTACAAAGGTCTTTCCTACCTACCTACGATAACAATATTAGGCCACGCGCCTTAGTAAGACAAGACATCAGTAGCGGATAGCGTACACGTCATCACGAGTAGCACAACTGGGAACGCCTCATTCCGCCCTTTTGTTTACATCACATGATATCTAGGAAGAAATCGAGGTGGCTCAATAGCGCCAAGTGTCCCGTGAGAATAAAACTTCACTTTTTAAAAGCTAGCCATCGCTTACCACGCGAATTCCCGAGGCGCTTTCAGCGAGTCGCCGTACATGCGACGCCGACTAGTTGATACAGCTGGAGTGAACCGGATCCAAGAATTCTGTCATTAGATGAAAGTGCCACGTGTTTGGAGCAGAGAAATACTGCCCCAGATGTTACTTGAGAAGTAACATTTAAAACCATTGGAACATATGAAACAACTTCCATGGCTAAAAGTATTTCCGCTTCACAGATTCCTAGGACCTCTCGGTAGTCCTGGTCTTGATAAGGCCGTCTATGTTCTTATCCTTCTCAAGCTCATCCACTGCCTCGTCAATCTGCGGCTTACTTTTAGCCCATTTCAGCGCCCGATTGATGTGATGATCCGTTACCAGCACTCCGCCTTGGAATGCCTCCACACTTGCATGATACCCAAATTTTCCAACAATCAACTCGCCCGCCTCGCCTACACAGATTTCTGCACACTGTTCGAATAGATCCAACATGTGCTGAGCTGTAAGATACTGTCGATTCTGGCCTTGACTAGCCCACTAAACATGCTGCCTGAAAGCTCCAGCTTTCCACTTCTTCACCTTCCCCTCTTTTCCAGTGGCTATCTCCTCCATCTTGACTACGCCAACGCAGTCTGTAATCCGCATGCACACGTTCAACACATCGTCCCTTGTCTCAAGCGGCTCTTCAACCTTTTTGGCGTTGGCGAAATCGATGATCACCACATCCATGAAGTGGGTTAACTTCTTGTAGTCCAGAAGACCTTCGAAAAGAACGTTATTTCCAACAACATCGCAGTGAGCGACTTGGTAATGAACATGCAGGTCTCGGAAGGCTCTAACAGTCTGAAGGAAAAGGTGGGCAGTGAACTGATCGCGTTCCTCTGTCGTGAACTGGATGCTTCCAAGTCTTTTCATGAATGTATCCAAGGTAAGCCCGGGGTAAGTAGCCCTCATCCTGACCCAGCCCTCAGAGACTTCCTCGACCCGGAGAAACCTTGAGGCCACGTTGGGGTTATGAGCCGGAGCAGGACTTGTGTGAATATCTTCCGAGATCTGTAACTCGATCTTCAACTTTTCCCGCGCATCCTCGCTGCCGGCAAATTTTAAAACTACCATCTTCTTCAAATTCTTTGCCGGTGACTTTGGCGGGGAGTGTGCGACCGCCCTTTCAAGGCAGTAGAAGGCGATACCCTCATTCCCGCGTCCGGCGATTCGGACTGGCACATATTTTGCCCACGGGAAGGCCTCGATCGCTCGTTTGGTCAAAGCTTCAGGCTGCCTCTCGTGCTCTTGCATGTCTATGCAAATGCTGGTAGAAGGACTCTTTTGTAAAGAGGGGGCGAGATACAATAGCAAGTGATGATGTTCTTTCTTGAATAGATCTAAGATTCTCAGCATTGTTGTGGAGGAGAGGAAAATGCATGTTATTGGAATTACTTGATATACTGTGAAGTTACTCATTGTTGAAGGCCCAGGCTAGCACGACTCAGTGGATGAAGACTCATTTGTCACACTAGGGCTTCTTAATGGAAGATGTTAGAAAATGAGACATGTAGGACAGAGACATTGACCATAAGTCGATTCATATCATATCTATATAACAGATCCTCCTTCAGACAAGGAGTGCCCCCAGATTTGCGGCTTCTCAGTTGCCTCCAACCTCATACTTGACCACCGCCAAGAGACCCTCGCCAAAGGAACCTTTTCCATGGAATCCAGCCGCGTCCTTTGCGATTTCTTCGACTCTAGCCGCGTCCTTTGCGATTCGTACGGCTCTAGCCTTGGCGCTAGTCTCGACGCCAGTCTCGACGTCCGGCGTGCGAGGGGCATCGCAAGCAACCGAGCGAGCGAAACTTGTCAAGGGAACGAGACAATTGTTGAGGTCGAAACCCCCGACTTGGAACCCAAGCAACACGACGCCTAAAGCATTTTTGAATTGTGAAACACTCTGTAAATGGTCAGACGTCGAGTCGCCACCATTGGAGCCTGCCAGACTCTCCACTGCCGCACATATCCCCTGTAAGTCGAGCGCGCGAGATTCGTCGTCGAAGTCTTGATATGCCTTCCCCCGGGCAAATTCTACCAAAGCTATCTTGGGCAGATTGTTGGCGCCCCTCGGAGCGTTCATATTGAGTATGATGTTCTCCTCTTGGACATTCCGGTGTGCCAGAAAATGGCTATGGAGGAAGTCGACGGCTGCGCGCAGTTCCAAGAAGACGTGGGCGGCGAACAGAATCGGCACGGGTTTGGGGTCTTTGACGACTGTCTCTCCGTATGTCCTGAAATCTTGGAGGGTAGGGCCGGGACAGTAAGCCGTCATGACCATCCAATGGCCCACTGATGTGTCGCCGAGGAGAACGCTAGGGAAGCAAAATCTCGGTGGTTCTTGCCGAGCAATGGTGTCAAGGATGTCCGCTTCCTTAAATGTGTCTTGCTTCCATTTCTTGACCACTACGAGCTTCTCTTCAAGAGCTGCGATGAGCGTGGCCTGGTTGTCGGAGTTGGCTCCAGTCAGGATGTTGGCCGCGTCCTTTCGTGAAATGTAGAAGGAGACACTCGGGGAGATCGCCTTCACTCGAATATATTGGTCCATTGGGAAATGTCTCGGAAACGTTTCTCGGCGGGAGTCGCGCGTAGAGGGGATTTCAACGATATCGGTACGAAGAAGGCTCGTTTCTTGGGAAACTTATATCGACAAGAGAAGTTTGCAATGTCGGAATTCGAAAAGGTGGTTGATAGAAGAACGTGCAAGAGCGCAGACGAAGATTTTATACCACCGTTCTAGTCATAGACTACCTGTGTCACTGCCATTCTTGGAGTCATCCAAGTGTTTCAGTCAGAGGCAAAGAGTCACTACTCATTGTCGGGACCCGGCATGCAATGAGGCACCAGTCACAAAGTATGACTGGTAACAGAAGTGACTATGTAGGTACTGTATCCGTGCAAAGATGTTTTGTCTTAGCTAAGAAACTGTGTTCTAATTTCCGGTCCTTACTGCAGGAGCAAGTGACACAGATGATCTGATTCACTCGGAGAACAACGCGAACTGTCGCGGATAACCTCAACGAAAGTTGTGTCGTCAGTGTTACTGTTATGGAGTCACTGCCAGAACCAGTCATCCACGTACAAGGACTGCTTGCTCTATCATCAAGCACACCCGCAATAGAATGCAATTTCCGCACTTATTGAAAATGTTACATCAACCGGACTGTACAGTATCTAGCCCAACCTCAAGAACCTTCATACAATATTCTCGAGGGGGAGTGTCCATTTGCAAAAGGACCGCCGAAACATTAACTAAGTATTCCATTATGACGAACTATTCATCCAAAGCCATACAATCTACAGGAAACCCATGCAATCCATTAGACACGCAACAAGATACAAGAAATGCAGCCAATTACCCTTTGGCCTTTAGTCCTCCACGTCGGAATCAAGCTCAGTGGGGCAATTACCACTCCGGAAGTTCTCAATCGCCGCTCCAATGTCCCAGTATAGCACATATCTTTTCTGATTTATAGCTGCTTCCGTTGTTTCGTTGTGAATGTCAAGGACCGTTTCCTCTTTACGATCATCGAGGCACCGACGTGCGGCCTCGTCAAACTGTGACCATAGTTCGCAAGTGTCGTCGGGGTTCGAGGGGCTGTGCGTTACCCTCTCCAACTCGGCTTTGAAGTCATCGTAGTCCGGAAAATAGTCCTTGGCATCGGCATCTTCATATTCGAGGCCTAGTAGCCCGAACACTTCTGTGCAAATCTCTTTCAAACAGCTCGTTCGTCCTTCTTGTTGACCGTGGATCTTTGCCTCGCCGAAATTAATCAGACGTATGCGGGGCAAGACATCGTACTTGTATTTGGGGAAAGGACAGACAAGGATGTTCTCCTCATGTATGTTGACTGCCGTGATCCCGCAAGTATTCGCGAGGAAGTCGTCGATAGAACGCAGCTCAAGGTAAAGGTGCGCGACGAACTCGATAGGAATGGACTTCCGTGTCTTCGAAGGGTAATAGGTCTTCAAGTCCTTGAGGGTGAGATTGGGTTTGAAGTGGGACGCGGCAAACCACATGCAGATTTGTCCTCTGTCCGTGTTTATCATGTGGCCGGCATCCAGGATAATGGGAAATCGACCTCCGGTTCCATCCTCCTTGCCGATGATGCGGAGGCAATTTACTTCGTTTGCCATTTCGGCCTTCGTTCGAAGTTCCCGTGCGTTGTGGCCCCCTTTGGCGTATTTTACAATCACGAGCTTGCTTTCCAGATCTCCGTAGCGATCGATCTCGGGTTCGGGATTCTTGTCCACCCAGTCTTGAGCATCTGTGCGCGGGATGCGAACATCCACTCGAGGGGAGTAAACTTGTACGCATATGTACTTCTCCACGATTTCGGCGTAGGATCTTCTTTCAGCGGTCGACATCGAGAGAGAATATAGATGCCTTAAATGAAATATGATTGATCAAAATCGTTGTGAAAAGGCTTCCAAGGAGGGCAGGGCCGTTTAGGGATCGATCGAGCTTGAGCGGCTTCTTGGTTTGTGAAAGTGTTTGTAGAAAGAGGAATACTGGACATGGTGTCGTCGAAGACTTAAATAGTACAGTCTTGCTCATCGTGGAGACTCACACAATAGGATAAGAGTCAATGAACATGACGGTGCGGAGCACGGGTCAGTGCACACGTATTGAACCGTGCCCCAACACGAACCTCATAGAATGGACAACGATCACTAGAAGCGCGAAGACATGATGCCAAAATGAGCAGAGTATCGTAGAAAAGTAAGTTAAGGAATGTCTTCGGGCAGTACGTACCTGAAGCATCTACCCCGTTGCTATGGTATCGCCGCGAGTTTTGCCAATTCCCCACTTTGCACGCACCGTCATGCACGGCCCTAAAACTGCGAACTTACACGGCGAATTGACAAAACTTATCCCTGATAACACAAACCCGTCATGCTTTCCCGAGGGACTTGCTATGAATCCACCTGCATCCTCGCGCCACTCCTCAAGCACCTTTTCGCAAGCAATTCTAGCTCCTAAGAAAAAGAGTGAGAAACCCACAAACAAGAAGAAGCGCTACTCCCCTACTTACGCTGCATCATCGCCGCTCGCCAGGTGTACCAGTCAACGTCGGCGTCACTAATTTCCGCCGCAGCCCCATGCACAAAACATACCAAACCAATCAAACAGCAACGGAGTGCCAATGTGCATGTATGAAGGCAAAATTCGGAGCGAGCCCTGATTCAGTTAACCATTGTACGAAATCCCCCGTTGTACGAGCGAATCGGCCCTTCAGCAGCGGGGTCTCCGCAGATCCTTTCTACCCAAGTAGCGACCACCTGCTTGACGCTCGGTATTCGCTCCCAGCGTAAGGCCGCAGTGGAGGATATATAGCGACAGAGTATCCTTTGCAAGCAACAACTCGCATGTTTTCGGGGTCCCAGTCCTGCGTTAAGCTCCCCTTAAAGAAAGAAGATACCACGTGAAACCATGACCCCAGACACAACAACCAGCCCCAAGCCCACCGGTGTCCACCTCGTCGGTAGCATCTGCGGCACCGCCACATCAGCCTCGGCTTTCTACAAAGCTCTAACCTCCTTCCCCAACCGCCTCCGTCGCCTACCAGATGGCGAGCCCGCCCACCGCTCCACTTTCGTCGGCTGGCAAATGGGCGTCTTCGCGCACACGCCCGACGTCCTCCGCAAATACGACGACGCCATTAACTGCATCCAACAGGCCCCCGTTCCTGTCGCCGAAGTTACAAAAATCGTAGCAAACATGCCGCCGCTGGAGCCGGGCTACGACGACGCGGCCCTGGAATCGTATGCTGAGTTCAAGAAGCTGAAAGAGGAGGGTAAGATTCCGAAGGGGGCTAGGTTCCAAGTGTGTCTCCCGACCGTGTTCTGCGTGATTTGTCTTATCCGCGAGGGGTTCCAAGAGCCTGTGGAGCCTGTGTATGAGGAAGCCTTGCTGGGGTGCTTGCGGCGCATTGAAGAGGTTGTTCCGAGTGAGGAGCTGGCGGTCCAGTGGGATATTGCGGGGGAGCCGATGACGCTCGAGGGAGCTTTCCGGCCGCACTTTGAGCCGTGGTTTGCCAAGGGCGAGAGCCGTGAGGTTCTGCTGGATGAAATTGTGGGCAGGATTGCGAGACTGGTTGGCAAAGTGAAACAAGGCGCCGAAGTCGGCATGCACATCTGCTACGGGGATTGGGGACATAAGCACTTTGTCGAACCTAAAGACACCGGGCTCATGGTTGAGATAGCAAAAGGGGTTATAGACCGTGCGGAGCGCAAGGTTCAATGGGTCCACATGCCAGTACCAAAGAGTAGGGATGACGAAGCGTACTTTCTGCCCCTGAAGGATTTTGGGTTTGAGGAGACGGAGCTGTACCTAGGGTTGGTGCATGCAAATGATAGGGAGGGCACGGATAGAAGGTTGAAGACAGCGCAGGACGTACTGGGAGGTCGGAATTTTGGCATTGCGACGGAGTGCGGGTTGGGGAGGACACCCGTCGAGGATTTGGCGGAGATTGCGGAGATTTGTTGCGATATCTCGGCGCCAGTGACCTGACCTGGTAAGGAGCCGTCAGCGATTATAGCTCGGTGGACAGGGAACAGCGTACAGTCGGAGTAACATCTGCGATTCAATAAAGCCAAGTGGCATTCCCGAGTGCTGTGATCCATAGGGCTGAGTGCTTGTGGGCGAGGCCATGTCTTTCCGAACATAATGGTCTTGAAGTTGCTCCGCCAAGTTGTATAATTTGGATGCTTGCGTGGTTGGAACACGCTCAACCGCGATCATCAACCCTCGGCCGTTTACTGTCCCGGTTCGTATCCTCACCAAACCTCTTCCTCTCCCCTAACGGCCGCGCATTCGCGCCCGTAGCACCCTCCCTATCTCTCCCACCATACGAGTCTGACCGGAACCGCTCGTCCAAGCCATAATCGCCCTTATCCCTTGGCCTTCTCACATCTCCAAAATCGCCCCACTTCCCTGTATCTTCACTCTTCATATCCCTATACTTCGTCCGGCCCTTCTTTCCCAGCTTCGTCATATCCCTAATCTGCATGTACTCGGGCAGGACTTCTCTATTTGTCTGGTCCTCAAACCGTGCGCCCATGAGATTACGCCTGTCGACGCCCAGCTCTTTGAGGTCTTCCTGGAAGAACGCACCCTTGTGGAAGTATTTTTGCATGTACGACACCTGGCCACGCTCGCCCCGCTCCTCCTTCTGCTTCTCGAGGTATTCGCGGTCTTCGGCTTCGCGTTCCTCGGCGGTGAGGTTTTTCCGGCGTTCGATTTCTTCGCGCTCGGCTTCTGCTTCTTCGATAGCTACACGCTCGCGATTTATCCGTTTTAGTTCGCGCAGTTTCCAGGCGGCGTATTCAGCTTCAGGGTCGAGGCCGTCTGTGTCATCGACGGCGTTGATGTCGGCTTCCTCGACATCATCGTCCCAGTCTTTCTTTCCCGCAGCCTTCTGCGCCGCCCGCTGCTCGATTTGTTCCTGCACCAGTGCCCTTGTCTGTTCTTGTCGCCGCTGTTCTTCCTCTGCCGCTATCTCGTCTGCTGATTTTACAGGCGCCGCGACTGTGCCCCGCTGGTTCTTCTTGAGGAACACGGGCCGCAGCAGCTTCTTCGGCGCCTCCTCCTCGCTGCTGTCCTCTTCCTCCGAGGACTCTTCTTCGCTCTCGCTCCCTTCCTCACTCTCGCTGCCCTCCTCGCCCGATTGCTCTTCGCTCTCCGTCTCAAACTCGTCTTCTAGCAGTTTTCGCTCTGCTTCCGACTTCTGCCGCGCGGCGAGATTCGACTTGAGCGCTGATTTGGGGAAGGACGATGCTATTGGGGCCGGCTTCGGCTTGAGAAAGGGTTTCGGCTTGGGCTCTTCCTTCTCTGACTCTGATTCCTCTTCGCTGGAGGGTTCTTCGACTTCTGCGGCCGCCGGCTTTCCGACGAAGTGGCGCGTGCGCACCGGCTGCGCTGTGAGCTTCTTTGATTTTGGTGGCGGCATCGCGAAACTAGGCAAAAGCAGCAGGTAAAGCAGGCGACGTGAGAGGTTGTACGTGTGTGGTTGGGAAAGTTCATCTTCAGACGTCGCTCGAAGCCGCGGTTCAGCCACTAGCGCCTTGCAAGTCTTGGCGCTCCGTAGGGCTGAGTGCTCTATGGTCTTGCTCACTAACCTCTTCACCCACCCACTCCTTGCGGTTGAACGCTGTTCGCTTCATTTAGAACGAAGAGCGGGGCACAAATATGGCATTCGATGTGTTTCTTTGCCGGTGCTTACATGCTTCCTCCCCCACAGCCATCCTCACGTCACTCTATCACTCTAGGAGCACCTCCCTCACGCGTCTTGCCAGCTCCAGTCGATCCTCCACCGGGTTACTCGTATCCAGGTCAAACTCTTGATGCCCATTAAACGGCCATGTCTTCACAACCACTACAACCGTAGTCCATCGCTCCTTCAAGCCCCTCCCTCTAAACACCTTCAAGCACTTTCTCAGCTCGCTAAACTCCTCCTTCTCGTCCCGCTCGTCCATCAATCCTCTCCTGAAATCCATCCTCAGGGTAGCATTCATAGTGTTGCGTCTCAGTACTAGATCCAGCCCCTGCAAGTTCTTGAACCGATCAAGACAGCTGTAACCAAGCTTAGCACTCCAATCGCAGGGCCCCCGCCCGAAATCGAACAAGAGTGCGAGGCGCCGCACGCGCTGCGCCATTGCCCCTCGCCATGCGAACCAGTCCAGGTCATCAGGGCAGACAAAGTACCATGTCGCAGTACGGTAAACGAGGCTTTCAACCTCTCGCAGGAAGCGCTTACACACAAGCGGCACGTAGAGCCATACGACATCATCCCCGCATCTGCATTCTCTGTGCCATGCCGACGGGTAATACTGGGCCTGGAGCATTGGCGACGCCCAGCGGTGAGGCGACTCCGGCGATGCGCCCAGAAGCGTGTGCTGATAGCGCTCCGACGGCGTGAGCGGAGACTGACAGAGATAGTACCGACAGGGGTGGTTGCCGTAGGGTAGCTCTGGTTTTGCAACGTGGATTACCAGGTCGCCATAGAGCCACGAGTAGATGTGTTCACGGAGCTCCGCGGGCAAGAGGAACAGCGGCGAATTCTGCTCGTTGTGACGCGTGCTGGATTTTCTTTAGCAATTTGTGTGCGAAGATATGGTCAACATGGCGCACAGATGCTCTTGCGACGGAAGACGTACCTTTCCTTTAGCTCGGGCGTGTTGGGTCTGCATCCTCTGCTTGGGACTGAAAGTGCTGCCTGGAGCTTTGGCGGCAAAGCGTCCTTAATTTTCTTTGACTCCCGGCGGGTCGCTGACCGTGTTGGATGCACTCTTGCGGCAAGCGATCTAAAGCACATTGTGACTCTTGCTGTTTGGCGACAATGGAAAAATGAGTAGTAGCATGAGCGTACCTTAGCCCCGGAATACGAAGGCTCTACAGGCTCCCCTGCAGCTGCAGCCTCGTATTTCGTATCCCTATCTTTCATTGCATCTACCCCTAAGTCGTTGCATAGAAGCTTCACTTCTCTCCTTTGTTTACCCTCGCCAGATACCACGGTTTCGCAATGGCAATAATCCCCGCCTTAAGCATCCCTTCATCAACCCCATTATCGCCAATATACCCCCGCTCCTCCACCAAAATATCCCGCTGCACCCACTTCAAGAACACTCCAATCCCTTTCATACTCCTCTCGATGCCCTTCTCCCTCAAATAGTCCCACCCTTGCTCCATCCTCTGCTCCGAGCACCAGATCCTCGCCACCGCGGCGGCAGCTTCCTGCTTCTCCTCGAAGCCTGCAGCGAGCTTCTTCGGCACGGGCGCGAACGTGGATTTAAACTTTCCACCCTTGGTTTTGAACCAGAGCTGTGGGTCCGAGATGTATGGTACGAGTTTCCAAACTAGACCTTCGCCGTCGCCGATAGCGCCGAAGGTTTCTGCAAAGGGACAGCACGCCGCTATCCTCTCGGCGAGGGGTTCTAGCTCGTCGATAGTGTGCTGCGGATCTTCGGGGTAGAGTATCGAGTGGTAGATGCCGCCGCGAGAGATGTTGTAGATGCCTTCTTCCGGTGCTTCAATGTCCGCGTACTCCTTGTCGGCGACCCACTGACCGTTGATGCGGGCCGAGATGATGACCAGCCGCTTGGAGAGGTGCATGAGAGCGACGCCTTTCTGTATCTTCTCGCCTATCCACTCGCCTGCTATCGTGACGGGAAGACTTGTGTCGAGCTCTTCGCCGGGATGCAGCTTCTTCCACCGTGCCACGAATCGGTCTCGGAGACGGAGCAGTGTGGCGCGCTTCTTCTCCATGGCCGTTGCAAAGCCATGGTTGTCTGACGTGCTGCGAAGATTGACTTTGTTTCGCGACTGGAGGACGATGTCGTTGTTGGCGAAGACGAGGATGTCGGCGTGGGTGCCGTGGAGCTTGACGGTGCCGATGATGGGGATGGGTTCCAGAATGACTTGTTTCTCTGGGTTATCGAGATCCCTCTCTTGCCATCGCAGAGTGTTGATTACTTCTGCGATGTGGTTGGTGATCTTTGGGAAGAGGGTTGAGTCGACTGGGGTCTCCATGGTGGCGAGAAGACGAAGAAAGGTTGCGAAGAAAGCTATGAAGTATAATGAAAACGGAGAAAAGAAGGTCATATAGTGTGAATCGAGTAGCATATGACTCCTACTCCCGCGTTACCTGCCAAGGCTCCTGGCAAGGGTGGCGCAGCGGCGGGAGCTGAGCGCAGCAGTGGCTGGTTTCGACCTCCGTTGACCTCGTCAGGAATAGTCTCCTTTACAACCATCGCGAAGAGCCCTTTTGCGGAATGTGTCCTAGTCAATGTGAGAAGGGCGAGGCTTCGAGGCTCCAGGACAGCGTCGCGCAGTCATTCCAAGTGCTAAGTGGTGATTGGCCCTTGAGCGAGGAATCCTTTCAGGTTTAGCGCGCACGTGGCGCGGAAGGAAATGGGCGAACGGCCACCTCGAAAAGACCACCCCAACATCATAGTATCTGTTCGTCTCATCTATCTCAGTCAGGAAGTGCTGCATCTGGACCCTTGACCGAGCTTCAGTCATAACATAATGCCGAACTACAATGCCTACGCGCACTTGGCCCCGGGTCACGATTTACACACCTTCTATCACAGCGAAGAGGCATCCAACTCTCGTTCGGTGGCCCACAGTCAAGCTTCCACGGCCTAAGAGAGAAAGAGCTAGGTTTTAGTCATATTCCTGTGATACCTTGGGGATACCACCACTCCCAACGGCTATCCAAGCCAGGCCTTTCCGGCTCACCAGTAGAAAGATCAAGTGACCTGCGCTCCACCCAACCCCCTCCGCCAGGCTCGACAATGTTGCGTGCAAGAGATAGCAGATAAGTGGACCGGGAAACCATGCCCAACAATGGGAAGAGCCGCAGCCACTCGCACCCTACGCTTTGTCCGCGGTCTTGGCGGCGACGAGGTGTTGTATGGCACGCACCCGGGGGCCCTGCTGCCATGCTGTGGATGGCCTCGGGCATTGCAGGATTCCATCGGGCCTTGGGGATGAAGATAGGGTCCAGTGATACCGCTATTACGTACCTTTATCTTGGACTGGATAGCATCAATTCCGTGGCCGGAATTAGAACCGGCCTCGAGATATAAGCGCGTTTCGGGAAGCCGAGTAAGTCCCCAAGCAGTTCGCCCCCGACAGGTGTCTATACCTCAAAGCCGTTCCGGAACACTAATATCTTGTTACGTGCCCTCTTACATTTTCGACCTCACCGTCGACATGGCTGCTCCTTCCTTCAACTTTCCCGTTCTGACGGACACCCGTCCTGATGACCACTCTCTCCCTGCCTTCATGGTCTCCACCACACGAGGCTTCCTGCCCCGTCAAGAGCCTCTCGTTCAACTCCCACCCGAGTTCTCCACCGTCGACTCCTTGCTCCAACGCATGCCCGTCAAGACATTGTCCGGGGAACCAGGCCTCCTGGCCAACTTTACTTTCGGTGACACCGTCGACAAGGAGCTGCCTGACCTCACAGCTGAGGTAGAGCAGTACCGTGACGACCTCGTCGTCATGAACGCCCTTTATCGCGACTACTCTTTCTTGGCTTCTGCGTATCTTCTGGAGCCGTGCCATGAGAGGTATCTCAAAGGTGAGCCGTATGGATTGGGAAGGCAAAGGCTGCCGAAGAGTATTGCGTTGCCGATTGTTAAGATTGCTGAGATGTGAGTGAAGTCATTCAAGCTTTCCTGTACCCCTTGAGCTGACCATGTGCCCTGCATCAGTGTCGGCTTCAAGCCCTTCATGGAGTATGCTGGCTCCTACGCACTCTTCAATTACCGCCTGGAAGATGCGGAGAAGGGCCTTGAGTACGAAAATCTCCGGCTGATCCGCGCCTTCGAGCACGGTCTTGATCCTTCATCGTCCGAGGCTGGCTTCGTGCTCGTGCATATTGCCATGGTCAAGGAGTCAGGTGCGCTCGTGAAGGGTACTGTCGAGATGCTCAAGGGATGCACTGCGGGCGATCGCGAGAGGTTTGATGGAGGATTACGAACATTGGTGGAGGGACTGCGGAAGGTCAATGCTGTAATGAACAGTGAGTGCAAGTATTTCGATGAGACTTGATGGCTCTAATCGGTGGCAACAGCAATGTGGAACCGCAGCAAGCCGCAGAGCTACACAACCTTCCGTACGTTCATCTTTGGGATCACATCGCAATCCATGTTCCCCGATGGTGTGGTCTACGAAGGTGTAAGCGAAGAGCCGATGTCCTTCCGAGGTGAATCGGGAGCGAACGACAGCATGGTAAATTAACTCGCACGCACTCGTCACCCCTTCCGCAGCTAACACTAAGGCAGGTCCCTCTCTGCGACAACCTGTTGCAGATCCAAATGCCCGAGACGCCACTCACTGAGATCCTCAAGGACTTCCGCCAATACCGGCCTGGAAATCACCGTGAATTTCTCGAATCGGTGCGCGATTGCGCTGAATCTTCTGGTGTAAAAGCCTTCGCACTCGGGGATTCAGTGTCCGCGGCGTTGTATCTGCAGGCGCTGGATCAAGTGCGTGATTTCCGCTGGCGGCATTGGTGCTTTACGAGGGAGTATATACTGAAGCGGACTATGCACCCCACTGCGACTGGAGGAAGTCCAATTGTTACGGTAAGCCGACAGGGTCCCCAGGTTATGGATAGTGCTGATGATGGTAGTGGCTGCCGAACCAACTGCAAGCCGTTATGGCGCAGATGATGGAGACGTATAGTTACTGTAAGTCAGTTCATGGGGTGAGCGATATCATGGACACGGTGAATCACCAGCGGGAGACGCTGAAGAAGGAGGTGGCGAAGTACTGTGGGGAGCGCGAGGTCGCTGCTTCCTGAGGCAGGAATCTTTCGGCGCATTGATGGCTTGCTGGAGCACTTCAGGGGGGCGGATACGCAAGCGGCTTCCAGATTAGCTTAACCCTGCTTTCGCATTGGGGGCTTGTGTTGAAGTTGCTGGGCTCCGCGTGATACCATGAAGGGTGAATCACAACATTGTGAGACGGACCAATTATGACCGGAAGGAGATTGACTCATTCGATCAGGCGTGAATTGATATGCTGGCCGCCCTTCTCGTGTTTGCGCCGCCCTTCGAGAGGGTGTTGAGGAAACGTTGTGGCGGTGCGGGGGTCATATTGGCGGTGTTCCTCGCGAGAATCGACTAGAAACAGCGGTCCCAGTCATATGGCCCAACTATCAGTTTCAAACCGCATTGATTGTTCGAACTAAGAGTGTTTGGCAGAGGGTGAGTCAAGACGAAGTCGGTCGCACGTGTGGCTGGTGCACGGTCTAAGCGTCACAGGGGCAGGGATGTATGACTGTCGCTATCGATAGATGGCAAGCTAAATAGCCCTCCGCACCCACCACCACCACCGCTCCCGCCAGAGCCCTCCACCGCAATTCACACACGTACAAGTCTCAATGCAAGCTGCAAGTCATCTCATGGAACATTCACATCCGACCACCACTCGACTGCGGCCCCGGATATTAATACGGCAGCGGATACGGCACACAACCACTTGTACCTGAGCAACTCGCTACCCGCAACCATGACCTCACGACACGTTAAACCGAACCCCGTTGAGCGGCGGAAAGGGGAGTCTGTACGCAGATTCACAGCCTGAATTTGGAAGAGGACGTGTGCTGACTAGGAGGACAATAGGCCCTCAGCGACTTCGCCGACTACGTCCAGAAGCAGCAAGCACTGCGCCGACCGGCCGGCCAGGCACCCGCCCTCCCCGAGGAGCACGACGAGCTCAGCATCCTAGACGAGCTCGGCCTATCCGATGACGCCTCGCTGCACATCCGCCTGAAGACGCTGCTTCTCGATCCCGCCGAAGAGAATGTCGCAGCGCTCGCAGAGCATATCCGCGCTCGCCTGGCAGAGGGCCATGGCGAAGCGCTGTTCGACTTGGGTCTGGAGGACAGCGGCGACCCCATGGGCTTCTCGAAAGAGGACTGGGACTTTGCGCTGGCGAGGATAGGGACCGTGTGCGAGCAGATTAAGGCAGACTACAACGTGCTGATGACGCGGAATGTGGGAGGTGACGCTGAAGTAGGGCCGCTGAACGGGAATAAGACGGCGGTGAGTGGGAAGCTGCTATTGAGGCACCGGCCGCAGAGTGTGGACGACGTCATCGAGACGAGGATAGCTGTCGTTGGGAATGGTGAGTCTGCAAAGGGCGCTGAAGGACTCTAGGCTAACTTTTGCGCAGTCGATGCGGGGAAGAGCACTATGCTCGGCGTTCTAGTGAAAGGCGGGCTTGACGATGGGCGCGGGAAAGCGCGAGTTAACCTGTTCCGGCACAAGCACGAGATTGAGAGCGGCCGAACCAGCTCAGTCGGCATGGAGATCATGGGCTTCGACAGCAAAGGCGAGGTCGTCGTCTCGAACGTTGCTGGGCGCAAGCTGACATGGGAGGAGATTGGCCGGCGATCCGTAAGTGACTCCCCAGTCATTGCTAGTTAAAATACTTCAGGCTGGGCAATGTCATGACGGAGGTGGCAAGGATTCTAGAACGCTGTTCTCGATACTGACTTTCGCAGGCTAAAGTCATCGGTTTCACGGATCTCGCAGGCCACGAGAAATACCTGCGGACTACTGTCTTCGGTCTCTTGTCAAGTGAGCCTAATTACTGTCTATTGATGGTCGCGGCCAACAATGGCTTGATCGGCATGAGCAAGTGAGTAGTCAGTTCATGGTCGCGCTGCATCTGCTGATAGCACGCAGAGAGCATCTCGGCATTGCCCTCGCTCTCAATGTCCCGGTTATGGTGGTCATCACCAAAATCGATATTTGCCCACCTCAGATTCTGGAGCAGACTATTACGCAACTGACCAAAATTCTGAAATCTCCCGGCGCTCGGAAAATCCCCATCTTCATCAAAGATAGGCAGGAATGCATCAACACTGCTGTAAGCACAGCTTGTATGACACCGTTGGTCAATTACTGATGATTGAACAGACGCAGTTTGTCTCTCGCCGCATCTGCCCCATCTTCCAGGTCTCCAACGTCACGGGCCACAATCTTGACCTCGTCCGCACCTTCCTGAATATCCTCCCACACCATGGCAACTACAACAGCTCCGCGCCTCTCGAGTTTCATGTCAATGACACCTTCTCTGTCCCGTTCGTTGGAACCGTAGTCTCTGGTGTGGTCAAGTCCGGCGTGATCCATGCCGGCGACACGATTCTCATCGGGCCCGATGGTCTTGGCCAGTTCACAACAACGAAAGTGAGATCCATCGAACGCAAACGTATTCAGGTCCCTGGCTGTTCGGCAGGTCAGTCCGCTAGCTTGGCGCTACGTAACGTCCGGCGGAAAGACGTGCGAAAAGGAATGGTGGTTCTACACAAACCAGACAAACCTGACCCAGCAACCGGCCTGATTCGGCAGCCGAAGGTCTACCGCGAGTTCGTTGCCGAAGTTCTGATTCTGTCACATGCAACCACTATCAAAACGAAGTATCAGGCGATGCTGCACGTCGGGCCGGTGTCTCAGACTTGCGCAATCATCGACATTGATCGCCAATACATTCGAACAGGAGATAGGGCGCAGGTTGCTTTCCGGTTTGTGCAGCGGCCTGAATATCTGACTGTTGGTGATCGGATATTGTTCCGTGAGGGTAGGACGAAAGGACTGGGGATCGTGAAAAGGGTCGGCTATGATCCGAAGCATCCGCTAAATCCAGAGGCACAGAAAGAGGCTCAGGAGGGGGCGGGAGCTGAAGGAACGTGAATGGGGTCACAGTAGTGGAACAACGGTACATAGCGCCAGTGATGGTATTTGAAATGCAACAATGCCGATGACGGGCACGCTTTTATCCTGTAGTCAGGAAACGAAGCGCGGCAACGCGACCTCACGTGCTCTTTTACCAGCGAGCTAATGCATTAGCGGCTTGCGCTTGGCTGTGGCCTCGTGCTGCCCCCCGCGTTCGCTCCGACACCATCAAACCACGGCACATAAAACCACACAAACTTGTCCAGGTGTGTTCCATCACACTTTCGACGTTTCTACTCCTCAAATACTCAACGATCAGCATTACGAGTCGTACGTGTTGTAGCCCTGCCGACCATCAATTCCCCAACCCTCCGACGACACTGTATCGCTATATCCCGGGACGAGACGCCGTTGAAAGCATTTCGCATTTGCTTCCCACAGCCCGAAGGCTTTTGCGGACCTTCCTTCTAGCCATGCTCCGAGCAACGACTAAGAAGCGGGCGCACGTAGAGTCCACGACGCAAATTGCGCGAAAGAAGACCCGCACTGCCCCCAACAAAAAAACCGCTTTGACTCAGCCGGAAGGAGAGGGCACGCTCGAGCCCATCAGAAGCGACGAAATGTGAGCTCACCAACTGCTCGATGATTTGGCTGCTGACATGCTGCTAGCACGCTGCGCAATCAGCAGCAATCGCCGCTCTTGCGCCTTCCCGCCGAGCTCAGGGACGAGATATGGGCCTACGTTTTCGAGCGCCGCACAGCCCATGTGGAGAGCACTCGCTACTACGGGGTCAGGGGCGTAGGACACATCACATACCGCGAGTGCCGCCAATGCCTCTCTGATCAAGCGGTCTACGAGCTGAGCCTCCAAGGCGCAGCGGACAAGGACCGGTACGAGTGGAAGGCCGAAGAACTCTTCCAACCCCGTACCCGTGGATATGCCTGCGTGCACCACCAATGCGCACGGAACGGCCCCGATACCGCGTTTTCCTTTAGCGTGCCGCTCGTGTGCAAGCAGATGTACCGTGAGACGACGCCTATCATGTGGAAAGCAACGACGTTTTGTTTCAGGCAATCGGCCGCCTTTGAGGACTTCGTGCGCAGACCTGCCTCGCGCAAGCATCTGCACCTTATTGAGGAGATTTCCATTTTGCTGGCCGAGTGGGACGGCGACCGTGGCTGGAAAAGCGCTATTACCCCGGCGCGGGTGGCTTCTTTTCCCGCATTGCGTAGCCTGCACCTTGTTATCCGGACGGAGCGGTGGTATGATTCTGTCAGCGGAAGAGGACCACCCAAGTTCAGCGATTTGATGAAGGACCCGCCTTCTCATTTCAATTATCTGCCGAATTTGATACGCCAGTTTCGCCAGCTGCCTTTGAAAGAGCGCGAGACGACCGTGTTTGTGGCGAGGCTTTGGGACGAGGGGTCGACGTATTATGCACCGGGCCGGTTTCATATGACCCCGGCGCTTAGAGACCCCGTGAACGAGAGGAGAGAGATTGCGGAGGTTATTAGGGGGTTCTTGTTGGATTATCGGCCAAGGCGGTTGAGTGTGAGGAGGAGGGGTTAGCGGGGTAGGAGAGGTAGGCTCCGCAGGGACTATTCAGTCAAAGTGGTGTCGTTGCTAGCTGACCAGCGGTAGGGCTCTGAAGCCTTTCGGGAAGATATAGCGCAAGTCAACGGCCTTGTTCGAGGGTATCACTATGAACAGCTTTTCATGCTGAATGAATCACCATTGTAGATTACAATCACGCCTCCGTCCGCTATGTCCTTCTCAATCCTCCCCATCTTCCTCCCCTTCCGGCCTCCGCAACACGCACCTGCTCTCCCCCATATCCCAGTCCAGCCCACACGTCGCATACGGCAGCATAATCTCAAAGCACCTCGGCCTCACCACCTTCTTCACCGGCTCCAACAACAGGTGTTCTAATTCTAGCCAATGCCCTTCCCAGATGCCGTCTCTACTCGGATCCAGCAGCACCACGCGCAGATCCTTCAGTCCCTCCATCCCCGCCAGTATCTCCCATGCCTTCTCCCAGTTCGCCGTGTCCTCGGGGTAGGCGTAGTGTTTGGCGTTGCTGGTGCGGCGGAAGTAGGGCAGTGCGCGGACGGTCCAGCGGAGGCGCAGAGTGCGCATGGCGTTGAGGCGCGGCTGCGGGAGGCGGCTGGGCAGGTAGAGCAGGTGCGTTATGTGGAGGAGGGAGAAGGTGTGCGGGTTGTATAGGTGCGGCACTGCTTCGGTGTACCTGATTTCCTGTCAGACCAGTCTCCTTATCCATCCCACGGCCCTACCCCAATTGAAAGAAACAAAAAGAAAGGGAATCTCACATCCTCCGACAAACCCTCAGCACCCTCACACACGCCCCGCTCAACCGTCCCCCATGCCTATGCCCCCCGCCCACCAGCACCCTACACGTACACTCCCCCTCCTCTTCCCCCCCGCCCGTCTCGCACACAAAATGCCCAAACCGCCGCTTCGCGCCCAGCGTCAAATGCACCGTCTCCGCGCCCATGACGAACTCATACACCATCTTGCGCACCTCGAGCGGCAGGCGCGCGAAGAACGCGCTCTGGCCCTGCGCGTGCGTGCGCGCGTCTACTTCCGCGTCCGGCATCTCGTTCAGCGATAGCGTCGACTTGCGGCGCGGCGGCGCGCCGTGGTCGGGCTCTGCGGTGGTGGCGCGGCGCGAGAAGATCGTCCGGTGGTGCTTCGCCTTGTGGGATTCCTGCGCCGAGGGCAGGTCGTGCGGGATCCAGCGGATGCTGGGGAGGAGGCCGAGCAGCTTTCCCTTCATGGCGGAAGGGGGGGCGGCATTTAGTCTTGATTAACTGGCTATGCGGAGCTCGCTCGCGTGCGCATTGACTTGGTCAGTCAGTCGGCCCGGTGTGGAGGGTGGGTGCTAGGGAGAAAACGAAGGTGGTGTGGATGGAATGGCTGTGGTGGGATGAGAGGAGAACCGGGCGGCGTCCTTTATGTCGTGTGTCACACGAGAGGGATGGCGGGAATGCAGCTCGAGTGATCGGCGGTGCGGGATGGGTCTGTGCGCGGGCGGAGGCTTGTTTGGGATAAGCTTCGCGGGGAATTTGGATGGTGCTTAGGAGGACTGTGCTCGTGCGCAGGGGATTGAGGGACGTCGGACAGGAGACCGGAGTGTTGGAGCCGAGTATGTAGAGGCAGGGGAATGGATACTTATAACCTTAACGATCTCGCGAGGAGTCTCTCTCGGATAGAAGACGTGCACGAGTATGTCTTGTCTTTACATAGGTAATCAGCACATTCCTCGCCATTACCCAATGAAGTATCGAACACGCGTGTATTTCCGCATAGAAGCAGCCAAGAGCTATCTATGCGTGTTGAAGCCAAATCGCCTCACTAAGCCTCCACTACAATACAGCTCCGTCGTCCCGATCCGGAAACCTACCCGCCATCACGATATTGCGAACGCGCAGACGCGGGTTGACTCACGCGTTAACACCAAGAAAAGTTGATCTACGGGGAGAGGAAGGGCGGATGCATTTCTAAGCTGTGTGAGAAAGGTCGGGATAATTCGTGAGGTGAAGGGGATGTAGGAGATAAGCGGGGGATGTCAAGTGCGAGTGCGAGAACGGGGTGAGTCATTCCATTTGACTTCTGCTTTGCGAAGAGCGTCAGCTATTTGATCGATTGAGCGACATGCTATTTCCATTCTTCGCAAGTCACCCTAGCGAGATTGGGAGATGAGAAAGCCAATAGTGCGCAATGTACGTCACATACTAAGCGTATAGGCCATAGTCTGCGTCCTGCAATAAGGTCACCCAACAAGGCCATATCAGGGTGGGATTATACAAGCATTATTCTACTAGCAATGAAAGCCTTCAATGCCACGGCTGGCTGATGTGAGCCGCGTCTATCCCCAGCGCAACCACCCACAGAACGCCGCATGGATCCAACTACAGTACAAACTCAACCCAGAGCGATATAGGTATTAACGCCGACAAATGCATCAATGCAGCACGCCAACACAAGGAAATTGCCCTCTCGCAAAGCATCACAAAAGCGCACTCATCCTCGGCTACGGAATTTGCCGAGGAGTAACTTCGACTTTCTTTTCGTCCTGCAACAAGTCAGTTTTCTCGCCCCAAGGGTGGAACTCATAGGAAGTACTCACGTATCCTCGCTATCCTCGCCCACCACACTCCCCGTTGCACTACCGCTGCCACTAGCCGCGCGCTCCCTCATCCGATGCGATACAAACGGCGTAACCTGCGTGAGGTGCCTACTCAGGTTCCCCAGCATACTCGCATGCTCCGGCTCCGTCTGGTCAACTCTCGAAAGCTCATCGGCAAACGCGCGCCCATCCTCGATCTCAATGCCTAGCCCTGTGTCTCTCCAGCTGCCGGTCATGATACTCCCGCTGCCGGACTCGGTGGCAGGCCGGCCCGTGCGGTTGGAGTGCAGGCTAGACTCCTCGCTGAGCGTGGAGAAAGTGCTGCCTGCGCGGCCCGAGGCGAAGGAGCGGCGTGGTACCATTTCGCCAGAGGCGTCGGACGAGTGTGGTGAGTGATCGCGGGCGGAGTTTGAGTCAGTGCCGGAGAGGTCGGGAGAGGTGGTCAGTATCGAACTCGAATTTGCAATCTGGCGGAGGCGAGATTGAGTATGCTTGCTCGGGCGATGGTGGCTGAACTTGTTGCCGACGATAGCGCCAGCGTGTGAGATGAGCGCGCGGATGACATCCTTCTTCAATTGGAGGGCAAGGTCCAGGTTCGACCACGTCTTGTTGCGGTACTCGAGTGTAGGCATTTTAAACACGAGATCATGCACGTCTTCGAAGTTGCGCTGGCCCCGCCCCTTGTAAGAGAGGCAGAGAATCATGCTGGGGATGCGGACATAGGCGAGCGTCATGTAGTTTGAGGCACGCGTCATCATCTGAGTGAGGTCGTCGCTGCGAGCTTTCTTGTTGGCGGAGGCTTTCTTGTCATTGGTGCCGGTTCTGTAGAGGGCAAAGCGTTTAGTGGTTCGGTCCGATTCGACGGTAGAGATAGACATGTTGGAGCCCGACCGGAACGAGCTTGGGCGCGACGGGTTCGGGGTCGAGGCTTCTGGCGTTGCCGAGGCTGAGCTGGGATGAAGTGATCGCCGGAACTCGCTGCCAGTGCGCGAGGGGTTGTCGCGGAACAGGCGGAAGTGATGCACATTTGGTCGCCTCTCGGATCGGCTTCTGTGCTGCCGCTCCGGCTTGTTCTGCGGGTCGGGCAAATGCAACGTAGGTGTGAGACGAAGCCTGAGCGCCTCGGCTTCTCCGTCCTCCGGTAGTGAGGGTAGCGACGCACTCATGTTGGAGTTGCTACCCGATGCGGCACTGGCAGCGTCGTCTGCGTCATCGTCATCTTGCGCAGGGAGTATATGCTTGACTAAGAAAGGCGAGAAGCCGCCGTTCTCTGCCGAGCTGTCCTTGATGCCTGGGAAGATGTATTCAAAGAGCTTCTTCCCTATTTCATACTCCAGCTGCACCTTGAGGGGGAACAGATTCACCTCAAAGTGATCCATGACCGGGATACCAGCGATCGCTTCGAGCATGACCCAGTGGACTTTGAGCATCTTCGTATCCTGCCCTTGCGACATCGGGCGATTAGCCTCAAAGTACGGTGAGATCATCTTGGGATAGATCGCATTGGGGAGGAGGTTGAGGCCGGTAATTTGTTCGATCTCCATAGAGTTGAGGTTCGATCCATCGTTGTTGTCGGTGCGGTCGTAAAGCGTGTTCTTGAGCTGGAACTCGGCCAGGGACTCTTGTCCCTCACGCAGCAAGTGCCAGACAATCTCCGAGGCACTGATATACCAGCGCAGCAGACCGGTCGATTCTCTCGTTTGAGCACGGTCATCGTTCTTACGCTGCGCTGTAGTAATGGCTTTCATGACGAAAAAGAGCTCATCCTCATACACGGCCAAGTCCTTCTCCACTTCAATGCGGTCGTTCCAACCTTGCTTGTCGAGGTACTTTTCGTTGACCTGAAAGACTGTCTTAATCTCTTCCAGCTGACGGATGCGCTCTTGAAGGCCGATCACTAAGTCCGGTGCACCGGTGAGATCGCTGAAATCAGAAGCAAGCATAATCTTCTCAAGTCGCTCGGTGCGTGTCTTCTCTAATGGCTCGCTGTAGAGAAGCAGATCTAGGACGATAACATACATGGCGTAGTATTGCCGGGAGTTGCAGAGTGCGCGGATGTGCGGAAAGTCGACCCATAGATGATCGATCCTGCTTTCCATATTCTCCGCATGTGTTGCACCCGAGTCGCCACCGGAAACATCGTCATTGTATTTCAGACGAAGTGTGTTGTATTTATCGTATCGCATACTGGCAGAGGTCCGCTGCACTACTCGCTGAAAGCCGTATGGATTCGTGTGGAAATCGAACATAACCTCAAAAGGTACCCATGGTGGCCAGGAAGATCCGGCTGGTGCTCCGTAGGTGCTGCCGGAGTACATGTGGATATCTTCCGGGCTGAACGTCTTGGAGTTGGTGACGAAGATTTGCAGACTGTCCATGGCAGCAGTGAAACGTCGCTGGACTAGACCTGACACTTCGTCCATGATCCTGTCTCTGTCCATGATCTGGATGACCTTCAACTGCATGCTTTTTGCGGTCACTAGTACCGCGGCTTTGGTGTTCTTCTCGCTCTGCAACTGGATCTGAGGAGCAATCAGGCGGACGATGTACGTATTCTGCGGAAGAAAGTCAACCGCAATATCATCTCCGGCCTTGCTCTGAGACGGTTTGGAACCCTCAGCGTGATCAGGATCGTCGGCCTTGACAAACTTCTTGCCGTCGTCTAGAAGCTGCTGGACACGGCTTTGGATGCTGACTTCATCATCTTCCTGTGGCGACATTGGTGAAGCGGGGTCATTCTCCGGGCCAGTGGTGGATGTTTGGCGTGACTTGTTCTGCTCTTCCACAATGTCAAGGATGAATTTGACCGCTCTTCGCGACATGTAGTATACGAATCCACGACGCTGGCTGACCTGGTGGATATAGCGGAGGATAATGTTCCGCAGCGAGTTGCTCCATTTCAAGTGCACGTTGTGGATGATGAAACGATTGTTGAAGTCACTGATGGAGTCGGCAATGGGTGCGGCCTCCATACCTTTAGTGTCAGAATCGCTCTGGTCGTACTCCTCGCGGGCCTCAAAGTACTCATCCTCCTCTTCCGTCTCGCCATCAGGCACCGCGCTGCGATCGTTGGTCTCTAACCTCTCGATGAGACTCTGGTGCATTGAGAGCAAGAAGTCTTGCTTTCGTTGGAGGAGGCTGGCATGATTTCGTAGTAGGTCTAGCCGGCGCCGCAGTTCTCCCTCGCTTTCCGGCTCCCGGACAATTCTCAGCTCTTGTTCACCAATCGCGCGTTGATTCTGCGACAGCTGTTCCTTTACTCGCTTGAGTCTCTGCTCAATTAAGTGGCATTGAACTCGACGCGGATCATTGCGAGCAGACATTACGCAGTGATGAGTTTCCTCGTTTCCAAAGGGGCTCGTACGGTGTGGATCTCCAGATATGTTATCTGTGTGGTCAGTTTGGCGGAAGTATGTGAAGCGTGGCGCGAATGCGAGGGGCAGGATTTGCGTGTCAGGATTGCGATCCGACGGCAGCATCCAACCCAGTTCCACAAAGTCGTCCATGTCTACCCACCCCCAGTCGTTGTCAGGTATTGTGAACTTCGATAAATCGGCCGCAACATGCTCCTGGTTGTAGCCTGCCATTGTCTCGCCCGATGCATCGTTAACGTCGTCAGGGTCCGTTCCTCCTATGCTTGCTGAAACGGCTCGAATGTCTGTCCTGATGAGATCGAGCTGCACTTGGTTAATCCGCATTCCCGTAGTCTGATTTTGCTTGCTGTCTTCTTGACTCTTCGGCGCTTGCACGACGGTTCTGAACTCCTCGCGCCTTTGGTGGAGATCAAGCATAAAGCTGTCGAGGCGTGCCTTGAGCCCAGTTGCAGACACGATACCTTGTCCGTAATCTTCCGCGTCCTTGTGTTTGTACACGTGACTCATGTACAGCGGGGAGAGAAGGAGATTGTACTTGATCGTAGCCAAATGTCGTCCAAACTTCTTGCTGGATTTCTCAATGCCCGGCCATAGCGCGCCCTGTCGGATTGGAAGAGACATGGCGCCTGAGAACATGGACCACCAGTTAAAGAAGTGTGTAAAGAAGCGTGGAGTAAGATGGACGCTATTGTATGTCTTGGACGGCTCAAGGTTCGCAACCGTCCATTCTCGATCATGGGGGGCAGCAACCGCGACGGACATGTGGATGTGGTGACTTCGAAATCCTCTGAAAGCATCATACTGCTATTGCGGGTTAACAGAAACCCGGTCATTGCGTACAAATAACATACCTTTCCGCCCGACGGCTTGGCGTATTTCGGGTTCTTCAGTACAACATCATAGTGAGGAATGAAGCTGAACGAGCGCCCGCCTTCGTCGACGTTTCGCTCAAACACCAGCCCGGCAACCCAACGAACATTGCCATTGAGCTTCATTATCGTCTTCTTAAAGATAGCCAGCTGCTTGTAGCTTGCGATGCTTAAGGAACCCTCAGCGTGACCGGTGGCTTCAACCTCAGCCTCCTGCCGTGCATAGTGCCCAAGATCCGGAATCGCAAGCACGTAACTTCCACTGTTCACAATCATAAAGTTTCGTGGGTCCTTATCTTCGGCGATGCTCAATTGAACGTCATTCTGCCAGCACATGACGAAGCCCGCGCCGGTGCCAGTGACCATGTATGGATCGCGAGAGCCTGAGGACATTAGCAGATTTCAAAGAACAGAATGTTAAGAAGATTACCTTTCAAAATCAAGTGAACATCGCCGTCACCCTTCCAGGACACATTGATGCGAGAGTGGAAAGTGAGTCGAATCTTGTCCCAGAAGCCGACCCTCTCAGAAGGATCAACAGCAGGCTTGGTGAAATTTTCGATGACTTGCATCATATCTTGGATCGCTGGTTGGTACGACGTGCCCCATGTGATTCGCGTCGGATAAGCGGAGTTGATATCGAACTTCATGTCGGAATACGTCTTGACAGGGGCGACCGTGCGCCGGACATCCACTGCGAAGCCGCCCGTGGGCTCACCCGATGATGTCTGCTCTTGTGGTACAACAACGACTCTGCTGACTCGGGAAGATTCAAGGCTTCTAAACTCCTCAGCTATGACGAAGTCCGTCGTCAAGAATAGGCTAGGCTGCCGGGATGATTGTGTTGACCGTAACGCGGGTACATGAAGGAGCGGCAGCGGATAGTCACGAAGTTGAATCTTCGCTTCCCCCATTTGGATCTGGACATGCATCGGGATCAGCAGTGAGTACTGCATGTCGAAAGGCATCCCTTTGCCGACGCGATGAAGGAACTCTGGGTACTCAGAGAGGGGGAATGAAGGCTTATCGAGAGTGATATCAAGATCGCTAATGATAATTGACACCAGAGCGGGCCGCATCGGAATAGCCATGATGGTCTCCTTGTGGTCAACTTCGTCCGCAGCATCATCCAGACCCCAGAATATCGATCGGATGTCGTCCATTGAGCGGTTCTGGCAGGTCAATGCGTGGTCGATTCGCTTCCTCCACGTCTGGGCATTAAGGTGATTCAGCTTGTCGCGCGCTTCGTCGACAGATGTTCGACATGTTCCGCTCATGCCAGTATAGCCGTCCTTGTCGTAGCGCATGGGATGATCAGATTTACGCCTATCCGGAGATCCACAATCGATCCGATCTTCGCTCTTGCTACGAAATTTAAGCTCTTTAGCCTTCCTAGATTTGCTCCGTCCACGGTGTGCATGGGCAGACCGAGCGCGCTGGCGCGAATTGCCGCGCCATTCGTCTTCTTGGCGGAGCTTCTTGACCTTCAACTCAAAAGCTTGCTCCCGCGCGAGCCTCTGCTTTTGCTCCATAAGCCCATACCGGTAGATGACACCCAGCTTCCACTCGAAAGAACCGTCCTCAATCTCGAACAAGACCGCCCGGCTACGAAGGGAGATTTTTGGCACATGTTTTGGACCTTCCGGTTCCTTATCGAGAATGTAATCGTTCTTGCCAGTCTGGAATCGATGATGCAGCTGCCTGATGGTTTTGGTCACGTTTGTGAGATTGTCGAATATCTTGTGCATGACCAGCTGGTGGGGAACGGCGAAACGGATTGCATCCGTGGCAATGTCAAATGACTTGTCATCTGTGACGAGATGGCCGTACCTCCGTTTGGATTGCCTGTAATCCATGCGTAAGGACTTCAGGGTAACAATTCGGCTCCAAACACGCTTTACGTGGGGATTTTCGGCGTATAATCGTACGAGTCGTGAGCGGAGAAATGGGCTGGCCCATCGATGCCTTCCGGCTTCCAGGCCGTATACGTGAAGCATGAGAGGCGGATCCGATGGCATGTCAGCTTTGATCTGTATGAAATGTGCTTTTAAATCGAAGGTGATCGCTTCACGCTTCAAGCCCGTCTCGGGGTCGAGGTCCTCGCCACCCAGGGACGGCACAGTGAGATGGCGGGAGGTTCGGGGAGAAAGAGGCACCGACTCCTTTTCCGAAGCAGAGCGCCAATTAGACGACCGCTTAAGGACAAGAGTCGCAACCCCGAGAGCAAAGTGACGGTATAGGGAATAATGAAAGAATAGGCTTTGGCAGAAGGAATGGATGTGGAAGAGTGGGCCCTGTTTGTCGGTCGACGTGGTAAAGGCCACTTCCATACGCGGCAGGGATAAGAACGGATCTTGTTCCCACTGATCAGCAGCTTCAAGCACAAATCCCTCGAGGCCCTGCCAATGTACAGCAAGCCTCCGTCCGTCAGTGGGGTCGCCGGCCTGTTTCCGCGGGGACTTCGGGGACGAGGGAGATGAGGGGCGGAGTAAGTATTCGTCCCGATTAATGGTCCTGCTCGGGGCGCGCCTCCGCGAGTGACGCGGCTCACTCTCCTCGCCTTTGCTCTGCCGGTATTCAGCGGTCCAAGATTCTAAATGTAAGCCGACCCCGCGCGCATGCTTGGAGACCTCAGGGTCAACACCCGCAACCTCGATGTTGAAGTCAGAGCCGTGAAGGGTTACCTGCGCAAGCCACTGAGGCAGCCTTCGCAGAAAGTTGATGCCACTCCTCGTTGGTAGCCCGCGCCTCCGTCGCACGTCTTTTTGAATCTGGGCAACGATTTGGCGCAGTCCCTCGCTGATCTCTGGACGGACAAGATACACGGAGAAGGTCTGCGCAATGCCATTCACTATGACTACCACATTAGGCGACGCGGTCAACTGTACTTTAAACTCTAAATAGTCGGTCAAGAGCAGGTTGTGTTTTTCGCTGGATGCTGTTTGGTAGTAAAGCTGCTGGGAGTTCATCCGGAAGGTCGATACAAGTGCGTAATGGAGCTCGGCATCGGCCGCATGGGACGATTCCAGGTCAAGAGAGACAGATGAGGAAGCCGAGATGAGCAAGTCAAATTCCTCCGTACCTCGCTTTTCAGGTTCCATGGGAGGCAATGTTACACGAATGACAGGTTCGTGTATGGATATCTTGATGCTCGCTTTGGGAAGGAGTCTTCGTATCAAGTATCGTCGGCTGCGATCGCGCATCTTCGGAGGTTTCCGCTGCGACTCGTAGTTGCGGAACATGGCGAGAAGAAGAGGGAGATGCTTCGGATCGAGGTCCAGAGAAGGGGAAGTAATGACGAGATTAGCGAAAAGAATATTAGTGTTGCGCTCCATAACATTCTTCTCTTTGGAGAACTGAATGGTCTTGGAAGGGAGCGTTGTGTTTAAGGTCATAGTGGCCATAGGGATATACAGCAGGCGCTCAGGATGGCCATGCCCGTCGTCAATACCAACGGAAACCGAAATGGCAGCAAGGAGAGCCTGGTGGGCGATGTCGTTGGGCGAAAAGTACATGAGATGGGCGGGACTGCGCGGATCAAGCCGCAAGAGATCCATGCCCACCTCCTTCATAGACATGTTGAGGTACACGGGAGGGTCGGGTTCGTGGCCGGTTTCAATGTGCTTAGTTAGCCCGAAGAAGCTCACGGCGAATTGGAATTCCTGGATACCGCGGAGGATGGAGCTGGCGAACTCCCTGGAGTCGGACACGGTGCGCACGATGTTCTCTTCGCGGCTTCCGGGCTGGTCCAACTCTTGTATCACGTCTCGAAGCGAGACATCCGACTGACTGAGATTTGCGTCCTTCCTTGCCGAGGCCGCACGACACTTCTTGGCCCGGTCTATGCATACCTTGACGTCGTCGTAGGGAATGCTCAGTCGTCCCAGCTTCAGTCCGATGGAAGCGTCGCGCAGCCCGTCCAGCTCCTTGTATAGCATGCCGTGGACATTGAGAGTGCAGTGGTCGAGCACTTCGGTCGACTCCTTGCCCTCGGGAGTGAACAAAATGCTCCGGACGGTGAAGACCCACTCGGCCGGCCGGTGCTCCTTGTTCGGGTTCGGCTTGTGGTGGTTGAACAGCCGGCTGCGGTCGACCGTCTTGCGCCGCGTATCCACTGCCATGGAGAAGCTGCCGACCTGCAGGGAGCCAACATCGACGATGACGAGGGTCGTGGTTGACGCGACCAGGTCCACCAGCCGGATCCACTTGATTTTCCGGTGCAGACGCTTAATCCGCTCCTTTGCGTTGGTCAACCTCTCCCATGTGCGGCTTCTTTGATTCTCCTCGCTCTCTGTATCCTCAGTGCCCTCGTCTTCGGCCGACAACTCTGGCGAGCTCTTCTCGCTTGTGACCTTGACCGTGTGTCCATTTGCCCACTTCGCCCACGCGGTTTTCCTACGCGGTTTGTTACTGAGTGTTTTGAGGTCGACGGTGACGGTGAGCTCGGTGAGGACGACGCTGACCCATGTCGGCTGGGCGAAGGTTGGACGATGGAGCGTGAAGCCGAGCCCGCGCAGCTCGATGCGGAGGCCGTCCTTGGGCGTGAAGGCGATGCGGCGCAATCCGGAGACGCCCAGGCGCTGGATGGACACTCCTGTCACCACGCGGATGAAGGCGAAGAGCACGAAGGATAGCAGGTACATCAGCAGCAGCAGCCCCGCCGCGAACTGCAGCGTTGGAAGCACCATGCTGCCTCATCCACCGTCCATTGACTCGGGGCAGCGTTACGGTATGAGAATCGCGCGCGAGCACGCGGCGTGCCTATAGATGTCGAAGTGCGGCCGTCTGGACATAATCGGGGTGCGGCTAGAGGATGTTCAGCATGAGGCCTGTGGATGCGTGGGGAGATATCGGCCACTTTCGACGAATGCGGCGAAATTGCGGAGCGGCCGAAGAGCTATCGCTTGGGGGAGCAATAACTCGGGCGCGAGCTTAGGGGTGCCGGAAGGGCATCAAGAGGTGAGAGTGAATGTGCGGCCAGCGACTGGCCGTGGCTGCGTCGTGGGGTCTTTGTGGCTCCGAGCAGGATGCACGTCAGAGTTCGCATTTCCCATGTTGGAAGGAACCGCCGCACCCCAGTCGACGCTCAGGCCACTTAGTGCTACCACTCGGGTGATTACGTCAGCCACAACACCAGAAATCTATCGCCACCTGCCGTCTTCGGTGTTTCATCACCCTTCACATTGCGCATTGTGCGATCGTCATAGCACATCAGATATACATTTCCTATAGTCTCAATTTACTTTCGTCGATGCTCATAGTAGCCAAAGCTATTCCATCCATTGGTGCCGGCGCCGCAGTAGCTAAACGAAGCCACCTAGGTACCACTTGGCGCAAGAGTGGGAGCAGTCTTCCAGATGTGCGCCTTGCCTAGAAGGGAGCCCCCTTTCCGCCCCGCTTCTTCTTCGGGACCGTCACCCAGCTGCTCGCCTCCTTCGTCCACCTCATATTGGCCAAGTCCAGCTCCCATGCCTCTTCGAACTCGACCCCGACAGTCCTGGTCTCGCCTTCCTTGATGACCACCGTTCGCTGTGTTCTATCGCCCTCCCACTCGCCGTCGACCCCGGCAACCCTCAGCACGTCTTGACCATCCTTGAGCTCCGCTTTGTGGTTCCATATTATCCCAGGACCATCGCCCGCCGTCTCCACCTTCTCCATCCCCCAAGTGCCCACTTTTAGCAGGTATATCGGAGTCGCGAGAGGAGCTTGGAGGCCTTCGCCCTCTTCAACCTCGCGAGATGCATTGCCGAGAATCAGGATGGCGTTCAGTGACGGAACGTGGGTAGCAGTATGGAAATCCGTCTCCGGGAAGACCTCCTCGGGGTAACCGTATATCTCGAAGTTGGGAGCGCCAGTACGACAGGATTTGCCATCCGGAGTAGGAGCAAACACGATGACGTCGTTGTAGACAAGGAAGTCAGGATCGTAGAAGTCTTCGTGCTCGCCGCCAATCTGTACGAGAGTACCGTCCGGTAGCTTGGTCACGGTCTCGCCCATGCGGGCATTGCACCAGATGGGGTTGCCCCAGAAGACTTTCGACGCAGAGAATCCACTCTTTTCCAGACTCTCCAGCATGTTCATCAATGGGTCGCGGAGGGTAATCGTGCCCGCCGCTTCAGAGTCGCTCCCCTCATCTTCATCGCTGTCTTCTCCGTCGTCGCCCTCCTCATCTTCCGTCGCCTTCTCACCTTCGACGAACCTCCTACGCGCGGTATCTGCCCAGTGCCCCGACTCCACCATGGCATTCTAGAATGGAATGTCGATTCGCTCCGGATTTGTCGTACCGAAGCGCCGGTCGCGGCCATCGTTGAACTGCTCTTGGGTGATGTGCGAGAGCGGATCGGGTTTCTTAGTAGCGATGTCGCCATCACCGAGGGAGAGGTTGCCCATTAGGTCGCACAGGGAGGGCATTTTGCCGTTGTAGGTTGCGGTGCTGATGAACAGATATAGTCGATTAGATGGAGCGGGACCAGGCCAGGTATTGAATTGATATGCTACGCCGGCTTTGCGCTCAGTTGCTGGTGCGAGACGGAGGTACGGGGTAGAATGGTAGGGAACGTCCCTTTAATACTGTGGCCGCCAGCCCAGAAGGCAAGGTGAAGCAGAGTTGACGGCTACTAGTATACCGGTTTTTCTTACTTCGACCCACCTTAACCCCCAAACACTGTAGCATAGCAATATCATTGGCCGAGGCAAGCGAACCTTTAGGGTTCACGACCAAGAGAGGCCACACAGTGAGTACGGGGACCTTGAAAATGATACTAGTCATTACGTCTAATCACCTAATGTCCAGAATCCCTGCCGCAGAAACGGAGGTCTAGCTCACCGCCGACACTTCCTCTCGCTCATATCGCGCTTCATCTTCCCTCGATCACTCATGTTGCGCAAAAGTATAACCTGCAGAGACCGTTACCTTTCCTCCGCATCCTTACAGACTTGCAAGTCTTCCATTGTCCCCACTTCGACTTCCTGGACCGGTCCAGTAAAGGCCATGCGTCCTTTGAAGACATAATAATACACAATACTAAACAAAACCGTTGCCCCAAAGACCAACACACTGAAGTTCATCGTTTCTGGCGTGGTCGGGGTGCTCGGCAGCCAGAAAGACCAAAACCAAATAAACAGAAGATAGACGCATGCAAACGCGTTATTGATTGTGCCCAGTGGCTCAGGTATCTTCCAAGGACCCCAGCAGAGGTTGTCGGGACTGCTGATGGGTGTAGACGATGTCGAGAACGGCTGCATTTCCCCTCGCACTCGGCGCCAAAGGAGTAGTGCCGCCACGATGAGGTAAGAAGCGTAAAGCCCAGCCACGGAAAGCGAGATGATGTTGTTGAAGGCGACAGATGATCCGAGCGGAATTAGAGCCAGTAGCATCGAGAACAGGAGCGTAACTAGCACCGTGTAGATTGGAAGAGAGATCCGTTTTGTGAGCTGCAACATGCGTCAGTCATGTTTTCTTGTCGGAATGCGAAGGACGGAATGTACATGTCCGAGAACGACTCACCTTAACCAAGCATTCATGAAACGGCACCCCTCGATCGCGAGCGAACGACCAAAGCATGCGTGAAGACGCTGCGTAAACCCCAACTATGCTTGCGATACTCATTACAAGAATGATGGACGCCATGATAGCTGCTCCCGCTCGAGAATTTACGGCCTGGTAAAAGATTTCGACGAACGGATAGAACACGGTCTTCGTTGCGCCCAGCGCCGCTTCGAGATCGCCTATACAGAATATCATGGCGATCACCATGGCCCAAGCGAGTGCCCCATTGATGATGATGCTGTACATAAGGGCTTTGGGAACAACGGTGGCTGCTGAAATAATCTCTTCTGACATCTACGATAGGTCAATTCGAAGACAAGCATTCAGTCTTGACGGGCACTTACATGCACTGCACTGTCGGCACCCATCAAGCAGAAAACCGAGGAAGGCATTCCGACCAAGAACGACAGACCTTGGCTTGACCAGCCTCACGTGTTCGCGAAAACGGTGAACACTTCCTTCGCACTGGCATGCGGCCCAAGATATACCATCAGGATCAGCACGCAAAAGAATCCCACAAGATGGAGGACTAGGACAGCTCCTTCGAAGCGAGCCAGGAAACGGCTAGTGGTTTAATTGATCAGGACCGCAAATGCGGCGAGAGCCCAGAAGAGGAGTACAGTATGCCACGCCTTCGGTACGTATTCGGGACGGGTCAGGACGCAGATCCCTTGAATGAGAACAGCTAGCAGGTATCCTGATGACGCCGCAACGGACTGCCATCCAAATACTGTGACCCAAGCTTGGGTACTTCATCAGCTAACGCACTAGGATATACCGCAGTGTTTTCGCACCTGTGATGTACGAGAGGAAGTTCCTGCACGAGGCCGAGGCCATGATTGCAACCCAATGGTCTCGTAAGATCAGGTCAGCAAGGGTATCCTATCCTAGGGCGCGATCTCACTTACATTGGCCACCAGAGACAGGCGCCATACTCGCAAGCTCGCCAATGGTTGCAAAAGTAGACATTGTCCCTAGAAGGACGATCAGGAATCCCCACACCACTCCAGCCGGGCCGCCATTAAGAAGCGCTCCGATGGATGTAACGAGAATGCCCTCCCAGGTTATCAGGACCGCGCAAGAAAAACCGAGCAAGGACATGAAGCCAAAGCTGCGTTTGAGGAGTGGCTTCTTTCCGAGACGCATCGGCTGGTGATTGTCATATTGGACTGAGGTTTCGCCTTTGGCGTGTCCTACGCGATGTCGAGCTTGAAGTTCAATATCGAGTGTAGGAAGGCTTGTCGTTGCCATTGTGAGGAGAAAATTCAGAATGAAGAGTGCGCGAGCTTCAAGGGCGAGCAAAGATGAGAAGACAGGGTGGGAGGAGTGACTGCAGCGGTGCTGGAAGAGAAAGATGGGGTCCACAGAAACCCTTTTTTGCTACGAAGGTCCCTCCGGCCCGAGGTCGGCCTTCTGTCAACAGTGTCCTAGATAAGGAATAGATGCAGCAAGCAAATGAAGGCCCGAATTTTTGGCGCTGCGGTGAAGCATGCATATATGGCATTGCACATACGCATTATTCCCGGGCTACGCCTCTTTGGTACTGCTCGCCAATTGCTACACGTAGAACTACATACCCGAGTCAGGTGAGTGAGGAAGATTCATAACAGGTCGCCCCAAGCCATATCTAGGGCGAGTTGAAGTGTGCTAGCCAGGGGGCTCTCTGGTCGAACGAAGAGTCGTGGAAAGTTGAGCGCTGCAGCAAGAAACGGACTGAGCAAAAAGCTGACGCTCCTTTCCACACTTGCACCGCGCATGTAGGAAGCCTCCAATTCTCGCAACCTTGGCCGTGCTGTAAACCAAGTTTCAGTGGGCCACCTGGCAGACCTACCTAGACTTACGATGCGAGGACATGCATCATCGCGATATAGGAAATAATGCAGAGAGCCAAGGAACAGGAGTAGGCTAAAGTATTAGATAAATTCTCCGCACCAGTCCTCTCACCGCTTATCTCCACTCATTCTCCACATCGTCGATCCCCGCTCTCCAGCAATTCAGCTCTTGCTAATTCCCCAGAAAAGCGCCCACGACCTGCATATACCGCTCCCGCTCCTCGAAGTGCCCCATGTGGCTAGACTCGGCGAGCTGGACCCACTTCACTTTTGGAATGCGCTGGAACCAGGGCAGAATCGCCACGTCCTGGATCTCATCATAATGGCCGTTAATGAGCAGCGTCTCGCAGTCGATCTTCTGCGCGGTTGAAAACCCTTCCCAGTCTTTGAGCAGGCCGGTGGGGAAGAGTTCGGAAGGCCCGTACCTTCGTCCAGACTCAGTACGCACACTTGTTTTGCGCAGGGCGGGAACACTTACATAGTCCTATACACGGTGGGGTCCTCCTCCAAATGGCCCAGCGCTTTCTCTACCCCTTTTGGCCATGGATCCAAACGACACAGATGCCGCTTGTAAAACACAAGACACGCATTCTTGTACTTATCGCTGTCAAAGTCTCCATCACGATGGCACTCTTCCAGATCTTTCTGGACATCCTTTGGCAACAACTTCATCAGATCATCCACACCCTTCATCATGAGCGGAATGCTAGCGGGCGCATCCGCCAGAATCAATTTTCGCAGTCCGACGGGCTTCCGCGCCGCATACACGCCGCCCAACATGCCGCCCCAGCTCTGCCCTAGGAGATCAAAACCTCGCGAGCGAAGACCTAGGTAATCCACAACGGCATCCAGCTCGCGCATAAACAGGTCCACCGTCCAGAACTCCTCGTTGCCGTCTTTTTCGCGCAGACGGGTCGAGCGGCCGCATCCGATTTGGTCGTAGAAGACGATGGTGGTGCCGTGTTTGTGGTGTAGGTCTGTAAAGGGAAGCAGGTATTCATGCGCTGCCCCCGGACCGCCGTGCAGCGTTATCAACGGAATGCCGTGCCTGAGATCGCCAAAGACATTGTACCAAGTCTCGCAGGGTTTGCCAGCGCCGGGGACGTTGAGGGGTATTTTCCCTTCGGAAGGTTTGAGGACCGTCATCTTTGAAGTCTAGGACGGGCGTCGATGCAGGCTAGCGCGATAAGGGTAAAGCTGGTGTATTGTCTTCAAGCTTTTGCGGAGTCTGGCGAGGATGGTAAGCTTTTATATTCTCCGCGCAGGATCGTCTCGAGGCACAGCACCAGATCCCTGTAAGCCCCGCAACTGGATATATGAAGACGAATTATCCTGCGGCGAAGCAGTGCATTGATGAAGAACGGTGTAGCGCACAGCGCAAGAGTAAGATCGCAGTAAGCAGTAAGGGCTCTTGGCCAATGAGCTTCCCCCCTCCGATGCTCATCGCTTCCTAATCAATTATGCTGGGTTGAACAAATCTGGATAGAAAGTCCTGCGGGATTGTTCTTCTACGAAATCCCCATATGCAATCCTACCTAGGTAATTGCTACACATGCCGGCGCATGGGCACAAGTGGCATTTCCACTTTGGGCTCGATCACGTGACTTTGAGATCCAACTTGCAGGTTGATGGCTGATATTCACATTCGCGCATCAGAGAGAGTGTTACGCGGAGAACTGATGTATCCGCATTTTGCAAGTTTGTCATAGATTTTGGAATACGTGGTGGAAACGCGGTCGTTTCGCGTTCAGGGGTTCGCGACTTAGCGCGTCAAGCTCCCTCGCACCTTCCGAGCTCTTCACCAAAACGTCATCTCTCTTCTAACAACGACCTCGGGAAGCTTTCACCCATCCACCGACTCATCATCACCGTTGACTTTGAGCTTCGGCATCAGGCCACCGAAATGGACTACCACTATAACACCAATTACACCTCACCGAGCGACGAATCCGATCAGGACCTATCGGATGCTTCCGACAGCTATGAGGAAGGGTTCGATTTCAACATGCGGCTGCAGCAGTGCCTTGATAATGTCCAACATGAAGGAACATTCTCCACATTCCATACCCTCAAAGCCTACACTAATCCCGCTCTTCATCTCAACGGGTACGGCTCCGTGGGCCTGCCGCTCGCCGTTCGCGATGCAGAGGCCATCACACGCATCTGCAAGCAATCGCCGTTTGGCAAGGGCGACCAAACAATCATCGACACGTCCGTCAGGAAGACTTGGGAACTGGACGCTGCCGAATTTCAATGTCGGAATCCAGCTTGGACAGCGTACCTCGATTCGCTCGTGGGGCAGGCGGTAAAGGACCTTGGTGTGCAGGTCGAAACCCGAGCGCAGCTGTACAAGTTGCTGCTCTACGAAGAAGGCGCTTTCTTCAAAGCTCATAAGGACAGCGAGAAGGTTCCAGGAATGTTCGGCACTCTCGTCATCTGCCTACCTTCGGAGCATACCGGAGGCGAGGTCTATCTTGTTCATGACAAGAAGAAACGCACTTTAGAGACAGCGCCGAGCTCCGCTTTCGATATTTCCATGCTGGCCTGGTACTCCGACGTCTCGCACGAAGTTCGACCTATCAGCTCCGGCTACCGCTTGGTTCTGACGTACAATCTGGTGCAGGACCAGGGGATGCCGAAGCAGTCTGCCGGGGCTCTGGATGAATACCACGCCCGTTTAGAGCGGCTACTCAAGACCTGGAACAGGGATTATCGTCAATTCGAGAAATTCATCTACCCGCTCGAACATCAATACACCAAAGCCAACCTCTCCCTCGCGAGCTTGAAGGGGCATGATGCCGCCAAAGGGCGGTTTCTTCAACGTCTTTGCGCCAAGAACGGGTTCTATTGGCTTCTCGGAAGGATGACCAAGCAGTCTGAGGACGAGGACTATGGGGAAGAGTCTGATTCGTTGGACCTAGACTACACTGTCACCCCGACCGGGATGGACCTCAACTTGGGCCTCTTGACCGTTGAAGACGTGGAGATCCTTGCAGACGTGGAGGATCTATACGGAAACCGGGACGTCGATAGCGAGGATGAGGGCGAATATATGGGAAATGAGTCTATGCCTGCGGCATATCGGTATCACGACACGGTATGGCACCCATGCTTAACAATCTCCGAGTGGCAACTGACCCATAATCAGGTTTTTATTCTTATGCGAAAAGAGAGCGTGCTACGTCGGTTCCGATCCTGCGAGACCCACAACGTCCACTCGCTCCGAGCATTTTTCGAACTTCTCCGAGACGATCATACACCCAACAACGAAACCACCAAACTTGTTGTGGACGCAATGAGAATACTACTGACCAAAATCGTCACAGGCCTCGCGTCTAAGGCGAATAACTATGACAATAGTTATTATAGTTATGGCTACCTGGGTTACGGAGCAGAACGCGAACGTATCCGCGCAGACCTTAGTCGGATATTCTCTTTGGTTGCCAGCCACTGCTATATCATCGGCCAACAGGATCTTGTCCGCGAAGCCCTGCAGAGGGTTATGCAAGACCCGTCCTGGTCTTCATCAAGCGAGCTCGTTCGCATTGCCGCGGACTGCATAGGGCGCGAAGCAGCAATCGGCGGTGCAGACACTTGGTCCAAGTGGTACACAAATCTAGAGAGACCCTCGGACCGTAATGGAACTGACTGAATCTAGGCTTTCTCTTCCCCCGCCGCGAGTCCCCACTTTCAAATACGCGAACGACATGCGAATAACATTCGAGACAATTAGGTCGCATGTGCCTGGTTCGCACGTCCTCTCATTCAATGAGTGGACAAATGATCGCGTGGGCGAGATAGTTCGTTCCATCAGTGACTACTCGAAGGCGGATAATGCGGCATTGCTGGAGCTTATAGCAACCATGGGTCAAGCGAAGTATTTCACAGAGTGAGTGTAGAAATGAAGAGTCGTTCGACCTCGCTGATTGCAACAGAATCCTTCCAAAACTGATCTCACATCCTCACCGGGCTGGCGTCATCGCATTCTTGCAGCAGCTCGCCAAATCCTTTGAAGAAGATACCACGGCCAAGAAAGACATCGTAAAGCCAACGTTTCAAGCTCTAATATCCATCGACCCGCCTCTTCTCAGACTGACTATTTCGGATATCGTTAGAAAGACGTCACCCTACCGTAACGGCATCTATCTGGGGTATGGTATCCCTGCGCCTACCGACATGTCTGATGTCCTTCCTGAAGACTTTCTCATGATACTCAAGCACAGCCTTATTCTTGAACTTAATGAGGTAGCCGTGCAGCTTCTTGCCCGGGGATTACCGGACACACCAGATCCCGCGTCAATAATTTGGGATGGTTGGAAGGAAATATTCGACTTCGTTGGCAGACTTATTATAGTGCTCAAGGACTGCACCGACCCCTCCGTCCAAGAAGCAGCAAGAACCTGGATCATTCCCACTCTTCAACAGGCTGCTCTTTGGCTGGCGAGGCGCCGTCCAGTCGAACCAAAAAACTGGACGCGCAAGCGGAAAGACTCCTGCAACTGCAGTCCATGCCAGGAGCTCCTTCGGTTCCTGAAGAATCCATCTCAGTCCGTGGCACGATTCTCATATGCCGATAGGACTCGCAAGCATCTACAGAACTCGCTCGAGTATAATGACTACAAATTCGATACGGAACGAACCAGGATCCCGTACACGTTGGTCGTCTACAAGACCAAGAACGAGTTTTTAAGGCTCGATGCCCGATGGAAGTCTGATGTTGCGGAGATGCGATCGCACTTGCAGCGCTTGAGGGGCAACTCTGGCAACCGGAATGTGCTCGGTGAAGAGATGGCGAGATTGGTGGATATTGAGAGTCTGATTCTGATCCGGGGAGCGCAGCCCGTCCAACCACTCCAACCACTCCAACCTACATCGGCCTCAATGCAGAATTTCGGGCAGCCGGCTTCGGGGGCTGTGGAAAAGCGCAAAGCGGATATCGTGGATTTGACGGGTGATGCCTCTGACTGATCAGTTGGCACAGGTCGCAGCGCGGTGAAAGGTCGGCGCGGCTAGGACCATAGGGTCCCTCAGTGCGCTAATCCTCTAACCCCGAGAGCTATATCAACCCCGTAGCCCATGCCAAACGCCTCGACACTGGAACTCAACCCAAAAGAAGTGTTCGGATGCGTAGCACCATCCGGTGATCTTTTGGGAACTGCAACTCGTAAAGCCCAACATCACCAAGCTCCATTTCACAGACCCGCCGCCCTTCCCCCACGACACCCAACCATACCATCTCGTCGCTTCTACCCACTGCAGCATTCACAATGGCGCCGAAGCGGAAGACCGGTGCTATTTCCGAGTCGAATGGAGACAGCGGACGCAGCATGCGCCAAAGCACTCGCAAACAGGTTAGCCCTCGTCCCGTTTGATACGAGGCATTCACTAACCCTGAGCAGACCCAGACGTCCGACGAGATGGTCCCTCGACGTGTCATGCCGCCGAAGCCGAGGACTCCGCCCGAGAAGCGCACTAAGCCTACGTCGGAGAGGCTGCAGTCGGTGGATGAGTTCTCCGAGTCGCGGTTCCTCAAACTTCCACGCGAGCTGCGAGACGAAATTTATCACCAACTCTGGAGTGCTGGTCCTAGGATCACGCAGCGCTACGATGGCAGGTATTATGCCGTGTCGTACCAGCGGGACTCACTGCTCTCTACACAACTCCCTCCTAATGCGACGCACCCATGGTTGCTTACAAACAAGCAAATCCTGCACGAAGGCGTCCAGCAACTACACCAGCACTCAACATGGTACTTCGACGACACGAGTCAGACCCTGAAGTCCGAGTACAGATTCCCTCTCATCACCCCATCCCAGGTCCGCGGCCTTCACTTGGACATTCGACTCTTCCCGTGGCTCGTCGTCAAGGATTGGGGCGAGCGGACCGCTCTGGACTCGAGAACAATGGCAGTCGTCAATCGCATGGTGGACTCAATGTCCGAGGACTCGAATATCCAGCAAATCAACATCACAATTTGGACCGAGTGGAGCTATCTCGTTCATAGGTACCTCAACTGGCAGTATGCTACACCAGATTTGTCGGACTTCGAGCGCTTGACTGCGCATACCAAACTCAGGCGTGTGGAAATCAGTATTAATTTGAAGAGTAAGAACGTGCTGGGTAGTCCTTCGGCTGATCAGTTCAAAGAAGAGATCTTACGCGTCGGAAACGCGCTAGTCAAGGGAGGAACCGACAAGGAAGATATCTATACCGAGACGGTTCCTTGCGCGTTGAGCGGAAGCGAGATCATACTTGAGCATACGTATCTGTGGTGGAAGTATGAAATCGCGAAGCCTTGATCACTTTCCGGGTGGCAATACGTCGTTGGATGGACTGTGATGTGATTCTAGGAGGTGGTACGTAGCTTCCTTTCTCATTGTCGTCATGGCCCGGATCATCTACAGAATATAGTTGTTCTTCGGTAGGGAAAATACGTGGCGTTTCCATTAACCGCATTGGTCTAGACCTCATCGGCCAAGCTGCTTCTTTCATAACTTGTGCCTGTCGCCCTTCGCATTCAAGCCCGGGACCTTCTCTGCGTCTTCGAAAAGCTTCACAATGCGTTTCGGGCGCTCGTCAGGAGTCTTTCCGTCTTGAGAACCCAGGAGCCAGCGCATGTCGTCTTCGTCCGCGAGGTAGCGTCGCATAGCGAAGGAGTATTCGGACGTGGACTGCGAGTCACTGGAACTGTGCATATGCTGATTTCTCGTCTCTGGCCTTCTCGCAAGTACGAGCCTAAGTACTCTTTAATAGACATCTAAGGGATGTTGGGATGTTGACGACTTACAGTCCGAGATTTCGGCCTTGTATGGCTGTCATGGCGTGGTAGAGGGGTCTTTATGCCCTGTCGAGTTAAGTTTGTACTTGTACGTTGCATGTTTCCTTGCAGTCCTATCGTTCTTTATGTCCATCATCCAAGAGTCGATCTTCCGCGCCTATTGCCTTAAAACATAGAGCTGATGTTCGCAGGCAGTCCAAATCACGTTCCCGTTGAAGTTAATTTTGAAATCTCACGCTAGAGAGGATCACACTTGTGATGGACCTCTGTGATTGGTCCGTGGTGTGGCTATGCGCAGTGTTAGCCACACCATCACAGTTGTGATGTCTGTGCGCATATCAACCTCGACAAGCAGACTTCGGCCTTCCATCACTGACGCTCCTCACTAGGTCCCAACAACTGTCACAATTCTTTTGGCATCTTCCGGGATCTTCTTCAGCTCATTTTTCCGCCATTTCTGTGGCACGTCCATTCAGCTAGGAGAGCACGCCATGAGCTTAGCGCCTTCAATTCAGAGAAGATGACGAACAGGAACCGTTGCCATGATCAAGAGCAAGAGCTTGCACTTCAGCTGAGAGAGGGCTTGGAGGATGGAGAGCACAGTGCATCCGATTCCGGTTCGAGTTGTAGCATTCATCCACCATCAACCCCTCTTGAGAGATGGCTGCACATGAGGGCGTGGGATGATCCTTGGTCTTCAGAAACATTTTACTCTCGGGAAGAACCTGTCAGCGCACTGCGGAATGAGCAAAAAAGGATAGCGCAAATCCCAGTCCCACCCGCTAAGTCTACACCCTCCCTCACCTCATCACGCTCAGGCACGAACGAAAGCGACGTGACGGCCAAGGCCGAAACTCCCAGAGATCGGAACGCTTTGGGAACAGATACACCGAGCCCCTCGCCACAGAATAGCACAGTTCCCTCTCAAAACGCATTCCCCGCAAGCAACGGAAATCAAAAGTCTGATCCCGAAGATGCGGACCAACGAAGCGCTGCGAGAAGTATCGATCCAGATCCCGAGCGAACCAGTACACCAATTCCCCGGGCTCCTGGCTTTCCTGTCAGTCGCTCGTTTAATCGACGCGTTTTTTCGGTTGGCCCCCCTCCTGCTTCAAGGTGTCTTTCGCCAATTAAAGAAGAAACCTCGATCGATGCCCGTATGCTGGAGCCGATGCGGCTAGTGAGCCCCTTAGCGGCCACTTGTGACACGACATCCTCTAGATTAAACGCTTCGCTTAGCCTTTTAGTTCCAACAGGAGCCTCCTCCCCTGATGAAACTCCAAGAGACGAGGCACATTCCACCAATACTGGAACAGGATTCGGCACCACAAGCGCAGACACCGTGGACAAGAGCAAGGGTGATACCTCTGAAAGGGGTCAAAAGAAGCGGGACGAGGAGGACCAACGAAAGCCGAAAAGACCGAAAGCTAGTGGCGGCCAGTCAGTACCGCAACGTTTGAGATGCCCTTTCTATTCTAGTGACCCGCAGAAACATGAGTTGAATCAGGCCTGCAGCAGTGGGCTCGGCTTTCCTGATATGGCAAAACTGATGTAAGTAAAGCTCCTTGTCGTTTGGTGCTTGCCTCTGATTCGATTGCCAGGCAGCACCTGAAACGCACTCATCTGCAGCCACGGCGTTGTCCTCGATGCCAGTTGGAGACGAAGACACAGAGAGATCTCGCTGCACATCTTCGCAACGCCGCCCGCTGTGAACTACGCCCGGCACCGAAAGACGATCGCCTTACCCAGGAGCGATGGGAAGAGATCACCACAAAGAGACCCTCTGATTACCATTTGAAGACCGTCGAAGAAAAGTGGACTCTCTTATATCGGGCACTATTCCCTGATGATGAGCGCGCACCCTCCCCTTGTAGGTGCCCCATGCCAGCAGCGAGCGATATGGCTAACTTTGGCAAGATGACAAGCCAGTGATGTTTCACCGGCTGGAGCCCTTTCTCATCGAGGCATTCAAAGACGAATTGTCCAAGAGACTAGATTGTCCGCTCAAAGTCGCCATAGCAGAGATTGAAGATATGGTTCCAGCAATCATTCAACAATGCAAATCTAGGATGTGTGGCTCTACGGAAACCTCACCGAACGGTCCACTCCTGCAGTCCAGCCTAACTCAGCGCGCAAGGCCTTTCCAGTCCGTGGCCCGGGCTAATCCGCACACAAGCGCCTCCCACCCGGATAATGATACCTTATTGTCGACATCTGCGAGCTTTTCTTTACAAGCTGCGGCAAGCTCAGTGTCCACTCTCTCTGCTTATGGCACGGGGAACAGCGGCCAACTTTCCAACGAGGCGGGAGATTCAGAGAGCAACCGTTATACCAAATCGGCCGTCACAGAGCCCCACGAGATCGATGAGGTTGACCGAATCACCGGAAATGAGCAAAATGAACAATGGTATTCTTCGAAGTCATTCGAAACCCATGCTTCCAGCTCGCAATCGCTTCGTGAGAAGGGGAAAGAAAAGCAGCAAGCACTCCTCGAGAATCTATTCTCTTCAAGAAGTCGAGCAGATACGGTCACACTATCCGATGTCAACGACCCCGACAACAAAACCTCGAGTATATGTCACCCAGTATGTCACAGTCAGCGAGCAGGCAATCAGGAATCATATCACCATCATCCGCAGGAAGAAGCGACGGTACCAATCCGTACGAGCTCTTGGAACGATCCCATGATCAGTGCTACACCATGGACCTTGAACCCGACCTCCACGTCTCCGAAACTACCTGACAATACGCTTTTTTGGTCTAATGTTGCAGAGAAGGAGCTATTCGCCGATTTTGACGCCCAGGAGTGGTTCCACAATATCTATACCTCATGAGGTTGGGCTGCCCGGAATGCTTTCAGCAGCAAGGTTTCTTTGGCTCGTCTTTCATTCTCTTCAGTTGGTTTATCCCCTTAGCGTGTATATCTTGTTAGATAAGCTTCTCGAGTCTCTTTCATTCAGCATAGCGAGTGTTCTGGAAGCAGAGCCTAATAACTACCTTCCCGCGTCTTAGATGGAAAAGCTCATTTCTCTATTCGTCAAGCATTTATGCCTTAGGTATGCTAGAATTACTTCTTAACTCTAGAGGCACGAATCGGGGTTATTGAGAGGATACGGAAGCATTCGAAAAACACTGTGCATTACCAATCTATCTGGAGGGGGATATGTCCAGAAATCGTCTATGTAAGGAAAATGCATGCCTCTCTTAACCCACGCAGCCGATCGCTCCCTGACGGGGATTAAAGAGCCGTTCCCTTTTCATCGATCGCCCACAGCCACTCCTGAGTGCCTAGGGCCCTAAACCCAATCTACGACTGTAGAAAAGACACGACGGGAGATGATATGCTTGCTCGCAGCGACGAAGCAAGCACTTGCGTCCATCATCCCTTCTTAACCTCGTATGCCCAAGACCACAAAAGGCCACTATTCCCGCTCCCCACTTCCCTGTGCGTATCCAGCGCCTGACTCTCCACGCCGTCCGGAACAAGCGCTCTGCCAACTCGCTCAGCTTCACTCTTCAGTGCGTCACCGAACTGCGTCTCCGCCAGCTGCACTCGTCGTCTCGCAGCCGGCACACCCCCCCAGGCAAGTCCCTCAACGGCGACGTGAAACCCGAACTCCTCCACGCCTCTCTGGACGCCCAAGCGCTCCAGCTTGGACAGATCGAACTGGCAAGCCGACGCCAGGATGGCGGGGTCCACAGCGCCCCACAGAATCGAGACGCGGATCTCCTTGAGCGCGTCGTCCTCGTGCATCGAGCTCACCATGCGGTTCACCAGCGCCACGGACTCCTTGCGCAGAGTGAATGTGCCGTCTTTGCGGTCGAGCGGCGTCCAGTGCTCGAGGTGCAGGTGCTGCGCATACACCAATCCCGGGGTGAGCAGCGGGAACACGTACTCCGACGGTCGGTTCTCTGCATCCGTGTCCACGAAGTGCCACACCGACTGGCGATGGAACTGCGCAAGCCCCTCTAGCAGGATCTGCTTGCTCGCGAGAAGCCACGCCGCCGTGTTGACGGGCTGCGCGCTGGGCTTGCGGTGGCCGTACGTGACGGAGTAGAACTTGCGCAGGTAGCGCTGGCGCAGATGCGGCGTCGTGGTCCAGACTTCGTGGTACACTTGGTCGCGCAGCTCGCGGGGGAGCTGGAAGAAGAGGGAGGAGGAAGCTGGGCTGGGGTCTAGTTGCGAGAGAGAGACCGTCGGGCGCTGGTGGAGGCGCGGGCGTTTCCTGGCTGGCATTTTGGCCCGAGGGGTGGATGCTGTTTCTGCTGGGGATTTCTGCCCCGTGGCGTCGAGGTTGCGCTTTGTTGCCATGGCTGGTGTTGCACGTAGTCTGGCTGGATTTGGTGCGAGGCCGTCTGGCAGGGTTGAGCGTTGGAGTTGTGTGCGGACCGAAGGAGAGTAAGAAGTTATGTAAGACATACGTAATTGCGAACTAGTCCTGTTCCATCTTGGTGAATGTGACTGCTCACTTCTGGGGAATGATGCTAGGGTGGGGCTCTTGCCCACGTCTCCCTCTCACTTTTTGTTTTACAGATTCCGATTCGGCCAGCAGCTCAACTACTAGATTTCTCCTTCCTGCCATACACCACCCAGAAGTTCCAATAAGCATGCATCTTCCTATCCCTCAGATCCTTCCTCACCAGCGCCATAAAAACATGCACCTCCTCTGCCGACCATCCGAGCGCTCTGGTAAACAGCGCCAAACTCATACTATCGCATCCCCACGTGAAATTCTCCATCGCCCATCTTCCTAGCTCTTTATGCTTGGAGTCCTTGGGCCAGGTGTTGATGGGCCATTTAATCGGCGTCGCTACTACGTCGACAAAGCCGGCGGTCTTCATCATGTCGGGCACGTGAGAAATTGCGTCGAGCGGGAATCCGGCTTTGGAGGCTGCGTCGTGCATGTAGTTGTGCCAGCGGACGAGCGCGGAGTTGGTGGGGAGAGTGCCGTCGTCGCATTTTATTACGAAGTCGATGTCGTGGACCTCTAGGTAACCGTCTTCTTCCAGGAATCTAACCGAAATGTCAGTCATAACGGATTCCTTGTACATGTGGCGAAGGGTGAAGTACTCATAGCTCTGTCTGAAAAATCTTGGCCAGTCCTGAAATGCGCCGATCATGAGTTGGCAGTGGATATAATTGAACTTGCGCGAAAATGTCCAGGGTTTTTCTAGATCGTCGACTTCGAATGTCAGGTTGGGAGGAACACTGTAGTGCACCGTTAATGCAAGCTCTGCTTCCCTCTTTTACAGGGGACTGAGGCTTACTTTGCTGGCTGAACGGGCGCGAGATCGACTCCGAAGACCTCCGTCTCAGGGTGGGCGTCGGCTAGGCTCCGGGGTTAGCTGGATTGGCGAGACGGGCTACTAACGAGTGAGGCGGTTACCAAAGTCTATTGCCCATATGCCCGTCCCGCAGCCTACGTCGAGAGCGCGATGCACATTTTTGATCGGTGCGAATCCGAGTTCTTTATCCAGCGTGAGCCACACGAGATGGTGTTGGAAATCTGCAAGTGGTCAGCCTTCTCACCTATACATCTATAGCACAGAACCCACCTAAGCGCTCTATCTCTTGCTAACAAGGGCAGGTGTTAGCGTTGGGTCTTGGCACGTGGGAATCAGTGATGAGTACCTCGTCCATGGGAAGGACGTATTCTAGACACCGGGATTAGCAAGGAGTGAACTCGCAATTGATAGGGGGGAACATACTCGCTTCCATGTACCCCTGGTACTGTCGGCCATGCTCTCGCACTTGCAAGATCAATTCGTCTCTGAGAGAGGTAGTAGATGAAGCGACCTTCTGCGGTCAGCGCATCGTAGTAATGGCGCGAGCACGGCCTCACTCACATCGCTGTATGCCGAGTCACCATCATCGAACAGCGCCTCCTCTTCGGCATTCTAGAGAACTGTCAGCGAGTTTGGTCCCGTGGTGCGATCTCGATGTGGCATGACTTGCCGCGTCGGGCTCAAGCGCTTCCGTGTCGGCGGTGGGGTGGTGAGCCGGGCCGGTATCGGGCACCAGGCTAGAGCCCGCGGCCGCCGGACTGCCATGATCGTCGGGGCCGTGAGAGGCCATTGTTGGTTAAAAATGCGGCGTAGCAATAGTTTGCATTGGCAGGCAGAGGCTGTCAGGAGGTTTTCCGCGATCTGGGGACTGGGGATCGCCCCACATTGCCGAGATGTCGCTTAGACGCTGTCACGTGGAGGCAGTGACCTAAGGCAGCTAGGGCCAATCACCTCAGCGCAAGATGTGCAGGGCCCCTGACCGCTCTTCCAACTCTCCTGTGTCTCAGCCGCGTCGTCGCATCCACCCGCAGGCTGACCCACGGTCGTACAAATCATGGCCGCACCCACGGTACCGGGAACCTCCCCATTGGCGGCTCTCGAGCAGCTACCCAGAGCCACGGTTGCGATCGGTGTGTTGGGCGCCCTGGTTATTGCGTATCTCGTTCGCGTCGCGCTAAGGTGGTTCCGCTTGTCGCACGTTCCCGGGCCCTTCTGGGCAGCCTTCTCTTCGGCGTGGATGGTGAAGGAATCGCTCAAGGGCAGACAGCCGCTCGCTATCAAGCAAGTCACCGATAAGTATGGTAAGTTTGTCGTCGCTGAAGTGCGAAAGTCTCCCTAGGTACTGACGACACGCCAGGTTCGCTCGCGCGGATTGGGCCAAATGAGCTGGTCACAGATGATCCAGAGGTCTTGCGCAGGATGATGGCTGTCCGCTCTGCGTACACGAGAGGCCCATGTAAGCTGTGCCTATGAATGCGCGTACGAGACTCAGTATACGCTAACAGAGACACAGGGTACGACGCAATGCGCTTCGAGCCTGGAAAGACTAATCTCTTCGCTATGCGCGACGAAGCTGCCCACACCAAGCTACGCAACAAGATGGCGGCCGGGGTAAGCCGCATTTCTCCTCATTGCAGACAGGAATTAACCGCCCACTTTAGTATTCCGGCAAGGAAAACGAGTCGATGGAAGGCACCATCGACTTCCAAATCTCGCAGCTCGTTTCGCTCATCGAGTCCAAGTACCTCTCTTCATCTGACTCGTACCGCCCCATGGACTTCGCCCAAAAGGCGCAATACTTCACCCTCGACGTCATCAGCCATCTTGCATTCGGACATGCCTTTGGCTATCTCGTCGAAGACGGCGACGTCTATGATTACATCAAGATCACGAATTCGTACATTCCCATCATGATGATTGTAGCTAACATACCGTCTCTGGCGAACGTGCTGCATTCGCGACCTCTGAGGGGACTACTTCCTAAAGAAAGTGATAAGCTCGGTTTTGGGGCTTTCATTGGGTGAGTGGTGGCCCAGCACAATCGCTACAAGAGCCGCACTGACAACATTGCGAAGCGTCGCCAAGAAGGTCGTAGCAGATCGCTTTGGACCATCCGCGAAATCTCAACCCGACATGCTCGGCTCCTTCATCCGCCATGGGCTCAATCAGGAGGAAGCGTCCGGCGAGGCGCTGCTTCAGGTCATCGCTGGCAGTGATACCTCAGCTTCTACCATCCGAGCTGTCATGCTCCATCTCCTCGCAAACCCAGTGGCGTACAGAAAGCTCCAGCAAGAAATCGACACCTTCATCTCCTCTGGAGAAATCTCCTCGCCCATCAAAGACTCCGAAGCACGTCAAATGCCCTACCTCCAAGCCGTCATTAAAGAGGGGTTGAGAATCCTACCCCCGGCGGGCGGCACTTTCTTCAAGGAGGTCCCGCCCGGAGGCGACACGATTGACGGGAAGTTCATCCCTGCTGGAACGCAAATCGGATCCTCGCCGCTGGGAATCCATCACTCGAAGAAGATATTCGGTCCAGATTCAGAGCTGTACAGGCCTGAGCGGTGGCTGCAAGCGGATCCAGAGCACCTTGCGCAGATGACGAATACCGTGGATCTCGTCTTTCACTATGGCAAGTACCAGTGTCTGGGCAAGACGGTGGCGTTGATGGAGTTTAATAAGATTTTTGTGGAGGTAAGGATCACTCACGCGTGTGCGATGGCGAGATTGGAAAGCTGATTTCACCGCACTAGCTTTTGAGGAGGTTCGACTTTGCGCTTGCGAATCCTGAGCATCCGGCACATATCGCCAACGCGGTAAGTAGACTAATCTTGCTTTGGCCCCGGTAATTTTCCTCGAGCTATTGGCTAACAGTGCGCTATAGGGAATCTGGATCATAGAAGACTTCTGGGTTCGGATTACGCGACGGGGAGGGTGAATGTTGGGTCAAAGATGCTCTCTCAAGAGTTCTGCGGCATCGTTGCATAGCTTGCGTTATCGCGCCATGCTTGTCTTCTCATCCGGCATCCTGAATCTAATTCTTTATACTCTCTTTCGCTGTTCTCTCGTGCTAAGCATTTTCTATGTGGAAGCTGTCGGCTGTAGCTCGGGGTCGTGCCCGAAGGCGCCTGCTCAGTCTGCCGTCGAGCTACTGTAAGGTATGTGACCTGTAATGCTCCTTACACTATATCGCCTCCCATCATATAGAACGAACTTTGATCTTTGTATTACTTTGCAGAGTATAGAGTCTATGCATGCACCTTGTGGAGACCCGTATATCTGAGAACGCATGCGTATACAGTGTCCACCAACACCTCGGACGCCACCGCCTGCAGAGCGCTTTGCAAAGCCCTCAGTATAGAGAGCCATTCAACACACCTTAATTCTTTGAGTTCACTAATCTTAAGCTGAAGTCCGCGCTATCCAGAAGCGCTATCTTTCACCCCTAAGATTCCTCTCAAAACCATCCCCAACCGCTGCAGCTCCTCTCCGCCACTCTCCGCCCTCCACGCAACAAACAGATCCGGTCTCACAAGCACACACCCGTCGTCCTCCACGCCCCTCACCCCCATCCACTCGAAATACGGATCCTCCCACTCCGCTCCTATACCGATCGCCACCGCCTTAATCTCAACGCCGAGCTCCTCTCCCACCGCCTGCGCAGCCTCCTTCCACAGCTCCCCGCCAATGCCCGTGAAAAGCGCAAAGCGGCCCTTCCCAGCGATATCGAGCGTCGACACGAGCGGGCCGGGCACCGGGGTGTTGAGCCAGACGTGCGGGAGCCGGCGGCCGGGGTAGGTGGACGGGTCGTAGTAGAGGGCCGGTTCGCTAGCTTCGCGGGGGCCCGGGGCGAATGGGCGAGGCTCAGAGGACGCGTCAATGGCGGTGCTGGTGTAGAGCTGGCCCATTTGGATGCCCATAGTGTTGGTCTCGTGCTGCATGTAGTCTATGCGCTCCTTCAGCAGCTTGCGTCTTTGGCGGCCGCCCGGGGTGTTTTGCCGCAGTTCGCGGATGCCTTGCATGCGCTCTTCTTCTGAGGAGCCCGGGCCCTTGGCGCCGAGCGCTTGCCAGACTTCGGCGTGCTTGCGCAGGATGTCGTTGGATTCTTTGACGAGCTGGGCGGCGACGGGCTGCCGTTCGGTGTTGTAGGTTGAGAGGAGGGAGGGCGATGCGAGGCCTTTGAGGACGAGGTGGATTTTCCAGGACAGGTTGAAGGCGTCTTGGATGCAGGTGTTTGAGCCGAGGCCGAGCGTCGGTGGATGGCGGTGGATGGCGTCGCCGAGGCAGAAACTGCTGCTCGTTAGCATTTAGTCTCTGTGCGAGATGAGTGGACGAGGAACTGCCATTAGGGAGGTTAAGGAGGAGACTTACACGTTCCCTTTCGAGATCACATTCGCGCTTGTCTCATTGACCAGCCACTTACTAACATCCAACACCTCCACCTGCACTTTGGGGTCCCCAATGTAATCCTCGACCACCTCTTTCCACTCCTTCTCGCTCCTCTCCGGGGCGGCCACCCCCGGTCCCTTGGGGAAGAAGACGAATATCCACTCATACCATGGCTTCACCATGCGTCCTACGCACGTAAACGGATAGTCCCGTTCAAGCCGCACACACCAGTTCAGGTTGCCTTCGCGGAACCGCATCAGGTGCGACAGGTCAGCGCGCACGAGGACGTTGAAGGCCATGCCGCCGCCGGGGTGCTCCGTCATCGGGAGATCGAGTTTCTGCGCAACGAGCGAGCGGGCGCCGTCTGCGCCGAAGAGGTACTTTGTCGAGATTTGGTACGTGGCGCCAGAAACGCGGTCCCGTACATCGCACAGCACTTTGCCGCCTCCCTTCTCCTCGAACCCTATCAACTGCGTATCGAAGCGCACCTTGAACCCATTCGTAGTAGCGAACTTTACGAGAACCGGCTCGAGCAAGTTCTGCGGCAGATCGAGATACCAACACGGGCTCGTCGCTGCAACGTCCCCCTGCCGGACGCCTTCGCCGAAAGAGTATACGCGCGCGTATTCTTCGCCGGCCATGGTCTCGCACCAGCGGAAGTGCCTGAGGAAGACGCCGCCGTGTCCGAGTTTGCGGCATTCGTCCCAGAGGCCGATATCGCGCATGCATTCCATGGCTGCGGGGTTGTTGATGTGGGCGCGTGGCGTTCTAGCAGTTCCAGGGGCCGAGGAGATCACGATTCCTGGGACTGTCAGTCGTTGCGAGCGGCGAAGATGATGGGTCATGAGGCACCTTTGAGCCCGTAGCGCGCGAGGAAGCACGCTAGAGAGGCGCCTGCCGGTCCGGCGCCGACGATTAGAAGGTCCGTCTCTACGGGCGATTTGGGATCCATTGGCGTGTATCAGCGATAGGGAGTGTGGGAACGGGCTTGGAGTTCTTGATATGGGAGGTGGATGGGAAACGCTCTCGATCAGAATAGTGATAGGATGACGAATTGCTCCTCGAAAGCCCACGATATGGTTAGATGAGTTTATGCATATTCGATGCGTGGCAGAGTGCGGTAGTTATAAACACTAATGGACCCTGTAAACGTGAGCATGTGTGGCAAAAGAGCGGAGGCAACGTTGAAACGCGGGGCGCGCTCACTCTTCCCATTGTGATCGTTCCTCACTGGGCAACATAAAACCATGCCTACCCAGAGCCCTGAGTCTTACATCATATGCAATTAGGCCACCAGCAATGCTTACCCCCAGCTGCTGGTCTAGTCCGAGGAGAACCGTGGGTATTTAGTGGGCTAGCCGTTTCAGGCCACCATACATCCTCGTGCAGCTCGGGTGCGTGATGGCGCGAGCGCGCCAAGTCTGGCAATGCGTTTATTTTAACTTCGGCAACTCGGTAATTTGGAGCCGGAAACCCGTTATGCGTTACTATCGTAGGCGTACAGTCGTTCCTGTTCCGGCCGCCCTGCGCGATGAACTCGCGAGCACCAAAGCAGTCTATATCCTCGCCCGTACTTACAAAAGGTCATGAGCTATGGATGCCGGAGATAGAGAAGGATCCCCACGCTCTTAGTGGCTATCCAGGCAATATCCTAGGGCTCTGAGTGGTTCGATCGATCTCACGTACGTCCGGATTCCATCGCTCACGATCCTTTGTAGGTCTGTCGCCAACTCCTCTACCTCGCGAAGCCGATAGAAGGATAAGGAAGGCGCGGCGGAAGAGTCTGCCCATCAGCTCATTGCTGTCACTGGAGAGGTGGCTAGTAGGCCGGTTCGAACGCCAGAAAGAATGTGAAACCGATTGGCCGAAGGGTGGCTCCTCAAGATGGGTGCCGCATCGTCGTCTTCGAGAGCAGAGGGCAAAAGGAACATCATGTGAGTAGGGCCGTCGCCACATAATTTTTGATGCGTTTAGAGGCCTTAAATCCACTCTGGAAGATGCCGTTGATTTTTCTAAGGTTCCATGCTCTGCGGAGACCTCTTATCGATAAGATGTACGCTAACTGTAAAAGGAATAGTCTACTGCCACTCGTCCTCTGCTCCTCAATCGACCGGTGAGCGTGGGTGAGCACCAATCAGGCATCGGGTCGTGGCACTTTGTGTTTCCAGGCGCAGCACGATCTCAACTGATAGAGGTACGTTATGTCAGCATTGGCACACTCAAATCCCTGCTCATCAAGCTTCAGCCTGTTTCCACACCATCCCCTCGCCATTGCACAGCGCATGAGCTGCGGGAACAGCAAAGGCCATGGAAGCACTCGCGGCAGTGGGACTGGCCGGCAACGTCGTTCAGTTCATCGACTTTGCATGCAAGCTGTTCGACCAAGCGACGTCGATTTACCACTCGCACGCTGGAGCCTCCCAGGGCGCCCAGGACCTCGAATCCATCACGCAAAACTTACAGAACCTCAGCGCAAACCTCTCTCAGGGCACTCGGAATCGCCTTCATCGGCAAAGTTCCGCTTCGCACGATCAGGAGACAGCGTTGAGGAAACTCGCTCGAGACTGTGAGGCTGCAGCGAATGACCTACTCTCAGCCTTGCAGGGATTAAAAGCGAAGAACCCCGACTCGAAATGGAGCAGCTTTCGTGCTGCACTTGCAAGTTCTTGGAAGGAATCCCGAATAGACGCGCTGGAAAAGCGATTGAATGCGTATCGCTCCCAGCTCATCATCCAATTACAGGTGATGCAAAGGTACGCATCGTCGTCATTCGCGTCAACGGCCGTTAGCTGAAGATGAACAGCGACGAAAGCTCGAATGTACTCGGTCTTCTGGATGAGCTCAATGATAGAAGTCGGCGAATGGGCGCTGCTATGGCGGACCAGATATTCAGCTTGAGGAGCGAGGTCCAACATGCCGTCAAGATGTTGAGGGAAGACTTAGCCCACCAGAAATCACGCAAGTCCAGATTCGTTACGATACCATGGAAGGTGCAAGACAGTTCGAGCGTAGACGTCTCTGCTCTCGCTACCTCGCTCATCCAAAGTGAGACGTCCGGTACAAACATGGTCGTCTCCTTGGCCTTGCTAGACAGCCTCACGTTCGAACAGATGGACTTCCGGCACTCCAAAATCCATGAGGCACACCCACAGACCTTTGCTTGGATGTTCGAGAACAGTTTCAAGCGATGGTTGCAATCATCCGAGCCCATTTTCTGGATCAGCGGCAAGCCAGGGAGCGGCAAAAGCACCCTGATGAAATACCTCGTGGATAATCGGGAGACGCACATCCTGCTTCGTCAGAGGTCGGGCCTGGAGAAACAAGTCGTCGCGAGCTACTTCTTCTGGATCAACGGCACCGAGCTGCAGCGCTCGCAGGAGGGACTGCTTCAATCGCTCCTTTACGAGCTCCTTCGCCAGTGCCCTGATCTGATCGAGCCTGCTTTACCAGACGCATGGAGAGCGATGGCTTCGATTGTTTCGGAGGGCAAGTCTACTCGGTATACCTGGAAGAGAGCTGATCTCCTGGACGCTTTTAGACGACTGGCTACTCTTGACACGGCTGGAACACGATTTTGCATCTTCATCGATGGACTGGACGAATACCAGGGCGACCATGACGAACTCATCGATACCATCCGACGCCTAACAAAGATGAACGTTAAGATGTGCGTAGCAAGCCGACCCTGGAACGTCTTCGAGGCCGCTTTTGGACAAGATACAGACTGTAAGCTCTATCTACAAGACCTCAACAAGGCCGACATCAAACTGTACGTCGACGACAAACTACGACTCCGACCCGAATTCCAAGCCCTGCAAATCAGTACCGGAAAAGCCGATGAGATCATCAACGAGATTATCGAGAAGTCCCAAGGCGTCTTTCTCTGGGTCTTCCTCGTAGTCCAGTCACTCATCGAAGGACTAAGGAACCATGACCGGCTCTCACAACTACAAAAGCGGCTCAGGGACTTCCCTAGCGACCTCCACAAATTCTTCGCTCACATCTTTCGGTCACTTGATCCTACCTATAGGATACAGACCGCACATATGTTCCAAGTCGCACTCGCCGCTCCCGAGCCGTTGTCACCGCTTACCTATTGGTTTCTGGATGAGGCAGAAGATGTGCCAGATATAGCTTTGTGCATGCCCATTCGACCATTGACGACACGCGATCTCAGTTCCCGAATCACAGAAATCAAGATTCGCATCAACGGTCGGTGCAAAGGCCTGCTAGAACTTACCACTACCTCGTCACATGCGGGCATATCGATATCATGTGTAGACTTCCTCCATAGAACAGTCAAGGACTTCTTCATGACGTCGGAGATGCAACGCACCTTCGCCAACTGGCAGCACCAAGACTTTGACCCTGATTTTGAGATTTGCAAAGCTTCATTGGCGGAGCTGAAGTTTACGGATTGGAGTGATCCCTCAGAGGTACCCTCTACACGCGTTTTCCTCCGCGCGGCGAAGGAGTATGAGTCAAAACATCGAGAGACTCCAATGGCTTATCTCGAACACCTGGAACGTACCGTCAAGAGGAACGTCGTTCTTCCCCCTAAACAAAACGAAAGCTATTTCCTAGATATCGCCATAACGAGTGACCTTCTCGTCTATGTCCGCGTCAAACTCAACGCGCTTTCCAAGTCTCTCACAAAGGACGCAAAACTCGAATTGCTTCATCCCCTTGGTAACAGGAGCCTCGAAATGATATGTCTTATTCTCGCCATCGGCCCGCCTCTCGATATTGATCTTCGGCTTCAGGGGGAACTCTTGGAACAGTTCAATAAAAGGGTGCTCCAGCACGATGCAGTACTGATGTGTATGAAAGAGATGTGCAAATATTCGTCGTTCGCGATGCGGGAGAGCGGGGATCGGTTTCTATCCAGGCAACTTGACGATTACCTGAGGGGCAAGCTTTCGCCTGCAGAGATGGACGAGATGGTAAAAGCTAATCGGCCTGCGCGGATGGACGAGCTGGCAAAAGCCAATCGTGAAAAGAGATCGCCCAGAAACCTTTTCCGAAAACTCTTGCGGTGATATGGCGGACGACTTCGACCGTGCTTCTGGCCAGTGTTCGACTTAGGCGGGGTGACTCCAGACGTTACTACCCTTCCTATCACTAAATGGCTCCAAGCAAAGACAAACTAGGTTACAGGAGGAGGCATGAGTCTAGAGGAGCGCTGGAGTGTCTCTACTCCACCCATGCCGAACACTGCTTTGGCCTCCAACAGCCAGCGCGGCGTCCCTTCCGCACTGCGCATCTTTGCATCCACCGTCAAGCCTTCCTACACCATATCAGTAATCTCATTCCATCAACGCAAGCGCGGCACGCATTCCCAGCTTGTGCAAAAGCGGGCTCACAGCTGCTGCATCTTCCTCTTCACAATCTGGAGTTCCCTCCATCTGCGCAACGTATTTCTCGTTGGAGAAGTCGACGGCCTCAGCGCCTTCATTCCCACTTGGTGCATAGTCCTGGATCCAGCCATTGTAGACCAAGTATCGGCCTTCAAACATGCAGTTCTTCATGTCGCCCTCCAAGTCCCACGGCATGGTCGGCATCCGGGGCCATGGCTCTCCGCTCTATTGGGGATACCAAAGTTCCACTGCTCGGAGCTTCCAAATCTAAATTCGCGGAGTCGATGGAGCGATTCTTCGAAGCGGGCGAAGACATCATACCAGCGGGTGCGGTGCGCCACGACCGCGAGGGAAGCATCGAAATCTACCCCTCCATATACCCGGACATGGTCAGATTATTCCCCCCCCAGTCACTAAAGGGATAGAAATCTTCACCATACCGTGGGTACCCCTCTCTGTCTAGCCATCCCTTGATCGCGTGGCCGATTTGGTAGAGGATGGAGCAGTGGTCGAGATCATACAGCCGCGCAAAGTTGCACCATGTGAGATGATCCAGGCAATCTGCGAGTCATGCGAGGAGACGATTTGGCCTAGGACGAGAGTGCGAAGATGAGGGAAGTGGATTCCGCAGAGATCGAGCTTGGGGCCATCCGACCAGTACGTCGGTATAGAGGGCGAGGTGCTTTAGGTTGTTCATTGGTGGTTCCAGGAATTGTGCTGGAAAATCTTTTCAGACGGCGTGAGAACCGTCCTCCTGTAATACAATCGATTGCCGATTGAGAGAAGGATAAGTCCCATTGAAGGCAATATGAGGATAAAGTCAAGGATATGATATGACGGAGAAGAAATTATTGCTACATGTTGCACTGATACCCTCGGCTCATGGCGATTTGGGTCTCTCCGAATAAAGTTCAGCCAAAGAGGAAGAAGAAGAACAAGGCATGCATCGATTTGAACTTCACAGCAGAGCCCTGGACGTGGAGCAGACTACGAACACGAGCCAATATGAACCACAGTGTTTCGATTTACCTGACGGTTTCTACCTAGGTAATTCGGCACCGCTCCTCGCGCACTTAGAGCCTATTACCGAGGATACCGAGCAAGAAGAGCGTTATATTCAGTCTGCGTGACAGGCGTAACGCAGCCATGCTTCAACCCCGACGGAAAGCCAGACGTGCCAGCAGCCGACCAGCTCGGCGAATTAATATTCGACGTCTGGAACGGCACATACTGAGAGTAGTTGTCGAGCAGGAGATAGTAGCGTCCAGCTGCCGCGTTATCCGCAAACGACGCCGGTCCCTCCCAGGGGCTTCCCGAAACAACGTACCCAGGGACCCTCGTCCATGATCCAAACAGGCCGCCGGTGGTCATTTCCTGGTAGACTTGGTTGACGGTCTCGTTTTTGATGAAGCGAGCATAGTGACTGGATGTACCTAGGTACTGGAACTCTTGATCGATCACGGGGGTCCCTGAAGGCGCGACGTAGTCTCGCGGCGAGCTGAATGTCGCGAAGTCTTTGGTGGTGGCGTAGCGAATGCGATCGAGCCCTGCACTGCCCGTGTGGCCACTGTCAGAAGAGCTGTACAATCGCGAAGCCCAGAAAACGTAGAACTGCTGAGTGGCGTCGTCCCATACTGCTGATGGAGCCTAAACCATACCGGCGGTTGCACCTTCGACTCTACTAGTTGTCAATAACCGAACAGGGGAGGGCGACTCGTTCAGCTCACGTAGCCAGGGTCGGTCCTGACCAATCCACCAGGTTGCTCGACTTCCATACCACGATTCCTCGGCTGCCCTGACGCGTAGCTCGATCCCAAGAAAATCCTGATGCATTGATGTCTAGGTCTTTTTGTGTCGTGTCAGTGTATCGTATCGCTCGGTTGCTTCGGCAAAGGGGCTATCTTACCAGTTGCAATCATATAGAACTGTGTTCGAGCACTGTTCGATGCGAGGAAAATGTCTCGCACACCTCTGGTTCCCACCGAGGATGTCAAGACCGCATTCCCTCTGTTCAGCTTACTAAAACTGGTTGGCGAGTTACCATTCGACAGGTAGAGTTGCACCGCCGGGTTCGCGTCCGAAAATGTCGAGATGAGGTAGCCTACGTAGGTAGACTGGCGTTTGACGCTTTCTATGGGGCTAGCGGATACAAGGAGAGCGAATATGGCCGAAGCCACGGCAGCGAAGTAAGGAACCAGACGCATCCTATTTTGGGCTCTTGGAAAAATCACTGAGTACCACACATCTTCGTCCGGCATACATCCATTTTTTTTTTCTAAAGTAGTGAGGACAAGATAGACTAACGGAGAATTTCAGATCGTAAAATCGGAGGAATTACGAGACCCCTGGAAAGCATCCCCGCATTCGCAATATCCCCGACGTCGCTAAAGCCCGACCATCTGACTCGTGGAATTTCGTTCATATGTTAGTCTCCCGGTTCTTTTGGCCCCTCGGCACTCATTTATTCCGCGATGAGATTCGCCGGTCCAAATCCCTGTCGATGTGGGGTTAGATGTCCATTCTAGGAAGGCAAAATGAGCCTGACCATATACTCAAGTATGCGTCGTACTGCGTTTCCCTCGCTGGAGATTTTGGCCTACGCACTGCACGATTCCACGCTCTCTCTCGCCGGTTCGACTTCTATAAACAGTTATGCGTGGCTTTCTGGTAACGCTCGGTCTCATATTCCCGGCTTTGCCGGCGACTGCGCAAGTGGCACCCGTCGTTACTGAGACGGGAGTGTCTGCGCATCCGTTCGATATCAACCAAGTTTCGCTTACGAGCAGCCGGTATATGGCCAACCAGAACCGCACCATCAACTACCTGAAATGGGTCGATACCAACCGTCTGCTGTACAACTTCCGCGCCAACCACAAGTTATCCACAAACGGCGCCGCGACGAACGGAGGCTGGGATGCTCCCGATTTCCCCTTCAGGACCCATATGCAAGGCCATTTTCTCACCGCTTGGGCGCAATGCTATGCGCAGCTGGGAGACACTACATGCAGAGATCGGGCTACGAGTTTTGTCGCAGAGCTCCTCAAATGCCAGAATAATAATGCCGCCGCTGGCTTTGGTGCCGGGTACTTGTCTGGCTTCCCCGAATCCGAGTTCACGAAGCTGGAAGCAGGCACTCTTACGAACGGCAACGTGCCATACTACGCTATCCACAAGACCTTGGCCGGATTGCTCGATGTCTATCGCTGGATCGGGGATGCGAACGCCAGGACGGTTCTGCTGGCATTTGCAGGCTGGGTTGATACGCGGACGAGCAAGCTGAGCTACGATCAGATGCAGAAGGTCATGCAGACTGAATTTGGAGGCATGAACGAAGTCATGGCGGATATTTACCACCAAACGGGCGACACGCGATGGCTTACTGTGGCGCAACGCTTCGACCACGCTGCAGTCTTCAATCCTCTGGCGTCGAACCAAGATCAACTAAATGGACTCCATGCAAACACGCAGATACCAAAGTGGATCGGCGCAGCTCGCGAATACAAAGGCACAGGAACATCGAGATACGCCGACATCGCACGGAATGCCTGGAACATGGTCGTGAACGCGCACTCCTACGCGATCGGCGGCAACAGCCGGTCAGAGCACTTCCTTGGACCCAACGCCATAAGAGCATATCTTAAGTCCGACACCGCCGAGGGCTGCAACACGTACAACATGCTCAAGCTCACGCGCGAGCTCTTCGCCATGGATCCGTCCAACACCAAGTACTTCGACTTCTACGAGCGCGCGCTCATCAACCACATGCTCGGGCAGCAGAACCCCGCTACAGACCACGGCCACATCACGTACTTCACCCCGCTTAACCCCGGTGGGCATCGTGGGCTGGGGCCTGCTTGGGGAGGAGGGACCTGGAGCACGGACTACGATTCCATGTGGTGCTGCCAGGGCACGGGCATAGAGACGAACACGAAGATGCAGGACTCGATATATTTCTACGACAGCTCATCGCTCTACGTGAACCTCTTCACGCCGTCCAAGCTGAACTGGAAGGCTCGCAGTGTTACGGTCACGCAGTCGACGACCTTCCCTGCTAGCGATTCTACGACTTTGACTGTGGAGGGCGGAGGCACGTGGGTGATGAATATTCGCATTCCGGCGTGGACTTCGGGGGCCACTATCGCTGTCAACGGCGCAACTCAGTCCATCAGCGCAAATCCCGGCACTTATGCAAAGCTCTCGCGCACCTGGAGCTCAGGAGATACTGTTACTGTTAAGTTACCAATGCGCTTACGCCTTGTGCCGGCCAATGACGATCCCACTGTAGCTGCGCTCGCCTTTGGACCGACTATTCTGTGCGGTAACTACGGAAGCAGCACGTTAACTACGGAGCCGAAGCTTGACCTCGGGTCCGTGAAGCGTAGTGGTACTTCTGGCCTTTCCTTCACAGGGACAGCGGATGGGAAGGCAGTAAACATCGGGCCGTTTTACGAGGCGCAGGGCTTCAATTATCAGGTGTACTGGGTCGTTAGTGGATCGTTGCCGAGCTAGAGGGGCGATGCTAAACATATTTCGGGCCTTTCAGTTAAGTCAGCACAACGGATAGTTTGGTATTAGCTATAGTCTTGGAATATGAGTACACTATTGTATGGAACTGTGAACCCCCAATCTTCTGTAAACCATTCTCCCCCTAAATGCGATCCAAGAGCAGATAAACAGCAAAGTTTGATCCCTACGGTCAAGTCTTTGTTACCGTAAGCTCTCAAACACCTACTCCTTCTTACCTTCTCCTTACATCATACTAAAGCAATAGAAGCTGATCTCAGTATAGAACAGCGCATCGCGCTTTATAATACATTCTGCGGGTTACCCGCCGCCCAGGCAGCACCCGCACCACGCACCGACCATCTACCCAATGCGCCCTACTCCAAGCCCTTGAACTGCCTATACAGCTTACGATGCATCTCCAGAAAAAGGAATATACAAATAGTATGTCTACATCCGTCAGCAACGTCTCACGACCAACGTAGAATGGAAGGAAGGAAGGTTTCACATACGGTCCCTGACGCAGAAAACTCGGCACCCAACCCCTAACAACCCACCTCACGCCCTGCGCCCTCGACAGCTCCCCAACCAGCTCAAACATACCCTGCTTCTTCTCCGCCGACATCGCCCGCGTCTTGACCACATCAATCGGATTCGTCACCGTCGCAGTCGTCAGCCCCGCCATGAACGACGCCAGCAGCTGCGTCGTCAGAGTGTCCTCCAGCGGCGTGTAGTCCAACAGTAGCCGCTTCGCGATGTCGTACGTCGCCAGCTGGCCCGCCGTCGTCGCCGCCGCGCGGGTGCAGTTCGGCAGCCAGCCGCGGAACCAGCTGCGCGCGCCCTCCTCGCGCGTCATGCGAACGAGCCCGTCGACGGCGTGCTTGTAGTTCCTGCGCATGTGCGCGGGCAGCGCGGTGTCGTTCTGCATGCGCACGTTGAGCACGTCGGCGAAGTTGCCGGCCAGGCCGCCCACGAAGCCGGACGAGGTGGCCATGGCGACGAGCAGCGGGAAGCTGGTCTCGGGACCCGCGCGCTGCTTCAGCTCTTCGTAGAGGCCGAAGCGCACGGTGGAGTAGGTCAGCTGGCGTAGGACGGAGGCGGAGATGCCGCTGTAGAGGCCGAGCGGGCCTTCGGATTTGAGGATCTTGAGGAAGGTGCCGCTCATGCTGCGGGGAGCGGAGGCGGCGCGGGTTTGTAGCCGGACCTGGAGTGTACGTCATTATGGCTGTTCATGTGGGTGGGACCGTATTGTTTGGTTGGAGTACCTTGACTGAAGGCAGGAGTATGTTAGTAAGCGAGCTTCATCCCCCCTGAGACGTGGGCGCAGACATACCAAGATCGAACGGATGCGTGACACAGGCCGCCATGCTTGTGGCACTCCCGCCGAACCAAAACGGATACCGGATGTTACTAGTTTTCCGTTTCGGCTCAGTTGTTTCGGTCCGGTTCCCCAGCGTCGGGAGCGGCTGGGCCGGGCCTCCCATGCTTACGTCGGCGGACATCGTGTGAGGTGAAGGTACCCGCGGGCGAGATGAGGCCCTCAAATACGCCTGGACATGGAGTAGTTATGCTACTCATGGGCTGATTTCCCGACAGGCCGTAGGTCGCCGAACATGATCCTTGATTTGCGGCGATTTCAGATTGGTCATTCCGCGTTCCAGCGCCTGTTCCACGTCAATTGCCTTAGTCTGACACCAAAAGCGCCGACCAGAGAGCTTACACGTCTGCCTCGAACATCGAGGGGTGTCATATCGTTAGTGGGCATCAATAATGAAGGTTGCTGGTTTCTTTCAAATACAGCTTTTATTGTACAAGGTATCTTGCTGATCCTGAGGCTGACATTGTCCAAAATCTGACGCCAAATATGCAGCCCTCAAATGTGTAAGCACGCATTTCCCTCGACTTTTCATGTGCTGTCCTCATCACCGTCATGCCCATCCAGCCCCGCGATCTCCAGAATACCGTCTACCTGATCCATCCCTTGGGCCCACCCCACTGCCCCTTGACCATATACTTGTTGTACACCCACGGGAAGAAATCCTTCTTCAAATGGTAGAAAGCACGGCGAGGAGTAGCCTGATCGATACCGAACATGTCGCCAAAAGTCTCCTTGGGTATGCCGCCGTATTTGAACTCTGCAAGAAGCACCTTGTTCTCGCCTACCGTAAGTGGACACGACGTGTATCCGTCATATGCCGGCTCGGCTTCCTTGCCCTCGATGGCCCGCAGCAAATTGCTGACCATGACTGGTGCCTGAGAAGTAATGGCTGCCGCGGTCTTGGATGTCGGTAGCGCCGCAGCATCACCAATAGACCAGACATTGTGGAATTTCTTGTGGCGAAGAGTCTCCTGGTCAACGTCGACGTAACCAGCTTGGTCGGCCAGAGCACTGTTCTTGACAAAGGCATGGGGTCCCATCTTGGGTACCGCATGCAAAAGATCGAATTTCCTCGCAACCTTCTCTCCATCGGCGCGAACGAAATTCGCCGTATTGCCGTCGATGGATACGAGGTCGTGCTGGAAGAGGCCCTCAACACCCCTCTCCCTCCGCAGCTCATCGAGCTTGGCGCTGTACTTGGGTACACCGAACATGGTGGGAAGGCCGGTGGCGAAGGTTATGTGGATGGGAGAAGCAGCAGGGTTCTTGGAGTCGTACAAGCCTGCTCGCCTCCAATGATCCCACGCAAGCCACATGACTTTCTGCGGGGCGCCTGCGCATTTGACGATTCCGGTCGGTTGTGTGAAGATAGCGTTGCCTTTTCGGAGTGCTTCGATTGTGGTGATGGCCTTGTCGCAGTAATTATACTGATAGATAGTGGAAACGGGAGCTTTCGGGTCGGCCAGAGCCTCTGGCAGGCCCTTGATGCTGGTCAAGTCGACGTGGAAGCCGGGTACGACAACAAGCTGGTCGTAGCTGATCTTGTCGCCATTATCCAGGGTGATGTAATTCTGCTCAGGCGTGAAGGTGCCCACTTTGTGATTGTAGAATTTGAGCTTGGGGTCGATCATGGGTGCAAGCGGCTGTCGCAGGTCCTCCTTCTTCTTGAGACCACCACCTACCAGCGTCCATCCGGGCTGGTAGTGATGCCATTCGGCGGGGTCGACAACGGCAATGTCCTCCTTGGCGAACTTGCCGGATCGGAGAAGCTGATGGCTGACGGACAGACCCGCTGAGCCGCCGCCGACGACGACGACCTTGTGACTCCGCGAGGCAGCGTCCACCGGCGATACTGTTGCGAAGTGCCGGACTGCGGGCGCGGCCTGAGGAGCGACCAAACGCTTTGTAGCGCAGGATGCCACCTGGCACGTGACGGGATTGCGGAACATGGTCGGTGCAAAGAAGGTGGGATGCGTCCAAGGGAAACCACAAGAAAAGAGCAGGAAGGAAAGGAAAACAGAAAAGTATCCGATAAGCCACCGGAAAAGGAGAAGAAGGAGAGAATATATGTAGAACGCAGAATGGAGAGCTCGAGAGGCGACCCGGTCGTACGATCGATTGATGTAAAGCCTCGGGTAGATGCCGCCGGTATGGAACGCGGGCTGTCGGCGCAGGATAAGGAGTGTAGGCGCGAAATACGCAAAGGTCGTTTCGCAGATCGACAATAACTCGGGCTCTCCAGGGTTGAGGCTGCGTCAACGGGTGCGATAAATGATGTGGAGCATGGGAGCGACATTTTCTAGACGCTGCCAAGGCGGCCAAAGCTGACAAAGCCGCTGAGCCGAAGCCGAACACGAGTAATCGTCGAGCTCGCCGACGTCCCGTGGGGCGAAGCCGGCACGTCGCGGTGGCACTGATCGCCGAGCTCATGCCTCGCCGGCGCACGGACTGCATCGAACGTCACTCCAAAACATCATCGCGGGTAGAGTCCCTTCAACGCCATCATGCCACTCCCGCCTGAGCTCAGTGGCATCGGTCGAGGATTCATAAGAAGTGCGGGCCGCGTTCCTTTCCCCGCGTTTTCTGGCCTCCTTTAACCATTCACTTCGTCCTTCAATCAACGACACTCGCACCTCGCATCAGCATGGCAACCCTTCGGCTCGCAGTCAACAACAGATGGCAGGCCACGGCGGGTCTGCTTATGGCGCCGGCGAAGACTGCGCGAGTGGTGGGTCCAGCGCTCAGTGCTTCCGGCGCATGCAGCCAGAGCCGTTCCCTTCACCAACAGGCCGACCAGACAGCATTCCACCAAGCGTCTTCATCACCTAGAGCGCCAATGCCTGGACGCAGAACGAAGGCCTTGAACCAGCGCACAGCTGGCATGCGAGCCCTTCCCACCCAAACAGCCCAGACCGGGATGCAACGTCGGGCTCAGTACAGCACGGCATCAACCCCCGCCCCGGAACCCACCGTCCACAGCGCATTCGAAACCGCGACAGGCACATGGCAGTACGTGGTTGCTGACCCATCCACCATGGACGCCGTCATTATTGATCCGGTCTTGGACTTTGATCCGGCTACCCAAGTCATCACCACCAAGACCGCCGATTCGTTGCTCGCTATGGTGAAGGAGAAGGGCTATAGGATCGTCCGGCTCCTCGAAACACATGCCCATGCCGACCATCTCAGCTCGTCTCACTATCTCCAGAAGCACCTTGCCCAGCAGCAAGGCTACCGGCCGCCCGTCTGCATTGGAAAGCGTATCCCGCAGGTGCAGACCTTGTTCGGCAAGAGATACGGCATCGCGGCGAAGGAATACGACGGTATTTTCGACAAGTTCTTCGAGGACGACGAGGAGTTTGATATCGGTAACCTGAAAGCCAAGGCGATCCACCTCCCTGGCCACACCCCGGATCATCTTGGCTACAAGATCGGAGGTAAGGCCGCCGTAAACATTTCTTGACTTACGCAGGCTAATATTTCTCTAGACAACGTATTCTGCGGTGATTCCGTCTTCCATGCGGACATTGGCACCGCACGCTGCGATTTCCCCGGAGGCAGCGTCAACGACCTCTGGAACTCATCACGGAAGCTGTTCGCACTGCCAGACAACGTCAAGATCTGGACTGGCCACGATTACCCCCCAGCCGGGCGCACCGAGCCCGTGCCTTACATGACCGTCAAGGACCACAAAGCACAAAACAAGCATCTCAAAGACGGCATCAGCGAGGCCGAATTCGTTGCTCTGCGCAAAGAACGCGACGCCATCCTAGGAGAGCCACGACTGCTGCACCAGTCCCTGCAGGTCAACATTCGTGCAGGAAATCTTCCCGAGCCAACTAGCTTCGGGCAACGGTTGCTTCATCTCCCGTTGAAGCTCAAGGGCCTGGAATGGTAGGCTAGACGCCCGACCGCACTGTAAGGCGATCCATGCACTAGCAGGGGTGTTCGGAGTTGGGTTGGCTTGTATAGTATGTACCATGATACTACTCTCCGTCCAAGCGACGCATTGGGAGTTGCATAGCGCATGTGCAGCATAGCGCGAAAATTTTCAAGCATTTTTGAGACACTCAACCGTCTTCTGCTTCGTATTTCCGCATTCTAGCTCATGATTGAAGGACAAGTTCGTTGAAGGTACACTAAGACTAAAGCGGACATGCGCATATTTTGTTACAGATGCGTATATTTCATCATCAGCTAAGGCGCTAGTGCATCGGCCAGACTCACACATGCACCCATGCATGAAGACTTCCCAGGTATTTCTTCTTGATGTCTATTTACTCTTTTTCACTATACGAAAATCGATATTAAAGTCGGAGAGCGACACGATCGAGGCGCCTGAAACCGTCCATATAACACTGCGCTAACTCCCAGACTCCCTGAGGAACTCGCTCACTCCACAGACTTGATCCTTTCCATCCCCAAACACAACAGTGCAGATACCAGCAAAAGCAACGTGCTCTCCGTCGCATGATTATTGCGCGCGTCACCCCTATCTGCAGCGCGTCCTTATCAATCCCACGTTGCTCGTGCGGGGTCCACGTCGCCACCTCATTGGCCAATTCATCGCAATTGCGTCGATCCCCCAGTCGATCTATCAGGTATCGCATTTCGAAAATGCCATCAACGTCATCGTCCAGGACGTGCATATTTGTTTCGTGTTGCGTTGGACTGTATTGCAAAGCTGAGCTTGAACGCTCGTGTCGCACCAGTCTCTCCGCATCTCACACCGTCAATCATCAGTTCCCGATCGAACTGCTCCAGCCCAACACAATGCATACCAGAATCTTCATCTCCCTCAGCACCGCCGCCCTCTTCTTCATCTCCCTCACACTTGCGACCCCCCTCGAAGAAGCCCGCGCCGCAGCCGCACACCCCAACCCCGACGCCAACCAGCTCCTCCGCGCCATCTACCCGCGCCAAATAGCGCCCTCATCCTACACCACCGCGCGCACCGCCAACACCGAGTTCGCGCCGCCGCAGACCATCAGCCCGACCAGCACGACGCCCGCGACGCCGATCACCAGCCGCGTATCGAACAACGAGATTGTGCCGAGCTCGAATACGGGGCCCGCGCCGCCGCTCATCACGACGGATAGTCGGACGGCGAATACGCAGGCTGTGGGGCCGTTTACCGTGAGCTCGGGGAAGGCGGCGCCGACGGGGGTGGTGAGGTTGGATGTTGTGCTGGGTGGGGTGGTTGTCGGGGTTGCGGGGATGGTGTAGGATGAGGGAGGGAGGGGGATGGGTGGGTGAGGGAATGGGAGCTGGGGATAGTGCTTCGAGGCGCGTTTAGTAGCAAGCGAGTAGGATTGCAATGGAGAGTTCGGCAGTTTCCCTGTTTCCCTACAACGCTCTTCTCGTCTCTGCACCTCTCCACTTCCTCGCCTATACATATCCTTTGAACAGAGGGCGGACGCTTAGTACTCAATCTCCGCCCTTCCATCAGCATCTCTCAGTTCTTCCCACATCCCCGGCTGCGCGGCAAACAACATCATAGCGCCCATCTCCGCATCCACACGCAAGAAGTCCAGATCCGCCACGTTCGCCAAATCAACGCCGCCTATTCGACAAATCACTATATCCCCCTTCATCGCAGTCCTGTCTAAGATAACGAAAAAATGGGGATCGAGCTCGGCTTCTTTTGGCTTGTTCTGAAGCCACTCTGCCACGTCTTCAACTTTCTTCCCAATGAAGGGAGATCTGTACGATGAGGAAATGGGGGGCTTCTGGCCTTCGGTGGGGACGCTCAGTGTCTTTCTCGGAGCATCGGCGTAGTCGTCAGAGGCGAGCCAGAATGGGTAAAGAGAATCTTGGGTTCCTTTGAAGGCTTCTGAGAGGATGTTGTTGATTTTCTGGGGCTTTTAGTAAAGGCTGAGGATAGCAAGGGTGTTTACTCACGTCTACCGGAACTTCCACCAGCGGGAACAGAGCAAACGGCACGCTTGACCATACCATCGCAAAGTTCTGAAATCGATACTACTAGTTCAAAGAAATGGGGAACGAAATTTACGTTCGTAGTTCAAGCTAGTTCAATAGATAGATCACTTCGATTTGGTGTAGAGCCATGGTAGTGCTGTGCCTCATCGCCGATTACGTCATTGCGACCATGGAAGCCACGCATGGCATCCTGCGCCGCCTCCCAAGTATCTCATCCCACGGGTTCATGAAACGGACATCTTTACATCTTTCTGCTTTGGAATACTAACAAATTATGCGCTACTCCTTTTCTTCCCCCAGGGCCGTCCCTACGCCACCCATTTCTGAATGCGGCGGCTCTAGCGAGCTTTGCCGTAAAAGTGATTCCCATGCTGGCTAGTGATGGGCGCAGATGGAGTGTTTCTGGGCGCACTCTACGCTATGTCGCATAACCGCCTTCTCACATAGCACGTGCTAATCAGCAAAAGAGGCTCGTTCTTGCTCCTAACTAACAATAAAAACAGAGAACAACCTGCGCAGAATATTCCTCACTACTACCCTTTCCACATCCTAGAATCCGTCTTCAGGAGATGGAAGACATAGAAGTCAAAAGAGTACGCAGCTAGTCTATTTTCTTCATACTTGATTCTCCAACACTCCGCTATACTCTAGCCATTTTCTAGTTTTCCATGTCTCCTTTCCCTCTGGCTTTCTTTCCCTTGACCAAGCATCCCCGTAACGCCATACTCGCTGTCCAGTTAGAGAAAAACGTCACGCGCAGCGGACCACACCCCATTTCACTAGCCGCCGACTCCCTACCCGTGCAAGCATATATTCTACTTCTTGCCCTCCTCCTCTTCCCACACCCGCTCTACCCTAACCCAACCACCAAAATGGCGCCCAAAACCAACAACATCCACCCATCATCCCACCCTACACACGCCAGTCCAAGCTCCTCTTCCTCCATCGAAGCCATAATCACATCTCTCCCCTCTCGTCCAGACACAGCCGCAGCCGCAGCCACATACCACTCCTCCATCCGCACGTCCGCCGCCCAACTCCGCGCCTTCCTTCCCTCCAGCCCCGACCCCACATCCCCAGCAGCAGCATGGCTCCCCATCCCCGAGGCCATCTACCGCCACGCATCGCGCTTTCCAGAGCGCGTGTCCACGTGCGTCGATCTCTTCCACAGCATCGCTGACACGCTAGAGTGCGACACCGGCGAAGCGACCGTGCAAGACCAAGAGCAGCGGAAACGCAAGCAGGAGTTTCTAGACAGCATTGAGCGCGTGTGCCAGGCGGAGATAGCCTCGTACGGTCGCGCAGAGAAAGAGGAAGACGTGGAAGTACCAACTAGTTCTATCCTCCTCCTCGGCCACCTGCACGCGCACTCCCTGCTCTCCTTCCGGATCTTCGACGCCTTCCTCAGCTCGACACTTTCCCGTGCGACGGAGTCGTCTGGGGGAATGCTTTCGGACGAGCAATTCGCGGCACTCGTTGAAGTGCTGACGCTCAACGGACCTCGCATTCTGGCGTCTGCTGCTCCGGGGACCAAAACGGCGCTAGAACGATACGTTAGCCAGTTGGAAGATATTTGCGAGGGCGGGCTGGGTGGCGCGTCGGGCCAGGCGTTTATGCTGTGGGCGCTGAAGGCGAAGATGAGGGATGGGTGGGCTGGTGGGGATGGAGAGGGAGGGATAGGAGGGGTTATTGCCGGGGTCGTGGAGGCGGGGGATGAGCTTTTGGAGTATGACGAGGTGGTGAGGGAGTTGGGGGAGATTAGGGAGTGGCGGCCATGAGAGGAGCATCCCTCGTTGATAGAGGTTGAGGCGGTGGGGCACGGTAATACTCATCCTGGAGTGCTTTAGTATCTTCTCCATAGTTTAGAGGAGCCACGGGTCCGACACGTCGGGTCGGTCCCATAGGCACCACGCTCGAAGACGCGAATCGTTGTCGTCATGATGCCGGCGGAGGGAACGCCGAACATCCGCATTGGCCGCGAGCGCGTCGTCTATGTACTCGCACGGCTTCGTCGTCGCCGTACAGCGCTGACAGGAGCGGCCGCGTCCGGGAACACACCTGAATCCCCTATCTTGAAGCCCCTTAGCGCCTTATCTATAGCTCAAAGGGCCCGTGTATGCGCCACTATGAAGGCCTTCGACCCCTCAACCTAAATATCCACCAAATCATTAAAGATTGTTAACTCCTCCAACCTCCGAGCCACACTGTCTACTTGCGCCTGCTCAGGAGCTGTAACTGCAAGGTCCAGATCCACCCAGAAAGCAGCCTTGGCCTGCTCCAACACCTGGTGGTGCTTACCCTTCTCCTCCAGCTGTGCCTTGATCCGCTTTGCTTCCGAGATGGAAATGAGGTCCGCCTCCACACCGAGTGCCAAAAGACCTAAGGTGGTGGGCTCTGCATAGCGGAACGCCCGGTACTGGTCCTGGAAGCACTGGATCGCCAGCGTGAAATAGAAGTATCTGTCCGGATCTTCCTTGTCTTTGACCACCGCATTAGCGACGTAGCCCAGAGCTATGTTCCACCAGATGCAACTAGCTGCCGACTGCTGATTTGCGCGATAGTGGATGATAAGCAGCTTAAGTTGCTTGACAGAGGCTGATACTATGGCGTCTGGGGCGCCTGCAGAGGTTTGGTCGATGTCGGTGCTCTGGCCATGAAAGGGTCGGAAGAGATCCAGGATGAAGGAGTGGAAAAAGATCCTGCATATCTCAGTTTCAGAACCTGAAGAGATAAGAAGAGCACATACTGGAAGATAAGAGCATGGCCGGGAGTATCCTCTCGCCTGTCCATTACACGAGGGAGCCGGCCAGTCATCGACAGCAGCAGCTGAAACTTGGCGTGGGCAAAGGCCAACGGCGGCCGCTCCGAGGTAGACTCCATGTCGATGAAGCGGTAGAAGAGGAATACCTCGGATGCTACCTTCCAGAACTGGCAAAAAGCGACGAAGGTAGCCCCCATGTATGAAGGCGCAGGATGCACATGCCAGTCGCTGTTGTCTGGGACACCGGGAATCGGGAACCTGGGAGCGAATTCGATTGGAGTACTAAGTCCAGCTAAGACACAAAGCCTGGCAGTTATCAGCCTCATGTTTCCCTCATGGCCAGATGTAAACAGGTGCCTCACGTCTCGTAATTGAATGCTCCCCATGCTGCGTGTGCCGTTGCGCGCTGCAGCTCTGGAGAGAGGCCGAGGTCCATAAGAGGGGGCAGGGGACCTTCAACGTTTATGAGCTTCAACCTCGTGGCCATCCCGCGGGCGTTCTCCTTGAATCGAGCTGCGTGCTCAGGTCGACCTCGCGCAATACATGCCACACAAAGAAGATAAAGCGCAGCAACTGTCGTCAGCCGATCTGTAGCTTTTTCTCCTCGGTACATCGTGTGCGCTTCAACGAAGAACTTCTCACTCGTCTCACTGAAGGCTACATCGAAGGCTGTGTATCCTTGCTAGTCATTAAGTTAGGCTTCCTATATCACTGCGATGCTCATAAGACTTACACAAGCCCACGCAAGCAGGCTGCTGACCAGGAAAGGTGAGCAGAACTCAAACTTCTTGGCGATGAGGTCGGAAAGGAACAGGTCTGCATCGAATAGACCGAGAATCGGCTGATCGTTCTGGAGGTACAATGAGATGACCTTAGCAGCGTCTTGGTTCGAGATGGGTACGCGCGTCCAGTAACGGATGTCGAGCTGAGCAAGTCTCTCATCGCAGATCGGGACACTCTCACTGAGCGAGGACGAGTACGGCGGGATCAGCGCGTTCGTAGGCTGCAGGGGCTGGCCACCGGGCCGCCCATCGCCGGGCGGTGCAGCTCCCTTCCCTTTGCTGCTCTCTGGGAGGGTGTTTTGTGGTGTTGAGCTAGTCCCAGCAATTGCATTGCCAGCTGTAGATCGCTCTCCTGGGAGATTGGTAGGAGGATGCTGTGCAATGCTCATGTCGGCGGACCTGCCCAAGAGCGGAAAAGACGTGGGATGGTTGACAGCCAGATTGAACTCGGCATACGACTGGATACCGGGAAGCATTCCCATGGATGAGCTCGCTTCCGGCTGTCCGCGAAGTGTTTGAAGAAGTGCTGCAGGGTCCGAAACCGACTGCAGTTGGCGTCGAGTAGTTCCGGTAACGTCGTTTGAAGTAGACAGGTGGGTCACTATCTCTTGATATACGCTGGTAGTCCTCTTTAGATCTTCATATTGCCGCTTCATGGCCTCGCCTGCCGTCTCTTCTTGATCATTGGAGATATACCCGCATGGCAACCCATGACTTACACAGCGCGCACAGCGGGGGCGTTCGGCGTCACACTGCGACCAAAGCGGTTAACGACGGGACCTTGCGTATGCAATGCAGTGATTCACCTTGGCCTTCTTCACGCGGCAGTCATTACAGGCGACCTTGCTCTTGGGGCGCTTTGCCTGGCCCACGTTGATAATGGCTCCATTGGGTCCTTCATCTGCGCCGCCAGTCGGAGCCGGGAGGAGGGACTGGTGGTAGATGTTGTCTTGCTCCATAGTGGGGTCTGGGATCTTCGAGGGCGTGCAAGCATTCGATGCAAATAGGAGATGTAGTGGAAGGGTTAGTAGGGCAAAGGTAGGACAGTAGTGGTGAGCAGAGATAGTGGCGAAAAGGTAGTAAAGAGTTGGTAGTGAAGGAGGGGTAGTGTAGCGTTGACGAAAGGAAGGAAAAGGTATGCCCGGGCACGCGAAGCTTGAGGTAATGGTTGACGAGCAGAGGAGCAGAGGGACAGGTCGAGGAGAACTTGGCCAAAGCAAAGAAAGATATACGAGAAAGTCACCGACCGGTACGTGCTCAAGTAAGAAGTCGTCGTAGATAAAGTGGTTGGTGAGGTGAGGAAGCGTCTGTGTGGTGAGGGGTTTACCGTCGTCCCACGCTCGGAGGAAGGAGCGGTGATAGTACGGCAGGCAGGCACGCGGCTTGGCGACATCACGACAGCCCAATGTGCTCATATCCGTAGGCTCAGATTAATAGCTCATGAACACAGCTCTTTCGGTGGTCTGTCGTTTGCGTCCGGCACGAGGTTCCGTCAAACGTTGCACTAGGACTAGGCGTAGGATATGCGGGGAGGTTCGCAGTCGACCCCTGGCTGCTAACCCTTCTCTTCGTTGAGGAGTCCCCGCTTGGACGATGGACTGACCGGAAAGCTTTTTTGTACTCTAATGGGCTCAGAATGAAGAGAACGAGGAATGAAAGCCGACCGTAGAACACCGTTGCCTTGAAAATCATAGCAGACATGAAAACAAACGCGTTTGAATCGTACCATCGTACGTGAGCCAATATTACACCCGCCGGACCGTTTCACATCGCCGAAAAGGACCTTATCGAACGCATTAATGCCGCTGGTAGAGTGGAGCCTGGTCGTAATGGACCGAATACTGAATCTCCTGCATGATGATGTGCTCTTCCGAGCCGCCGGTGTCTATAGACCCGTTGCCCTTCCTCGTTCCGATAAAGGAGTACGGCGCTGACTCCTGCGCTGGCGAAGATATCGTAGCAAGGTTCTGCAGACTCTCCGGCCTGAGCTTCAAGTCTCGGTTAGCGGCATCAAGGCTAGGCTTCGCCGCCGAATGAAAGCCCGACCTCGGAGTGTCGGTAGAGGCGACTGTTGTGGATGGAAACTTAGCCCTAGAGTTCTTCATATTCGTGCTGAGGTCCGACATCTTGTAGGCGTTTGAAGTGCCGTGGACGCGGACGAGTTCTCCGTGCCCGAACCCAGTGTTGAGGTTCTCGGTGAAGCTTTTGAGCGCTGCGATGGTGACGGCGGCGAGGGAGTAGGAGAGCTCGACGGCCTGCCATATGACGACCAGCGCACCGTCCGCCAGGGCGTCGGAGGTTTTAGTGAGGTCGTCAGTCATAGTGTTGCGGAAGACGGTGAAGATGATGGTGCTGTGGCATGTCAGATACTTTATCACTGTTTGGCGGCAAAAATGGGGGAACGTACGGTATTCTGAGCCAGAATGCGGTTACCACAATGGCTTTGGTTTTCAGCGACATTTGGAGATTCCATGTCAGATGGACGGGCAAGAAGAGGAGGATAGCTTCCGTCGCTACGTCCAGGCCGGTAATAACTTGCCATCGAACGCCTTGTTTCGGACATTGCCTGGCGTTTGATTTAAAGTCCCACGAAAGGCCATCGCCAACGCTGCAAGCGGCTGTGATGAGGGCAATGGAAGCGATGCACTGGGACGCAACTAGACCCAGCGCCGCATATTGGAACCTTCTATGCGACGGTGTCTGGCTCGTACGCATTAAAATCGTTACGACAGCAGCTTTGGAAAGACATAGCGATATAATCCAAGTGATGTTGGCGGCCAAAGTAGCGCTGTTTAGCTTGTCGAGCGTAGACCGAGACTCGTTGCGAAGATGCTCGGTCGGATGGCCTAGGCCCGCCCCTGACGAGGCGTAGCTGCAGCCGAAGAAAGCAATAGCCAGAGTCTGCACACCGAGACTGGTCAGAAATGGTTCGGCATGAAGTATCAGTACCCTGCCTGTGGTACGTGCAAGGCCTTACTCACCGTAGAGAGCAGAACGACGAGGTCGTCAGCTCCATAGGCGCGCCAACGAACATATACCCGGAGGGAGGCAAAGCACAGCGTATAGCAAAGACATAGGCCGAGAGCCAGCTTTAGACTGTCCACATTGCCGACGTGTTGGGCTACGCCGTCGGTGGAAGCCGCGGAATCGGACATGGCGATGTATCGCGCATGAAAAAAGAGCGAATGTCTCGACTAAGGAGACCGGACGTGGCCTTTGAATATGAGACGCTTGGTCCTGCGAGCTGCAGGTGTTGGAACAGCTGGTTTTGCGGTTCACGGGTGTTATCGGGCGGGATGCCGGCACCATTCCTTTTTCCCAGCCTCCTGGACTTGACGAGATGAGGATGCATGCCCAGACGCAGCAGGCGATGGAAGGCTCTCATGGCGTTCTGAAGGCTGCATGTCCTGGGGCGGTTGAAGTGTGAAGCAGGTTGAACGCAGTGCGTGCTGGTGTGATTTGGGCCTGGATCCACGCTGGCCAATCAGAACCCACGCTAACCTACTCTAATTCCACGAACTGGCCCGTCCCGCACCTGCTGGTCCAACCCCCACGGCAGCTCTCCCGTTTTACGAGACGGCACCCTATCAGCTGCTCATCCACCGTGTTTGAGCCCAGGAATACGACCGAAATTGCTTTTGGCCTTATCGTTTCCTGTTTTCGCCTCGGCAGAAAATGCCACCTCCAGCGGACGGCATTCCCAAGTCTCGGATCCTCCAACCCCTCAACCCCATGCGTTGCCGAGGAACCGCACCGCGCTGTCTTGGTGGCAGTCAAGCCTCGTCGACGAAGCTTATCATCCATTGCCTTCTCAAGCCTTCATCCTCGCCCTTCCCTGGGCCGTCACAACATCGCTCATAGATATGACCCGTCCCCTACCGGCCTAAGAAGCAAGGCCTCCAGCGCCTGTGGCTACGCTCGCATGAGCCGGGCCTCGTTCTACGCCTGGATATCCTCGCCTTGCAGAGTAGCATGAGTACCAATGAGCGCCCGTGCCGTCTCGCTGGGAAAGCCCTGATTACACGACGTTCGATAGCGCTTCGCAACTGGCTGTAATTCGCCGCGATGACCAGGGACACCCCATGGGCAGCATGAGCTCCACTTCCAGACGGGTTCCGCCCGATGGAGAAAAAAGAATTAACCTTCGAGATCGTGCATCTCGCCTGCGAATGGCCCGCGGATCTTACGATCTAGGTCGCTTATCCTGAACACCCTAGATTTTCGCTCGTCAAGGAATTCCAAGCTCCATATATCTCGGCATGCTCTCTTCTCCCTGCGTGCAGACATCCGACCTGGCGTGCCCTTGGTTGCTGTTGCTTTCCAATGGCATTTTCGAACGAAGACAAAATCGTGAACGGTGTTGACGAGTATGAGCTCGGCGATAACCATGTTGCCTCCATGCGCAGCAGTGCTATGGGAGGCACGCAGCACGATGCCCAGGACATGTATCGCATGGGAAAGAAGCAGGAACTGCGAGTAAGCCCAAGCTGCCTACCCCCTTCGCGAATTGGCCTAATACTCTAGATAGAGGAACTTCCGTCTGATCTCCATTGTCGGTTTCGTCGTCGTGCTCCAGTCGACATGGGAGAGCGCTCTTCTGTACCGCCTCCTCCCAGCTCCGAGTAGATGAGAGACTGACAGAAGACTGACATAGATCCGCCTACTTCGGGCTGTTCAACGGCGGGACTGCGGGTGTGATATGGATGACAATTATCACCTGGCTTTTTGTAATGGCCATGATTGCATCACTGGCTGAGATGGCATCCATGTAAGTGCACGAAGCGCTGCAAATTGTACACATCGCTTACCAGGCAACTCAAGGGCCCCCACTGCCGGCGGCCAGTACCACTGGGTTAGTGAGTTTGCCCCGAAGAGTTTTCAGAAGTCCCTTAGCTACATCGTCGGTATGTACAGCCCGCACGCTTCATCTCATCCGCTAATGCCATCCAGGCTGGTGCTGTGCTATGGGTTGGGTCTCGGGCATCCCAGCGTGTGCTCAAATGCTTTCTGGCCTGGTCATCGGCCTAGTCCTGCTCGTCAACCCTGAAGCTCAGATCGGGGAACTTTGGCACGTCACACTTATCATGTTCCTCTGGCTTTTCCTCATGATTGGCTTCAACATATTCCTCGCGCAGCACCTCCCACTCGCCGAAGGGATCATCCTCGTCCTCCACGTCTTAGCCTTCTTCGCCTTCCTAGTTCTCTTTTGGTCCATGGCCGAACGATCCCCGGTTGAAGAAGTCTTCACAACGTGGACAAACGGCGGTGGGTGGAGCTCCATGGGAGTCTCTGCTCTCGTTGGCTTGTCGACACCTCTTTGGTGCTTCATTGGTCCAGATGCTGGCGCTCATATGTCGGAAGAACTCAAGGACGCCTCCGCGGTCCTCCCCAAGGCCATGATGTGGGCTACCTTCTTCAACGGCATGTTCGGCATTGCTATGATGATCACCTTCGTCTTCTGCGGCGGCGCCCTCGACTCCGTCCTCGATTCCGCGACAGGCGTTCCCGTTCTCCAGGCGGTGTACAACGCTACTGGCTCTATTGGAGGCACAGTTGTCATGGGAGTGCTGCTCGTTATCCTTACCTTCTTCGCCGCTGTTTCCGTGACGGCCAGCTCCTCACGCCAGATCTGGGCTTTCGCTCGCGACAAGGGTCTTCCATTTTCGGCATGGATCGAATACGTCCGTCCGGGCTGGGATATTCCCGTCAACGCTCTGCTAGTCTGTCTTGGAGTGTCGCTCATTCCCGCATGCATCAACTTCGGATCGGACGTAACTCTCAACGCAATTGTCTCCATCTCCAACGCTGCCCTCATCTTCTCCTACATCATCTCCATTGGCTGCGTCCGTCTGAAGCGTCTCCGAGGCGAGCCGTTGCTTGCCCGTCGCTGGAGCTTGGGCAAGTGGGGAGGCGTCGTCAATGACTTTGCTCTTGTCTTCCTTGTCGTCGCATTCGTCTTCTCGTTCTTCCCAATGACGCCCAAGCCCGCGCCGGCCGATATGAACTGGGCCGCACTCATGTTCGGCGCTCTCGGTATATTAGCTGGGATTACGTACTTAGTCAGCGCGAGGCATTCTTACATTGCGCCGGTCTCGTTGGTCAAGCAAGAGTAGGGTTTGGACGAGTGGTGCTATTTCCCAGATTGGGGATCCAAGAAGGAAGCGCTTCGTCTAGAAAAATGCAACACTATGACCCTTAGGAACCCTCCTGCGGCACACAATCGTTTGAAGAGAGGGAGTTACGGAAGGGAAATGAATACAAAGGCCCTATAGAAGTGTGGCCGTTGTAGTATCCGGATGAGCGGCCAATGAGATCGCATCCTGATGTCATGGCGACTTCACTGACGTCTTCGAGCAATATATACGAACATCAAGCCCGAGTAACTTCAGCCTATTCTCCATCATTTTATAACCTCCCTTCGAGCTGTAACAATCAGGAATAAACGAGGCTAAACTACAATGTCTACTGACCAGCAGCCCCCAACCATCATGTCAACGACGCAGACGCCCGAAGACAAAGCGCGATGCACCTCAGCACTAACGCCTCCCAGCGCAACATCGCCGTGGCTAAAGAATACATGACAATAGCCTACTCGCCTTCCAAAAATACCGGCGGCGACTCCGTCGCCCACCTCTGCCACCCCGACGCCTGGTTCTAGTCCCCTCCACATTCCCCGGCCGCACCTCCCCCATGGACTACGCAGCCTCGCACGCCGCAGTCATGGCATCCGTCCGCGACCTGCACATCGATCGCTACGACCAGGCGTGGGCCAAGGACGCGCACGTGCTGCTGCGGTACACGGCGAGCGGTAGTCACTGCGGCGCGCCGTACCGGGGGATCGAGAGGATCGAGCCGCCGCGGAAGGCAAGGTGGTCAGGAGCTTGCGAAGGACTGGTATCAGCTTGGGTGGGCGCCGGTCTGGGAGAGTGGAGTAGGGAGATGTTGGCGGATCCGGAGAAGGCGAGGAAGGCGAAGGAGTAATGGTTGGGGGCGAGTCGGGGGTGCTTTGCTGCAGGGTTTGGTGGTGTGGTGTTGAGGTATGCATCTCTATCCCTTGCTTGGAGCGGGAGGGGTTTTAGGCAAGTTTGCTTTGTTACGTCGCGGCCCAAGTAGGAGAAATGTTCCGAAAAATTTGGAGGGACTACCCAGGTAACTCTTAATAGCCTCTACGGGCAACGCTGCCTAGCTCTTCCATCATACCGCGCTCTCCGTTCACGCACAACGTAGAGTCTGAAACACTCCAGGAGGATAGATACGTGCCCCTATTCCAGCAAACAGGAAATGCCTTAGCACTTCTAGCGGCTAGATACGCCCTTCTATCTATACAAGAACGCAGCGCTAAAGCACATCTAGAGCACAAGGAGATGCGGTGCGATGCCCAGACGCGCCAAGAGCGTACAGAACGCAATGCAATATAGTAAAGCTTGGCGAAGCTGCTCCATTCGACTTCTTCGGTAAGGTCAGGGGCCGTTGTGGAACGTTTTTGGGGGCCGCAGACTGGGGTCCCGTCCAAACAACGGGTCTCGAACACGAGCTCATCCCGGTGAAGGCGGTTGAGCCCCCAAAATGGTGGAGGGCATTAAATGGCAAACACGCCGCCATATTCTACGGCCACATTCCTCGCATATAGAGTTTTTTTTTTTCTCCCTCACCTTCTTGACAAGCAGCGCTCGTCTTGTCGCAAAATGGCCCGCTCGCGCGTCCGTTTCGCCGTCGCGTTTTGCGTCCTGGCACCTTCTTTCGTCGGCATGGCGGCGGCCAGAGACCCGCCGTTCAGGGTGAATATCGGCTACTTCAAGTTTCCCGTGAGCGACCCGGAAATGAAGGCGCGAGTGGAGCGGGTAGAGAACAACATCACGGCATGGGATGACTTCTACGACGCAACGCTGGACTACTGGCTCGCCAATTGGAACAACACGCAGCCGCTCCCAGAGGACACCGAAGAAACAGCTCTACGACGCTTTGCCAACAAAACCAAAGTCGATGTAGAAGACTTTGGCACGATACTCCAGCAAGCGAAGGACGGCTACGCGACGGACCTGCGTGCGCAGAACAATGACCCGCAGCAGCTCTGGGAGTTTGACGGCACCGATTTGTCGGAGAAAGTGCTCGACGTGACGGAGGAGGAGTTCAAGTTTCTGCACCACGAGAGACTGGCTGCATACGCGGGAGTGGGCTCGCCCGTCGACTGCAGCGTCCACATCGACCGGATGCTGGATGGGATGAGCGAGTGGGAGAAGGCGGGCATGGCGGCCGCGAGCACGCTCATGGCGCTCTTACCGACATTTCTCGCGTTTGGCAATCTGTGAGTTGGCTGCTGTTGCACTGCTGCTTGCGCTACGCTTGCACCACGCAAGGCCGTTACGCCGTTGCTGACGAGTCTAGTTTCGTGCCACGCAGTTCCGAAGCCTTCGCCACGAGCTGGCTCATCGGGCTCGGCGCTGCCCTGTTCAGCCTCGGCCTCCCCGTACGCAGTATCTCCTGCATACGCCGGAAACAGGTGCTCGAGCTTGCGACGCTCGACAAAGATCCACTGGATACGATCGCAGAGCTCGGCGAGGAAGATGCTCCCTCAGACGCCGCCAATGGAACCACCCAAAAAGCGCCGAAGCACACGTTGGAAGACTTGCAGCAGTGGACGCGCCCAGACGCTCCACACAAGTACATGCGAGACTTCGCGCGGATCCGGAAAGCAGTGGATTCGTACGCAGAGCGTTGGCACTGGTGGCATGTACCCGCGCTGCTCATTGCGGCGGCGCAAGGCTGCATTTTCGGGTTTGCGATCGAGCCGCTGCTCAAGGCCGCAGGGATACCGAAGTTCATCTTCGCGTGCGCGGGCGTGAATTGGACGGGCTTGTATCTTTCGGTGAGCGCGATTGCGAATGCGCTGTTGAGGCTGGCTATGTGGCAGCTGTGCGACCATGAGATTGTGAATAGTAAGCAGACTCTGCTACGGCTGGGATGGAGTCAGTCAGCTGATATGTGTGCTAGTTTATCATCTCACGGATGCTGCGAGGGACGCGCTCGACGCCATCAAGAAGCCGAGTATGCCGACAACGGTGACCCAACTCCCGCCTCTCTATCCACCCCTGATCTCCAAATTCCATACCAACTTTGGCCGGCTGGTACAGCGAATCATCCCTAGCTACCAGCCACTCCGCGAGGAACACCCTTCAGGCGCGTTGAGCCAACCCGTCCGCGAGCATCTCGACTCCATCGCTTCCGTCCTGAAGAACCCCTTCTCCATGCTCAAGAGCGGCTTCGCAGACACCGCTGCCGCGCCCCGCTACAGGCCGCTCATAGTCCTTATCCACTTGTCCACCCAAGGCCGCCCTCAGCTCCGAACACTCTTCACCGGCTTCTGCGAAGCGGCGTTGCTCCTCGTGCTTACCTTCTTTTTCGCCTCGCAATGGGGCGGCAACTTGTACATCACCGCCATTGCGCTCGCTTTGATTCTTGTATTCATCACTGTCGGTAGAGCGCTCGCTATCATCTACGGTAAGCGTCTTCTTGTCCCACTTCCCTCTTTCTCTCTCCCGCATTGTTCGACGCGTAGCAAGCTCGGTGAAGCTAACCTCGATTGCATAGTATGGCTTAGTGCTCGCACATGGGGTCTCCATGCCATCAACTGCGACGAGCAGGACGAAATCCTTGGCTGCTTGCGTATTGTATGTAGTATGGAGGGTGTACTGGTTCGTATTAACGGAGCGCATTACTATGATGGCTATCGGTTGGACTACGAGCCGAGCTTTGGGGCGTGGAGGCGGGAATATGCTAGGGGCGACTACGATGAGGCTGTGCTGCGCCCGGGTTCGACGGGCGCTACTCAGGTACAGGTGGAGCCGAAGGGAACTAGTACGCAAAGTCCGGTTTAGTTGAAGCGTATCGATGGCGGGGCGGATGGGAGCCGGTTCATTCATGGCGGTCCTTGGGGCACATTTCTGGGAGAAACGTACGGCTGACGCTCGAGTCTATATCCACGAATAGGGGCGGTGCTCCTCCTTTTTCGGTACTTGAATGCTCTCCATCATTTGACGACACCCTCCGGAGATCGTCATGGGCTGGACAGTCCTACTCGAAGTTAAGCTCATCCACTGCACATACCTTCACCGGCAAGGTCCTTCGTCCCAGTACCTTGACGAGCTTCTTATCGTCCTACGGCATGGAACGTAGCCACTAGGGTCCAGTCCCAGAAGTGAGGCTATCAACCGCTCCCTCCAGCCTCGCCATGTCCGCCCTGAAGATCAGCGGTCCGCACCAACGTCCAATGAAGAACCGACAACGCATTTCCGTCCAGAAACATCGATGGATGCCAGCCCTGCTAGTCTACTCCTTCAATCGCCGAATACATCATTTCCGGTGAGTCGATGCCTGGGATTGTCGTCGTAATCATGAGACAAACGGGTAGGTATAAAAGAACCCGCGACTCACCCCCCCAGCAGACGCATTTCATCCATCTCATCCACTCCATTCCACACCTCTCCACTTCCATCCAACCCAATCAAACCCACCCTACGTCACCATGCCCCCGGAAGGCAACACGTCCAGCTCCAGCGGCAACCAGGGCAGCTCAGAGACGCAGAGTACGCAACCTCCCCCTACCTCATACTTCTAGAAAAAGTCGAACTAACCGCCAACACAGGCAGCGGTCTCGGCGCCCAAGGCGCCGCCGTAGCGACGGGATGTGCGACTATGTGTGTTTCGACCGTGGCGGGTGCATGTTCGCCTTGCTGCTGCAATATCTCTTGAAGAAGCGAGGTGGTGTGGACGAAGACGGAAACGGAGGGAGGGAGAAAGGGGCAGATAGGGAAGAAAGATGGTGTGGAGATGGGAGGCAATTGTTGTGCTGTTGGTAGTGTGTTCCTATTTGCCGATAACGGGCGCTTCCACCGCGCCTGTTCGAGTGGATCGAGCGAGCGGCCCTCGTCGGTGACATGCTGAATACAACGCTGCGTTTCTTGTCATGAGTCCCAAATTAAGGGTACGCCGTCACTGAACTCCCTACCTCGTCCTTGTTTTGTAGTGTATGTCTCGTTTCGGCTCCGTTTCTTTTGCGTTCGGGAAACGGGCCGTGGCATTGAAATGTAGCAGTAGAAGGACCATCTCTTTCGGGCATGAAAACGCTGCTCGCCACACAGCCCAAATTCTGTACGGATCATTAGCCACGCCCTCTCGCTAAGACTCATGATCAGCCGCCTTTACGCATTCATAGATATACCGCGTTAACACACCTCCAATCCCCCTCACACCCCCTCCAACCACCCCGTCCCCCCAGCCGCCCTATCAAACTTCACACACTCCGCCAACCCACACACCTCAAAAAGCTCCCTCGGACTCCACCTCTTCCCATCTTCTTCCACACTCTGGACCCTCCCACTCCCCAGCAACTGCCTCACCGCCCTCCTAACCGCGGGATACACGACCTCCAAGGCCAGCACAGGATATATCGCCATCCTGAACCCCAGCAGCTGCGCCTCGCGGGTGCTGAAATCCGGCGACACGCCGGCGGGCACGTTATTAAAGAGGCAGGGCGTGGGCGCGAGGTCAGCGACGAGCCGCGCAGCTTCGGCGCTTGAGGCGACGCCCTCGAGGAACGCTACGTCTGCGCCGGCGGCGACGGCGGCGCGGAGGCGCGCGAGGGCTTCGGCGTAGCCGCGGGCTTGCAGGGCGTCGGTGCGCGCGATGAGCAGGATGTCGCCGCCGGCGGTTTGCTGGCGAGCGAGGACGGCGGCGCGGATGCGGCAGGTGAATTCTGCGGCGTCGACGAGCTGTTTGCCTTTGAGGTGGCCGCAGCGCTTCGATACGACTTGGTCTTCTAGGTGTAGGCCAGCGACGCCGGCGCGGATGTAGGCTTGCACGGTTCGTCCGACCATGATGGCGCCGCCGTAGCCGGTATCTGCATCTGCGATTAGGGGCGTGTTGGGTGAGAGCGAGGCGATCATGGCGGCGTTGTCGCGCATGTCGTTGAGCGTAGCTATGCCCATGTCTGGCATACCGAGTCTGGACATCGTGGTTCCGGCGCCGGTCTGGAAGGGCATATTAGCAACCTACTTCTAGCACCTTGGCTCGGGGCAGGCCTTAGTGAGGGCGAGGCAAAGCTAGGACTGGAGAGCCTACCATGTACAAGCACTCTGCGCCTTCCTGAAGCGCAATCCTGGCCGTATACCCATCATACACGCCCGGACACACGATGAACTTGTCCGGATCGGCAAGCATGTTTCTCAGCTTCTGTACTGCGCTCATAGTTTTCTCTCCAGACTGTTGTGTCATGTTGATCCTCGAACTCTTTCGATCTTGCCTGACGCTATCAAGATAGCATTCAATAGAGGGGCAAACTCGACTGAAGGTTTATAGTCCATGAGTATCCCCCCAAGCTCTTCCCAAGAGTCTAGACCGCCTCCCTAAGCACACTGCAGGACAAGCACCCATCTTAAACGGCCCTCAGGCGACCACCTGATATCGGCTGGGCTAGGTATTGCCTATCCGACATCGAGCTTCTAGACTTCGGAAAATAGTGATATATGCCGGCTGCGTACTTTCGTAGGTGGGTGCATCTCTCGCTATATCAACCCCACATGTCGCTAGTGCGCGGTGACGTAGCAGCACCTGGCCGAAGTTGGCCGGGCATATTGCCGATTTGAGATGCACTGCTTCCGCGGATAACTGCTGGCGAGTGACTAGTCCAGGCTACAGAGACTCGGCCCTTTGCCGATTCATCTCCTGAAGATGGCCTGATGGCGGAGGTTTTGCGGCGAGGAACACATCGGCGAGTGAAGGGAGTAGAGGGGTATATTGGGGTCGGCCAGGCTGCTGGATCAACCTTAGTTAAACTTCCGCGCGCTTCAAGATCCGTCATACTCTCTGGATAGGAAAATAACTTTTCAATGCAGTAAGATTAGTCAATTACCCTTGGCCTGTCAACATCAGTTGACATGCGCTTGGGTATTTTGAGACGCTGTGACCTTTTCTTAACTGTTGAGTTCCCATTGAGCATCTATTGACAACCGCAAGCAGGATGGTTCGGACCTTTCTTTCCGATATAGCTTCAGCGACCATGTTGCGCCGACTGGGTCCGAGTCCTTGCGAAGCCGAAGTACCCTCAAGCGGAAAACAAGAACGCTGCGATCGCTAACGGTGCACCCTACCGGCGTCCGTGGAATCCCGAAGCTATTATGGCCCTCCTAGCTAGTGGAATAGGCGCATCGCTGTCGACTGCATATAGAGGCTAGCCGTACGGACCTCTGACAATGGGAGTGCGGGTGTGAGGCGCGTCCCGGATAGCGCGGCGAGGCCGCCAGCTGAGGGGAGGGCAACGGTAGGGATATTGCGGAAGCATACTTCCGGCTCTCAAGCGCGAAACCTCTGCTGCGGCTTTGATGGCATCCACCAGCGGCGGGTTATTCATCTCCGCTTCATAGATGGAAGTTCTCGTGGATTCCATCATCCGTTCACTCCGAAGTTATACCCCGTCCCAGCCGGACCTGCGATCGGCGGCATAGGAACATTCGGCCATTCATTCGAAAAGTCAAAGCCTGCCGCCCAATCATAGTCCGGAAACTGTTCTAGCATCGGAGGAACGTTATACTCCGACCCATCCCAGGTATCAAAACTCATTGTCGCTGGATTCGGCTGTATTTGATTCATCGTATTGGACTGGAACTTGGTTACCGGCGCAGGTGCCTGTGCCAATGGCAGCCCTGTGGGTCTTGTTACTTCCTTGACTTCCTTTTCGTAGACTTTGTCCGCAAGTCAGTGACTGCGGTATTGCAAAAGGAGAAGCCAGTGCTTACCTGGTGTTGTAGGCTGCGTCTGCGCGTTAGATGGCCCCGAATCTTCGGCACTGTACGGGTTCGTTAAGTGTGCGAACTCCTCCCTCCAATACCAAAACATGTCGAAGCTGACGCTCATACTTAGACGTCTCCGCAGCCTCAGCCCTAACGACTCAATAGCACCGTTCTTCCTACGGAATACCTTCGAGCTGTTCCAGAGGTTCGTCATGATTTGCGCGCATCTTGAACCAATATCACCGGCTTGGACAGAAGCATTATTGTTGAACTGCACGGCGTAGAAGTATGCTCGCTCTCCGGCCGCAAGGTCTAGGTGCTGCGCAAGAGGACTTCGAGTGAGCTTCAGGATGACGAAACCCGCCAACGCCATGGTCCTGTCGATGAAAGATTGGGATATGGTAGCGGAATTTGTCTGCTGGGTTATCGCATTGGCCGCCTGGATTGTGGAAATGCACAGGGAATAAAGACGAATCAGGTCCTCTACGTCCGGGCCAGGATTCGTCGGGTGAGCGAAGAAATGGTACGCCAAGACGTGGATGCGAACGCAGTTCAGTTGAAAGGTATCTACTGATTCAGCTTCTGCGCAACAAACTAGGGAAGAAAAAAGGACCTACCGAGTTCGGACGGTGAGGATGCCGCCAAGCTGAGCAGCTGGGAGTCGAAAACGCTGATCAGTGAACGAAGCACTCTGACGTCGCAGTTTACCGAATTCAGATCCGTTCTGACCATTGCCGCCATAGCTTTCAGGAGGATTATGTGCACTTTGTGTTGGAACTGTAGGCCAGGGGGTAGGTATGCAAGGGTATCCTCTCGATCTCGCTCATCTCCATGGAAGAACGACTCTGCGACGACGAGAGGTGGTATACCTTCCGCACAGCTCGTCCTAGCACCTATCAGTATATGGAATATCAAAATGCCAAAAGGCTCTCACCGTATCGAGACGATAACGCAGTGCATCCACAACTTGGCTCGGAAAATCTTCTCGTCTTGGTCTTTCTTGAGCGGGATTCTCGCAAAGTCCTGCCCGACACCGGTGACATGAAGCCCGATCTGCGTCGCTAGATGGACCGCAGCACCGCATAGGACGTGGGTCATATCCTTGTACATGGAGTTTGTCGGCAGCCGCCACGTACACAGGATGAGCAGACCCTGGATAACCGGAATCGGAGTCGAGCGAAGAGCCATGGAAGAGAAGGCCAGTGGCGTAATCAGTTGGCTAGTCTTGTCGAGAATTGCCGGATCATCGGAGTACTTCCTTGACCCCGTAACGATGATACTCCAAAAGAGGAAAGGGGAGAGCTCGTAGTACTCGTTCGGCGTCATCGACGAGTCTAGGATTGGAAGTAGGGGGCGATATTGCGTGAAAAACCTACAGAAGTTTAGCAAAAATGCGGCTAACTAGACTGTAGGGGCTCATACAAAGTGAAGCAGTCATCGATCCTCTTCGCCTCGACCACATAACCGTCTAGGATGCGTGGGAGCGTAGCACCCTGAGGCGACCCTTTCCTCGAACCCACTCTCGAATGACCACTTTCGAAGGCAGGAGAAAGGGACGTGGATGCATCCGTCGGCGGCACAGATGGATGCGAGAAGGTCCCAGAGCCAGGCTCCAACGGACTGAAAGTCTGCCCTTCGACATTCGAAGGAGTCGAATGAGGATGAGCGCCATCAGTACCCTGGCGCATATTCCATCTCAACTCTTCCAGCTCGCGCCGCATCTCCGCCTTGGTCTGGCGCAAGTTGCGGGTCGACGTAGGCAGGATCCTGCACTCCAGATTCATCTTCTTGCAGCGACTGCAGGCCTCGTGAGGCGTCTTATGCTGCTCAACGTCACAGCGGATCTGCGTAAATCAGCGACTATCCCAGACCGCTATCGCACGTTGGGATGTGAGTACCTTTTGTTGGCGGCACTCGACGCACGCCTTGCGACGCGGAGTAGTCATCATGTCCAGTCCAAATCGACCCTACCAATGGCCTACACAGTACAGCATCCGCCGTTACACATGCTCCATGCAGTCGATGAAGAAGCAACAAGCAGCAGCTCAAATGGGGGTGCGCGGGGCGAAAGAAGCTGCTCGTAAGTTTTAGTTCCTGTTTACGACATCATTCGGTCTTGGACCGGTGGTGTTCGGATGGCGGGGAGCGCACCCGAGGAAGGGCCGAGGAACGCGGGGCGAACTTGCTTCAGAGGCTGTTCTTGAAAGACTTTTCTGCTGAACTGCAAACGGCAATCAAGACGGTCTGGTTGGGTAGCGTTGGTTTGGCTTGGAAATGTTGGCGAAGGGCTGCTTCCGGCGTGCCAGACCCGGTTCGTGCCTGGCGATTCGTATCCACCGCGCTAACCGTTTCCGGCATGGTGATCTCGTCAAGCAACCGTCAATCGGCGACTTTCCACCATGCCTGCAACAGACAGGCATAGGGAGCGTTTTCACCACGACTAGCACATCATCAAGGGGTCGTCAAGGGGTCGTCTCGGAGCGAAGGGGAATAAACCACCTCCCACATCCAAACAAGTCCATTAGCTTGCGCTTCCTCACCACTGGCTCCCTTCTCCCGCTCTCCTCCCTCTGTATATGCAACTCAGTTTCTAAATGCGTTCTAGGATATCATATGAACAAGGCGCGCAAACCCCTATTAACCACATGCAACAACAGCTTCTAAATGCTCGCTCCCAGATCAGCAAAGATCCGGTAAGAATGGAATAGAACAGTGAGATGGAACGTAAACGGAAAACAACCACCCATGATCAGACCACTGGGACCCGCCCAAGCAGCAGGAGGAAGAGAAGGATCCCAGTTATACAACTCCTGGACTCCATACTTATCCAACGTCTGTGCTCAATGCTACAGGAAGGGGAGAATGATGCCCTTCCTGATAGGGCTCTCCCGTCCGCCGGAGGTCGAGCCCTCGGCGGAGTAGCCGGAATCATGCTCAGCCTCGTCGTTGTCGAAGTCAATGTCGAAGCCAAGGTCCGGCTCGTTGCTATGCTTGCGTTCTACATGCTCGCCGTCCCAGGCCTTCTGCATGGCGCCACGAGTGTTCCATCTAAGCGTACGCGAGATAGAGTCGAACCATTCGGTGGGCCGGGACAGCACAGAGGGGAAAGGGTACTGTGAGGCGGCGATTGTGACGTGGTCGCCTTGTCGGAGCTCGACGCGACCCTTGCCGTCGAAGGCGCAGTAGGCAGTCGCACGCGAGTTGCGCGGCACAGCTATCCTGAGGAGCATGCTGTCGTTCAGCAGCATCGGCCTGAAGCTCAGGGTGTGTGGGCAAATTGGCGTGAGCAGGATAGCGGGGATGTCTGGGTGTACGAGAGAGCCTCCAGCGGAGAGAGAGTAGGCGGTCGATCCAGTGGGCGTCGAGAAGATGCAGCCGTCGGCTTGGACAACGGTAAGAAGGTTGTTGTCGCCGTAGAGTTCCAGATTCGATACGTAGGGCGATGGGCCGCGGTCGATGACGAGCTCGTTGAGCACTTCAAACTGCTCGGCTTCGATGTGTTGCGGAGCCCCAGGGGCAGCATTCTTCTGGAAGCGGTACACGGTGCATGTGAAGCGCATGCGGAGGTTCACGCGCATGCCGGCATCACCCATGATTTTGTTGAGAGCTTCCTTGTACTGGGCGAACTCAAAGTTTGTGAGGAAACCGAGGCTGCCAAGAGAGAAGGAGAGGATGGGAGGAACGATCCGTTGGAAGAGCCATGAGGTGAACAGCACCGTACCGTCACCACCAAGCGTCAAAACGAGATCAAACTTCTCAGGCGACTCCCAGCATAGGTCAGGGGTCCAGAAGCGGAGCATATTCTCGAAGCGCGGATCCTTGGCTAATAGCGAAGGCATGTCGAAGCGCTTCGACTTGCGGAGCTTGTGGTCTACATAGACGTTCACTCCGACGTCTGCTCCATTGCGAGGGGTGGAGAGCAGCCACTCGGTCAGCTCGCGCGTGAGGTAGACGAGCTCGTTGTCGCGCGCCTTGGTCACGATCATGACATTCCGGACTGTCATCTTGATCGGCCGGCGCTGTAGCTGCTTCGAGACTTCGCGCACGCTGGTTGCGGTCTGCATCAAGCGCGAGTGTGAGATGGTCTCGTCGTCGGAAATCTCGTCTATGACCTTGTCGAGGTTGACGGCCTTGTCGAACTTCTTGTGGAAGAAGCACGGCGAGGCTAGCGCTGCCATCTTGCTGGCAGAGAGCTCGTCGGAGTGGAAATTGAGCTCCGAGAGTGCCTCCGCAAGCCGCTGGTGGGACATGACCTCGGACGAATGCGTCTGCGGCCCATCCTTCTGGCCGTCCATGACCATTGCGTCCATTGAGGATGACACCGACATTTGTGAGGCGGTGGGGGGCCGCGACTGCAGAGCCTTGAGGATCGTCTGGCGGGGTATCGAGTCGATCGAGTAAGCGTTCTTGCGATGCTTGCGGTTGCGGTGCTCACGGAACGACTTCTGGGGGAGCACCGTCAGGTTCTCAAGTGAGGACGTGCTGCTTATGGAAGCCTGGGCTTCTGTCCGATTCGTCTCGTCCGTGTTCGATGGGGCTGCGGGATCTGAGGCTGGTGGGGCGGGCGCGCTGCCGCTTATGTCTGTCGCAGCTACAGACTGCACATGATTGCGGTCCTGTGCATCGGGCAGAGTAGAAGGTTGCGATTGCGGAAGCTGCGGAGAATGGGGGGCGGCGGTGAGGTTTAAAGCTGCGTCGACGGAATTAAGGGCGGAGAAAGTCTGGCGCTGTGGGGACAGCGACGGGTGAATCTTCGTCGGAGAAAACGGCTCCCCGTGGCTGGGCATGACGACTACGGCTTTATTAAATCTGACTGGGCGCCCAAATGCCGGATCGGTTGAATGTCGAGGCTGCGAACCGCGGGCCGGGATGTGGAGATAGCGCAGAAGGGTGCAGTATAGGTATTAGACGTCCGCGGCGTTAAGCATGTGCCGAAGCATGTACAGCGAAGGTGAACGTAGCCAGACGTCGAGTCGAATGATTATATGCACCGGGCAAATCGAGGACGAAGGCAAGCGCAAGAATAGGAAAAAAGCGCGTGACAGTGGCTACTGCATGGGCTTGAGCTGTGAAGCTGCGCAGTGGGATGATTTGGTCGAACCGACAGTAGGGCTTGGGTGACACGAGGGGATGGCGTGCGCAACCGCCGGTGACGAAATTCAACAGAAAGGAACGAAGAGCCCGGATCAACCTATGGCAACACAGAAAAAGATAAGAGAATGTGACTGATGGACACGACCGCAGGCCGCGCCAAAGGAGAAAGGGGCTTGAGGAGGTGGTCGTGAAGCTCGTGGCGGACACCAAGGCGCGATGCACCTCTATATTCACTTTTGACAGCTCCGCGACCTCGAATCCCACGGCGGATCAAAGCCACGAGCCTCCCCACCGCTGCTCTACGCGCCAGCCTCAAACGACGATACCGCAACTCCGTGGCGGCTATCCACCCTGGAGGAAGTGACACTGCGAGTGTATCACTCTCCCGAACCTTCCCCGATTCGGCCCCAAAGCGACGACCAAGCTTCGCGCGAGCTTCGATATCGAATCGCATGCGTACACTGCACGCGGTCCAGATGCAGCTCTCAGGCCGTTCCCCCAGGCACTGATTCCTCCACGTCCATTGCTTTTCGTTCGCTGCAGTTGAGCTGATATGCAGGAGTCGAGGGGCTTCTCTGTGGGGCAGCGCTCCCTCTCGCTCGCTTCTTCGGCATTTTTCGGAGGCTTTCAAGTCTGGCTCGCCGTCGAAATAAAGCTCGTCAAGCGGATCACATGGCTTCACAGGGGATTTTTTGCTTTGAGCCTCAGTATGCGAAACCCAGGGTTTGTCAAGCGCGGCTCCGCGGGGCAAATAGGAATCTTTTGCAGGCGAAACGGGTCTCGGGTGGGCCCGTATGTCTGAAGTTGTCTCGACCTTTTCCCTCTCCGTACCAAAGTACCATCCTCAAGCAAAGAAGCGAGCATTTGCTACAAATTCCTTCCTTGCCAAATCTCGATTCCGCAACAAAGCCGTCTGCGGCCGCCATGCTGAATTAGGGGCAAGCCGTTTGAGCCGGACTCCCAGCGTTAATCATACACCTCAGAAACGTGTGGCACGAACTAGACTCCGAAGGATTGTCGTGCGGCACTCCACGTGCAAAGACCCTCGGAGTGGAGTGGTTGCTTGCGTATCCCCTTCCTGTGAGAGACGACGAGGCTGTATGCACGAATAGGGTGCTGCCGAGGCCCCAGAAGTTCCCTGACGCCACAGTTTGAACCTCAGGCTCATAAATGGCGCATCCCGAGCGACGAAACGACGTCTTGCTCCCTTTGGCTTATCGTTATCGTCACAGCTTCCTGCCCAGACGGACTGCCTTGCCGTATAGTCGCTCACCGTGACATCCCCCCTTGTGGACGCGTGGATACTTTAGCAACGAGGGAGCGCTTTTGGATCCCATTTGTTCTCAACCCGAATCTATCTGTAGGAGTATCTGTTAGAGGCTGACCGAGGCCTTGCGATAAAGTGTGCATAAACCGCGCTGTTTGAAGGACGATTCGTGTAGCTGCCGCGTTGCTTCCCGATCAGGAAAACTACAAGCACGGCCTAAGTCAGGAGGCAGCATGCAGCTTGCAGCGCGATGCGAGTAGAGTTGGGGGTAGGCAAGCACAATTGCGGTCAGAATCTAGTCCCTGGTAGTCTTATTTACCTTCTAATTCGCTGAATACATCGTGATGGCGGTCGGCGGCTACAGAGCGCCAGGAGCCGATTGTAAATGAAACCCGAACTTTTTTGGCCCGTCCAATCGTGGTATCTATCAATCGTGAAATGTGCAAGAAATGTAAGATAAGCAGGAAGCGCTCTTATTGGCACCTCATCGTAGGGCCTTCCGCGCGAAAGTGGGCAGGACGAATGCCGCCTCATGGATCTCCTTGCTGTAGTACTTGCACAGGTTCTCCTCCTCTTCAGTGGACCAAGAGCGCAGCGGCTTCTTGACGTCGCGGTTGGCGTCCTTGCAGCAGACCATGAAGCCGATCTGGCCTGAAGGGTAGGTCGGGATAGTGGTGTATGCATATTCGACGGTCGGGAACACCTCCTTGCAGGCCTTCTTCAGGTTGGCAATGAGGGGCATGTGGAGCCATTGGTTCTCAGCTTTATTTTGGAATCAGGAAGTTAGCTCACGCGCAACAAGGCACCTGTCCGGCGCTTGAGTGATTCCTAAATTATCCACGAGGCCTGGGGAGGAGGGGGCTTACAACCTTGAGTGGTGATTACACCACCTTCCCGGAGTGCACCATTGAGAAGCTCAAAGTATGCCTTCTGGAAGAGGGCTTCCGCTGGGCCCTCGGGGTCACTAGAATCAGTGATGATCACGTCGAACTCGTTCTTCTTGTCCTCAAGGAACTTGAAGCCGTCGCCAACGATGACTTCCACGTTGGGGTGGTTGAAGCCGACCGACATGCCGGGCAAGTACTTCTTGGACAGACGGATGACAGCCTGTCAACTGCAATTAGCCGCTGTCTGATCAAGCTATTCGCGTGACCGACCTCATCGATGTCGCAGAGGATAGCCTTCTTCACGCAGTCGTGCTTGACAACCTCACGAAGGACACCCCCATCACCACCACCAATGACCAAAACCTTCTCAGGATTCGGGTGCGAGTTCATGGCGAGGTGTGTGATCATTTCCTGGTATCTGTCCGGCATCAGCCTTTCCCTTTCGCCAACGTGCGTATTGTAGCGAGACATACGAGAACTCGTCGCGTTCGGTGCATTGGATGACATTGTCGAGAACGAGAACGGTGCCGTAGTCGGTGGACTCGAAGATCAGAACGTCCTGGTACTTGCTCTTCTCGTGATGGAGTACTTGGTTGACCTTGAGCGTCATCGCCTGGCCGGGCCACATGTCGGAGATCTCGCGGAACCAGCCATCTGATCCTCTGAGTTAGCTGGTTTCCCTCTCAAAAGACATGGCTCTCACAGCCAGGTCCCGATATTTGCTTGTTCCTTACCCTTGATGGTGGGATGCTCGATGGTTGCCATTTTGCGACTGTGAGCTGTAGTAAAAAGGAATTGGTGACGGAAGTCTGAGGCGATTTGGAATCGAAAGAAAAGGATCAAACGAGAGGGAGAAAAGAACAGATTCCGAGTGGTATATAAAGCGATGATTGGGCCTGCGGGGAGAATTGAGGTTTTTTCGACGGCTTGGGCTGCCATTCACAGTTTTCGCAACCCGCGTCACAGTTGCCCCGCCATTCCGCACTAGTCCCGAAGTGGTGCCGTCTTGCCGAGCCCTCGGGCCACACCTCCACGAGCCACGCCTCCGTTCGCCGACACCGTTTATAGCAAGCCTTGCGGAGATATCGGGCTCTTCTGCGCTATGCCCCAATTGACATGCATTTCTCGGCGGTTCGGTGAGCCTCCGGCGCCGACAACATGCATCCGGACGAATGCCTGATCCTTTTGAGGATGAGGGAGCGCGTGTGCCTGCCGCCTTGTTTCGAGACTACGTCGCAGCCCCATCCACCGGGTATATAAAGGTGTGCGGTGGTAGCATTCACATATCAAACGGCCTCCGCAACACGCATTGAGGCACTTCAGAATGTCAGAACAACGTTCCACCGACGAAATGATCAACGCCTACAGGGACTCGGCGCACACGGGGGACCCAAGCCCGGAGCACCTTCCATGGTATGTCAAGGAGGTGCAAGACCTGGACCCGAAGGCCCAGGAACTGTTCGAGAAATATAGTAAAGTGCCTGCCGATGAAGTGGCAGCGCACATCAAGAAATGTGTAAGTGCACTTCCCTGTGATTGCAAGCTCAATTGCTAATGATAGCCAGAGAGACACTGCTTTCAAAGTCGCATGTTGACCCTATCCCACGCAATTGCAGTGACTGACTTCAACAAGTACCCCTACCCCTGCCTTGGCCGCTTTGCGTTCCTCGAGCTGAGCATCAGCCTGTCTCCCAAATACCCAGAGATACTCCAGCGTATCAAGAATGGTGACAAGTACCTTGACATCGGCTGCTGCGTGGGCCAAGACATCCGCAAGCTCGCTTCCGACGGAGCCCCGTCCGAGAACATGTACGGCTCGGACCTGCAGCAGGAGTTCATGGACATCGGCTACGATCTGTTCCTCGACAAGTCAACCCTGAAGTCGACGTTCATTGCAGCAGATATCCTGAATCCGGAATCTGGTCTGAAGCAACTGGAAGGCCAGATCGATATCATCCATGCCGCGTCCTTCTTCCATCTCTTCGACTGGGATGAGTCCGTGACGGCGATGAAGCAAGCAGTCAGACTGTTGAAGGCCAAGCCTGGAAGTATGCTGGTTGGGCGCCAGATAGGCAACGCTGAGGCGGGTGCTCGTGCCGGCAGCCGCACAAACAAGCAGAGGTACCGGCATAACCAGGAGTCCTTTGAGAAGATGTGGAAGCAGGTTGGCGAAGAGACGGGCACCAATTGGAATGTTGACGCTCGCCTCTCGTCCGAAGATCTGTTCAAGTTGGGCTTGGCGGCTGGCGTCAAGGCCGATTTCATTCCTCCTGACACGCGGTGGTTGAGCTTCACGGTGACTAGGGTGTAGAGCGGACAGGCATGGCTAGAAGAGCTGCCATTCAACATCAGTTGGGTAGATAAAATGCTGTTTCTTAGCATCTACGTCTCAGTCAATAGAAGAGCATCTCATTATTCTTCACTCTATCATTGTCTGTCCGCGCCAAGTGTGCACGTCCGCTCAACCAATCATCGCTCAATACCGCCGAACAAACACGCCAAGACCCCGCAAACACCCCGTTCCGTGGCTTCAACTACACTCTCCGAAATCCCACCGAGCTTCCTCTCAGCGCGTCCACTCCTTCCCGGTCCTCAATTTCCACTCCAAATCTCCCTCGTCATGGACCCCTACTCCCCAGAAGGAGGTACGCACCCAAAAATCCCCGCCCCAATACCCACCTCAACCCCACTAACTTACAACCCCCAGAGCTCATCAACATCCACACCGCCTTCCACGCAGGCGCCTACCAGCAAGTCCTCGACTTCGACACCTCGCCCTTCTCCGCTCCCAACGCACTGCCCGCCCGCATCCTAAAACTGCGCGCGCAAATCGCGCTCGGCGGCGCCAAAGACGTCGCCGCGGAGCTCTCCGGCGAAAAGACGCCCGACCTCGTCGCCGTAAGATTGCTAGCCGAGTACGAAACGGGCAAGGATGTGCTGGCGGAGGTGAAGAAGCTGGCGGAGCAGCAGGGGCAGGAGAACTTGACGGTGCAGCTGTGCGCGGGCATGGTGCTGGAGAGGGCGGGGGAGACGGAGGAGGCGCTGAGCGTGCTGAGCAAGCACCAGGGGAGCTTGGATGCGTAGGTCTATCCAGCCCCAATTGCACAGCCCAAGTATCTGGGTGGAGTGAGGAATATCTTTTGCTGACCGCGGGGAATTGCAATTGCAACAGCGTAGCGCTCATCGTACAAATCCACCTCCGCCAGAACCGGGCCGACCTCGCGTCCAAAGAAGCGGTCCGCGCGCGCAAATGGGCGCAAGACAGCCTGCTCGTCAACCTCGCTGAGTCGTGGGTCGGCATGCGCGAAGGCGGCGAGAAATACCAGTCCGCGTTCTACGTCTTCGAGGAGCTGGCGCAGACGGCGCAGTCGCAGTCTGCGCACTCGCTCGTCGCGCAAGCAGTGTCGGAGCTGCACCTCGGCCGCCTGCCCGAAGCCGAGGCTGCGCTGCAGCAAGCGGTCGCGCTGGACGAGAAGAACGCGGACACGCTTGCGAATATGATTGTGTTGAATACGCTGCTGGGGAAGCGGGAGGAGGTTGCGGGGCTGAAGGAGAAGTTGGGGGGTGTGAATAAGGAGCATAGGATTTTGGCGGATTGGAGGGAGAAGAAGGATGAGTTTGAGAAGGCGAGGATGAGGTATACACCGAAGTTTGAGGTTGCTTCATGAGCCGGGAGAGGGATCCATTTGGGGTAGAGTTGAATGTGGCCGCTTGAGATGGCTGGCACTGTGTCCGTGGCGCGCGACTGGGCTCTTCAACGGAGAAAAAGCGCAGAAAAGCTACGATGAGGGCTTCAGATCCCTCCAAAATAGACGAATAATGTATCAGCCAACTACGCATGCGTAGCATGCTTCACATTACGAGAGGTCTTCGAGTATATTCCGAAATGGCCTTCCTGCGAGTCGTTCCCAGCTCCATCGACCCAGCTCTCCTTGGCCTCTTCCCACTCTCGTTGGTTCCATCTAGCTCCTTGCCAAAGAATCCCAACACGAGATTCCCACCTACACGTCTCGACCACAGGGGCCACTGTAGCACAGTAATCATCTTCACCCTAGTCCCGCTGGTTTCTCTTCGGAAAAATTCATACCCAGCGTGCCAGTTCTCCACGTTTCCTCCAAAGCTCCCTAGAACAACCATTCCCAGTCCGCCTCTCCGGGATCAAGCATCGACGTCTGCCAATTTTCTGGGCAGAAACGGGTTCGGCAGATACTACGTTGCGCAATCCTCTTCCCAAGAGAAGGGGATACTTCGGCGTGGCATAGCGCACACAGGGTCTACTGTTGACCACGTGAACCTCGTCAGGGTTCTGGTCTGCAGCCCGAAGAGATACCTCTGCTCCCACCTCTACCCTGCGAAGTCCCAACAGCTGACTGGCACCAGTTCCAGGTCGGGATATGTGCGTTCTTGAAGACATATCGCTGGAGAAGCGGTCGGCACTCGCGCTGGGGTACGGATTTCGGACACGGTAAGCAATGCCACGGCTACACCGAGCGCTTGGGATGTCCTGCAGCTCCGGTGAACGCGCACGAGATGGGTCAAACAAACCCTCTCGATGATGACGACTGCTGCAGTTTCGACGTGACTGTCGCGGCCCGCTGCGTACACTTCAGGCGCACAAAACAGGCCGAGCTTCGAGAAGGCAGTTCTGCAAACGGTGTCAGTCAGAGACTTGGTGGCTAGTTTGCTGTAAAGCCGGGATATGGTGGTCTCTCTGGCTTCGTGACGCCCCCAGGATGCAGACAACCTAGCAGCTATTCTGGGATTGATGGTGGAGCTGACTGCAGCGGTCCAAAGTCTGCAAGTCCGTAAGAAGACTTGCTTTCCCCACGGATAAGAGTCTTCCCGGAAGCCACCAGAAGCCCGAAGCGCAAATTTCGCTGACTTCGGGAAGGCGACGGTGTATATTGAGGTTGTGCTGACGGACAAGGTTGGTTAAGCTCTTCGATGGATCGCCCGCTAAGGCGTCCGTTGTGGATCACCCGTGCTGTCGGGCCTCGTGGTACCTATCTCCTCAAATTTTGCTGCCGCTGTCAAGAAACGGCCTCGTCTCACGGCAAATCCGAGTTTCCTCCTTGGTGGAAAAAAAGGCTCCTGTAATAGAGGTCTCCACCTATCAACCAGCCCCTTGTCTTCTATTGTGAGACGCAGCGCGCATAGCGAGGGCTCCTTGCGACTTGGAGTGTGTGGCGCCGGGACTTGATACATCCGAGCGTGGCCAAGCACGCTTCGAACAAGCTTAACTTTAGCGTTCGGCCAATGCAGTCCAGCCTAGCTCGTTCGGGGGCTTGGGTTGAAGAGTCCTCGTCCAATTTTGGAGGGGCACCTGTTGGTTTGGGGTCAATGCTGTGCCGTGTGGATGACGGCTGTACGGGCTTGCAGAGGTGTGGGATGATTATCGACGTGCATTTACGATGTCCGGCCGCGCGCTCAAATGCCGTGGCTCTTTTATCCCTCGATCTAGGAAATCCTCGCTGGTGCGAATTCGTGCGCGGTCCACTCGTTTTCCGTTCAGCCACCCGTAGACGTGGACATACATATAGATGCGTCTGCGCACGTATATGCGTGTTTTTGCATCGTTGGCTCGCGTCCGCCGTCCATGGTCGTTAAGTCCGCGCTCTCTCCGCTCGTTTCCGCCGTCCTTTTCCCGAGGCTCCATAAAATAGCGGGGTCGCCATGATTGAGCGGCAAGTAGACAGGAATCTCGACGAGGTACAGACGCCGCTACTCGAAAACATGGTCGTTGGAGTACCGCCGGTCTTTGAGGGGTTGACGAGAGAACTGGGTCAGTTGGTTGAGCAGCCTTTGCTCAGTCCACGAGCCGAGTTTCCGCAAGGTGAGAGCTCCCAATTGGCAGAGACAAAAGTAGTACTGACACCTGATAGCTGTCTTCGCGTTTGCACGGAAAGATGTCTCTGGTGACCGGAAACCACAATGCATTGCGCATCGAGGATACAAGGCAAAATTCCCCGAGAATACCATGGGGGCCTTTCGTGGAGCTGTGGAGGTTGGCGCGGAAGCCATAGAAACCGACATACACCTATCGAAAGACGGGGTAGTCGTATTGTCACACGCAAGTCCGCCATGTAGCTTTTCTTCTCCCATTCACTAAACGCCCACAGGACAAGGACCTGAAGAGGTGCTTTGGGCGGAAAGAAAAGATCATTGACTGCGACTATGAGTTCTTGAGCAAGTTGAAGACGCTCAAGGAGCCGCACGAGTCGATGCCGCGTCTCTTGGATCTGCTGCAGTACCTGGCGCAGCCCGGATTGGAAGACATCTGGGTGCTGCTAGACATCAAGGTATTCCACGCTCGATTCTGGTCGCGCGCGCGTCTGACCTCCTACACAGCTCGACAATGATCCGGAAGAGGTGATGCGACTCATCGCAAGCACGATTCGCAGTGTCGCGCCTTCGTCCAGCCGCTCATGGCAGTCGCGGATTGTGCTCGGCTGCTGGGCGGCGAAGTATCTCCCCTTGTGCTCCCACTATCTTCCCGACTTCCCAGTCTCACATATCGGCTTCTCGCTTCTTTATGCGTCGCACTTCTTTCTGGTCCCGAACGTCTCCTTCAACATGTTGCAGGCCGTTCTGATGACGCCATGGGGCCGGGCCTTCGTTCGCAAAGCGCAGTGCGACAAGCGACCGGTATTTGCTTGGACGGTGAACGAGGAGCGGCGAATGAGATGGGATATCCGGCACGGGCTCGACGGAGTTATCACGGACGACCCAAGGAAGTTCCTGGAGGTACGGCGTGGATGGCATGAAGGCATGGACGAGGGGTTCGGGCTCATGATGTGGCTGGACGTATTGCGTATCAATTTCTTCGCGCTGATCTTTGGGCTCCTCTTCCAGTTGAGGTTCGGCTTCAGAGACAGCAGGCCGTTGGTGCGATCGAAGATAGAGGCGGAGGACGGCATGTATAAAAACTAGAGCTGCATCGTTAGGATTTCATGTTAGCATCTGCATTGAGCATCGCCGGACCTGCTGAACACGGCGCATAAAAGCATTGAGCAATGGAAACCATCCGTCCAAGCACGATTGCGATGAAATGCGCATAGTGACGGTGATGTTCTCGGAGGGAGGCCTAAGCATGGAAGAGGCGACCTAAAGCCCACGAAATTAGACGCGCCCAAAAGTTCCCCGCAACGCGTCAACAGCCCAACACTCACCACTCCACAGACAACACCATGCCACGGTAAGTCCATGCGAGCGCCTCGAAGACATGTTCGGTGCATTAATGATATGACAGAGAAATAATAACACTACAAGCCGGCCAATGCGGCAACAGCGGTACGTTGCACACGCCCTGAACCACCCCGCGTCTCTCCCGACTCCAATCCGTAAACAACTACGATACGCCCCAGACGAGCGCAATACTCCCCGTAACGTAGATTCAGCTCACTGACAATCGCGCAGTCGGGCAGCAATTTTGGCAGCAGCTGTGTCTCGAGCACGGCATCAACCAGGACGGCAACCTCGAGGACTTTGCGACCGAAGGGGGCGACCGAAAGGATGTGTTCTTCTACCAGTCTGACGACACGCGCTACATCCCGCGAGCCATTCTCCTAGATCTAGAGCCAAGGGTATGAAAGGCGCCTGCTTTCTCCCTAAGCCGTGCTGAAACCTGTCTAGGTCCTCCAGTCGATCCAAAACAGCGCGTATAAGAACATCTACAATCCCGAGAACTTCTATATACATAAGGATGGCACCGGCGCAGGAAACAATTGGGGGGCGGGCTATAGCATGGGTGAACAGGTCCAGGAGGAGATCATGGACATGATCGATCGCGAAGCCGACGGCTCCGACTCGCTGGAGGGCTTCATGCTGCTTCATTCCATTGCTGGGGGCACTGGTTCGGGTCTAGGGTCTTTCATGCTGGAAAGATTGAATGACAGGTTCCCAAAGAAACTGATCCAGACGTACAGCGTATTTCCGAACACGCAGGACGGCGATATCGTGGTGCAGCCGTACAACAGTCTGCTCAGCATGAGGCGGCTGACACAAAATGCAGACTCTGTCGTAAGTGTCTGCCGGCAGTTACTTGGAAGGTGATACTGATTAACCAGGTGGTCCTCGACAACGGAGCTCTCTCTCGAATCGCAGCAGACAGACTACACGTCCAGAACCCCTCCTTCCAGCAAACCAACCAGCTCGTCTCGACCGTCATGTCTGCTAGCACAACGACGCTCCGCTATCCTGGATATATGCACAATGACCTCGTCGGCATTGTTGCATCGCTCATCCCGACGCCACGATGCCACTTCTTGATGACCTCTTATACCCCCTTCTCTGGCGAAAACGTTGAGCAAGCGAAGACTGTGCGCAAGACGACTGTCTTGGATGTCATGAGGCGATTGCTGCAACCAAAGAACAGGATGGTCTCTACAAACCCCACGAAAAAGAGCTGCTACATGTCCATCTTAAACATCATCCAAGGAGAAGCGGATCCAACAGATGTGAGTAAACTTGCCGTTTCTCAAGAGCAACCCGCTGACCCGCCCAGGTCCACAAATCCCTCCTCCGTATCCGTGAACGTCGCCTCGCAACCTTCATCCCCTGGGGCCCAGCATCGATCCAGGTCGCCCTTACACGGAAATCACCCTACGTCACATCTTCACATCGTGTCTCCGGTCTCATGCTAGCTAACCATACTGGCATCGCCACGCTATTCAAGCGCATCGTAGCACAGTACTCAACGCTGAGAAAGCGTAATGCTTTCCTCGAGAGCTACAAGCGCGAGGCTCCATTCAGGGATGGATTAGGAGAGTTTGATGAAGCAAAAGAGGTAGTACAGGGGCTTATAGATGAGTACCAGGAGGCAGAGGATCCAGATTATCTCAGCAAAGATGGCCTGGCGACGGAGGAAGCGGAGGACAAGCGAGTCGGTTGATCGCACTCGCACGTTGATGATTTGAGGGAAAGGGACAATCTTGGATCTCCTGGGTCTGGCGTCGGGGCGTTACGTCTGTGGCAGTAGCCTAGTGAGGATGCTATCAACGATACCACTTTTCTATCCCTCGCTGACCGCTTTTAGATTACGATATGTGCAGTCTTGAAATTTCAATAATTATTCAGCCTTTGTTTGCTTCATCTTCCAGCGCATTATCGGCTTTTGCAACGCAGCAAATCGTGTTCCTACCAATAGCGATCCAGCGAAGCACCGTGACTCTGAGATCCTTCCGGGGCTTCGCCGAATGACAATTCAATAACACACAGTGCTTTCTCCTGAATGAAACGCACTAAGACCACGTGTATTATGGATGAATCGGATCATCTTGCTCTTCTTTATGAAGATGCGGTATGTGGCAGCAGAGATGTGCTAAATGGCAGCACAACATTCCATTTCCAGCTCATCATCCAGACTTTGCCAGCATAACCACAACTGCGTCTTTGGATTACACGACAAATATCATTTCTGCCTGTATGAAGCATGGTATAAAGGTCCAGATTTTCTACTTCTCCACCACTATCCTACATCTTCCCATACCTCACGAACACCACGACTTTGTTGAGGCTAAGGCATATCCAATACTGCGCAACATGTCTCAAGCGCTCTGTACCATCTGCAGCCGTCGCGCTGCAGTCCGCGCTCCCTCTACTACGCCCGCCGCGATTCTACCAACCCACTTCTACGGCCCTAAACCCGGCAACCACCCATTACCCATGCCACACCACTTCTTCCTTGGTCCCGACCCCAAGCGCTCTGCTACATCGTCCTGCCAACAGGTCCAGCCACAGCACCACCAATCTGCAATCCCCACGAGACGACCAGAACCCGTGCCTCTGATTCCTTCAGCGTATATGAGCGAGCGCTCGGCTATCGCTAGGGAGATTGCACGACTACAAGGCCTGTTGAGCGAGCCGGCGGAGGCTAGGTGGGAACGCGTTGCACGGGAATACGAGGAGAGGAGGAAGCAGGAGACTCAGAGATTGGAGAGGCTGGAGAAGGAGAAGGAGATGTGGGAGGCGATTTGGAGGGAGAGGTATGAGTGGGGACAGGAGACAGATTACCCGGTTGACTAAGGGAAGGAAGGAAGGCTTGCATAGCAATGGAAAGGGAGCATCGCGCGATGAGGATAGTGACCTAGTTTGGCTCGGAAAAGCCACTCCAGAGAGTCTTCATGTAACGGCCAAAGGCGTGGCGCGAAGTGAAGTGAAAGTCACGGACCGTTGGAAGGTTGGAACCGCAACCTTCCTAAAGAGGAAAGTTGTCAAAATCCATCGAAGACAGCTACAATAGGACCCTCTTTCACCGTGCACCTTCACCGGTCACTTTTCGCCGCTGTTTACCGCCTTTCACTCAGACTCTCGACCAGGATCAGACGGCATTCACGACCAAAAGACTAGATTTAGTTCTCATTGCATGGCGTCTGCGGACGAAATACCCGCAAACAAATCGCTCACTATGTTCAAAATACAGCGTATGCGAGCTGCTCAACGCAGAATATTGATGTAGCATAATATGCGACGCTCACACTCCATCCAATCAACGTCACCATCCCGCCTCGTGGCCCAATTAGGTAACGGGATCATGCAAGGATTGCACGCCTCACCGTTATCACACGCCACCTTCCTCAACCATCACCCTCAATCAGCCTGTCCTCTGTGGCGTTTCCGCTCTCTATCTGCCGAAGTCACACGCTTTACGTATTACGAAACGCTTCTGCACCTACGTAGCAGAGGCAGCAGCGCTTTATCCCTCGTTGGTATGTATCCGGAGTTCGTTCGCCACTTTGATAGGGATACCTAATGGTATCTTTTGCTCAACAATTTGCTTGCTTTCTTCTTCAGATACAGTCTTACGCTGTGTTACTCTCGACGCCGAATAGCTCCCGTGGTAGAGTCCTAGAGCCGCGCTTTCATTTATCTATCGACTCAAGCCCCGTGCCACAAATCCGCGCATAGCGCACCGGGGGCTGGTCCGGCTTCCCTCGGGCTACACCAGGCATCTCTACTAAGCTCCGATCTGCCCCTACCTTCTTTCATCGTCATCTGTGTTACTATTTTCGTCTACCTCTGCTCCTTGCTTCTTCAAATTCCGCTTCAGCTTTCATCCCGTCCCGTCACTACTTGCTCTTTCTGCTTTGATCTCCATATCGCCACCCCCCATCATGGTGGACCACCACCGGACTTACATCCCTAATAACAGGTCTAACTCCAGCAGTCCAGATACCATGACCCGCATGCAGCAAGACCTCTCCGGCTCGCCCCATCAAGAGACCTCTCTGGAATCCAACGGCGCGGAATCTCCCATGCTGCGAAGAGCTGCAGGACGGATACCACACGTCTGCGTCGTCGGGGCTGGGGTGGCCGGTCTCAGATGCGCAGACGTATTACTCCAGCATGGTGTCCGAGTTACCATCCTCGAAGGAAGGGACCGTGTCGGCGGCAGGGTAAGTACGGCGGACGTCATGCATCGCGCAGTGGGGTTCCCACGTGACTAATCGACTGGTATGCAGCTTTGTCAGAGCAGTGCGCTGGGGCATATGGTTGATCTGTAGGTCTGCGAATGCCCCTACCTTTTCTTTGAGTTTTGGGCTAAGGAGTGATTTTGCAAGGGGTCCGAACTGGATACACGGGACCGACGATAACCCGATATTGGACCTTGCCAAGGAGACGAATACCATGACCATGACCTGGGACGGGCGGCAATCTGTCTTTGACCATCTGGGACAGCAAATGCCGGACAAAGAGGCGGCGGAAAATACGGAGATCGTGTGGGAGATTATCGAGCAGGCGATGAAGTATTCGAACGAGGAGTCGGCGACGATACCGGCGGACAAGAGCTTGTACCATTATTTCGAAGAGAAGGTCGCGGAGATGATTACCGATGAGATGGAGGGCGATGAGCAGGTGAAGAGGAAACGAGAGACGATTCTCGGTATGGCGGAGATGTGGGGTGCGTTTGTGGGAACGCAGATTCAGAGTCAGAGTCTGAAGTTCTTCTGGCTAGAGGAGTGTATTGATGGGGAGAACTTGTTTGTTGCGGAGACGTACCATAAGGTCCTGGCGAGGATAGCGGAACCTGCGCTTGCGGGCGCGGAGATCAAGTTCGGGCACAAGGTGAAGAAGCTTGTCTCCAAGGGAACGAATGAGGAGCCCTGTGTCGAAGTTGAACTGGAGGGCAAAAGCAGCATGACGTTTGACGAGGTGGTTATGACGGCTCCACTAGGCTGGCTGAAGACGCATGGCGAGGCATTCGAGCCAGAGCTTCCGAACAGACTCAAGCAAGCCATCGCCTCAATAGGCTACGGCCACCTAGACAAGGTAAGCACTCCCGCTCTTCAAACCTCTCCACAGCATACTCAACATGCCCCAGGTCTACATCACCTTCCCAACCGCCTTCTGGAACTCCTCTTCCACCACCAGCCCCTCCTCTCCCTCGACCCACATATCCCACGACCCCTCCCTCCCCAACGTAACCGCCACCACCGCACCACTCCACCAGCCCCCTCCTTCCACCCAACCCACCGTCAACCCAGCCCACTACCCAGGCTTCACGCACTGGACACGCCCGACCTACGCCCACCCCACCAACCCCTCCCACTGGGCCCAAGAAGCCATGAACCTCGCCGCGCTCCCCCCGCCCAACGCCCACCCAACCCTCCTCTTCTACACCTACGGTCCAACCTCTCTGCACCTCGCCACGCAGCTCAAGCCCTTCCCCTCACCGACCTGCTCGCCCGCCGCGCAGCAGCTACTAACTACCTTCTTCGCCCCCTACTTCTCACGGCTCCCCAACTACTCCGCGTCCAACCCCGCGCACCAGCCGTCGCGCATCCTGGCCACCGCCTGGGCCAACGACGAGCTCGCCGGCTGCGGCAGCTACGCGAACTTCCAGACCGGCCTGGAGCGTGGCGGCGAGGATGTGCAGGTTATGCGGCGCGGCGTGCCGGAGAGGGGCGTTTGGCTCGCCGGCGAGCATACCGCGCCGTTTGTGGCGCTGGGAACGGTGACGGGGGCGTATTGGGCGGGGGAGGGGGTTGCAAGGAGGATTGTGAGGGCTTATGGGGGGGTGGAAGGGAGTCGAGGGGAAGAGAGGGTGCATGTGGGGGTGAATGGGAGTAGTTGAAATAGTAGACGGAGTACACGCGCTCTGGGCCTGAGTCATGTATGTGATGGACCGACGCGGCTTCAGCCCGAGTTTCGTAGCAAAACATTCGCCTCTTAGAGAGTAGCAGTAGACAGTCAAGAAAGTTTCCATCCCACGGCAGGCAAGGTGAGCAGCGATATCGAAGAGGGAAGCTTAGCTTGTGTTTGCTGTCTTTCGTTCCCGCCGCGTCTCGCATCTTCTAGAACACGCCACCCAGCATATGATCTTTCAAAGACTTATCAGTCAGCATTCCATCTCGTCTCAGTTTACCTCATCTCGGCTCTCGGCATTGTGCACCTCTTCGTGGCTTCGCGACGCGGACCCTGAAACAAATGTGTGTGGATGGGTACTATAGGAACGAACGGTCTTAGTATGCACGTGGGCAGCCGCTTCACGACCGCTAAGAACAGACTACCTAATTCGGACCTCGCAGCTCCGTCCATAACCTCCGCTTCGCTTCGCCCAGGCCTCCTCCCTTACCGAGTCGCGTAGGTATAGTACAGCTTGCTTACACCTACCCACCGAACAGCGGCCTCGCTTCTCCCTGCCCCTTCGATAGGACTACAGTATGACCCTATCCTACCCTGCTCTGCCTTGCACTACATACGCTTCCAATACACACCAGGGCAGGCGTGCCGCTCCTTCCGGATTAAGCAGCCCTCGAGCCTTTCCTTTCCCGAGCTTCCGTGCCGAGAGCGTCTAAGAGGGTTCTCGCGGGTTTTGAGGGATAGCGTGCCGGTATGTCCAATCAGCATGTTTGTACTATGGAGGGGTGAGCGGAGGGTATGTGTATGTACTGCAGTGCAGTGCAGGGCGCCGTGGCAGATGGAATGATACCGGTTTGGATAGGGACGGTGTTGAGGGATACTGCAGGTTGGTTGCTTACGGTGGTTTAGCTGGATTGAAGTATGCGGGTAGAGGGACGCCGCTGCAGAACGAAATGGAAGTAGTAAGTGTCAAATGCCGCGGCGCGGATTCAGTGTTGTGAGGCGAACTGATGTTGCAAGCGACTATATGGCAGTATCTTTTCTCCAGCTAGGAGTAAGTGGTCATCAGGCTTCGCCGAACCTCGTTGTATCTGCTCAACGACTGATGTGCCGTCAGTGCATTGCATCCCCATGCCTCCATGGCGGGGTTGGCGGGTATGATGTAAAGATGCTGCAATCTACCACGGAGTACCTCCTAGAATTGCGCAAAGAGCGGCGATGCGTCCACTCTGCGCCTACCAGGAGCGCTGCGGCGTGACGTCGTTCTCTCATAATCGAGGCTGCTCTTAACTGCCCATCCAGGCCATGCTTTTGGTCCTGAAATAGTATGGCGGCCGACTGACCAGAATGCACTACAGCTAGGGAGAAGAAAGAGATCGAGATGGAGGAGGGCTGTGTGAAAGGGCACTGTGTGCTAGACGCTGGAAAGACCGAGAGGAGGGGGAGAGCTAACGCACCCCACACACCGGCAAGTTTCTTCTTGCACATGATCAGGTATTGCTGTATGTGAGGATGGGCACAGACCGGCCCACGTGAGCGGTCGGGGTTAAGAGAGAGGACTTGTTGAAGCCGGCGGGACAAGTCGAACCGAGTTGACAAAGAGATTAGCAATTGATGCCGCGAACCTGAAGTGGACCATCAGATCTCTGCGGGGCTTGCAAAAGATCGAATACGTATACGTATCTTTGTATGATGAGATTCTGACTTAGGAGATGGGTGTTGAGCTCAAAGAACTGTCTCTAGACGGTGGGACGATGCGTCATCCACCCTCATGCAACTGAGCAAATTAGTTGACGTCCTTCTTGACCCCTCCTGCGCGGATCCAATCACCAAACAACCTCTCCGCATGGCATTCATTTCCTAAAGCGGTAAACAGCGTGAAGGTGCACTGCTATGCCGACTGCGGGCTAGCGCTCCTCGTGACCTAGGACAAGGGGCTCCTTCCATAGCGTGGTCGGCTAATAGCGCCACTGACGTAGTTTGATCGACTATGTCATTCTGATGTTGTGGTTTTGTGCCCGCTCTTCGTTCGCTGGCGGCGGTTGGGCTTCGAAGAAGACGTGGAGCAAATGATGGATTGGTGATGTCGAGAAGGCACAGCCGCGCTCATTTCTATGAAGTACATTACAGTATTCGCCTTTATATGGATAACGAATCTGTGCTAAGATATGGGCAGAATCCACAGTCTGGTCCGGTAATTCGATGATCCTTGAAACGGCGATTCCTGCAAGCAGCCCTGGACAGTGCCGTTACAGTCCCCTGCTCGGATTGCTAGCGCGGTGTAGCGAGTCTCTTGTAAAAGACCTATCTTTGGCACGTGCAAGCCGTGGACGCTAGCAATCTGAGCAGGGGAGACTGTAGCACCGGAAAGCGGCAAATTGTGTTTCGGCATTCCTTGAACTAGAGGACAACTGCGGCAGCGGCGGAGCAGGACGGCCGGGCGCAGGGGCCGGTGGTTCGCCAGTTTACCATCGGCGCCGGGTGTGGCTTTAGGACGTCAAGACGAGCCGCTGCTTTGGTCCTCAGATCAGAGCCTCGAAATAATGCGACTGGCATATCGTCCGGTATCGGTCGGGTCGCACGCGGAATAGTTTCCATTTTATTATTAGTGACTGCAGTACAAGTAGTCTCGATGCAACTTTGGCAAAGTAGAGTGCTGGCAGCGTCGTTTGCTGGGACGATCATGGCGACCTCGTCCTCATCCACGAATCACTTCGTCGACCTTGTGAAATCTCTGAAAGTTGGCTGCGCGACGGACCAAGGAAAGGAATAATCATCGCCGAAAATCAGAGAATGTTGACGAATGAAGATCGCATGTGAATTGATATTCGCAGCTTTACCGGAATTTCGATAACTGGTTTTGCAGGGTTAGGGATTCGTCGCCAGGGCCCGCGCGGAAGGAAATTTTTGGACCCTGATGGGGCACGAGCCTGTGGTTGGGATATGGTTGGGCGGACGTCATGGTGTTAGTGGCCCGTGGTGGAGGGCAGAAGCGGTGACGGATTGGAGGTCGCTGAAGCTAAGGGCTTGCTGGAACGAAATGTGGAGCGAGTCGGACTGGCGGTGCGTCGCTGTTAATTCCTCTTGAAGATTCATCTCAGACGCCCTTGGGTGTCAATACAGTCGCTGGTGCCGGGTGAAGATCCTCTATTTGGATGTCTGGCGAAGTGTAACACAAAACTGCACAGTGGTATCGATTGAGGTTCCGCGCAAGGCAATACGGGATGGTGGAGTAGCCACATCGCTGGAGAACTCAGGGACCCGATTTCCGAAGGCCCTGCATATGCCACGACGACGACCTCAACGCTGAGTTTGTGGCGAGTAGTCGTCCACCGATAAGGCGCACTCCTGCGCCCCTGTCAGCAGAAATATCTTTCGATAACGACAGCAATATTTCGCAATCGGTGTGAGATCAATCAGATCATCCGATCTGCAGCTCTCCAAATAATGAGTGCACTCCGCAAAAATAGATCGTCGTACAGTATCCTGCTGTGCCACACACATCTTGCTTTGCATCCTCACCTCATCCTTCCCCAGCCATGCCCACAACCAGTCATATGCCGCGGCAGCGCAAGCCCGTCCCGCCAACACTAGCGGAACTGCCGCCCTGCACGACGACGTAACCGCATACTGCTCGAATGTCTATCCTCTGCAGCGGCATGCCAAGGCGAGGCGCCTGAGCAAAGCTGTTGCGGCCATGTGGACGGGTGACGGCAATGCGCGTTTGTTATGAAGATCGCTTATAATGGGGGTCCTTGTATGAAGATCGCTGCGGAGGGTGGAATACGAGCGGGGCGCTGGCAACTTGGCAGTGGGTTAAGTTGCAAGTTACACGAGATGGCGATCTTAGGGTGTCTTTGTTGTGGGTTGGTGGGGGGTGGGGAGAGTGTTTGGGTGGAGGGTTGAGGGATACTTGCTTGGTGGACGGAGGGCCGAGCGGCCCGAAGCAAGAGATGAGCGTTCAATATCAGCTGGAAAGAAATGCGAATAACTCCATAGTATGTTTTGTGGTGAGGAAGGAGAGGCTTGTGGAGAGCGGCTGTCTCGGCACTTAGAGTTGCCCAGCCAAGTATTGCATTGTCCCACTCGGGAAGGCGGCACCCGTGACGACCAGGTCCGGGGCAAGAAGCGAGGAATGACTGCTATTCTCGAGCACGGGAAGCACGCATACGAGCAGAGTCCGAGACATATGGTAGGATTGAGTCTGAATACATGACCGAGCACCCGTCATCTGCCCTGCTCAACGCCAGCAAGGCGGAGCGCTTGGTACACAGCTATAGAAAGGCGGGAAGGGAAAATCGAAACAGGAAATACTTTGGTATCGTAAAAGGATAAAGCGACTGTTGACGACCACACGTCCAGCACTTGGGTATTGTGGCGACAAACGAAAGACACTCGGTGAAGAAAACGCCCTCCGATGCAGCAGCACCCATTGTTATAACCCAGTGCCATTTCCGTACCGCGACCAACCGTGTGCTTATCGGGTAGTCCATCGCGAGACCTCTCCGTGTAGCCGGTGCAAAGGAAATCCGGGAATAGAACAAGTGAAGCCACTTTTGTGTACGCAGAAGGCCGCCGTCGTGTTCTGGAGGTCGTCTGCCGTTGATATAAAACGCCAATGATGCCCCGCTCCAGGAAATGATAACGCCGTTCCTGCGCTCGAGATGCTTATGCTGGTATAACGCAATTTGATGGAGCCTTCTTGAGCCGTCTATCTCCTAGCGGCCGTCCTCGCCGGTCGTGATGAAGAGTGCTTTTGGTCGGCTAGTCATCTGCCGCCGACAGAGGTGGTCCGTCCTGGCGAGATCTCACCGCGGCGAAGAGCTTCCTCTCGGATGAGCTTGTCGACGTGGGAGGCGGCGTCGTTGGTGTTGACTCCGGCGGTGAGGTAGCCGTCGGCGGCGCCTTCGAGGTCCATTGGGGTGACGGGTCCTGGGCTCTCGAGAGGGATCAGGCGGGGGCTCGTCGGCTTCGCAGTTACGCCTCGGGCTTGGTTCCTCGCGTTGGCCATGAGCTGCTGCTGGTAGAGATACATCTGGCGCTGGACTTCCGAGTACTGCCGCTGGTGGGTGCGCGGCGAAACAGGCGGCTGCGGAGAGTTTGGTCCAGTGACCGGGGTTGCCGCCGTGCTGGAGTTCTGGGACGATGCGAAATTGGCAGGATGGAAGCGCGGCAGCGACGGCAGCCTGAGATTGGCAGCTGTGCCTGAGGAAGTCTGGCGGGCGTGCAGCGGCGGGCGTCGTCGGGCCTGCGACGGAATGGCGAGAGACTCCAGACGGGGAGACAGCGGCGAGTTTGCTGAGGGCATGTTGCGGTCCTGTCGGGGTGGCATGTGGTGGTGGTGGGAAGTTGTTTCCAGTTATCAGTCGAGCGAGGGCGAAGTCGGCCAGATATGACGTGTGGTGGGTGGGTCCTGTTTCGACTTGGTAGAAGCCGACCGACTTCACGAGCACTTTATATAAATCCTTGGAAGTCGACCACGCTGATAAAGAGTGAGGAGCACCATGCAAGTGGGAGCGCAGGATGCCAGGCGGGACTAATATATCTAGCAGCGGGAGGGTCCTGGAATGCTTGGGCGGACTTGGGGGGGCACGTCGACTTGATGGGAAACGCTGGCTGTTGATCTTCCGCTTGGAGCGCGCCGGCCGTGCTGCGGTCCCTGAAAGTCGCAAAGGTGGTGTGGACCCTGTTTCTGTACACGGTATGCGCCGAGAGGAAGACCTGGTCGGGGCAGTATCTCTGGCTATCGAGCTGTAACGCGTGGCTGCGGGCCGGTGTGGATGCTGGAGAGGCGTTGGCGTTGGCGTTGGCGTTGGCGTTTGCGGTTCCCTGCAGCTACGGGACCATAATGTCAGTTCATAAAATAAGTCTGAGTGCGTCGACTAGCCGGGTGGGCGGAGGCAGCCGGGTTTGCTGGAGGGCGAGGGCCGGGGAGGCAGTGGCCTTATAACGCGTGAGAGCAAAGGTCACAGCTAGCTGGGGGCGGGCCTTTACCGCCAGCGCGCCGCAACAATGAGGCCCGCCAAACTCGGCTGTGCGTGCTGTTCCATCGTCATCTATCGGCAGCCCTTGGCCGCGAGACTGGTCGGGGTGCAATTTCCTCGCTAGCCGGTGCAGGTGTCGTCTAAGGCGCGTCCGTCCCACCGTCCATCGCCCATGGCGCACCTCGACATCGTGAAGCCGAAGTTCCGGCTGGCCTCACGTGCCCTTTCCGGCGCTAAAGCCTCCGCATCGCAGCCGCCGTGACAGCTGCACCCTGAGACTGTGTCCAGGTATCGATGATGGTGATAGGCTACGTATTCATGATGCCGTCGCATTCTGCCTCCGTGCCCGTGGCGCACCGCTGCCGAGAAGTTGCACTACAGGGTCGGGACCTCCCATGCGCCCGCACAGCGTGAGCTGCAGGCTGGATCGTGATCCTCCAAGCGCCCTTCCTTTCACCGTCTGCGCCGAAATTGAAGCTATTCCGTCGCGGAATTCTCACGCCTAATCTGCTCACTCATCCTTCACTCCGTGCCACACCTCCGGAATTGCGCTGCATGAAAGCCAGCGCGCCCGCAGCTGCATCGTGAGATCGCGCCCAGTCTGGACCGCCAACCCGACATCGCTTTCAGAGTTTTCGCAATGAGCCATCCATGGGTGTTGCGCACGCGGTCACGCTTCACATCAAAAGTTTTACGTCGACGCGAAAGCTCCTGATCGCATTCCTCACCATAACGGCGGCGTCACGGATCCCCGTTGACGTCTGCGCTTGGCGTCCAAGAAGCATTCGGCCAGCTCTGGAGCCAGGAGCGCTCCAACAAAGAATTCTCGGGCACAAGGGTGCGGAGCACAGCAATCTTCCAACAAAGACGATCCTATCTGCTTTCACGAGCAACTGCATACGTCTGCGTCCGCTTCCGATTGGGGTAGGCGTGGAATAAAGGCGTGCCTCTGGCGTGCACGTCTAGCAATCTAACCACGAGGAATGTACTGTGGCAGCATTGGAGCAGTATATCCCGAGGGCGATCTCCCGCAGGTGCATCGCGCATTGTTTGCTTCAGCCGGAGACGTTCGGGGAAGGAAAGAGCGAGGCACAATATCCAGGCGCTGGGTGCCGGCTGTTCTCACCATGCACGAGATCGAGCATCCGCAAGCCGTGTGCAACCAGAGAAAAAGGCGCATCGCAGCAAACAATGGATACCCCACCTCACGGCGTAGCAGTCTAACCCCCTTCAACCTCAATATGCTGGACTGGCGAAAATCGCCTGAGAGTAGGCATCTAGGCAAGGCGCCGCTGTAATGGAACCCGTCATATCCACAATGCCACAAGCGAAGATGGTGAGAGGCCGATGCTGCATCAGGAATATCTCTTTTGTGCACCAGTCGTCAGTTCTGACCGCCAGAAGCCAGTAGCCTACCCTCTATACTGAACTCTAGTTTCTCCACCCGTTTTCGGCTTCTCATCATCTCGCACCAAGCTTCTCCAAGGCGCGGGCGCCCTGCTCCTCCCACTCTTGTTTTGATATCCACATGTTCTCCTTGTCCGCCATCTATGCGTTATCAGTGCCTATGCATGCAAAGGACGTAGTCGTAACTTACAATATTGGCCAGCACAGCACCGCCGAGGAAAACCATGTGTCGACGCCTTGGTGGATCCTCAATGCGGACCTTGAATTTCTGTGGATTGCGTTAGCAACATTCACAGACGGTGGCTGCATACGTACATTTAGTCGCTCCGGGTTTCCACCCAGTACCTTGGTAAGCCATAGCTGCTTCAGTTCCTTCTCTAGCCGGCTAGGCAGACCGGGGTACATGCTGCTCCCACCACTTAGCACAATAGCCTTGTACAGACTGCTCCTCACATCCACATCTGCGGATTGGATAGTGTTGAAAAGAAACTCGGCGATGCCGGGCTGCTCAACGTCCACAAGATGCGGCTGGAACAGACACTCGGGAGCTTCGAAGCGCTCGCTGCCAACTCGGATGACACGGCCGTCGGGGAGCGTGTAGGATTCCACCAGAACTGTCGTGTCTTCGCTAAGGCGTTGATCCAATTCAAGGTCGTATGAGACGTAGCAGAGCTTTTCCTTGATTTGCCGGACAGTCTCGAAATCAGCCGTTCGGTTGAGAGCGTAGCCTCTTCGCAGCAGCAGCGCGATCAGATTCCGCGTAACATCTCTGCCCGCCACATCCAGGCGCCGTGTGAGATGGTTGAGGACGGTGCTTTCGTAGACGGGGACGATGTGAGTAACACCGTCACCTGAATCGACGACTACTCCCGAAGATAGACCCTGAGCGTACAGGGCCAGGACCGCTTGTATGGCCACGTACACTCCGCCAAACCCATAGCGCTCAAACATGACCTCGCACATCTGCTCGCGGTTCCTCAGAGGGTTCATCGGCGGCTCGGTGAGGAGGATTTTGCGGCCGGTCGGGTCCACGCGCATCTTCTCGAAGAAAGTGTAGTCCCAGAGATGTTGCATGTCGTCCCATCGCTTCACGATGCCGTTCTCCATCTGTCGCGGTGAGACAGCGTTAGCGCACGTTAGAACGGCTGAGGCTGCCCTCAACAATTCCTGAGCAACCACGTACAGGGTAGGTGATCTGAAGCATCGAGCGGGCTGCCGCCGCCTCATCTCCGCACATAATGTCCTTGACCACGATGTCTCCATCTCGCTCTTCGGATCGCAGGATCGGGCGGCCGACTATTGAGGGGTACTGGTGGTCGGGGAAGTTCTGTGAAGCGCGGATTAGGCACGACGCATTTAATCATTTCATGCGTTCAAGGAACTAGACAGACCTGTCCTGCATAGCCTGCCTTGAGGAAACCGGTACCGCCGTCGAGAACTGTGGGCAGCGTTAGCAGGGTCGAACACGATATTGAAGCGCATCTCTTACCTATTGGAACATCCGCCATTCTGTCCGCAGTGGTTTACTATGCAAAGGAAAAGACAAGGGGTGAGGGAGTGTCTGCGGGCAATTCGCGGAATGCGTGCTTGGCTGCTATGGAGGGGCTGTGGAGTTGACGTCCACGCGTTGGCGAAGCTGGTCTTGGCAGAATCTCACAGCACCAAAACGAGCAGTACAGAAGTTGTCAGGACAAACCACAATGGCGATATGTTTTCAAAAGAGCCAAAAGACGATTTACAAGCTTCGATTGAAGTAGTGAGAATCCAAATGTCGTGGGGGGGGCTTCCGGCGGCAGTCGGCGGTGCGCCTTCCTTTCATGTCCGCGTTAGAATCTGAACATTATATGCGCAAAGCAGAACTATCCATCGTATTACTTCGATTCATCTTGGACCCCCGGATAATGATTCAGAGATTCGCATGGCCGCCGGCCGCAAGTGTTGTGCTGGTGGTCACCCACCCCAAAACCGAACACCACGATGCTTGAGGATCCTCGCTTAAGGACGCCAAGATTCCCTTCCGCACACAACGCACACTCAACGAAGGGTCCTCTTCGACGTCCTCTACAGCCAGCCTGAACAACGACGACACTCGCCATCAGCGTCGGTCAAGATGCCTTTCGTAAGTTCACCTTGATTTCCGCCTCAACACGCCATGGATCCTCTCCAGTTCCACCCCGCCTCAACTTTCGTTGGGCGGTCCTTCTGAGCGGCCTCATACGCCATCGTGGTGGTCTACGCCGCCAAGGGCTCTCCACGACGGCAAAGCGAGGGTCATGCAAGCTGCTTCGATACATGCCGGTTGAAGCGTTCAATTGCTGACTTGGGGTCCTCTTACAGAGCAAATTAGTTAAGAATGACGCCTACTTCTCGTAAGATTCAATTTCCTTTCCGCCTCTGCGGATTTCTAGACTGACTGCCTCAGGCGCTACCAGGTGAAGTACAAGCGCCGACGACAGGGCAAGACCGATTACTATGCCCGCAAGCGGTTGGTCACCCAAGGTACGTTTGTTCTGGCTACAGAAACCAGGTGCACTTACTAACTGGAATCCTAGCCAAGAACAAGTACAATGCGCCTAAGTACCGCCTGGTCGTCCGCTTCACCAACCGCGACATCATCGCCCAGATCGTCAGCTCCGAGATTGGCGGTGACAAGGTCTTCATGGCTGCCTATGCCCATGAGCTGAAGCCCTATGGCATCACTGTATGTGCCTGTCGCACCAGATGGTTCCCAGATTCTAACTTGAGCAGCACGGTCTCACCAACTGGGCCGCCGCCTACGCTACCGGTCTTCTCCTCGCCCGCCGCACACTCAAGAAGCTGGAACTGGATGAGGCATTCACTGGTGTCGAGGAGGCCGATGGCGAGTTCTCCCTCACCGAGGCTGCTGAGGTCGACGGCGAGGAGCGCCGGCCGTTCAAGGTCTTCCTCGATGTCGGTCTCGTCCGCACCTCCACCGGTGCCCGCGTCTTCGGTGCCATGAAGGGTGCCTCCGACGGCGGCCTCTTCGTCCCGCACTCCGAGAACCGCTTCCCCGGCTACGACATCGAGACCAAGGAACTTGATGCCGAGACTCTCCGCAAGTACATCTTCGGTGGCCACGTCGCTGAGTACATGGAGACGCTGGCGGACGACGACGAGGAGCGCTACAAGTCGCAGTTCAACGGCTACATCGAGGACGACATCGAGGCTGATGGATTGGAGGAGCTCTACGAGAACGCGCACAAGCAGATCCGCGAGGACCCCTGGAAGAAGGAGCCCAGCGACGCGCCCAAGAAGTCCAAGGATGAGTGGAAGGCCGAGTCGAAGAAGCACAGGCAGCAGAAGCTCAGCAAGGAGGAGAAGCTGAAGCGCGTCCAGGAGAAGATCCTGGAGCTCAAGGCTTAGGCGGGTTCATTTGCCGTCTCTCCTCATACCTTGGTCATGACAAAAGCAAGATATACGGCGTCTTGGGATGCATTGGGATACCGTACCTGATAGGGCCTGTACCAGCCTTCAATGAAATGGCATGCTACATTCGGGTGATGTTTGAAGACCCACTGAACAGTGCGTGTACATGCGTGGTTCGTGAATGCTTTCCTGGCCATATGATGGGCGCCGCCGGCTGGCGACAGCTCAATGCCAGCGAGAGTCTGGCTGTTTCGATCAGCGAAACGCGGCTCGTTAGGCCGTCAGCCACCTCAGCGAAGGTGAGGCGGTCTCAGCTGCTGTGATACGACTCGGTTACCGATAGCGAGTGGTTAACGCATTTACTCAGCAGCACGCACGAGTGTCTTAAAGATGAAAGCGCAGGTGGCGAGGATTACCAAGACAGAAACGTGCGGCTGTTTATACGGTGGGATCAAACAAACGGACGAACGGCTAGTGGTTGGATGTTTTGAGAAGGGGACGTGATCTCGGGACGCGCCCGGGCGGTGGAAAAGACTCGGGGAGGAGCCGAATCGGAGCGCCGTCCTTTCGTCATCGCTAGGGCAGTCCAGGACGTCAGATACCGCACCTGCGCACGCTTCCAAAAAGCGCATTTGCAGCACGCTTTCCATTCCGCGAGTTCCTGCAGCTGTCAGACTTCGCGAAACGACGCGCACGCTCCAGCTCTTCTAACATTCTAACATCAGCAGTCGGGAAGTTGGGGTGTCTTGTCCAGGCCTTAGGCAAATCACCTCTCGCGGAAGTCCAAGCACTTTGCGGCTAACATCAACCCAAGCCCCGCTGACAATTCGGCCGCACCCTTCTTTTCGCCCACAACCCACGGCTTCGGATGGCGCGCTTCATATACCAGCGGCGGTAGTATCTGTAGCCATCTCGGAAGCCTTTGTTGCCCGCCATGGAGGACATCCACGGCGTTGACGTCTCGTGGCTGCACCACTCCACTCGAGGTGAGCTGACGCCGCGCGCTCCCACTTCCTTCTCGGAACTGCGGAAAGGTCGTACGGGTGCGTTCCTGACTAACCTGCATGTGTCCATAGACCATCACCATCGCCAGCATGCTCCATCGTCGCCGGGTCTCTCGAGAGACACTCCCCCGCGCACCTCAGCCCACGGCGGCCTGCCTCCGAATCACGCCCACAACGAGCGAAAGAACCCAGAGCCCGCCCCAGCCGTCCAGAGGCCCTCGCCGCCGCCCACTCCTCCCGCCGCACCGTCGCCCGCGCAGAAAATACCCATAAAGCGTCCAGCGCTGCTTAGCCGAGGCAGCTCCGAGAAGCAGCCCGGGAGCGTCACGCCGCCCGATTCACGGTCGTCGCGAAAGAACTCGTGGATATCCAGCATCAGCTCCAAGTTTTCCTCGCAGAACTCACCAGCGCAAACGACACATGCCCAAGCTCAAGGCTCCCCCGCGAGCACAAATGGCGCAAGTGGCACGACGTCATCAGCCAACGGTGCGTTGAATGGCATTCAGGCCGCAGCAAACGGCCAGCATGCAAGCTTTGAGCCCTACGTTCCGCAGCAGCCCAAGAGCTCCTTCATCTCAAATGCGCTCCGTCGCTTGTCGTCGGGATCGCAGGTGGGCGGCGGTGGCAAGGTCGTCCCTCATGGCGGGGTATGCCCCCGGAAGGTCATGAACATTGACCCCAACCGGAACAGGTGTCTGGTGCCGGATCTGGATGAGAACAAATTGCGCCGCGTTGCCTTTTGCGTTGACGTCGAGATAGCGGGCGGTCCGAGGTACAAGGATGACGCGGATTCCGAAGAGAGGAAGAAGAAGCGGAAAGAAAGGAAACTCAAAGAGCGCGGCGAAGGCGAGGCTCTCAAGCATCCCGAATCGGTAGCGCGGGAGAAGGAGAAGGAGGGCGCGGTGAGCGTTTGCGCCACTCGGGAGGTTGTGGGGAATGAGGAAGCACCAAACCCAGAGGGCACTGTGCTGGACGAGGAGAAGAAGGAGCCGAGCAGGAAGAAAGAGAAGAAGAAGCGGTCCGAGGCTGAGCGCAAGGAGAGGAAGGAGAAGAAGCGACGGAAAGCCGAGGAAAATGGATCAATACCACTCGAACTGTCAAGGGAGGACGGCGACGTGAGCGCTGATGGCGCCGCAGATATACCTGACAAGGCAACACCGAAGCAGCAGGATCGCCCGACCACGGATCCGCTCCGGATATATCGCAGGTGCTGTCAGTTGCGGGAAACGCCTATTCTTAAGAGGATCGTTGACCAACTCTCCGCTCCTTCTGCATGCTCTGTTGTCCAACCGGGCGTAGTAAACTTCCTAGATCTCACCGGCTCCAGACTACAATTAGCCGACGTGGTCACTCTTTCGGACTGGCTAGCAGTGGTGCCCGTGAAGAAGCTGTTCTTGGAGGACGCCGATTTGAACGACGAGAAAGTTCGGGTCATCCTGGCGGGGTTGCTCGCAGCGAAAATTCCAGAGACTTCGAGAAAACGTCCCCAGTCCCAGGAGCAGCATGTAAAGCACGGGCATGTCAAGATCGAAGAACGCTCAGGCTTCGTCAAGAAGCTTGTTTTGAAAAACAACCCCAAGATAACCGCAGAAGGATGGAGGCATATTGCTTTGTTCATATACATGTGCAAATCGATCATGGCCCTCGACGTTTCCATGATCCCATTTCCTAAGCCTGCTCCGCAGCTGTCTCCTCAGACAACAAATTCCTCGGGGGAGCTACCCAGCAGCCAGCACAAGTCACCCAAAGAGGTCGCCGAGATCATAGCGAAAGCCATCGCCGAGCGGTTAGGAGGATCTACGCTAGAAGAGCTCGTTATGGCCGAATGCGCCCTCACCTCATCGAACATTAGGATGATCATAGATGGCGCCATTGTCAGCGGTGTTCAAAGGCTTGGCCTCGCAGGCAATGACATAGATGACGAAGGTCTCGGTCATGTTATCCATTACATCCGATCTGGCGTATGCCAAGGTCTCGATCTAGGTGGTAACGGCCTTCGAGACTCCATAGGCCGTCTCGCCGCGAGCCTTACGAAGGACTGTCCGCTGTGGGCATTGAGTCTGGCGGATTGCGACCTCACTCCGGTGTCGTTAAAAATCCTGTTTCCAGCTTTGGTCATACTCCCAGCGTTCCGTTTCTTGGACCTTTCGCACAACAAGGATCTTTTCTCCCATCAAACATCGCTCTGCCTGCTTCGGAAGTATATCCCGCAGTTTAAAGAGTTGAAGAGGATACATCTCATGGATGTCTCCTTGTCGCCTGAGGAAGCTATTGGGATTGCAGAAGTATTACCAGAATGCTCCCACATCGCGCATGTCAATATCCTGGAAAACCCTCAAATATCCGCCCTCGCCACTGCGACCGACGAAGAGATGCAGGAAGAAGCTGCTGCTCTTTACGCTTCACTTACTGTGGCAGCTAAGCTTTCACAAACGCTCATTTGCATCGACGTAGACGTTCCGGGGCCTGAAAGCAACGAAGTGGTCAAGGCGCTGGCGAAACAGGTAGTGGCATACTGCCTAAGGAATATGGAGAACTTCTCCGAGATTCCCGAACTCAAAACAGTAGAGAAAGAGGTAGAGATTCCAGACGTGTTATTGTGCTTCGTCGAAACGGAGAACAACGAGAAGCACGACAACGACCTGCCACCACCAGATGACGATTACATTGTCGGTGGCACGGGTGTCGCAAAGGCGCTGAGTTACTGCCTGCGACAGAAAGCTACGGATCTTCGCAGGCAATCTCTTCCTGCTAGTGGCGCGATGACACCCAGAAGTCGGGTTGAAGATTTCGAGGGGGCTGGAAGGGCGAGGATGATGTCCAAGAATCTGCTCAATAATGCTCGTAATATCAGGCAGAGGTTGCATGGAGCTCTGGTGAGAGAAGCCAGGGCAGGTAACGACATGGCTTATCGTGAGTTTCTCCTCTTCTATCGCATGCAGTAGATGGTCGCTAACGTTGCCTAGGCCGCCTTCTCTTCCTCGACCAGACCCTGCAAGGCATGATCCAACGATTCGAAGACGAGTACCCCGAAACGCGCCTTCAGCCCGCGGACGACGCATCGACACACAGCTCGGTTCCCAGCACCTCTCCGCCCGCCTCCACCGTACCCACGCTCTCCACAAGCGTCACAGAAGCGGGCGCTCTTCAAGACTCCGACGAAGACGAGCCGAAAGCGCTCCGCTCACGCCACAACTCCGACGTCTCACTCGCCTTGCGCGCCCAAACCCTCGAAGAAGGACGCGCGCATCGCCTCGGCCACCGCGTCCGCACCGAGCTCTTCAACCCGTCGCGCCCCTCCACCCCGCAACACGACAATGCCAACGTCTCTGGCACCATGGACCACGAAGGCCTGCCCCAGCACCTTCTCGCGCTCCGCGAACATCTCTACAGGTTCAGCGGCGAGGAGCTGCGCGAGATGACCGAGGGCGTGGGCTGGGACAAGGTGTTTGATCGGATTGTAGAAAATGCGGAGGAGTTGAAACGCTTGGAGCTGGAGAGCCCTGAGGAGTTTGCGCACTTTAGAGAGAGTCAGATTGCGGCGTTGAAGAATCGGAATCCGCAGATTTGCTTTGATAAGGACGGCAAGGAGAGGGATTGCGATGAGTGCGCCGTTGAGGATTAGGAGCTATTTTTATCCAAGCGACACTTTCGTGCGTTTTTGTTCTGTTGTTGGTACCAGTATTTGCGGGCCGGCTGCGTCCAGCGTTCATCGTTTCACCGTTTCGTCGTTCAGTCTTTTCGTCTGGCTAGTGTTGTTGTTGTACATTATATCGGCTCCCCCGTAGCCGGTTCTTCCGCCTAGCTCGGCATTGTTCATTCGCCTTGTCTTTGCTCGTTGGTGTGGTTGTGGTAAGGTGCATTGATATCCGGCTGGCTTGGGAGGGAGGTACATGCATGCTAGGAATAGTACTACTATCGGTCTGTCTCTACAGGAGGCGCCATTCTCTTTCTGGACGATGAATTTTGCCCCCGCGGTTTTTTGTCATTGCTTGTTTGTTCGTTTGTGGATGTGAGGAAGGGGAGGGAGGGAGGGAGGGAGGGAGGGAGGGAAGGGGATGTGGATGGATAAGTAGGTGAGTATGGCGTGTGTGCTGTGTATAGAGAGGTTTACGGGTTGTATCATCATTTTTCTGCGGTGATTAAGATGGATTCTCAGTGCTTGTGAAGTACTTCCCTGGCCGCGCCTCCCGCCGGCTCGTCAGAACTTGGAAAACTGTGCGCTAGGTAGGCTTGATGCATCACAAGGTAGATTCAGACACGAGAGCAAGCAAATGGTTCAGGTTGTTGCGGTGGCGGACATATGGAAGGGGCTGCATGGGTTCAAGTGGGAATGCTGGCGCTGCTTGTAAGACGATGCATCGTAAGGCACCATCATCATTGCGGTATAGCCATGCTATGTAACCGCGTGTGTCCTACTGTATAGACAAAGTGTCCACACATCATACGTGCCATGCCGCCCATTCACGCCGAATCCATCCGAAAACATTGAAGACCTCTCGGGTCAAGCCCATGAAAATGACACACGCACAACCACCCACAAACCGTGCCTAGGGAATGCTCGCCCCGCCCCGCTGCGAACACAGTGCAGCATCCTATGCCGAAGGAATTTGCCACTGCTCCACGACAGACCATTCGGAGCTGGTATCCGAGCCAAGCTCCATCTCTTTCATGGGGCGTTCACCACGAGCTTCCTGCCAGCCGCCCTCTTCATTGCGCTCGGCTAGCTCCTCACGCATAGCCTGACGCTCCTCCTCGATATCCTGCTGTAGTGAAGTCTCCGGCGAGATTTGGCGACGCGGAAGCTTCGAGTCAGATGAGGGAGTGTGTCGACGTCCCCCGTCCGCCGGGCTGTCATCCTCGGTGATCTTCTCGTCCTTGGCGTTGGAAACACCGTCCTCTGACTCTCGCAGAACGTTGTAAAGCTCCACAACGGCACCCACGAAGCAGACTATGTTTTCCACGCGGTCTTTAGAGGGAAAAAGGGAAGGAAAGGGAAAAAAGAAAGGAATGATCAAACCTACCCCAGACATAATGGAGAGCACAACCACGTTTTCCGAGGTACGACCGGGAGGGAAAGTCCGCTCCCCGCACATCGGCGGGATGCAGATGATTTGTACAATAAGGAACAGCAGAACTTGCATATCCTTATAGTAGATCTCAGCGATTAGCTTGCGCATCACGAGGCCCACTCCTTTGACGGAGACAGCGGTTGACCGATCCGGGGAATCTCCATACCACAGCGCCGCTGTGAGTGTTAGGATAGCTACGATTTCGAGCGGAATCGAAATCCACTGGGCAGCTTTGTTCCAATATAAGACATTGTCGGTTGCGGCCGTGTACGTGGATAGGGCAACCGCCTTGCGTTGAGCGTCCTTGACAACATCCTCGGTCGCCTTCTTTAAGAGGGCGGCGTGCTCGGCGGGAGGGTTGTATTCCAGATGGCAGACAGGGCTGTCACCGCAGACCAGCTTGAAGCGGTGCGGCATCAGAAGGGGCCGCTTAAAGGACTCCTGCTCATGACCAGCACTATGTTGGACTTGTACTTCATGATGGGCATGGGGCTCCTTCCCCAACCAGTTCGTCTCCAACCAGTTTTTGATGCGGCTGCCGTAGTTCTTGAGGACGTGGATAACGGTTTGGGACTTCTCGGTGATTGTTGCCCAGCTCGCGCGTAGCAGAGTGTATGATCCAGGCTCCGGATGAACTTGCGGCGTGAAGATGAGCTTAGCGCAGTTGTCCTCAACCCACTCCATGGTGGCATTGAGGATGTCCGGGTATATGTCGTAAGGGAAGTCACCGAAATGGGCGTCCGCAAGCGTGATGCCACGAGCCAGGCATTCATCATGATCCTCGAACGAGTGCTTCTCGAGCGGAGTCGATACCAGAGTCTCCAGATGCATGTTTAGGGACAGCTCCCAGCGGTGTTTGGTCGTGTAAGCCCGGGCCAAAAAGTTCGCATCGCGTAAACGAGGTTGGAGAATGGCTCGAACACCGTGCAAGCCATTATGCACGAAGCTGAGAGCCATGGACAAATAGCAGAGACAAGCTATGAGGACGAAAAGCGGATGGCGAGCCCGCTGGGCCTTGGTCGTGCGCGTCTTCGCCTGCCGCTTGGTTGGGTTTGGTCCGGTGGCCTCTGAATGTTCCTTGGTACCTGCGTCAACAGGAGCGGCGGTCGCGTCAGGAACAGGAGTGGTGACGCCGGCCGTGGCCGTGTGCTCGGTGATGTTGCCGTTTGCCATAACTGAGGGACTTCTGCCTGGAGTTTGTCTGCACCGGTGCTGACTTTGTGAGGGTTCTGCCAGAATGTGCGACGCTTCGGTGAGGGTGCGGGTTTGGGCTCACCTTGCTGGACTGGTACAACAGATGGTTTCCTTGGTTGCGCGGTGGGGTTCTGGTGGCGGAGAGGGAACAGCTTAAGTACACGGCGGAGGCGCACGCGGGAGGCCACTCGTGAAAGCCGTGCGCGGGTCAGGTGAGTCACAAGGCACCAGAAAGCTCTCGCGCGGTCCGAATGGGGTAGGAGCCTGCGGGCTGTGAAATCTAAGGAGGAAGGAGCGCGGGCGTGACGGCAGCGGTGGGTGGGTTCGCCACTCAAAGGGCCAACCAGGTTGTCTCGGCGTATCGAACGACCTTGCCGGAAGCAGGAAGCTAGTGCTAGGCAGGTGCGGTGGAGGAAGGTGCGCGCGAGAGGTGGAGGAAGGCGCCCGAGAGACTGGCTTCGTAGGCTGCTACCGCAGAGGCAATGGCACGAGCGTGTGCAGGAGCGACCCGTAGCTTCCCGCAAGCCTGTTTGTTGGCCGAGCTCTTAAAAGAGGGTTCGGTGCCGAACATACATCGAGGTGTTTCTACCAAGCCTGCAGCGTAGGCCCCAAGCTACTGGCGAATTCGACGCGCAGAACCACGGATAGGGGGGATGAAATGAGAATGTTGGGAACGGAAGAAAATGGTAAAACCACTGCAAGAGAGAGAAGACGTCAAATGCTACCTACAATGCTTTCCGAGCACTGCGCCTGGGCGGCGCCTTCCCTATGTCTTCAATGTCGGGTATCGCGCCTTCCACATCCTCAGCTGTGACATCGCTCTCTTTGGCCACAACCGTCTTCTGCCGGACAACGGCCTCACCGTTGGGCCGCTCAAGCTTCGTGATCGCCGCCTCCTCCTTGACTTTTGTACTCTTTCCTACCACTGCCGAAGGACAGAGGCCCCTCTCCGCCAGCTTACACTCCCCACACCGCCTCCCGACGGGCAAGCATATTGTCTGCCCGAAACCGACGAGAAGGTTGTTGATGTAGTGCCATTTGTCTTTCGGGAGCCACGACTCCAAGGCAGCCCTTGTCTCCTCCGGCTGCTTTGTTTTATGCCAACCCCAGAGGTTAGTGATACGATGCACGTGGACGTCGACGCCGATGCCTTCGTCTCTTCCCCAAGCTGCGCTCATGCAGAGATATGCCATCTTCGGTCCCACACCGGGGAGGGAGATGAGGCCTTGGATGGTGTCGGGGATATCTGAGGCCCATTTGTCGCGGAGGACCTCTGCCGCTTGCTTTATGTACTTGGTCTTGAGATTGTGGAAGCCCACCTTGTTGATGAACGCATTTAGTGCGGGAGGGTCAATTGCGAGGACAGATTCGATATTGAAGCCCTGTGACGGTCAACCGAAGCTCACAGTCCGCACATTGCACACCAACATACTCCAGGCATATTATCTTGCATGCCTTTGATAGCAACGCTGGTCACCGTATCCTTCGTTTGACTTGAGAGCATCAGCGCAACGAGTGTTTGGAATCTCTGGTCCTTTGGCGAGGCCTTGCGATCTGCCAGACTTGCACATCCCATTGTATCGACGGGCGCAACCATCTCATTGCGCATTTCTCTGGTCAGAGCATATATCTCTTCCCAATTGGGTGGCGGTTCCACCTTGACTCTCCCGTCTGCTCCTACGACCTTCTTCGCAGGTACCCGGCGCGCCTTCTTGGGCTTTCCTGCCTTCTTCGGTGACGCAATACTCGTTATGGACACCTCTTTGCTCTCCCGCTTGAGCATCACCGGCGCGGCCTGTCTCCTTTTCCGTTTCCTGCTAGGATTCGTCTCTCTCCCTTCCGAGCCGGAAGCGTCCGGCACAGAGCTCAATTCCGAATCAGACTGCGCGTTCTCATCCTTAACAGCCATTTCTGACTCGCGCGCCCCGTCTCTTGCGACATCACCAGCCTCAACCGTGTTTAGACTGGAGTCTCGAGTTGCTGCGTCCGCTCGGGTGCGGGTTTGACGTAATGGGGGGGTACGAGACGCGGCGAGGATTCTCGAGGTGTCGCGGGCTATGCGCGAGGTTCGCATCTGGGCGGAGAGCGCGAAAACAGGTGGGAGGCGGAGGCAAAAGCAAGTTGGAGAGAAAAGAGCCAGCTGGAGCTCAGTTCAGACGGACGAGGTTTGAAACTCGCGTCCCTGGGAAGCCCCGACGGAGCAGTAACCAATCAGCGCGAAGCGGAGGTGCAGGGGATCTCTCCGCAGCTTAAGGAGCCCGAGTGCCTGATAATGACAACCATCTTGCCGAAGCTGCAGGAACAGTCACAGTCCTGCGGCATGTCGCCCCGGTGATGATCGCTCACGGTCTTCTAGCTTCACAATTGCCGGCAGAGTGACGACGGCGCGGTCCAAGGCCGCCGGGGGCAGTGAACAAACTCGTCATCTCGTAACCACGACCGAACATCTTCAGTCTCACAACGCAAACATCCTACACTAACCACACAGTATGCCGAAACCTACAGATATCCCATCCTTCGCGGCGACCCAGCTCACCCTGCTCGACGCCGAACTGCAGGCCGAGCTCGCGGAAACAAACGCGCTGCTTTCGTCACACACGCCAACCGCGCTTTCCCGCGCTGGGCTGGCCATCCTGAACCTTAATGTTTCCTCTATACGCACTGGCCTCGGCGGCAAAAGTGTGGTCGAGCTCGGACTTGACCCGGCGGTCGTGACAAAAGGCGAGAAGGCGGATATTCCCGAACATGGGATTAGAGTGGGAGATATTGTGGCCATACAGGACCAGCCAACTGGGAGCGCGAAGAAGACCGAGAAGCGTGAACTCGCGAAGAAGGGCGTCGAAGGCGTGGTGCTGAGAGTGAGGAGGGAGAACATCGAAGTAGTGCTGGATAAGGAGGATGCAGATGTGCCCAGCGGAGGGAAGCTATGGATGTCAGTCAATGTACGACTTTAAGACGGCGACCATGCAGGACTAATGACTGTGGTAGCGTCAAATTGGCGAATGATGTCACATACAAAAGGTATGTCTTCGCTTTGTACGCGTTGAAATTCAAGCATACTCACTTCGGCGCAGGATGAACCAAACCATGACGAAGCTTCAGAAATTCGAAGAGCAAGAGTACACGCCTTTCATGCGGGTGCTGTTCGGCCAGGGGACACCTTCGCCTCTTCCGACAGATCTCAATGACCCTTCCAATCCACTCCACAAGCTCGAATGGAATGATCCGACATTGAACGATAGCCAGAAGGAGGCTATCAGATTTGCTCTGGCATCGCGAGAGGTTGCCTTGATCCATGGTCCGCCAGGAACTGGCAAGACTCATACGCTGATCGAACTAATCCTACAGCTGCTAAAGCAAAAGCTTCGTCTGCTGGTGTGCGGGCCGTCAAACATATCAGTGGACAACATCGTTGAGCGGCTCGCTTCTCACAAGGTTCCAATGATTCGTCTGGGCCATCCAGCGCGCCTCCTGCCCTCAGTCTTGAACCACTCTCTGGACGTCCTCACTCGAACGTCCGATGCCGCGGCTCTCGTCCAGGATGTGCGCAAGGAGATGGACGATAAACAGGCGTCTATTCGCAAGACCCGGAATGCAAAAGAGCGCCGACAGGTTTACAGTGACCTGAAAGAGCTGCGGAAGGAGTACAGAGAGCGGGAGAAGGCCTGCGTGGACAACTTGGTCCGCGGAAGTAGTGTTGTGCTTGCGACGCTGCACGGGGCAGGTGGCTTCCATGTGAAAGGGCAGGAGTTCGATGTGGTAATAGTGGACGAGGCTAGTCAGGCCTTGGAAGCGCAATGTTGGGTCCCTTTACTTTGGGTCAAAGCATCGAAGCTAGTGCTAGCCGGAGACCACCTGCAACTACCGCCAACTATCAAGTCGCTAAACTCTAAAGAAGCGAAAGCAGCGAAAAAGGAAGCCAAGAAGAAGGATGAAAAGAAGAGCAAGGACAAGAAATCGAAGGCTGAAGATGGTGCTCAGAACAATGCGGAGCCGTCAGTAAAGCCGGTGGCAGCAGACATGACGTTGGAAACAACGCTCTTTGATAGGCTGCTGGCACTCCACGGCCCATCTATCAAACGCATGCTAACGACGCAATACCGCATGCATGAGAAAATCATGCAGTTTCCTTCTGCCGAACTATACGAATCGAAGCTTATAGCTGCCGACTTCGTCAAGGATCGATTGCTCAAGGATCTGCCATACAGTATCAAGGATAGTGAGGATACTCGCGAACCGATCGTCTTCTGGGATACTCAGGGCGGAGACTTCCCCGAAAAGACCGAAGATGAAGAGCTGGGGAAAGGCGCTAAAGGCATGAGCCTGGGCGACAGCAAGTCCAACGAGGCAGAAGCCGCGCTGGTCAGACTGCATGTCAGTAATCTCGTAGCTGCTGGTGTCAAAGCGGAGGATATAGCAGTGGTTACGCCGTACAATGCTCAGGTAGGTTGTTCGCGCATGACATGGCACTATACGCGCGACCCCAGACCCCGCCGTCGCTCCACTATACATGGCGCAACTAACGGCGTTATACCTTATAGCTAGCCATCCTTTCTGGAATGCTTAAAGAAGCATATCCAGGCATTGAATTAGGCTCCGTCGACGGGTTTCAGGGCCGCGAAAAAGAAGCCGTGATCGTCAGCATGGTGAGGAGCAATGCGGACCACGAAGTCGGGTTCCTGGGCGAAAAGCGGCGATTGAATGGTAAGACAGAGCAACGCACCATAATTTCCGCGCTGCATGCTATCACACCTCTACATGAAAACCTGCTCACCGAATGACTGCAGTGGCGATGACGCGACCAAAAAGGCATTTATGCGTTGTTGGCGACTCGGATACGGTAGGCAGGTACGTCTGACGCTCCTTCTGCGTTTCGCAGTACTACGCATGGGAACCACGTCTGCCCATCTCGACGCATTCAGTCCCGAGGACATGGCTTTGTTTTCAGTAGCGTGAGACGAGACGCGTGCGCACATATGCTGTGACCTACCGTCTCCATGCTCCGTGCAACGTTTGGCAGAAACACAACGCTGACGTGCAAATTAGGGGCAGCAAGTTCCTCAAGGCGTGGATGGAATTCTTGGAGGAGCATGCGGACCTGCGATACCCCAATCTTAGCGACATATACGTGGACGAACGGAATGCCGGATGAGCACGATCCAGGGCGGCCGTTGACACATCTGTTCCGTTCCAATGCTTCGGCTGCGGCTCTGGTGGCTGGCCGTCGCTGAGCCCGTGATCGGGGTTGCGGTGCGGTGTATACGGCGGGCGTACGAATCAAGACACACTTTCTGCTCGAATCTGCGTCCTGCATGCGGCGTGACTTAGCTTAGCGGCTCGTAGTCGGGCCCAGCCAGCGCGAACCAGAGGCGTCGACGCGCTCGAAGGCAAAGTCTAACGGCGGGGACTAACCCCGTAGCCGCATAGTCTCCAGAGTCAAAAATATAGCCATCTGCGCGGCATCTTAGCAGCATGAGTCCCGCAGGAGGCTGGAAAGTCTGCTGAAATTGCTTCTTCTGCGGGGCTGCGAACCGCCGTCGTTCTATCGATAGGAGGCCGCCATGCCGCCGGCTGCCTGTCTGTCTGCGGCGCTGGCCGTGAGCTGACACCTCGACGACGCCCGTGTGTAGGTGCCAGCCACGTATCGATATGCATTCGGTGTTGTTGGGGCGGTCGAGCTGAGGGTGGAGTGGAGTGCAAGTAGCGCTCGCGGTCGGCTTCCGGCCAGGATCTCGCGCTAGCGGTATTCCACCAATGCGCTTGTCCAGGCGCTTGGCCCGCGGGCGCTCTCAAACCACCATCGCCTGCAGCACCCAGGGTCTTGACAGAGAACAGGCACGCCATGCCCAAAAGCTTCGTCCGCGGCTCGCGCCTCCGCCAGCGTGTGCCGCTGAGGCCTCCTGTTACAGCTGCCCGGCGCTGCTGGCGCACGCCCGCGGCGGCTTCATGGCCGGCTGCCACGTTCGCGCCTTGCCCGTCTCGGCCGCCCACGCTTCGACGGCCCATGTGAAACAGCACCGCGCAGCGCACCTTGGAAGCTCGAGCCGCTAGTACCTCGCTACCCGTCCATCTGCACGAGATGGTGGAGACGCATGGGCCCGTTGCGCCAGTGCGACGCCTGTCGACCCTCCAAGCGCGCCTGCAGAGCTCCCCACGCCCGTCTGGCTGCTGGACATCTGTAGCTTCCTAGCCTCTCCGCCCGCATCTGCTATTATATTTTCGACATTCCTGGCCCGCCACGGCCCCGACCTTGACGGCCTCCTTCCTCAATTCGCTATGCGCCGTCCATAGTGTGGTATGCGCTTCCGCCCCCTCCTCACCGCCCCTGCCCATGACGCTTGTGTTTGATACTTATTCGTTCCCATTCTTCTCCCGCCCTTCGTTCTGCCTCCCTGCTTGACGTCGTCGCTCTTTCTCACATTCTTTCGTCATTCATAACTTCGCCATTGTTTCGCGCCGTCCGCTGCATTGGTGGGGCGCATATTGTATACCCTTCTCGGCCGCTTTGGACCTTACCATACTCGGCCTCTGCCGTTGTTGCGCGCTCCGTCTAATGTGTAGTTACTTCTGAGTAGCTGTTCCAGGGTGATGGAAAGCAGACCCACAGCTGTCCGGGTCTTCCTTGCAACTGCTGCGTCGGGCCACGTCCAGCTCCATTGCCCGTTCCGCGCACCTGTGCCATATCTACTCTGTTGAGTAGCTTCATCGCGATTCATGCTCACACAAGAGGATTTCCTCGCCCCGAACATGAGTGGCGAAGGCACTCTTCAGCGGTCAAGCTGGAAAGCGGAAGCTATCCGGCGGGGAGACTTGAAGATTAGCGGACCAATCCCCATTACCGAGGACATGCCGCTCAACGAAGACGAGGAAAGAGAATATGCGGAGAAGCACAGAACAGAGTCGTCACCGCAGCCGCAAGACGCGGTCCCCCCGCAACCACAATATCCGCCGGACCCACCTCCAGCTCCGCCTAGCGTTCACGATGAAACTGAACAGCAGCCCAACCATGTAGAGGCTGAGCCTCAGATACACGAGGACCTCCATGAGCTTCGCCACAAGAAGTCGTCGAGTGGCGTTCGGGAGACGAGCGAAATGCAGCACAGAAGCTCCGTCGAGCCTGCGCCGTACAGCAGCCCAAGTCCCTTCCCGTCGATACCCGAAAGCTCTTCCAAGACGAGTCCGAACAAGAAGAAGCGGAAGAGTGGTTTGCGAAATGTCTTCAGGAAGATGTTTGGTAGGAGGAGTCGGGAGGAACATCACGAGGAAGAAGGAGACGCTACGCATAAGGGGCATGGCCATACAGTCAGTGTAAGTTTTCTTGAGCAGAATGAGCAGAACTCGGACTGATCAGCGCAGGATCCCGGCCTGTTGAGACAGTCCTCAGATAGGAGTAGGAGACCGAACAACCACGGTCCGCGAATCTCCGACCTGCCAGTGCAGGAGCCGCAACCCATCAATCCTCTCGGGCAGCACCTTCCGTTCCCGATGAACGTCAATGCCCCGCAAGAAGCCAGTCCCCCTCATGAATACCTAAGGTTCGAGATCCCTTCGCCAGATCTCGGCCGCCGCAGAGCAACGCTCCCGACCATTCTTGCCAATCCCGAAACACAAAGTTTAGATGGGAGAAGGAAGCTGCTGCCGACTTGGGAGGAGCAGCGGGACGGTGAATCAATACCGTCACCGCAGATTGGTATCGCTTTGTCAAGTCCACCGCATGCTGGCCAGTTCGAGCATTCGCTGCAGTCAAAGCGTAGGTCGCGGAGCGCTGGCGCTTTGCGCGATCTGGCCAAAGCCCGACCGTCCGTTGAGCGGAGACGGAGCGCGGAGATACGGCATTGGAGAAGCAGTTACGCGTCTGCCAGTGTCTACAGCACAAACACGCCACGGCCGCAGACAGCGAGGACCGTAGAAACTGTACAGACCGCGGATACTCGGGATACCCACGACACTATGGCGAAACCACCGGAATCCATTGCGTCGCCGAGTACGTTTGACGATGCCCCCACGGTAGCCCAGCACGATCAGGATATCAGCCAGATCCCCATAGAAGCCTTCAACTTTAGCAATTCTGATCCTCGTCCGGTAGCGCAACACGATCAAGACATCAGTCAGATACAGCTCCCGGTAGAAGCCTTCAACTTCGGCAACCTGAGGAGCGGCTTCTCCGATGACGAGGATTCTGAAGAGCCCGCACTTCCTCCTCGCTCGGAAAACCGCCTTTCCATTGAAGACCGCGTGAGGCATCTAGAAGACAACATGCGCACGCTCGAAACCTCCGTCCGCCGCATCTCAGGCCGCAGCAACCGCCAAACCATCATCCTCGAGAACGCACCTAAGGGCCGTCGTTCAAGAAACCGCAGCTCCTCCGCTACCAGCGACCGCCAAAGCCTGCACCACTCATCTAGCAAGAGCAGTAACCACACCCTGCACGGTCACCACGAAGCAGACGCTCCTTCGTCACCCACGCTGGCACCGCTCTCCGCGGTCAAAGAATTCCCCAGCTCGACCGACCGACCCGAGACCATCATTTCGCTCGAAAATCGGCCCTCCACAGCGCAGCGCTCAGATCTCGTTTCCCAATTCAACGCCATCCAGGAAGCGCTCAAACACGAACGCACCGCCCGCAAAACCCTCGAATCCCAAGTCTCCACCCTCCAGCGCGAGCTCTCAGACCTACATGCCCTCGTCACCAAGATCATGTGCGCCACTTCCCCGTCCTACCCTACGCCCTCCCCAGACGCCATCATTGCGTCCAACGAGGAGCGGATGTCCACGCCGAGGGCGTCCACCACGCAGAGGGGGCCAAAGGAGATGTCTCTTTTTCCGAGCCCGTTCAGTCGGCGGAGCGAGACGGATAGCGAGGGAAGGGGAAGAGGTGACTGGAGTGTAAGCAGTAGTAGAGAGGATGTCACGAGTCCAGAGGACTGGGCGACGCCGAAGGAGGAGAGCGGGTTCGGGAGTGGCTTCTTTGGGCCGCAGCGGACGAGGAGCCGGGATGCGTTGAAGCAGGAAGACGAAATCTTCTAAGAAACATGAGCAGTTTTGACGAACTAGGGAATGGGAGGGTATGGATATACGGAGGATGTCGGTCATGCCCCCCTTTCATGTCGATATTGATGCTGAGACGACCCTTTTGCGTGGCGCTGTGAGCCATAGCCATGGATGAGTTCTCGTTCTCGTTCTCGTCCTTTCTGCAATTTTTCCTTACAATCTGTCTGTCTGTACGATACCCAGCACGGCGTTCCTTGGCAGGTTGTCGTTGTTTCAGCGCTTCTGTTGCGTTGTCGCTTTCCGTTCACTTTTTAATTTCCTTTTCCCGTTCTCCTTTGCCCTTCGTGATTGTATGAGCATATCATATCTTTGGAGCGTCGTGTCTGTCAGCGAGCGAGTGAGCGAGCCGAGATGAGCATTCTATCTACCTTTCGCATCCGAGCACATCATCCCTTAGTGTAATATATGAGAACGAGCATGGTGGCGAAATTGTGTGGGAGGTCTAGGCTAGAGATCCTAGTAGGAGTCGAAGACGGACTGTGAAATGAGAAATACGTTTTAGCTTTTCGCTCGGTGTCTTTGTTCATTATACTCGATTTCGCTTCCGTTCGATGCCTCCATCCAACGTTGACGATGACTTGGGATGGGATAACCGTCTAGGATAGTGATTTCTCGAGTGCGTTTGCTGTTACTTCTTCGGGTGCAGGCACGTGGCGACGCGACGGGCGCGCCTTTCGTCTTCACTCACCAACGCCCTCCTCGACCTCGCGCGACAACCTAGTCGCCTCCCCATTCTTCTCGCCTGCACACGGATGGCGCCAATGCCAACGCAGCTCAAGACGGAGCCAGGTGTCTCTGGAACCGACACGGGTACGCCAGCTCCTTCCACCCGGGAGCAAGCCCGAGCAACAGCAACATCTGCCCAGACGCGGTTCGGAACGCCGTCGAGGATCGGGGAGAAACCGCCGTCTGTTGCTTCGACACCGTCCAGTGCCCCGCCCGCTGTTCCTGCATTCGACGGTGGCAGTGTGCTGCAAGCCAGGAAGAAGATGGCTGCTCAGGCTGAGCGCTTCTCTCATAACCGTATCCTGGAGTAAGTCTGGCTTTACTTTTGACGTGGGCAGACTTTGGCTAATGCCGCAGCAGCTTCGGCATCAAGGTCAGGGCGGTTCGGGTCGGCACCGAGTCACAACACACCGACTTCACAGTGCACGAGAACTTGCTCAGGCGCTCGCCTTTCTTCGTCAGTCCACTTGACCCCTGCGGCTCCGGAGATGCTGGCGCCTTTACCGCGTTGCCAGACCACAAACCGACCGCTTTCACCGTCTACGTCCAGTGGCTATACTCGGGTCGTCTCCACACGAAACCTTCCAAGGAGGAAACCACAGCAGTCGGAGACCCTCTTCGTCGCCAAGAGTGGTTAAAGCTCGTGGATGCTTATATCCTCGGAGAGTATCTGGGCGATATCGACTTTCGGGACACGGTCATTGACGCCATGCTGGGATGGTTTCACGAGGCGCAGACACAGGACAGGACTAGCTTACTCGATAGTGTCGGAGAGGTCTACATGGAAACGTCTCCTGGGAGCCCTCTTTGCCGGCTATTGTCCGATATAGTGGCGTGGCACTTCGAGGACAGGGTATGTATACCGCTGTGCACACCAGCACAGTCGAGCTCGGGGAAGGCATTCGCGAAGGCCTTCAACAAGTATAGACACGCCGAGTGTTGGCTGACCCCGCCCTTGTCTAAAGCATATGTTAATGTATTGTCGACAGACGCTCCAGGAGATGAAGGTGAAGCAGACCTCCTTTCAACTTCCACCTGCCTTCCTCTTGGATACACTCGTAAAGCTGTCCTCTCGCTTTCAAGGCGCGGGCATGGCAGCTTTCGGCCGTGGCTCGCCGGTGAATGCGGGACGTGGAACTTGCATCTACCATTGTCATGGTCCCGGAGACAAGGCTTGCTACAAGACGTGGCGAGAAGAGTGAGCAATGGACTGTAGATGGAATTGGTTATTGCGAGGTTGGTAAAGTGGGGAACGCGGACGAACAGCGTATTGTCTAAGGCATGGAAGGCCGACATATCTAGGATACCTTAGGCCATAAGGTGTGCTGAACTGGACAGTTGAATTTCGAATCCTTCAGTGTATGTGGCTACTGGTTGTGGCTGTGCATAGAACTAGCGCTTGTGTCCATCCACGGAGCAGAGGTTTTGCAATCTCGTCCCGTCCTTCACCTCCCTCTACCGAAGACTCCTATTCCCATTGGGCCAATTCTTCAAGAAACCATAGCTCATTCTCCCACAAGCCCGGGGGTGCCGCGTCCACCCACATAATTGCGCTTCAGCCTTGTGGGTGAATACGGCTCGTTCTTTGCTTGCAGCCACCCCCATGCACCTTCTTATCGAAAGTCAGTGCCACCGAAAACTAATTAGACTAATTCAGATCTCTGGGGAGACGTCTCGTCCCCTATACGTGTTTACGAACGCCGAAACGCCGGATTTGGCGGGTATCGCCCATCGACTCCCTTAATTGGGTGCTAGGAACGGCTCTGCATATGTTCGAGCAAGACACGACATTGGGTCCAAAGAAATGTCTATATGAGCCCATCTTCCACACTGCACTCTGCCTTGCTAGCAATCTGTCTGAGACTCTCCACCCTTGTCTATATCCAAACCCACTCCCCGAGGATAAAGACATTCTCTCCGCAGAGCACACCGCGAATCCTCATCCTTCTCCTCCATGTCCATCCCGCCACATCAACATGCTCCCTCCCTAACGGCACCGCCCCCGACGACGAAGCCTCAGCGCCCTATTCCTCCGACCCCACAAACCCCCTGAGCACAATATGCCGCCACACGCAATGGGCCAACCCCCCGGGCAGCGACATAGCATTCGGCTCCACGCAAAACGAGCGTCTGCCCACCGGCCTGTGCCACAACCGCGGCTTCTCTACCACGCCCGGCGAGGAGCAGCGTCCGTGGATTAGGTACTATCGCGTCTACTGCACGCATGGCGACTGAGGAAGCGGCGCTTGTCTTGATGTTTGCGATACCGGGGTGAGTTCGTTCGTTCATTGTCTTGCTATCTTCTTGTGGAGGGCCTGCTTGGATGGCGCGCTCGCTCACATGTGAGGAATAGGAGAGCGCGGATGTGGCACAGTTGACGCCGTGCGACGCGGCGAATTCGTCTGAGAAATGGTGCTGTGGGGATACGACGGCGTGTTGTGCGCCGGTGTACAAGCCGGGCGCGGTTACGCTTCCTGGTCTGTTCGCCGGGCTGGCTGCATCGTCCTTGTCCTCGTCGTCTGCGCTTCCTTCATCAACGGATCATTCTTTACCGCCTGCGATATCTGCTTCTGGTGGCTTGTTGGACGGCGCGAAGGGTGGGATCGGCGCAGGTGTAGTAGTGGGTGGTATTGCCGTCTGTGGACTCGGCTTTTATGTGGTGAGAAGGATACGGCAGAGGAAAGGGGTGTTGCCAGCGAAAATGTCCGCTATGCATTTCGCAGCAGCGGAAAAAGATGCGGTGCAGGTACGGAACTGGAGTCCTCGAGCAGCTATGAACTCGATGGATCGCCACGTGCGGAGATGGGTTAATCTTGGGGATTTATGCTTTTGATTATTCGAACGGATTGAGAATGTAGCGAAAGTGTAGTTTAGATTTTTGTAAGTGGTAATGAGATCTAGTGGATCGGAGAGATATATGTTGAAGGAGCCGTGTTTCCAGACTGGTTTGACCTCCAAGTTTGGCTGTGCGACGTTCTCCGAACCTCCCAAATTAGGAAAGTGCGAAATCGGTCATCCGTGCGAGAATACGCGCCCCGACCTTCGACATCTCACGCATCTCACGAACGCCCAGGAAAGATGACGAAATCTTTGATGCGCAGCCTGTGGCTGTCGCGAAAGCTCATTTTAAGATGCCGCAGGGTTCGCTCTGGCGTCTAAGCCGCAACCGCGCCACTTCCTTTCCTCTGTCGCTATTCGCTCACCACCCCGGATAGGGCTGGGTAACCACATGGGCATTCCGTGCCGCAAACTGGGGCTTGGGTAAGCTAACGTTTGAGCAATACATAAAATCTCCGTGAGATCAAGTCTAGTCGTGCATCCAAAATCTACCGTGGTTTGTCTTCAGCCAAATGCCCCAGACGTAGCAAAAACACCACCTTCCACGGGATATCTACAAAGATACTTCATCACCATGGGCCTCTTCAAGCACAGCAAGCAGCCATCAGCACCGCTCCCGGTCCTCTCACTCCAGCTCTCCACCCCGCAAGACAAGGTCTTCAAACCCAACGACACCGTCACAGGCCACGTCTCCCTCTCAACCCCCATCCCCATCAACCCGCAAGCCGTCGACGTATCTCTCTGGGGCCACTCATCAGTATGGCTGCGCACAAGCCACCACAACACCACCCACGACGACCACAGGCACACCGACTACACACACTACCGGGACAACGCGCCTCTCTTCGCCGTGACCTCGAATCTCCTGCAGCACGCGCAGACCCTGCAGCCCGGCCAGAACTACACCTTCCCGTTCAGCTTCCGGGTCCCCCAGGGCACAGGGCTTAACAGAATGGGCTGCTATAAAATGGACACGGACGACCGCTGGACCGCGCAACCGCATCTTCTCCCCCCGACCTTCTTCTGGGGCTCCAGGCCCGACGACCCAGATAACGCGAGCATCTCCTACGGCATCACCGCGCGCCTCATCTGCCCCGGGATCAGCGCAGGAAAGCACAACAACAACCAAGACCCGCTCTCCGCCACCACACCCATCCTCTTCCAGCCCCTTAACCCGCACCTCAACGCGCCCCTCAGCGTAGTCCGCTACCCCAAGCGCCTAACCCTCTCCTCATCCTCCCTCACCGGCCAGGACCCCGCATCCCTCGGCCTCCGCCAAAAGCTGTCCGACCGCTTCTCCAAGGACACGCCAAAGCTAGACTTCGAGGCCGCCATCGAGCTGCCCGACCTGCTGACCGCCGGCGCGGAGTTCCGCTTCCGCACCGCCTTCGCCGTGCTCGAGAAGAGCGCGAACGTGGTCGCGGTGCCGGCGATCACGTTCCGGGTGCTGAAGCTCGAGCTACTGGATTTCACGTTTATCCGCGCGCCGTGCGATCGGGAGGCGAATAGCATGATGGGCGGGTACCACTACAAGACCCCTGAGAACGCGGTTAATGGCGTGTATTCCGGCCAGGAAGATACTGTCTATAGGGAGAAGAAGACGCTGCTGAATGCTGTGCCGGGCGAGACGACGGTGGTGCTGGAGGAGGTACTCGCGAGTGAGGGTGACGAGAAGAAGACGGAGCAGGCGCGCAGCTGCCAGGTTTGGTTTACAAGTCGCGTGCCCGGGTTCACGCCGCCGAGCTTTAGGAGCTTTGCGATTTCGCGGAACTATAGGGTGAGGGCGAAGCTTCAGGTGGAGATTGGAGGGAAGAAGTTTGAGGTGGAGGCGGAGAGTCATGTTGGGGCGTTGGGAAGTGCGGCGTGAGGAGGGAATGCAGCGGCGAGATTAGTTAGATGAAGCAGCGCGAAGGTCGAGGGGATATCGGGCTGCTGCCTAGGTATGAATGTCATGATAGGGTATGAGCAACTCATGGCGGCTTAGGCGTTCGCGGAGCATGTATGGTGCTAGAGATTCCCCGGATTTTATATTAGCGTCTAGTTTTTTACCGGGATAGAGGACGATGGCATAAGCGGGCGAAGGCGGTCTTTTGCCTCCACAATATATTCATTCATATCTTACTGGCTTTCTCCCCAGCTAGTTCAGTGATTCGCGGCCAGAATGACGGACCGCTCCTACGGCTCAGCTGCCCTTTGCAAGCAAAATTCGCCCAATAAAGCCCCTTGTTAGAAACCACCAGACGGCGAGAACTCCAATTCTTACTGTACTACATTAGTTCAACATGCGAACTATATCCTATAGGCCGGATGACATTGCTGTATGGGAAAGCGTCTGGCTAACAATACCGTTTATCTCGTTCGGATAATCCGCACCAGCAGTACCATCGTGGCGAACATAAGCACTGAGTCGAAGATGTAGAGGAATGTTTCGTGTGGTCATGAGATTGCCGGAATCGCCCTGCGCGTATCCGAATCGATCAAGCGGCAACATCGAACGAACAAAAATAAGCACACTGGCCCCATACAACGCGTAAAGGGGCTTGGGAGGAAAGCGGCAGGTGCAAAATGGAAAAGGCTTATCTCGGGATGCTAAATAGCGGCCCGCAGTGCAGTACTCCAGGAGAAATCGCGTTGCGGATTGCGGATTGCGTATAAAGCCAGGGCCCGTAGAGAACATATCCACCCCCTTCTTGGTGCTAGCGTTGATTGCTTCCATTCAGAGATCGTCCCCACAAACTGCCTGCAAATCAAAGCTGCGAGCTGTCGAACCCCGCCCAGTTCATTACATCCAGCGCCCTAGGCTTCTCCCAGGTGTTAACCTTCACCATGCCGGGATGGTCAGGCGCGTCCTCGATCCTGTGGTCGAGCAGCGCGCCGTCATCGCAGGCAGACATGGCAAGGAACTCGAGGGTGCTTGGCGGAGCGCGCTTCAGTATCTCGCGCTCGATCGGCGTCCTGTCGTACGTGTCGTCAGCCGAGCTCGCATCTTTATGACGGGGTCGAGCGCATTGATGACTGCGAAACTAGGCATACATACATCCGCTCGAGGATAATAGCGGCATCTGCCTCCTTCTTCTCCATTTGCGTCTCAAAGTATTTGTCATACTCTAGCTCGTGCTCCAGGAACTGCTCGTCCCACATCTCCTTGAAGAAGGCGCCGACCTCAGGGACCCGCAGGGCTGCTAGCTCGGCGTCGTAGACGTCGAATGCGAAGGTTTTGGGGTGCTCGCTGAAGCGGACGAAGAAGACGTCGCCGTACCAGAAGCGCCGGGCGGCGTCTATGCGCTCCAGCCCGAGCAGCCGCTTGACGTATTCGTTCTCTGGCAGCTCGGGGTCCTCGCTCCAGTATATATTGTAGCCCTCAGGGGCGTCCTGGTCCGCCTCGTTCCGAAGGAGCTTCCGGAACCTTCTGGTGAATTGCGAGGCGCCCCAGAATTTCTTGAAATTCGGCACCGTCATGTGGGGGATCTCGCGGATCCGGCGGTCTTCCTTGTCGGGGAGGCTGTAGAAGGTGATGGGGAAGAGGTCCGGGTCTTTTCCATCTGCGGGGAAGCGGGCGACGAGGACAGTTTTGACTTTTGGTCCTAGAGGGACTTTGTCTTCTGTTGCTTCGTGGGCTGTTGAGCAATCTGAAGGTCGCTGAGTGGCTAGATACTGCCGCATGAGCCTGCTGGTGCCGCTCGCATGTACTCCGCTTTGTGTCACACCTGCAGAAGATTCTGCAATTGCTGGCTGGAGGGACGGGGTGCTGCCCAGGTGCCTTATTGTTTCGTTGAAGACCTCGAGCAGTGCCGATGCGAGGGACAAGTCCCTATTCTGCGCGACAGTCGTGAAGCTCGGTAGGCTCCAGAGTGGGTATACCTTACCATGCGACGCCCGGGTCCTGAAGTTCGGTGCACGATCGCCGGTCATGGTTAGCTTGGTGTATTTGTTGATGAACTCATGGCACAGGTAGCATGGTTTCCTGCTTGTGCCGATATACGGGTGCGCTCTGCGCTGCCACGACAGGTCACTCTCTACGCTCATCAAGACCTGCATTTCTGCGTGAACATGGAGTCGAGACGCTCCTGTGTATCTTTGCGCCTGTTTTGTCTTGAGAATGCGGCTGTTGGACGAGTAGTTGTCAGCATACTCGCGAAGCTGCTTTCGGAACTTCGTCGTGTTGATGTTCATGTGATGAGGCACCGTGGCTGGCATGATCCTCATGGTCTTGAAGTCTGAGAAGGTCAACGCCGCAGATTTAAGGCTCTCGTATATGGCTCGTAAGCGACCGAGCATGAGGATTGCCTTCGCCGCTTTTGTGTTGGTGTTTAAGCTCCAGGGTGTGTAGCGGATAGCATATGCCAGACCAACGATGTCGCCCAGCTGACGAGGGGTTGAACGCTGGTTGAAGTCTCGACAGAGGCTTTGAAGGTGGGCCACTGTTGGGCCGTTTTCACCCGCCTCTGCAGATGGTGGTCCCACGGCAGACCCGAGCTGGTTGATCAAGGAGATATAGAACTCCAGTCGGTTGCGGTAGTATTCGAGAAGGCCTTCCCATTGAGAGCTTCCCACCCATAGGTGATCACTCTGAACATCAGGAACGCGGCCGGTGGATGCGATGACGCGAAGCCACATCTCCAGTCGGTCCAGCATCCTGCGGTCGCGATCGTCGAGTCCCTCATTTTTCGCTATCAGGATGGTTGCTGGCTCTTCTCCGGTGCCCTTAATCCATGCGGCAGCGGCAACATGCTTGGAGTCCATCCGGGACAAGCCTTGCGCAGCTGACTTGTCGCGGGCCAATAGCTCGGCCAACCGATTCAGGAATTTGTCTTTCAAGTTGGACCGAGGAATCCGGTGTAGGCCCGCGCTTGGTGTCACCGTGACCCAATCTTCTGTTTCTTCATCTGTACTGTCATTGCCTTCCCCTGCGCAAGGCTGCTCTGAGCTGGAGATGGATCTTCCTTGGGTGGTGATGGCAAGCAGAGAAGCGGCCGCTGCGAATTCCGTCCTTTCAACGTTCGCTAAGTCCCAGATATTTTCCATTCTGGCTATGCTGAATGTGCATAGAGCGAGCTACGAGTGTCGTTGAAGTAGTTGCCTGGCTGACGCGGCGGGGTCTGCATGTTGTCCGGCTTTGCGGTATCCAATGAGGTGACAGTGTAGGTGGTACCTTCGCCTAGGATACGTCCAATAGAGGTTGTGCCTGCAATGTTCCCAAAAGGACTGCTCACGTGTCTAGCCCAAACAGGCTCTCAGACAGTTATGCATTCTAAGCCTCCTCTCCTTTGAAGACTCTCAAAACCCCCTCCCGGCCGTGCTTCACTTTCAACACCGATGCCTGTCCCACCTCAAGCTCCTGTGCCTCAAGCCTGCGTTTTTCCAAATCCTGTCTCGCCCTTTCATACTGGCGGTTGAGCCTAGCCTTCACTTCAGTGCGTTCTAGCTCTGGCAGGTCTACGTAAAACTCTACATCCAAACGCTCCAGCTCCGGTAGATCGACATTGAACTCCGCATTATGAAATCGCAGTTCGATAATCCATCCTGGCTGAATGACCCTATTCCAGAGTTGCGGGAGCAGGCGTTGGCCGTGAGGTCCGATCAGGTCGTATTCATTTCGGTAAAACGCTCCAAGAACGGCTCCGGTATCGCCAACCTCTGGGTAGAGCTCGGAAAAGGTGATCTCAGAGAAGAGGCACATCAGAGATGTTCTTGGATACAATTCAGTCAGAAATGCGTGCATGTTCTGCGCGTGATCAGCAGATTAGAAATTTACACCAGTAGGGGTGGTCCTACCTCCCATTCCTGTATTTCGTCGAATGGAAGTCCCCACAAGCTTCCATCCGCGTTTTTGAACGTGACTGTCCTATTTGGTACGTAGCTACGGTTTGCGCCCACAGCCACGGAGGCTTCCGCGTTCACTGTCGGAATAACGTCCTCAGGTATTGCAGGGGCGCGCATGGAGCCGACAGCCATCGTCGGGCCAGTGGTCTGAAAGCTAAGGTATTGCTCGTCGTTCTTCGCTATTTCCGGCATGTTGTTATGGCTTGCGGGGCTGTAGTTCCACGTTCCAGCTGAAAGGTGCCCCTGGTTGGCCTCATGGGGGATCTGGTCTTCGGGCAATGGACGATGGTTGGTCTCTAAACTCTTCTGAAGATGGCCCCATTGCTTCTGGCGTCCTGTGTCCGGCAAGGATATGGGATTATTCATTTGTGGTTCAGGAGTAGTGTGGCGACTCGTACTGGCCTGGCTTTCGCGAAGGACGTCTGAAACATGTCGGAGTAATTTTCTTGATACAACCCTCATGTCCTCCCAAAGGTCCTGTGCAGACTCATCGAATTGTTCCTCTAGCTCCTGTTCTCCAATTATCCTCCCTTGGTAAAGGTTTCCACCTGCGTCTGGCCTTGCGGAGAGCGTCCAAGGACTTGTGTCAGGTGCTGACTCATCGGAAGATATGGTGCCTGTCGGCGATGTGAGTTGCGAATCGAACTGGCTGCCAGCTGAGCCCTCTGAGCTGGGACTCGTTGGGGCAAGCACCGCGAACGTAGCGCCTGAAGTATTTCTCCACGCGGAGTGTGTTACGGGAAGTCCTATCTGTAGAGTTCCGGTCACCGAAGCTTCTCCGGATATGAGACTTTTCGAGTCACTGAGTGAGTTCTTAATCCCGACAACTGAATTTTCGAGTGATATCTGGAGAATTCTGAAGCTTCATTAGCTGCAGTCGGTCTAGGCGAGCGTCGTCTTACTCTACAGTCTGGGCAGTCCGATCCTTACATGACCGCAAGACCATCAACGCCAGCGTCGTATCAAGAAGCCGATGCTGACCCTTGAGTGCTCCACGATAGAATAGCAGCTTCTCCTTGCTCCGAAACATCCACTGAATCCTTAACGTAAAAGACTTGAGTTTATTTGGACATTGCCGAAAGTGCACCAGGAGCGGATTCAGCCTCTCCTGGATGCTTTTGATAGGGTCGATGACGCGTTCGCAGATATCCACGATGTCTCTAAGTAGAGTGCGTTCGTCCTGGAATGTAGTGCCCTGCTCTTGTAGTAGGTGCTCCCGGACTCGGTGAAGGAGTTTAGAGAAGGCGTCGATTTCGTCCGCATACACGCGTACTTCAATTCCTGCAGATCCGAGACCGTTCGCGAGTTGATGTAAGCCTTTGGCGACTTTGAGCCCTGCTCCCACAACAGCTAGTATACTAGCTGTAATACTGAATGGGTCTGACATTGCAGTATAGAAGGATTTGGAGGATCTAGTGCTTCATGCTTTGAAAGGATCGAAAAAGCTCAGCAGCGCTGAAGATGTGGAAGCGATGAAATAGACTGTCAATCGATAACCAAAAAAGTTGCAATCTAGCAGTGGAGGGCTAAGCCTCTCCTAACCTCGATTCAGCCTCGGCACACCCCGCTGCCGTCCGCATGCCATATGACACCTTGGTGGGCTTCAATCGTGTACTCCCGAATAAACGTGGACAGTCGGTGCGCTGGATGGAAGTAAGTAGGGCCGAGGGAAATTTGAAAGCGATGTATGCGATTAGAAAAATAGGCCAATGTGTTTTTATCATGGTCGAAGGAATGGTGGAATGAAAATGGGAGTGACCGGTCAACGTAGGCGGAGTGGGGCTGAGTCTGCACTCTATCTAGGCAATAAAGTCCCCGGGGGGAAGGTGCTACTGACGAACCACGCAGCATTCAGTAAGCTCGAATCACGCCCTGGATGGTTTATACATATATTAGTCGCGTATAGTTGCGCGCTTGAGCAAGCCGCTTGTTGTAAATCGTTCCCCGTCGCAAGCAATACATTAGCTTCCGGCGACAGGAACAGATGTCTGACAGTTAGATAACGAGCTGGACGGCGGCACCGAACGTGGCATCTCGAGAGCTGTACGAAAGAGATGCTGATTAAGAACTCGAGGCTGAACGAGATGGTATGGAGGAATGCCCCGGAGAACATGCCCCGAAGCGAACTGGTGGAGAGAGAGGGATTACAATCGGTATGCCGACGTTAAGTGAGAAGTATTACGAGAGTATCTGTCGAGTTTGTGGATAGAGGTCGATCTTCAGATTTCCTTGGAGACCGATTGACCAAGCTGGTAGTATGCTACTTGCCGGGTCTAAGTTAGGTCGGGTTTCTCGCTCAGGTGTATGCGATTGCGTATGCGGTTGCGTATGCGGTTCCGTTATGATGCATGTGAATGCGTCGGCCAAGGCAATCCTTGCTGTGTCCTCGCCCTTAAAAGGTACAAGGCGGCCCAGCCTGACATCGAGGCTATTAGTCCTGTCACGACCCGCGACTCACACTCCTGAAGGCTCTGCGTCCACACGACTTGAGCAGCCGAAGGTTGAGATGCGCGCCGGCCGAAGCCAGCACCTAGCATCGAGGTAATCGAGCAATAAACTCTATCGTCGAGTATTCGTCATGAATGAGGCGGAAGAGGTTCGCTCTTGTTGACCGGCGAGGCCAACCAATGAGACGTACAGGCGGCTTGAAGGGAAGGTATGCCTCATGCAGATACAACTCTAGCCGCGTGGATGCGCGATCTCGTTCCTTCTAACTATCCTCGTTACTGATCTAAGAGCTTCTGATTGAGTCAGTCACTTCCAAGAACCTGGCTCTATCTCGCCATACTTTTCCCTCTTGCTATGTGCACGATCTCGCGTGAAAACCGTGCACAATTAGTTCGCATCGATAGCAGTGGTCTCTTTCTCGAATAGCCCTCATGGTCGCGCCGCTGCTATTTCGAGGTCGAAGCTCATGGAAGGGAAAAGGTGCCCTAAAACCACCAGCGGACGAATATATACCATGGAAGAAAAGTGCATCGGCTTACAACAATGCTTCCGGACACGGATCGGTTGGTTCTGTCCATCTGAAAGGCCTGGGTTCTTACTATGATCCTGACGGATCTTCGGATGGGTCGCGGCAGTCTCGCGAAACGATGGTCCCGATCGAGCTCGACCAAGAAATTACTGCTATCACCGAGATGCTCAAACAAGTTCTCGTGATCCTGCATCAAGAGAAGAAAGAACATGATGGCGAGGATCCTAAGCGAACCGAAGCGAAGACATCACGACGTCTGCAGAGTCTCTCACTTGGACGTTATGTTTCCGGGATTCGGCGCCGACTCGCGAGAGTGAGTGCACAGTGGACAGAAAAGCCTGCTCTCGGAGTCCATACATGCTCTGGGGCCAACGCGGTCGAAGGCCAACGGGAATTAGAATGCGATGGTGAATCCAAGGCGACCGCTGAGACAGATGCCAGAGAGCATCGGGATGGGGAGCATGAGGACGCAATCCCATTGCCGGATATCCACGAAATGGAAGTTCCCTTTCGCCGAGCCGAGTTAGCAAACACCTCAAAACCGCAACGTCTGTGTACGGAGGCGGCTCGTGTCAGTGCGGATCCACTTTTGTTTCCAGAAAACGTAGCTTTTGGGCCCGATTATGGCCAAGAGCAGCCAGAACATTGGAGGCTCCCGCCTATCGCTGAGCTGCCGGGAGACTACGGCATCTCCACTACAGACAGCAAAATTTTCGAACTCGGCGATAATGGAAAAGAAGGAGCAGAATCTGATCGCGAACCGTGGTCTGCGAATTCATGGAGCGATGTTGCTGCTAGCCATGATGGCGACCCGATGTCACAATTTAGGCCAGAAGAGCTGGAGCGCTGGGCTGCGGGCGGATATGAAGTTCCAGGAGCTTCTTTGGAGAGACGGCTCTCGTTCATTAGGGACCAGCCGGATGAGATTACCGTTCGAAGAATCCATCCTGCCAGACCCTACTCAAGTCCCGAAGGACCGGAAAGTTGTGCTCCAGGGTGGGACGTAGTTCCAGGGCTAGGTCTGCAGAGCGAACCGTCGTATACAAGCGGACTAAGAGACTCAATTACTGTTCGTGGAGTTGCCTCTCCAGCTTCAAATTCGATGGCGGGAAAGCTCAAGCGTCGCATTTTGAATGGGGAAGCCATTCACGGATCTTTGCCGGCTTTCGATAGTGCCGCATTGGAACCCCCATTGATTGGCATCAGCCCGTCTGCTCTAGAATACGAACCGAATCCGGTCATTTTCGCGCATCTTCGGTCAGCACCACCATCAGAGGTGGTGCGATTGGCAGGCGATAATGTTCAGGTTAGCCCCCTTTCCGACACTGAAGGAGTACCAACTTCCGAGGGCGTCGTGAGCAGTGGGATCTCTTCGTCTTCGTCGACACGATTACCTGGAGATCCAGACACCGAGGGTTTAGGCCACACTGTAATCCAGGAAAACTCGACTCCATATCGTCGGAACAAGGAATCACCCCCGGGACTGGATATAAAAGCAGATCCCAAACAGCAATCTACTCAGCCGTTCCCGATACCCGGTCACGACTGGAGTAGTCACTCGGATGGTTTTGTTTGTCCGTATTGCCAGAGGCCATTTAGGACTGCTGGCTTGAAAAAGTAAGTATAGTAATCAATATACCCTATTCCTTCCTTTCCTCCTCTTTTTTGTCGATATCAACCCCTACTCACTTCTCGTGTGCGTAGCAAACACGTCAACCGGAAACATATTCGACGGTATAAATGTACAACAATGGATTGCGAAGCCGCATTCCACCTGAATAATGATCTGAGCCGTCATCAGCAGACAGTGCACAAAACTGCTGTGGATAGCACGTGGAAATATACGAATGAGCATTGTAGAACACCGGAGACGGTATTTCGTAGGAAAGACAACTTCCTACGACATGTAGGCCGGTGTGACAGAGAGCGAGGAGGTGGCGTTGCAGTCTCGAGATCGAGAACGTTACGGGGGATTCTTCCTCAGACGGGATAACAGTGTCGTGAAGCTATAGCAATCTCCGGAAAAGTGTAAAAGGCGGCAGCTCCAATTCGGTGCCTCCGGTATGTTAGAATAGGAGCTGTATGTTTACTGGTGGATACTTTGTGTTGACGAGAGGTTGCGATGCGAATGGCTTCCTACAGCGGAGACGGCATTCATCTTGCACTAAGACAACGTCTTCACCATTGTTCCGGCGTTGTTCAAGTTCCGAACTGGTTACTTGGACCCTGGCGAAGGGTAGCCTTCCGCGAAGTTCACCACCTTGAACCTGGGTTCGCGAGCATTGCAAACAAGGCCGTTGGAGACAGCTGATGTCATTGATGACAGGGCATGTTGCAGTTGAAACATGCGGGAGGGCTGAAGGCGGCGGAATGTTTCAGACGGGATAAGGCTGGCTGCTGTGACAATAGCACCCTGAACTTATAAGCAAAAGACGCAATGAAGGATTGAAAATGGAAGGAACGATGCGGGGCGTTATGCCCCGTGGCCTGAGGTGAGAATGAATATACTCTCTCGATAGGCCCATTCTGGCAGCCATGATATAATCGAAGGGTGTCTCGGGGAAATGGCGTGTCACCTGTGGCATATGTCCACGGTGTTTGTCTGGTGGTCTAGTCTCGAGTTCCACAGTTGGGCAAGCTGTCTATTGGTTTGCTCGGTCCTACACAAAGGTATTTTCCGCCACACAGTAGCACGAGGTTCTCGTACGACCGCCATGGTTGGATTTGCGCTCCACAATCGATATACTTCGCACATGCCCACAAACAATATTCTCCGGACTGCGTATGCGCTCCACACTATTGGTCTCGTGCTCCAGGAGGAAGCGGGGTGGATTCGTAGTCGTGCCGCGAATGGCAGACGTGTCCATGAAACGACCGATCGAAACCAACTTCTATCGCGGACTCTACTCGTCAGCCCACTGGAGGATGTACAGTAGTACCACCGGCTGCGATGGTTCTTTGTGATTTCCTGTTCCTGGATTGGCTCCACACTCCGAATTGGTGGCTGAGATGGCCGTTTGAGGTAAATGCGATAAGATATCGCTCCCGGCTCACGGTATCCCCCAGTCCGGGATGTTCTGTGGCGGGAGATAAAGTACATGATGCCATCGTGCAAAGGACGCCTACCGCACGGAGGAGGCATTGCATCTGTGACGGCGGGAGCGCGTGCGGCGCGTGGATTTGCGCATTTTGAGATTAGGACAGCGAGGGCTCGCCACTGGCAGGAGACTCCCAGCTTCCAGCGTCCCGGGTTAGGAAACGATGCGTCGAGAGCAGGAGGTTGTTTCAACGGCCGGTCGACAGACGAGGCTTGGCACTGGCTGTTCCTGCAGGCATGCTTTAACGAGATGAGATGTGCACGGGTGGTGTTGGTGAGACGAGTTTCAGCGAGCGCGAGACGGGCATCCCTTGCCATGAAACCGCGGCCTCTTGGCCTCGACACAAGCATTCAGGACAGATTTTGCAACGAGCGACGGCGACACGAAGGCCGGAGTCGTGGAGGATGACGAAAGTTTTCCATGTGGGCGGCCACGGAGGTCGAAAATTGCCGCGACGCGGTGCCCAGGCATCGCAGTCCGGCGCCGGCAGCTGGCTGGCGCGCGAGAGACAGCGAGTGCCAGTGGAACGAGCTGAGTGCTGACGGGCAGGTTGAGGCCCGCGATGCAGCTCGAGTCCTGCGAAGCCGCGGTTCTTATGCGCAATTCGTAATGGACACACAGCGCATGGCGACGAGGTGGCCGAGCAGCCTGCAACCTCCGCAGCGCTGTCCGCTCCAGCACGCTTCTGAACAGTGATGGCAGAAATGGGTCTCTTAATTTAGAAGTGAGGGCAGCTGTTCGTGGCTGAAGTCGGCGGGCATCGCGTGCATGCAGTTGTTCGTCGCTGAGTGGCCAGCAGCGAAGCGGCCCCTTGCGTAGCCGCCGTTAGTTCGTCGCCGTGGCCGATGACTGGCCTCCGTAGACAGCGCAGACGCTATCGAGCTGGTGGGGACGCTGTTGCGGTGTGCTGGACGGCCGCTCGTCGAGCAATGAGCGTGCGGATGTTTCACGGGCGCGCTCTTCGCTGTCGGCCGCTTATTTTTGGGCGGGAGGAAGGGCTCTGGCTCTCGTCGGTCGTCCGTGGTTCATGGCTGGTGGTGTCACTGGCTGCTTATGCGAGCCACGGCGCGGCGGGCGTCGGCGGCGGCGGCGCGATATCGAGGTCGCGATGCGATGCGTGCGATGCGTGCGATGCGATGCGCACCCTCTGCTGCGACCTCCCTCGCACTCTACTTGCACAACGAGCATCAAGACCATTGCGCAGGATTATTGAAGCGTGGAATTGCGCATGGCATGCGGCCGTTTCAATTGACCCTCCGTCTGCAGTAGCCCACTGCGCGCTCGCAGGGCTGGATGCGTGGTGTGTGGCCCCTGAATAGCGCACGGGCCCGCTTTCCCTCGCAGCCGGCAAGGGCCACCCAACCCAACCCACCCTACCACGCCAGGCCATCAAAACGCCTCCCTCGTCCGCCTGCTCTACTTCTGTCACCTCTTCTTCCCTCCTGGCCGCACTTCCACCCCGCCCTTTCCCCCGTCTCCCTCGCTCTCTTCTCTGCCTTTGTGCAGCTTCTGCATCTCTTACATTGTCCTCTTTGTTGGACTACCGTTATCCCTCTACTAATCTCGATCCTTTCGAGCGCGCCAGTACCGCCGCTCCTGCCAGCAAAAGAGCCCGCAGGCCGACCGCATCAAGACCACGCCGCCTCGCCAGCTCTTGGTCCCGTCCTTGACGCTTCCAGCTTCAGCATTCGCCCTCTGCTTTTCGCTTCGACATACTTTGCCCGCCCGCCTGCGCACCTTCCCGTCGCCGCGTCGACACCGCCTTACCCACACCGACGCCGAGGACTCGCGGCCACGGCGACCAGCCTTTGTTAATAGCTCCAACTTCGCACTGCCCGTCGGCCGCTTTACGATTCTAGCCTCTACCTTACCACCGAGATCGCTACGATCCTTAATCTTCTAATCGCGCGACAACCCTCACGTCTGCTGCCAGCAAACGTCCTGTACAAATATCCCATCTCCTGAGCGCGTCTGTCCGTCCCCACGCGCCCCGAACGCTCCCTCGACTCTCCGTCTCGTTGCTTTCTGAGACCGTCCACTTCCATTCTGTATCCTTCCTGGTGTTGTTTACGCATCACTTTGTTGCAGCCTTACATTTCGCCCTTTCCTACTAGAAAAGCAAAATGAGCATGGACGCAGGCGGTCTTGCTCAAATGACTTACAACAACTTCCCGTCCAACGGCGGCATTGGTATGCCGACCGCCAGCTTCGCCTCCCGCGGAAAGGGTGCGTCGCTCAAGCGCCTGAGCGTTGCCTCCCCTCCCAAGGTTGCCTCGATTTCCGAGAACGCGGAGACGCCGACTCCTCGCACCAGCCGCTCTCACCTTCTCGCTGGCCTCCGTACTGCTCCGAAGACTCCGACGTCCGCCCAACCTCCTGCGTCGGCTCCCTACGGCCAGCGCCAGCACCATATGGGCAGCGGGGATGCAGGCCGCTTCGCCCACCAGGGTTACAATGCTGCCAACCAAGGCGTTCCTCAGACTGCCATTGGATCTGGCTTCTCAGGTGCCAACCAGTTCAACCAGCACCACACGCTCTACGATCAGGTGCTGGCGCCGCCGCCCGTGCAGTTCGACGATGCCGATATCGATCCTAGCATCGCTGCCCAGCTCCTCGCGACGGAGCTCTACCTCGCTCAGCGACAGCAGCAGCTCCAGCAGCAGCTCCTCAACCTCACGGCTCAGCAGTTCGGCGCCATGAATCTGACCAACGGACTTCGGCAATCGCAACCATTCCCGTCGACGCCTTTCACGCCACAGATGAACGCCTACGGTCAGCAATTCCAGAACACCTCAGCTCCCCAGGAGACCGACCAGCCTGGTGTCTACCTTGCCTTCAATCAACTTACTGGGCAATATCAATACGTGGTAGATCCGAGCTTCCAGCAGCTTCAGCAGGACGACATCCGAACTCAGACTGTGTCTGCCAATTTGTCGCACTCTCCGCCTCCCCCGACTCCGAGCTTCACCTCGTCCCCTCCCAAGGTCAACACGCCGACTCTGCAGGTGTCTCCTCCCAATGAGATCAGCCCAAGCCCTTGGGCCTCCCGCAGCTCATCCCCGCCAAAGAAGTCCCCGACCCCGCCGCAGGAGTACGACCCGCTTCCGCCGCCGTCCGCCAACGCCTTCCGCCGTGGCCACAAGAAGAACCTCTCTTCGCTTGCTGTGGACGCCAAGGCGGAAACGCCAGAGGGCCCGAAGTCTGCCTTTACTCGCCCGGTTGGATTCCCCGCGACTCCCAACACGGGCTCCTTCGGCCCAGGGCAGGCGCGTGCTGGAGAACACCCCCTCCGACAGCCTCGGGGACCGCCGCCACTAGAAGAGCTCCAGGTCAGCCCCACCACCAAGCACGAGGGTAGCAAGAACTTCGCTACGCGCCAGCGCCGACAGGCTGTGAGCAACCTCGTTCGTGCCGGCATCGGCCGCCGTGGACACCGCACCGATAGTGCTGGCAGCATGAGCCCAGTGAGCGAGACTGAGATGTCTTTCCCACTGTCCGACTCCGACAGCGTCCACAGCGCGGGAAGCGGCAGCCTTTCTGGCAAGCCTAGCATTGGAAGCCTCCGTGCAGCTGCCAACGGCGCCATCGGATCCGAAAGGAAGGCCTCGAAGGAGCGCTCTCGGGACCGCACCACTGTCGACCGCTCTTACACTGCCAACAGCGTTAGCAGCGATGAGGGTGCGTCGGTTGGTGGCGGGCTTGTCGAGATCCGAGTGGACGAGCCAAAGCAGTCGGGCGAGCGCCGCACAATGCCCAAGCTTGTCCTCACCAGCGCTGAGAAGCGAAAGAGCTCGATGTTCTAAGTGTCGCCGTTCCACTCCGGGATACCTTCTCGGCAGATTCCGAGGCGATCTTGTTCATATTGTTGCGGCGTCTTAGCAGGCGTTGCGACATTACTTACGGCCAGTCACGACTTGTTTCTTTGCTTTGCGTTCATTGGATTGGGGTTGCATTTTGGGTGGGGTTCACTGTTATTGCTCTTTCATGATTCACTTCGTCGCCTTTTCGGTTTCCGCATCATTTCACGGTGTGGAACCGTCCAGGTTCCTCTTTTTGGCTTCATGTCTCTGACTTATGCGAACACTGTTTTAATGAGCATGATGGGTTTCTCTTTCATCGTGTTGCGACAAAGATTGGACACAGAAAGATACATACGCCCCGACGGGTTTGGAGACTATGGACATTGGGAGAGGCGTTTCCCACAGACAACGAGCTTCTATGCCTGCGGCTAGGGCTCCTTGCACTCCTTTGCAATTTGGTTTCCTGGAAAGATGTATGGATGGAAAGGAGGCCTTACTGACCAGATCATTCCTTACGTGTTTCGTAGGATGGATGGCAGGGCATATATCAAAACGGCAGTTGAGATGACGAATGGGTGGATGGTCATGTAGGATGAGAACCTAAATGTTATCACACTCATTTAAAATTTGTCTGGATCTTGGACATTGCAGCGTGTTCCTTTTGTCTGGCCAACGTCCTACAAAGGTACGAAGAGCGGATAATTGTTTCCTCAGCCCTTTACTTCCTGTTCCCTCTGCCGATCTCGTCACGTCCTTCTGTAAGCTAGCTAAGCAAGCTAGCTAAGCCTGTGCAATAAAGGCTTCACTCATGCTTGTGTTAGTGTAACGGTACCTGTGTGATCTGCTAAACCACGTGGTACCCGCGTATCGATAAGGCGGCGATGACACGGTGGTGTGCAACCGTAAACATGAAATTTCTAGACAACAACCATTGACCTTTCCCCACGCCTCCTCATGAAGGAACAGAGCTTTCGAACACGTCTATTAATCGCATATGTGCCCTTCTGCACGTAATCTTCCAGCGCTCTCCCTTTCAGAGCGCCCCGCCGCAATGGCTCCTTCCGCGGAGGCCACAGTAGAACCCATCCAGCCTCCTCCTACGCCGCCCACCGACCGCCCTCTGCATACTCTTCCCGCGCCGTTTACAGATTCAAACCTCACAGTCCTGGCCCAAGGCGCAGAAGCGCTCGTCTACAAAACCGTCTTCCTCACGCCGAACACACCCTGCGTCGTCAAATACCGACCCCCAAAACCATATAGACACCCCACGCTCGACAGGCGGTTAACGAAAGCACGAATACTAGCTGAGGCAAGAGTGCTCGTCCGGTGCAAGAAGGAGGGGGTCAGCGTGCCTGGAGTACTAGGCGCGGATTGGGACGAAGGCTGGCTTGCGCTGGAGTGGGTGGAGGGGAAGACTGTGAGGAGGGTGCTGGATGGCTGGGCGGAGAGGATAACAGCGCTACAGAGGGAGGGGAAGAAGACGGAGGAGGAGACGGAGGATGAGGCGATGTTGGGGCTTATGAGGAGGGTGGGAAGAGTGGTGGGGAGGCTGCATGAGATTGGGGTTTGTCATGGGGATTTGACAACGAGCAATTTGATGCTGAAGCCGCCTGAGCGAGCTGATGTATCTACGAACGGGCAAGTACCGCCAGAGAGCTCGAGACCAGCAGGACGCCAGACCGTTTCTGCAATGCGCGAGACAGCCATCACAGAAACCGACTCCGTCCCTCCTCCTTCTCCGCCTTCCCGACTAGATACCTCCGACTCGCTCGAAGGCGAAGTCACGCTCATAGACTTCGGTCTCGCAACGCAAAGTACGCGGGCCATGCAGGAAGAGGAACGCGCAGTGGATTTGTATGTGCTGGAAAGAGCCTTCGCCGCTACACATCCGGCAGCCGAGCCGCTCTTCCAGGAGGTATTGAAGAGTTATGGAGAGAGCTTCAAAGGAGCACGGCTGACATTGAGGCGGTTGGAAGATGTCAGGCTGCGGGGTAGGAAGAGGAGTATGTTGGGCTGAGGAGGGGCTGATTGCAAATCGAGGACATGATCAAGATGGACTTGCTCGCGCTGACATGGTTGTCGACGAGCTCGCTCTACGGAGAAATGGGGAAACAATGTCGACGGAAACATGGGCAGACGATTCACATCACCCATGGCGTCATGGAGGAGACAAGTAAAACATCCGCGCCACAATTTCGCGAGTTTTGCCCTGCGATGCCGCAGCAGTTCCTGCGTATTCGGGCGCATTGGGTCACGTGCGTGTCGTGCATCCCTCGATCTACGTGAGTCGTTGCATCACCTCGGATGCCCGCTCAAACACTCTTCCCCAATTTCGGGGTTCAACTCGCGAATTCCCAGGAACGCGGCGCCCGTGGCCCCTTCATCTCCCAAAACACCAGTTTTGGGCATCGCATTCTCGCATTGTGTTAATACAATTTTCCTATTTAGGTCCTTTCCGCGAAACGGGATCCGTGCGTAGCCTCAGCCCCCACTACATAACATAGCCATACACTGCCGTTGTTATCTCAGCTCGGGGCTTTTAAGCTTCGATTTCGCGACGATCGGCGGAGCTAAGTCCTCTCACCGTTTGGGCAATCATGTCAGTGGCAGTGTGCAGCCGCAAGTGCAGCACTTGTGGCCAGCGACTGGTCTGTACCAAGCCCAGCTGGGATATGGGAAGTTCCGTGGCTGAGAGCTGGCGCTGCGGAGCCTACTGCGTATGTCCTTACACTGCGAGGTCTATTTTTGTGAGTAGCTCATTGCTCCTTTGGTGGGAGTATATGTATTACGGTTGCTCGGATGCCTTGTCGTTCAAACCATTCCAATCGCTCATCAGTCGCAACAGCCCCTTCAAATCCCTATCCGTAGTGCATCAATTTTCTCTGTATTTATCATCCCATTCGCGCTAATCGCAGCATGTCTGCAACGCTCGACATACCTTCATCCGTCAACCTCCTCGCCCGCGCAGAAACCACAATCGCATGCGTGAGCGCCACGCCGGACCATAATGGCTATGTTCCTCCCGGCTCTTGCGATTCGTTTTATGAATACTACCCATCATTCGCCCTTGCTGCGGTAGTCACAGGCCTCTTCCTCCTAACCACCCTCGGCCACATCCTCCTAGCCTTCTACCACAAGAAAGGGTTCTGCTGGGTCGTCTGCATGGGCACGCTGTGGGAGTTTGCCTCGTTTGTGTTCCGCACGCTGAGCACGAAGAATCAGCAGAATAAAACTTTGGTACAAAACAGCTTTCTGCTGTTTGCTCTAGCCCCGTTGTGTAAGTCCTTCCCTTACCTCTTTCCACCCCTCCTGTGCGGACAGTGTGGCTGATCTGGCGGACGTAGGGATTAACGCTTTCGTCTACATGGTCGCCGGCCGTCTGATCTTCTGCTTCCACCCCGAGAAGCGCGTCTACAAGTTCAAAGCCATATACATCGGTCGCTTCTTCGTGCTGGCCGACATCGCCTGCTTCGCCGTGCAGTTGGGCGGCGCGCTGATGATCAGCCCTGGCGCGAGCCAGAAGCTCAAGGAAACGGGCCTGCATGTCTATCAGGCCGGCATCGGGCTCCAGCAGGGTTTTGTGCTGCTCTTCGTCGCTATCCTTGTGGGCTTCCATGTGGCGATGCGTGGGCTGGAGCGCAGTGGCTGGAGGGATAGCCAGAATCGGAAGTGGGGACTCATGGTTTGGGTGCTGTATTTTGTGCTGATTATGATTACGGTAAGGTCCCACTCATTCGTCTTCTCCTCCTCCGTTTGCCGTCCTTGAAACAAGACGCAGGGCTGACGGAACCCAGATCCGCATCGCCTACCGCCTCGCCGAATACCTCATCCCTCTCGACGGCAACCCGCTGCTCACCCACGAATTCTACTTGTACGTCCTCGACGCGCTACCCATGTTCCTCGCGCTCGTCGCCCTACTCGTCGTGCACCCCGGTCGCGTGCTCGTCGGGCCCGGAAACAACTACCGCGAAGGCAAGAAGCAGATGAAGGCTGAGAAGAAGGCGAGGAAACACGGGAAGCCGTTTGGGGCTGATGAGGAGGAGAGCATGATGGGTGTGGAATTGGATCATGCTGGCTCGGCTTGGGGCGGATCAGCTGCGCCGGCGGCTTATAGTCCGTTGGGTGATGAGCAGGTGCATGGGGTTGTTGGGGGTGCGGATGCGCAGGGACAGGGGACGTTATATGATCCGCACTATGGGGGGATGTAGAAGAGTGCTGGATGAGGAGGTGGTGCTGGGCACTGTAAGGGTAAGTGTACCAAGTTAGATTTGGAGTACAGGTGTTTTGAGTTGTTGTCGGGAATGGTCATGGCGGGTTTACTATTTTCCTTTTATTCCCCATTTGTATCGCGTTCTATATCCTCGTCATTCCGTTTATTACTTTTATCCTGTATGTTCTATCGGTAGATCTACACGATTTTCTCGAATCCGGGAGCACGCAATGCGGGTTCCAAAACTGAGTCTATAACGGTGTAGAGCTTGAAGAGAGGGATGTAAAAGGTGCGTACGGCCGTTTCTTTCCATGCCCAACAGTTGTCGGCTTCTGTATCGGTCCCGTTTTCCCTTAATTCCATCTCATCTGATTGTGCGCCCCTCATTCACTCTAAAAGGTCATTAGTATTGTCCCGCTCCACCAACCTTCGCCAACACCAACCACCACTACATCTCCTACGAGCACATATACTAGACAACACATGACGACGTAGCTACTCTTCTTGATTGTAATGGCCCGCATCGCGATGTGGTAGTCATTGTAGTCATTACTATGAAAAATTTCCGCCTCGCTTCACCGCCACTCAGGAACAATAGCTTCAGCGAACCATCGACGAGCATTCCGGAGACAGACTATTGTTCGCTCACGCTCCACGCAGCCGGAGACAATATGATGACCGCCGGCGAGTCGCTCCGCAGCGCTTACAATTGTCCGCCGCCGTCGCTCACGCCTCTCCCTGCCGGGCAACGCATACAGCCAGCAGTACAATGGTAAGCTCGACAACAATCGCAAGGAGCTCCCGTCCGTCCGTCTATATATACCCGTCTCTCCCCTCCATTTCTTCTTTTTCCCAGACTCCTTTCCAACTTCTACAACGCTATCAGCTTTGCTTCGACTTCTTCAACTTTCATCAAGACACCAACTGAGCTCACGCACAACCACGCTCTTCTTTCCTTCCGACATCTACTACATCACTCCTCAACAAACTCAGTCAGGAAATGAAGTCAGCAGCCATGCTCTCCCTCCTCGCTTTCCTCTCCGTCATCGACACGCTCTCCGCTATGGCGCTCCTCCTCGCGCTCTTCGACGAGCTGCGCATCCTCGTCCTCGCCGCTGGATCTGGATCTGGATCTGCGAAGACCTCTCTCATCCACAAGACCGCTTCCGCTTCCACCGCTTCACCGCTTCTCCTCAAGATCATCCGCCCGGTCAGCATTCAGGCCGTGGAGGAGAAGCCAACTCGCAAGGTCCATGTCCGACCGCGCATCGTGGAGGCGCCTACGGGCGGGTATCAGTGCGCGGTTATGTGAGCTGAGCTGAGCTGAGTGCTCTTGCTCACTGGATCACGTACTCGTTGCGCTAGGGATGGTATGTTCACAATCAATGTACAGCTTGCTTGTGTGGTGTAGGAGCTAACGCGAGTAGACTTTCTTTCACCGGCATCGCTCTTCGCGACTACGGCATATTGTCTGCGCAACGCATAGCCGGTCGGGTCGGACGGATGGTTTCGTGGTTTTCATTCCCCTTTCACCGGACATTGTATCATCGGCACCTTCAGCATACAGTCATGATTTTCAAGTGGCTTCTCGATTCTTCTTGAATGGCTCTGGATCTATCTGGATACCGCGAGCGATGGATGGATGGGGCTTTTGAGCTGACTTCTTCCTCTCTTTCTGTCTTTCTGTCTTCTTTCTTTTCAATATCAGACGGAGGTTTCTTTTCTCTTGAGGAAGAGCTAGGAGTCTGGATGATGGTGGGAATGCGGTAAAGCTTTAGGATAGCATGGTCTCTTGCGTTCCCGATCTGATAGCTTTTTTCCCCCTCGGCAGAAACAGAAAAATCTTTGAGAAAACAATCTTTGTGCTCTGATAGAATCGCGTGATGCTTCAATTGGTCGTTGAGGCCGTTAACCGTGGAATGAGATAATAGTTACGGTGTTGTAGTCTAGGCGTAATCCAAAGCTGTGAGTATTCATACGCTACCTAGAGACCGACTCCATGGCGAGCGAGCAAAACTCCGTGCGTTCGTATAGGAGAGCAGCAGTAGACGAGGCTGAGAGAGAACCCGTCGTGGCTGAGAGCCTGATATAGACAGGTATCCACGAATCAAAACCCCCCGCTACATAAATAGCCACCACGAGCCACATTCTCTGTACGAAGTAGATAAGCGACCGCAACCTCAGGCCTTCCACCAACCTCGGCAGCTCCTCTTCTCGATCACCAGACTTTCAGCATGTAGAGACCTCGTATGGGGTTGAGTTATACTACTGTAGGACTCTTGGGTGGGCGCGCGGTCAGATGTTTGTTTGCTTGGTTGTGGCATCAGGAGATCGCACCAGCCACGGTGTGTGGCATACCCGGCTCAGCGCGAAGCAACATCGTGTAGCTGGCTATGAGGGCATTGGCGACCGCTAGTCTGTGTCTGTGTATGCTGTGAGGATATTGGGTATATAAGATGCTAGAGCGACCATGGATACGCCTGGGATTCCATACAAGATTCCTAGGTTCATAGAGAGCTTCCGTTTCCTACTTCATCAGCACTTATCTCTTCTTTCCTATCGTCATTCCCTCTGTCACGGCCAGTATGCGCTCTCTCGTTACCCTTCTCCCAGCGCTAGCCTGCACCGTGAGCACTGTGCTCGCCCTCCCCTTAAACACCACCAACACCACACTCCCCACCCCCGCTCCCGGAGCCGGAGCCGGAGCCTGCATAATCTCCAATGCGACCTCGCCCATCCTACCCAGCAAAGACCCCTGGTACAAGCCGCCCGCCAACTCCTTCTGGGAGACCACCTTGCCCGGCACCGTCCTCTGCAGCCGCCCTGCACCCGCACAAGACGAAACCCCCGGGTCCAGCGCCATGAACATCCTCTTCCGCACGACCGACAGCCACGACAATCCCACCTGGACCGTGACCACGGTGCTTGCGCCCAGCACTCCCCGGAGCCCGCCCGCCATGATCTCGTACCAGCACTTCATGGACAGCCCGTCCGTGGACGACAGCCCCAGCTACAGAATCTACAAGGAGGTCGAGCTGTACTTCATTGTCGATTCGCTGCTGCAGAAAGGCTACTACGTCAACATGCCCGACTACGAAGGGCCCAAGGCGAGCTTCACCGCGGGCAAGATGTCCGGCCACGCAACGCTCGACTCTGTAACGGCGGCGCTGCGGTTCCTCCCCGACGGCATCCAGTACGCCATGTACGGCTACTCGGGCGGCTCGTTCGCCACGGAGTGGGCCGCCGAGCTGGCAGAGTCGTACGCGCCGAAGCTGCACTTCGCGGGCGCAGGCATAGGCGGCGCGTATCCGAACGTCACGGACGCCTTTGAGAAGCTGCGCGAGCTGCAGCTCACCGACTCGGCGTGGGGGAAGCATCTGCGGAGCGCGATGCTGGGCATCGGAAACGAGCACCAGGACGCAGCGGACTCCGCTATGGACATCCTGATCAGCATGGGGAAGCTGAGCACCAAGGACTGGGAGGCGGCGAAGAAGATCGTCAGGTCGACTTCGAAGATGGACGCACAGGCCATCTATGACTTCTCCGGCCAACTCCTCCAGAGCGCGACGGTCCAGAACGTCCTGGAGGAAGACGCCAGGTTCGGATTGCACGGCCTGCCGCGCATGCCCATGGTGATTCACCGGCATGAGCTGGACCCGCTGAGCTCGACTGCAGAGACGACAAGTCTGTGGTTTGGGTACTGCTTCCATGGCGCTAGGGTGCTGTACCACCTTAACCCCGATGTGTCTAAGGCGCAAGGGCAGGCCAATTTTGACTGGCATAGGCAAGAGGGAATCGACGGCATGTTCAAGGGTATGCCGCAGTATTTCGAGCAGATGTTCAATGGGACGTTCCTGCCCGATGGTTGCCGGTGGGTGTATGATAACTGGACGGTGTTGTAAAGCAGGGCGTTCCTTACGACCGGAACGGTTCATTTCTTCGCGGCTGGAGCTTCATTAGATTATTGAATAGACTCAAGACTTAACCAGCTTTGAAAAAAAGGATTGGGGCTCATAGCTACCACTCCCTTCAAGATTTCTCCCCCCTAGACATGCCCCCTTCCTCACAGCCTACTCTTCTCCTCCAACAACTGCATCCCCGTCTCTTCCTCCAACTCCCTAACCGCCTCCCTCGTCCTCCCCAAACTAACCTTAATAGTCCTCAGCCCACTCCTCTGCGCCCACTTCAAATTCACCCCAATATCATCCAAAAACAGCACATCCCGCGCGCTCACTTCCCCGAGCCCCTTCCGCTCCGCAACCCTACCCAGCTCCCTAACCGCGAGCTCATACGCCTTAGGATCTGGTTTCCTAACGCCGACATGCGCGCTCGAAATATACACATCAAAGCAGTCTGCAATATCCGTCGAATCGGCCGCATGCGGATGCGGCGGCGGCGGATGCAGCAGCGCCTTCTCAAACAGCACGCCCTCGTCGTCGAGAACGCCAGTGGGGAAATGCACGGTGTTGCTCAGCGCGCCGAGGACAAAGCGCCCGCTGTGCCTCAGCCTCTTCAGCGCCGGATACATCCACGCGTCCGGCGTGCGACTAATGCGCATCATGCGCCAGAACAGCCGCTTCGCATCGATATCTGGGACGGCCGGCACGCGCTCTACCGCCGCCGCGGGAACGCCGCCGGCGTTCTGTGTCACGGAGTGTTTGCGCCAGTATGCGGTCCAGATCTCGGGGCGCGAGAGCTGCGCTTTGAAGGCGCGGAACCAGGCGTCGTTGAGCTCGACCTCGCCCCGCTCGATGAGCTGCCACGCGCCCGTGTCGTGTGGGCCCTGCTGGATGGCGTGGTTGATGTAGCCAACGGGAATGTCGTTTTCCAGCTCGTAGTCGAGGATGGCTTGGAAGGGGCTGACGACCTGGGGCGGTGGATATGTTAGCAGGAGCGCTTGGTGAGGAAGGAATGGAACGGTGGATTACCCACACAGACGCCGCCAATGTCGAAGAGGATGGCTTTCGGAGGGGTTTTGGGAGGCATTGTGATGCTGGTGGAGGGTTCACTGGGTGCTATGAGGGTATCATTGTGCTGAACTAGCTGGCAAGCTCGCGTCTTAAAAGTCGCGTTGGTCGAATGTAGTGGGGAACAAGTTTCCCGACAGATGCCGAGGCACAACAGCCCAGCATATCGATAAGGCCAGATTATCTGATATCAGACATCGAACATCATTATCGTCAACTTAACAGCATTGCTAAGACATGAAATCGAAAATAAGCTACTTAGATGTGCATCTCTACTCCGCATTAAGCGTGATAGTAGTGACCCTGTCGCCCAGAATCTGACCCGCGGAGACCGAACCATGGCCACCCATTCTCAACCCATTTCTCCTTTCCCAAACAAAAACGCGCTCTTTTAGACGCTAGAAAGCATGTGAGAGGAGCATACCGACAGAAGAGCTGACCGCTGATGAAATCTCCATGGGTAGGAAAGCCTTCCGATACCCTAAAGCCTGAACCAAGCAAACGAAGACCACGGAGGCCGTAAACAGGCCGAATAGCCGCACTGAGAAACAGCAACTCGTCATAACCTCCGCTGCCCTTTTTTGATCAAGCAGAGTTGAATGAAGCTTGATACCAAACATCGTCCGAAAGATACTCCAGTACATGAGACCAAAACTCCACAGAATATCGAGTGCCGTATAACGCCAAACTTGTCCGAGGTATGATGAGTAACAAAGGAAATGGAATGACTGTCGAGATCAATCGCCCTTCACGCTCGAGCTGACGTAGCCATCGTCAATCTCTTCGCGCTCAGCTAGACCCACAAGCGTTTTGCTTGCGTCTAGGCACCGGCTGACGATGCGGCCCCGCACCTTGTTCGATAGACCACTGCGACGGCCCGTCTGGTGTCCTACCCACTTGCGTAATGAGCTGGCAAGACGCTCAAGGCCATAGCTGGCTTCGGCTTGGAGCGACGGGTCTCGAATGAAATGGCTGAGAATCTTGTATCCTGCAACAAAACTAAGCAGAGTCGTAGTCGCTTCTGGGAGGAAGGTGTTGTTGACCACAACGATGGCTTGCCGGCGGGCTTCGGATTGAGGAATTTCCACGAGGACGTGGCACTTGGCCAGCGTTAAAGCCATCTGGATGTCCGTTGCTACTGGAGCGGCGCCAACAAGATTCATGAGAGTGGTTCCGGTGGAGGAGGTAGGAGCCGGCAATGCTTTGAAAGCGGTAGCAATGCGTGAGGCGCGATCATCGTCCAATACAACAGCTTGCGCAATTAGAGCTCTAAGCTGCGCCTGGGACGTCAGAGGTGCGGTTTGTGCCGCCAACTCCAGATCAGACTTGACCTTCTCCTTTGCTGTGCCGTTCTTAGAAGCTAAGCAGCCAGCCAGACCCTTCTTGAGGACATAGCTAGAGTACCAAGCCGCAAGCGCGTCTAAGGGAGAAGAGATGGCAAAATCTTCGACAACGCCATCCATAGATTGATCCACAGCCGTCTGCTCTGCGATGGGCCGATTCCAAGCGAGATTGTACGCGCGCTGGACGATGCTGGGGACAAGGACCTCGTCACAATCCTTCTCTAGCAGAGTCGCCAGGTGATCCGGCAGGGGCTCGGCTTCGCTGTCTGGTTTTGAAGCCATGTTAGCAGCGATCCTCTGCTCGCTTCGAGCCATGTTCCAATATCTCCGAGCCAACTTCGCGCTAAGGTTGTCGAGCATCCACCCGTAACCGTGACCAGCGTTGGCAAGCTCCCAAAGCAGGACCCGGAGATGCAGGGCCTTGAGCATCAGTCGAGCAGGGGTATCAGGTAAGGTTCCAGACGCCATCAATGTCAAGACTAGCCTGCTCTTGCTGATCTCCGCATCACCACCGGTAAGCTGGGCATCTAGCGCAATGTTCCATGCCTTCACCCGCGCAGCTTCCTGCTCTTTCGTGATACCAGTGAGGAATGCATATCCAAGCCAGCCAATGATCTTTCGCGTGCTGAGCTTCAGTGTCTTCAGGCTTAGGGCAGCGACTTCTAATAAGAAGTTGTGCCGAGGAACCCATACAGTTTGGATCGCGGTGAGCCAGGCCTGCCGCCGCACTTCCACGGGGGAAGCAAGAGAAGGAGCGGGAGACAAGACAATTGCAGGCGCAGACTTCTTCTTTGGCTTCGTTCTAAAGTCTAGGAGTGGCGCAATAATGTAGAATACGGCACCGAAGATAAGCAACAGCTTGGCGAGCGGGAACTGTGCAGTTGCACCGCCGAAGGAGACTTGAGGGGTGAGGATGGCAGCGAAATTGAAGGGCAGGGCGAACAGCCCGCGATCTGCTGGCTCTTCTTTGGATCCTTGCCTTTCGGCCAGGCCTTCCAGAACCATCAAACCTGCAAGCGAGCCAACCATGAGCTTGCCCATCATGCCGTTGCCGCGTCGCGCATTGACTAGCGGGGGCCCGGTTTGGCCGGGACGAGAAGAGCCGGAGAAGGGCGGATACGCGGGCGCATAGTGAGGCTGTGGCGGGAGTCCGCGGTGTAGACTTGCAATGTTCTCTGGTACAGGGATCATGCCTTGCGGCGGCCCGGACATGGGCATGCCATGGGACGGTGTGAATGGGTCGTCTTGATACCTGCTCCCGTCTGGTGTGCTCACAGGACCATGGAGAGACATGGGTCCTGATATCGCCATCTTCTCGTAGCTCTCGACGCGCCCCTTCAAAGCGTTGACCTCCTCTTGCAGACGCTTATTACGCTTTTCAAGATGTCGAATATATTCAGTAGCCTTCGATAGCACGGTAGCTTTGTTGAGCTTGTGGGCCGGTGTGAGCCCTTCGAGATCTTCCGGGTCGTCATCCTCTTCTCCATTTGCGCCCGGACGTGACATAACGCGCAGACTGGGTACGCTGTCGCGGAGAGCGGCAATCTTATCATTCAGATTTGTCCGGTATCGCTTCTCAATCATGTTGTGTGCAGTCTTCTTTGGCGGCAATTGCTTCTCCCTCTTACCTCCCAGTGCTGGTTCAGTCTCGTCGGTGGACGACTTCCTCTTCTTCGAGTTCTCGAGTGCCGGCTCGGGCGACGAATGTGCGGAGGAGCTGGTCCGGCCATTGTGGGTCGAGCTGGGGCTGTGGCTGTTGTGCAGGCTTGGTGTTGACAGCGCGGGGGCTGGAGCGGCGGACGTGCCTAGCTCTCCGAACTTGGGAGGCGAGAAGATGGGATTGTCGTCGGATTGCTGCTGCTGCCACATCGGGGTGGGGTAGAAGCTGCTCTGTTGCTGGCCTTCGCCGGATGAGGGCGAGCTTAGCGTGTTGGCATCGAAATTGAACGCAGGCGGGAGCTCAACGCTTTCTCCGAACGAGAAGGGCGCGCCTGTTGTTCGCGCAGGCATCGGCGCGGTCGTGGGCACACCGGTGGATGGGAGGCCGAGGGACGCGTCGCGTAGCTGGGAGTTCTGGCGGCGGTTGAAGATGGGCGGGCGTTGTTGGTCGGGCTTGAGGAGGCAGGCGGGGCCTTGGACGTTGAGCGGCTTGAGGTCAGGAGCCTGCGACGTGTTTGGGTCCCACTGCATCCACTCTTGGAAAGAGTTGAGATCGTCGGAGGGTGCGGGCAGCGTCATGTCATCTGCGGCGGTGGTGAGCCATGACGGGCGCACGCCACTGCTGAATGGAAAATCAGACGACATTATCGGGTCCTCCATTCTTGCTTTGTTCTTTCCGAATGCGCCGGGCGGCGTCTGGCGACTTGATCTAGTAGGGCTCAGGGGTGGTTTGAAGCTGTCGAATACGCAGTAGGGTCCGACCTGCGGATGTCGCAACGGATTAGCACTGCCGAACAAAGGAAGCCGTCTCCGGCGTCACGTACAGCGACCCGTTCGAGCTCCAGCCCGTCGTCTGGGCTGCTGTTAGACTTGGGCATCATGGCGGCGGACGTGGGGTCAACCGGCGCATGCAGAGCGCGCAGCAGCAATGGTCGAGGGCAAGGACAGAGTAGAGATGAGGGCGAAGAAAGGCATGCAGCTCTTACCAACAGTCAGAGCGTCACCGCTCAGATCATGCGATACATACATCCAAAAGGGCCTGCGTCTGGTCCCGATCCTAGGCGGGCAGATCCGGGCGCTCAAGCGCTGGGTGCTCGATCACGACACCGCGAAGCTGCAGCACGGTAGGGCAGGTACCAGGCGATACGGACCGAGACGCGGCGACCGGTGGCAGAATGGTCGCTGGGACGGGGGTCGAGCGATCCGCAGCGTATGGGGTGAAGGATAGTGGCAGAGGCTCGTCTGATGGTGGTGTGATCGCGCTGGGAGGAGGGCAGCGGTGAGCCGGGGTGCAGCGCAGGCTGTATGGCAGCTGAGCGGGCAAAACTCGGCGCAGGGAGGATCAACGAGCGAAGGAGGGCAGCAGGACGAGGGCAATGGCGGCTTCTTGACAGCGCGCTGCGACTGTCGATGATGTCTTGTGGGAGGGATGAGGCTGGAGGTGGGTTTGACACAGCAGCGGTCTCGACCAGCCGAGCGCTCCCTGCTCCTGTGTTCGGGCGCCGCGATCGCTTCACGTGCGGCAGGCGCAGCCGGATCGCTCTCGAGTCAATAGTGGGTTCTCTCGTCCGCCGGAGCACAGGAAAGCCTCTGGACCGCCTGTATTACTTGCACGATTTACCCTGCAGCAGAGAACCATGGGATGCAGTGCCCTTGCTTGGGTGCTGATGTCGTTCCTGCCCCACTGACAGGAGCTGATGCGTGGGACGTAGCGCTGGCAGGGCAACGTCATGGAGGTGCTGTCCGAATTCAACCACCTCCGACCACCTCTGCTCTCTCTGGCTGCACCCCTTCCCTGCCTCATTCTCGGAGACGGAGCTCTCGCCACGCGATCTGCGCGAACCACTGCATCGCGCCGCTTGCCGAGCCGATTGTGGCGCCCTATCACAGCTGAATGCAAGGCACCGCACCGCCGCCCGTCTGCGCAGGCTGAACCACGGCAGAGGAAGGACAAGCGCTCCAAGAAAGCAAACATGGAGACGGCAGCCACGTGGAGCTCAGTTTCGCCATACAGTAAAGAGTGCTGTTAGTGGCGAAGATCCTCCCACATCCACAAAAGGAAGTAGCGATATGCTCGTCATCTTCGCCGACGACGCCCCAATGCATCGAACAGTCTCCGTTGGGAATGCAGGCCAGCCCGCATGCGTGGTCTACGTTGGAAAAGAAACTTCTGGCGCAGTACAGTAGTGCCGTGTGGTGCGCTGATATTCACAACGGAAAAGGAAAACTCTTGCGCGCGAGAGCGTTGCATCCGCCATGCACCGCCACCCACCGGACCCAAACCCCCTGGAACTCTTCCATCGAAAAAGATATTCTAGCGCTCAACGCACGGCGTCGCCCGCAACGGGAAATCCCACGGTGGAAAGGCATGCAACGACCGTGCCTGAATGCGGCTACCTAGGTAACTGTCGCTGGAACCCCTGCAGAGTCTCCGCGGGAAAGGACATGTCAGTGTCCATACAAAGCTCTATCGGCTATAGGGGACTATTACGTCCAACTTCAGACGCTCAAATATCTTCCCCCCTTTTTATCGACACTGTCCAGTCAGACGTGTCAGGCACGCTATAAGTGTCTTCGTCAGAAAAAGAACTTCTCGTATGGAGCCCTGAACCTACTCATACAGTTAGCTGTTGGCGTCTGCCTCCCAGGTCGCCGAGCGCTCCACTCCGTCCCACAAGCCGGCAGACCACTGGGCTCGCTGTTCCTCCAACGCTAGCACGATATATCCTCGTCCGTCTATCCAATGCTATGTCCGGCATTGCGCATCGATAGCGAACCGCAAGGGTCGCGGAAAGTTCCTCTCGTGAAGCCGTTGACGCAATGAGTCTACAAAGGCCACTAGACCGCGAGGCAAGGAGGCGCCAGAGAGAGTCTTTCTCAATATAGGCAAGGGATTCGTAAAGCTTATGAGCACTCCTCATACCTCCACCAGCCCCTGAAGTAATACTCAAAACGTTCCGATTAAAGGGTAAGGCATCAAGTCCCTCTGCGTCACCCTCTACGCGTTCGCCGGGCTGTGCTGAATAGAGAGAGTATCATGCCGCACCGCGCCGGGGACTCTCACTCACGGCCTTCCAACTACTGGGCGAAGCTTCCAGTGTGCGATAGCTTCTTTTGCAAACAGCGCAGATGTCGACGGAAGAGGAGCCCCGGAACCGTCAGTGTGAAGAACATTCGTCGGTGTAAGACAACCATCGATGTTTCCATGAGAGTATGCTTCGATCGAATAGACACCACGTATCGTCCCGACGGCGTCAACTTAGCCCTGTTGTACGACGTCGACTGATGGGCAAGACGCGAGAAGGTACTGTTCCACTCAGGGTACTTTAGGGAAGATGGATATCATCCATCGGGAATATGGGATCCCATCCAGGGGCAGTCCACAGAGCGAAAAGAAATAAAAGACAGGCGATAGCTCCTCTGAAATTCTCCAAAGCTCGCCTACTCATACCAGTAGCTAGGTTGACCCCGTCGCGTCTGGTATGCGTGTTGCCCGGAGCTCAAACTTGGAGTCCAAGTCGTACCGACACAGGAAAGTCTGGATTCTGGACAAGAACTGCCCAGCCTCCTTGTTTCATTTCTCGATGAACTGGTGGCTGGCTGGCTGGCTGCGCACGCTCGCTCGCTTGCGCTGGTGGGCGACAGTGGGGTCTTGGCCGGTGGAGGACTCGATCCAGAGGTTTTCGTGATACGTCGCTGCGATCGAGCGTGCTCGCTTGCGGCGTAAATCTGCGCCGCCTGCTCAAAGTCCCGATTGCAGGGGCATTCATCTCCCTCTCCCGCTGTAAGGTTGTGGAGGGAGGTCCACAGGACGCGCATGCCGAGCGACCCCGTAGAAGAAGCCCACCCACCGTATATAAGACGCGGGGAAGAGGCCTCAACATCTTATGCCCGCCTGCCTGCCAATCACCCATATGCCCTTGTCCAAGTCGCCCGGCTCATCGGTGTCGGAGATCTGCTTGCCATCGAGGAGTGTCTAGCAAACAACACGCTGCCACTGCCGTTGCCGCTTCCGTATGCCGGTTAAGTATTGAAATGCGATAGCACCCGCGGGGAGTGGCAGCTCGGTTGGCAGCTCGGTTGACAGCCGGGGAGGGGAACAGATTACCGGGTGGTACAAAGAGCCGGTCGGCAATTCCAGCCTACGGGGATGGCATGTCGATTCAGTTTCTTACCCGCGTTTTGGCGGTATTGTGTGGAGGGTGCTACCGCGAAGCGATCGGTCTCTGCCTGATGTTGTTGGACAGACAGGGCTGCCACTGTGCTGGTGCCGTACTGCGTGTTCCTTTGTGGTGATCTAGGCTGCTCAAGGTAATGACTGAAGGAGCGGAGACTGGCAACTCTTGTTGCTCACGGAGATGAGCGGAGGGAACGGTGCGGTCCGCGGTACCTCGTAATAGCCTGTATTTGGGAAAGGACATGCACATTCGGTCGCCATAAGGACCTATATCCTCTGTCAGCGTATGACCTGGCGTCGGTCCCTAAAGCGGATGAGAAACTGCTCGCACCGATGCTCTTCCCATCGCGCTGGCAGACGAGGGCGGTCGGCGTCGGGGGATTCGCTGCCGGGGATGCTCATCCCAAATTCCATACTCCCTTTCTCTATGCGGCAATGAGGATGTAGCGAAGGCTTGTCGGCGAATCCTGAAAGGATGGGGAGAGCGGGAAGACAAGTTCTCCCTAACTTGTTTCCGTCTACTTCTTCGAAATACGCATCTCGGAGCTTGCCTCTAGTAGCCACTGTATGTTGAACGCAGTGAATTCGAAGCGATGGGAGTCCGTATAGCCTCTCTCGATAGATAAATGTGTCCGTTGAGAGTTGAAGAGATGAGAGGAAAGTGAGGGACCACGCAATCGGTCGAGACACCGCCCTAGAAGCGTGAGTAGATAATTTCCCGCACGTAGCGATGCACGTCTGGTAGGAATTTCTCCGGTACGGGGGAGCTTTTGCTCGCTGTCAACTTTTTTTACTCAGTGGTTTTGTGGGTCCCCTGACGTTACATGGCGCTGGTTGCAAGCTCCTATATGGCAACGGGAGTCAATCGGACACCCCTTTGCCATACGTTGGGTGTCAGGGTGAGCATTCGGCTTGGGCTTTTGCAAAGAGCGGTATGGTCCGCTGAACTCGCTCGAAGTAGCTTTTTCCATGGCTAGCTAATATGGTGGCGCATTGAGAAGAAGTCTTGTCGGTCGGCACTTTCACTCCTCGGAGTTTCTCAGTTTCAGCTGAGTGCCACCATGAGAGGGTCAGGAGAACGATGTGAGCCGTTGGCTAGCAAGTGGTTAGAGCGGAATCGACATCGAATGCTAACCCTAGCGGCAGTGGTTCCAACGCTGATCGTTTAGTAGAGGCCGTACTATCATACATGACTCGCAGAATGAGGGAATAGTAGACTGTGTAATATAAGGCCAGGGATGAATAGAGTATCGGCGATAGAGGAGAAATAGTGAGGCGGATAGAAGGAATAGCTGGACTTACGGTTCTGCTTGTCCTCCGGCTAGGCGGACCCATCACTTACAGAATGTTGTCGACCCCGACGCTCACCTGGACACGAGGCGAGTGCTCCCTGTCTGTTCCCCATCGGAATTCGCTCGCCAAATCTCGGATACATCTCATCCACATCTCGCCTCTGGAACTCTATCGGAGATGAAGTGAGTCCCAGTTCCGACACATTGGGCTCCAACATCTAACCGACGCATTGCGTGCTGGCGATTCCCAAGACTCTGATAACCGAGCAATTAGGGGCCGCTATTAGCACCGGATGGGTCGGAAGCCTCGCCCACGGCTAGGGAACACAAAATCTGATGATTTTGGGTCCAGCAAGCTCTAAATCGGGACGGCTCCTGATCGAACGCGGAAGCTTGAAGGCAGAATAGGAAACACTATAGGTGATAGGGGTACATATCTGCTGAGCATTCGCATTTCATCGCAGATGGTGCAACATGATTTGCGCGGGGCGGACCTCCGTCGCTGAGCACGTTGGCGCCAATTTCGGCAAGCCTTCTTCGAGGTCTTCAAGCCAGCCTCAACTTGGGCGAGTAGTAGCCAAAAATGAAAGGGAGAAGGTTCCTGAGTCTTGTGCGTTCGAGATGGCATGGGCGATCGACGACGCCTCCATATGCAAGACACCCAAAACTGATCGTGACAATGCGGGCATCTGCATCAGAGCCCTGCATGTCGGGTCGCGTCGAGGCACTGCGCCAACGCGAAGCCCTCCAAGCAGGCATTACTACGACCACACGCCCTGTCAAATCCACATTCTCGAACACCGTTGGATGAGGATTCGAAAAGTGAAGCTTTCCAGGGTTCGCTAGAGCGATCCTCCCTCAAAGGGGGAGGCGCTGACTGCGTGGAAACATCATAGCTCCCAACAGGAGAGAGGCGCTGAAACACTTCGTAGCATGAGCCAATCGCTACGTCTTGGCGACGGCAACAGTCGTACGATGGGCGGGAAAGAAGGTAATAAGCCAGCCCTTATAGATAATTCTGAAGGGGCGATTGGCGACGTGGGTGACGTATGCCTGTTTTGCCCGCATCTGCGTCGCGTGTTACACGGAAGAGAACTAGGGTAGAGTCCGGGGCTGCGTGGATTGAAATGGCGGCCTGCATGCAGAAAATAAGAGCCAAGATTCGGATCGAGATCTCTCTGCGCGGCAAAGCCATGTCCAGCTCTTGCAAAAGCGGCCTATTGATCAAACTCCCCTTACTCCAGAGTGGTACGACAGCTGCACCGTCTATCTAGGGAGCATCGAGGGCTTGAATGAGCGGTGCTCCTGGTGTTCAACGGATCCTGGCGTGCAACACCGTCGAAAAGTGTTCGTGTTCTTCGTGCCTCGGGACATCGTATTCTAGGAGCCGGAGTACATGTGATCGATCTCGTACTAGGTATTCCGACGATGGGGTTTGCAACGATGCTGACATCCTAGACACCCATCCTATTCTCGGACTCGCCGAACGGCCTCTTTTACCGGGGTAAATCCATAAGTCAGAAGCCGTGCCAGCGACATACCTAGGAATGAGAGTCGCTACAATGGCCTGACCACAATGCCAACCGACGGTGGACGAAACAGTGGATGTTCTGCTCTCCGTGACGAGGATGGTTAGATGCAAGGTAGAAGCGGCATCATTCTAGTCCTGCAGTGTACCGCGACACGTCGCGATTAATCAATAAACTCTGGAGTAGCCCTCATGACACGATTTTCCCAACGCAAACCAAGGCCGGGGAGCAGATGTGGGGCGTTGCATGATTGCATCTCCGCAAAAGTGTGGGGCAATCATGGTGTTGAAAGTCGCGCGTAGGAGGCTGTGAAGCCAGCCTGCCCTCGCATGCTGTCGCAGCACATGGGGTACCAACCATGTCATAACAAGGCCTTTATCGCAGTAGATGTCTGCAGGATTGCAAGATACCTCTCCTTGCGAGGTGCGTGAATGGATACCGATGCACCCTGTCAACATGTCTTAGCTTTCTCGCATTTATAAGCCCGGACACTTCTCACTCGAAGAGGCCGTCCCCTGCGGTACGCTGATGTACGAACCGATTGGCCGGATTGTCTGCGCGATGGAGGTGCAAGGTGACAAAACCGTGCCTAATAATAGGTGGAGACTTTCGTAGTGATTCGTTCGTTTTGGCGACACGAATTATTATTGAGACGGAGCTCTGTGCGGCGTGGAAGAGTCGCGTTCAGGAGTGACGGGAAGCGGCTTGATGAGAGTTTTGGGCCTCGAACAGGAGTCGGATGAAACGTACGAAATAGGCAATATACTTATCGCAAGCTGGTGCTGGCAGTATCGTTCGACCGCCTATCTCAATGGTCATCATTCGCCGCGTTTGACGTAACTGCTATAGCGCTGCTGCGAGATGGGGTTGGTTGGGGTCGGGATGGGATGTGCTTTTAGCCTGCAATCATCCCGACACCCAGCGACGGGCACCAAAAGCTTTGTCCGGCTTGTTTTTCACACCTCGTGGTGGACCCCTGACGTGCAGATGGATTCAGGAGCACATCCCGCTGGTACGTACACGCTGTGCTATATGACCTTACATATACCCCGCTTCGACGATATCGATAAGGCCTGAAGTCGAGGTGGAGTTGTCTCGCAGTAGAAGTGTCAGTGCTGGAATAAATTGTCATCGAGCCATAGGAGCACCGTTCCGGGACCTTGGGCTTCACTCGAGGCAATCACGTTGGTCCGAAACGCAAAATGTTGGGCCCTTCCAAGGTCTGTATCGTTAGGCAGGCTGCAGTCCCCAGCCGGTTTGCTGGGGCTAATCGGAAACAATGACCTTAATCTGGATAGCGATCTTACATCGCAGGATCGCTACCAGAAATCTACCCGTGTCAGATCCGAAGCACGCCTAGAGCTGCGTCTTGCCGTGCTGATTGAAACGTCAAGTCGGTGGACGGCAATAATCACTCTGGACGAGGTGGTTGGCGAGATGAGTTCCGCTCATTGGAAATGTATGGCTTTCGTCGCACCGCTTGCTGGAAGAGTCAGCGTTGTTAGGCGGACGAGCTACTGGCCCTCGCATCTCGAATCGCGAATGTTATGCAAGATTGCAGACAATTTTAGAATCTCAAACGCACGGATATTGGCCGAAAGATCAATCTGAGGCTTCCGAGCTTGTTCGACGTTGCAAGCCACCGATCTCACGCAGATGCGGCCGGATGTGATTTGATTGCAGTGTAGCGCGCTGCGATTTTGTGGGACGCCGTGGGGCATTTTCAAGCGAACTTACATTGATTTCCAAGTTCGTGGCAGTGAACGTCATGGATGATGCCTGGTACGTTTCGTGTGAACACAAGTTCCAAGCCTGCAATCGATTGCATCTTTCCCCTTTCCCAGACTTTACGGGTCTTCATGCCGGCCGCACCGGCAGCGCAACTCGAAAAACGAGCGGGCCGTACTGTAAAGCGCATGGAGCTGGGGATACATACATGTCATGCTACTGCCTCAAACGAGTAACCCTTTCGCGAGAGGACGGACGCGCGGCAGGGCGAATCATTGTTCGGCCTGTCTTGAGGGTCGCCAACCTTAACGCCTCCATGCCGAGAAGGGACGACGCCAGATGCACTCGATCTCGATATGAAGCGTGCCGATAGCGTGGCGTGGGCAATAGATCCTGGGACTTGGTCCGCTTGCTCACGCCTCTTGACAGCGGCACCGCGCATGAAGATGGTCAGAGCAGCGAGCACAGACTGGACCGAGGTGCGGCCAAGCTGTTTCCTGCGGGCAGCGGAGCCGTGGCGTCACACTGAACACGCGCGGACACAGTGCAGAATGTCAACGGCGCCGAAGGTGAGTTCTCAGCGCACACATCAGCCAGATCTGGTAGAGGGCTTTTGACTCGACGTAACCGGACCGTACACCACGCCTCGCGGTGGATATATGCGCGCCACGCCGCTGGGTCGACACGGGCGAGGGGCAGCGAGGAGCGGTGGGTTCCCCCATGTGGCAACAGAGTGGCCTGATTGTTCGGAAGCGTCCTGACCAGCCATTATTGCAGCGTGGGCTCGGGCAGCACACGAGGGTCGAACGGCATGGTGGACGCGACTCATGGCGCGCGGGCGCTGTTCGCTGCCTGATCGTGCGCTGGACTTGGGGAAAGTTCGCCGGCGCTTCTGCGCGGCTTCGCTCCCGTTCTTCGCTGAGCAACAGCGAGAGGCGTGAGAGGGCCGGCCCAACGTCCGGCGACCCCCCCGCGCTCATCGATGATGGCGCCGATTCAAGAACCCGGAGAGTTCGTGATCTCGGACGTGCTGGACGTGCTGGACGGCCCAAATGCGGCCGCATGAACGGCGAGCAGTGTGTGCCGGGCGATCGCGAGGCCTCGGGACTGCATAAGGCGCAGACGAGTTGCAGAAGCTGACATTTAGATAGGCGGTATGTACTGGTGGCGCTGGGCAGACCCAGCACGGCTACAGGAAGCGCCAAGCGGGGGGTACCGCAGTACATAGGTCAGAATTGCGATCGATGATGACCCCGGTCGCTCCAGTGGCCATGCAGCCGCCCCGGCATGGCCCACCCTTTTGGGACTCAACCGCACGAATGCAGGCTCCGCCCGCCGCCTTCGGCTGTATCGCGCTCGCGATGCCGTTGACGTGAGGGAAATGCGGCATGGCGGCGGGCACACCCAGTCTTCAGCGCGGTGCAGCCCTGCGCAGCGAGCGGAGAAGGAGGTCTGCCGGCATGCCGGAAGCCCGCCCAGGGCATCAGGACTCGGGCTGATCGCTACCCCGGGAGGAAATGGCCTTGTCGGGGGCTTAATCAGATCAGGATCGTTTCGACCGCAGCTTCGCTTACGGGGATTAGCGCACCTCCAGGGCTCCAAAAGAGACATGCCTGTAACTGACTGGCATGCTCCAGGATCCTGTTAACCACGCTGCACCCACAGCAACAAGGCGTGCATCCGCTCCCCACGTCCTGCAGAGACCTGTCACACCCAGCAACTCGACGCTGTGCCGGCTCATCTCCGATCTCCTCTGCTTTATCCCGTTTCCCCTCTCGCTAGTATGAGGCGCTGAAGGCCAGCACGTCTGGACGAGCATCCGCCCACTACCACCCTCCGGCCGCTGTCAGATCACGGGACCGTCCACCTCTTCATGTCACACCTGTCGAGCCCGCCTCTTGCACGCCCACGAACACGCCTGCGCCTGTAAGCAGCGCATCGCAAGAGGAGGACACCGCACTAGGCATTGGGCAGCGCAACCCCCCTCCACGGCCGTCATTGTGCCCGCCGCAATCCGCCCGCGACACCAGCTTTGTACGCCAGCCACCGAGCGCGAGATCGAGATTAGGAGGAGGACCGTTCCATCCGGGGAGGCGTACGAGCAGCAGCGCGCTGCTGGACACGGCGGCGCATCTGGAAGACTGGCGGCTGCGCGCAGGCGACGTGGAATATTTTCTGGAGCGGCGGTGCTTGGCCGGCGCGCAGGACGGCAGGCACGGTTCGGATTATTGACGTTGCGCGGGAAGGCACATATCGGCGGGCCCAGCAGTTCGCTCCTGCCCCAGCGCACCCAGCGAGCGCGGCAGCTCGCGGCGGCCCAGCATGGAAACCCTCGACGCCGCCAGCAGGCAGAGGTCCGTTGTTTGTCCTCGGCGCGGCTCCGTAGCGCCGCTCTATGGCTGTAGTTATGCTGACCTGCGAGGTAGCGTCGGCTTGCCGTCAATTAGCAACTTGGACTCCGACAGAATCAAGCGGGAAGAGGTGGAGTATCAGAGGAAACACTCGGCGCCCGCAATGGTCAGCCCGTTGCACCCTTTCGCTGCCCCGTCGCTCTCGCACGGCAATCACCAATCGTCGCCCGCCAGCGCAGTGCCAGGCCCGCTCGGCGGCTTGCTGTCCCCGCCGGAGTCGCGGCGGACGTCTGGCGACGAGAAGGAACAGCAGCGCGCGCCCGCGCGGCAGTCGCTGCCGTCAATACATGAAGCCCTGCGGTCCGATCAGTCGCTCGGCGCCTTCTCCGCGCCCGCGCCACCCCCCTCTGCCCCAGCGTCCGCTCCGCAGTCATATTTCCCGCCGTCGACGGCATCGCCCTCAGACCCGCGGACACGAGCTTTCCCCAGCGATCTCCACGGCAGCCAGGGCCCGCCCAATCCCTTCTCCCACCCGCGCAGTCCTTTCATGAACACATCGGCGTCGGCAGCGCCCCCGCCACCTCCTCCCCAGGCGCATTCAGACTCGTTACCACGGCCCTCGTTTGCGGAACCGCGCTCGTCCTTCTCAGAACCGCGCTCCTCCTTCTCAGCCCCTCAGCATAACCCGAAGCTGCCCACGCTCCATCCTCTGCGCACGAACCAATCTCCTCCCCCGGGCCCTGGCCGACCGGGCCTACCATATTCGACATATCCACCGCAACCATCTTCTGCATACGAAACATCCGCCCCGCATTCGGCCGGACCCATGAACCCCAATTATGGCTACCCCCAATACCCCTCAAATTATCCTCTATCGGCCCCCGCACCAGGTGGACCAAACTCAGCGTATCCTTCGTCCACATCAACATACTCGGCACCTCCCCGGGGTTACCCTGGACCTGCATGGCCAGATAGGGGGCTAGAAGAAAAGAAGATCAACCGCTCCAACCTCGCACCGTACGGCGAATCGGTGAAGCGGCATCTGGAGAGCTTCGATTTAGAAGCCTCACTAAACGAGGTAGGGCTCTCAAAAGACCGATTTTGCTCCATTACTAACCGGCTCAGATGGCTGAAGGCGCCGGGCGCATAACGGACTTCTCCAAGGTATATCGACAGCGAGCACACGAAAATCAGCGGATTGGCATGACTCCTCAGTCCATGCCAAGACTAGAAGAAGTTGATGAGATGCTCAAGCATAGCGAGAGAATACAAGTCTCACTACAGCGCATGCGAGAAGTTGTATACAACCACCACCAGGCAAGCATGGTGGAGCCACCACAGGATCCGCGCTATCGCCAAATGAATGGATACGACCATGAAGCCTCCAGCAACTACGGCGACGACGTCAAAGGGGGCGGTGGTTTTGCGGGCCCCGACAACAAAAAGCGTCGAGGAGTAAGTTCACTCATTGCGAAACAGGTGCATCCTGAACTCATCATTAACAAGCCATCGCAGCGAGCCGCGCCTCCTGGGAGGTGCCATAGCTGCAATCGGGCGGAAACTCCAGAATGGCGTCGAGGCCCCGATGGTGCACGAACGCTTTGTAATGCGTGCGGTCTACGTAAGTTTTACGACCCAAATGTGCATCAACTGCTCATTCCTCGTAGACTATGCGAAATTGACCCGCAAGATGGGTGGCAAGCAAGCGATGGCTAGCTCGAATCTCCGACCAAAATCGCTGGATCAAGGATCACCCACGGCATAGCGTCACCTTGATCTCACGCTCCCTCGTAACTATGTCAGAACCGGACTGCTGGAACCAGTCGTTGACGACACAGTGTTCCCGCTCTGGTCCAGTCAAAAGTCGTTTACTATCTTCAGTTCCACGTCGACCGGATTATACACATTGCCGGGCACATGTCACCAGTTATTTCACGAAAGTGCTCCACGTATCGTCGTATTTACATCGGTCCCGAGGATTTGGATCAGAAGAACTCGGGAGCGCTTTTTATCTCAGGAGCTTTGGCGCGAAAACCATCCACATTGCATTTACGGGGCGGGCAACTATTTTTGGCGAGCTTGTCTTATTAGAGACGGAAGCTCTGTAAGTTTAATTTGGGCGTGTGATATCTGGATTGGGATTTCCTTCTGTCCTTGTCATTATACCAGCAAAGGTTGCATTTTGGCACACGGTACGGGCTCTGAGGCCTCTGGCTTGCTGACGGCGTTCGTTTGTACTCTCTTTCTGTGATGGTCACGATGACCACCCTGGCGTTTGGCGGGCTAGAGGATGCGGGAACCCAGGCTTCCCTTTGTACGACTTTGCACTTTCTTAGAAGTGTCTGGAGTGTTGAGCAGTTTGACGGACAGGTGAGGGTGTGATCAGCATGGTCATTAGGTATAGGAAGATCAAAAGCTATCAGTTCCACTTGGAAGGCACCTTGTGGACGCCGTCGACCCCATCCAAGTCCTGGATATCCACGCACGTCGCTCTGTGGAATCTCCTCGGAACGGCTGGGTTACCATGTCTCGCTCTACATTTCCTAATTGGCACAAGGCACCAGCCTCCTCTCCACCGCGTCTCAGATCTACGCAGCCCGACACAGATATAGAAGCGCGGCACAGAGATGATGTTGTCTCACAGCGAGGGGCCCCCGCATGCCGCATCTAGGTGTCAGACAACACTTCGGTAGGGTCGCACGTCGCCTCTCACGCCAATCGATGCAGCATTGGTCCCACCCGCAGAGTATGCAAGACGCCTAGAAGGGGCTCTTCACGATAACTTCGTCAGCGGTGCCCTTTCGCGGTCGCAGCCCAAACGCACTGCGTGATCACTCTGATCGACCGGCGGGACGCGTATCATGATGCATGCCGCCCGCTGCGAGGGCCGTGGCGGGCGGTACCGTTGTGCCGGCTGGCTGAGCAGTGGCGGCAAGTAAGGGCTGCCGCTGCCAGCTCACTTCTTAGCAGTCGCCGACGCCCTGGCATGTCTCGTGTTTTTGCCTACTGAAAGCCGTCGGAATGGTTTCCCATGGTCGAAGCAACAAGATCGCTTTTTCTGCTCCACCTCCGTACATGAGCCAACCGCTGTCACTGCGCTGCGGGCCGCGCTTAATGGTATCCCGGGCCAACCAATTGCCGCAGAAATGACGAATGCCGTCGGTTTGCTTTTTTGCCCTACAGGCCAGCAAGAGCACGTGGGGCGGGCGACGTGGTACGGGCGGCCGCTTTAGGCACGGCCAGATGCGTGCACGCAAAGGTTTGGCAGCATTTCGAGGCTTGCTGTCAGTGTCCCAAAGCAACGTCGTGCGCCGTGGTGGTTTCGAGATGGAGTTGGGCTGGGTCCCGGCGCGGCGGCGTTCGTTTACCAGCTGCGAAAGCGGAAAGCGCGTCCGAGCGTCATCCGGGCGCCGCGACAAGGGTTCCCTCCTCGGACCAAATCTGCCCTGCAGACTTCACGGACGGCCATTAATAATCATCACTGCACGCCTATGTCGGCGGCTCCAACTGCAGACTTTGACTCCTCAATCACACCGATCGCCAGGGCGGGAGCTATAGACGCCCTCGCCGCACAGCGCTGTGAAAGTCGCCATTGCCCTGCGTTCGCGTATCCCCGCTAAAGTTAGATTTCTGCTGTGCTCCCCGACTACTTCTTGCTTGGAGATAACCGCCACTCACACGCCTGCGGAGATCGCTCGTGTCTCCCGATTCGGCTTGACGACAAGTTCCGCTGCACGCGTCCGACTGGGGATGGGGCTGCTGTGAGACGTGGACTTACCGCTTTGATATGCCCGCTAACAGAAGCAAGTGCCGTTGGGACTCCGCTGGAGTGGCCAGAAGCCAAAAAGGTTGCCGGCCATGTCCGATCCTGGGGGATAGAAGTATGCTCCCTGGAAGTGAAAAGGCGGTATCAGTCCATTGACGTGTCCTGCAGCAACTCCTTGCTATATGGCGGAATGCAAAGGGGAAAGAGAGGGACGCCCTCCTTTGGGGAGACGAGGTAGCTCTGCATTCATTTTGCCGTGTCGGCTCTAACTGATTGGGTCGGCAGGTCGAATATCTCGTAGTGTGCTACGACGAGGAGAACCGCAAGGTCCGACTTTCGCTGCGGCAGGCCGATATTCTGGCGGCTTTGGCCAATGATGAGAAGTTGCTGGAACAAGGCGGAGGCGTGCCTGATGTGCAAAGGGGTCCCGAAAAGTGAGGGCGAGATATGCCAGAAAGTGTAGCTGTCTTGTTGACTATTTCAGGGAGGCTGATACCACCGCTCCCGTCTTCCATCCCGAATTCGGACGCTTCATGCTTGAAGCTACTCCTGGAAAACCTTGGGGAATCGGATTCAAAGATCTCCTTAACGTCGAACCAAATATGAAGTGGAGGTAAACTTTCCTCCCGCTTAAGTTTTCCCAATCAAGCGCTAATCACGCTGCAGACGCACCATAGCCAAGGACCACATGGCGAAGGAGGAATATCCAATCACATTGACCACCTTTCCGCGGCTCGGGTCACCCGATTGCATCGTGCCGTCCTACCCTGTCTCCGGCCCGAAATTGCGGTCTCAGTACGTACCCGATGAGATTGCTAACCCGCACATCCGCTTCCCGACTCTGGCAGCCAACATTCGCTGGCGCAGAGGGAGGAAGGTCGAAATCAATGTGCCCGTTTTCAGGGACGAGAATACTCCCTGGCCGTTCAAAGACCCTACAGTGAACTATGATCTCCATCAGTGGCCCGAGGATGATGACGTCCGCAATGGCGCCGCGAAGGAGAACCACATTTACATGGACGCCATGGCCTTTGGCATGGGCAGCTGCTGTCTGCAAATTACCTTCCAAGCCAAGAATATTGAGGAGGGCCGCAAGATGTATGATCAGCTCAGCCCTCTGGGCCCGATTTTGCTCGCATTGACTGCTGCTACTCCAATTTACAAGGGCTTCCTAGCTGATACTGACGTGCGGTGGAACCAAATCAGCAGGGCTGTCGATGACCGGACGCTAGAGGAACTTGGAGAAAAGGTGTGTTACCAGACGCTTATTCTACAGTATGAAAGAATAGTCGCTGACCTCCCAAACTATAGCCTCTGAAGAATGATAGATGGCGCGTGCCGAAGTCTCGTTACGCCTCCAACTCAACCTACATCTCCCAAGATCAGCGGCTACGCCCTGATTACCTCGATCCTGACCTGGTCATTGACAAAGATATCAAGCAACGGCTACTAGACGGTGGCATGGACGATCTGTTAGCAACACACTTCGCCCACCTTTTCATTCGCGACCCTATTGTCGTCTTCGCTGAAGATCTGAAAGAGCTCGATCTCAACAAAGCCGATCACTTCGAGAACCTGCAATCTACGAACTGGCAGCACATGCGCTTCAAGCCTCCACCGCCCGGCTCAGACACCGGCTGGCGAGTCGAGTTCAGGCCCATGGAGATCCAAATCACCGACTTCGAGAATGCAGCCTTCTCTATCTTCATCGTGCTAATCACCCGCGCGATTCTATCTTTCAACCTCAACTTCTATATCCCTATCAAGCGGGTCTCGGAGAACATGGAAACGGCGCATATCCGCGACGCTGTGTCTACGCAGAAGTTCTGGTTTCGCAAGAATCCCTTCAGTTCGCACCAGCCATCCAAGATGAATGGCACCGGCGCATCGACCCCGGCAGAGGGTAGCCGGCCACCGACGCCCTTCGGGCCCGTCGAAGACGAGTACGAATTGATGACCATCAACGAGGTCATCAATGGGCAGCACTCTGGCGAAGGTGGCTTCCCCGGCCTCATCCCGCTCGTGGAGTCCTACCTTAACAGCATGAACGTCGACGTCGAGACGCGCTGCGAGCTTGCTCGGTATCTCGATCTGATAAGGAAGCGTGCGGATGGCACATACTGGACTACTGCGAAGTGGATTCGCCATTTTGTGCGGTGCCACCCGGGATACAAGAAGGACAGTGTCGTTGATGATGAGATTTCGTATGACCTTGTCAAGGCTGCCGAGCAGATTACGAAGGCGGAGGGAAAGGACGGGTTGGGACGCGAGATGCTCGGCAGGCAAAGGTAGACGCCATTTAAAGTAAGATATTAAAAGAAGAGTTGGTGGACGATGGGAGGAAAAATGCGGCATTTGTGGTTCCTTAGAAACATTATAGCATATAGATAGCATACTAAATTAACGTCTGATGATATTTGGCGGATCCATTTGAATGTCCGCCAACTGACTGAAGTCGGCTTCATGAGGTACAAGGTCAGAGTCTCAACGCCTCCTATCTCAACCTGACGCTAACTCTACTTAACAGGATGTCCTATTGCAAGAGGTACCGTATGAGCGAGATCTAATGTTCCAGTCTCGTATCCTTCCGTCGGACATCTTTCAGGCGAACAGTTGCTAAGAAAGGTCGTAGCCAGATGTAAAAGGTTGCCCCTACCGACCCAACTTCAATACGAAGGAGATAAACTGGTAGGAGGGGTATAACGTGGAAGAGAGCGTTAGGTTCGACAGATCTAGGGAAGGCAGATATGTTTCCCCATGCTTCATGGTTTCACTGATCTCAAGCCTCCCCCACCACGTTCACTTATATCTCAACTACTCGACTCCCGAATACGAACGTACTCGACTTCGGGAGGACGTGCTTTCTCTTTCACGCATCCCTTCCCAGCATGCCTACTATAAAGCAGCGCCCGAGGCTGCGTGCTTCCCACTTCTCTTCATCAGAGCTCGCACAGCACGCCCTCAACTTCCTACTTGCAACACGGAAGCTCCTGAGCACCCGCTCGAATCGACGCATCCCAACGAGCTTTTATTCCACCCTTCGACCGTTCCGGCTGTCTCCCGAGGGAGTTCACTGCAACAGAGCAAGCACAACAACATGCCGTTGAAGCTGTTCAGTAAGTTTACCACCTCTAAGAACGCCGAGAAGGCCCCAAAGACGCCGAACGAGCACACGACATCCACAATGTACCGCCCCTCCGGAGGCATTACCACCATGCCCGAAACCGAAATCAACGCCGAAGCCGAAGCGATGAAGCATACCCGCCAAAAGTCCAGCCTGCGCCACGCCACTGTTCCCTCCGCCCCTACTCCAGAGGCCACCGCAGCCGCACCCACAATCGTCCAGAAGCCGGAGACCCCTGATCAAAACCGGTCCATAAGCGCACCCGTAACAGCGTCGTCGACAGCTCCAACAACCCCGAACCAGTCCGAGAGCAGCAGGACGACGCCATCAACAGCACCCACCACCCCGACGTCATGGGATACGCTTCCGCGTTCTATTCAGTACCGCCCTCGGGGCGTCTTCTCCGCGCGGCCGGATGTCGTTCCTGTTGACGCTGCTGGGAAGGAGAAGAAGCACGGGAGGTTCTGCAAGATCAAGACGGCGATCAAGAACAAGTTCGTTCGGGGTAAGAAGACAGATACCGGACACCGCCAGGGGCAATGCTGCAAGCACAAGAAGTTTCGTGACGGACGGTGCAAGAAGTGCAGCGCGATGAAGGGTGAGGTTGAGGGCTTACTGGAGGCTGGGGCTCACTGTGCCCACGGTGGATGTGCTGGCTGCGAGGAGTGCGTTGACGGCATTGAGATGACGCTGGCTCCTTTTCATGCTCCCCAGCTTGATGCCTTCCGCCCGATCTCTGACTTCATTGTGGATTTCCCCAACCTCGGTGCTGTGGAAGACACAACGACCGACGAACCTAACACTGGGGAGGTTGAGATTCCCCCTGTCTCTGACGAGCCTCCCAAGATTGCTGAACTGCGACCCATCCCTGATCTTGTAGATCCCTTCGGCGAATTCGTCACAGTCCCAGACGCCAGCACTGTCGATGAAAACAGCCCAACTTCATCGCACTTCACACAGGGCACACTACCCACGGAGGTGACCCGCCCATCGACTGCCGCAACGGGCAACGCCGCGCCCGAGATCCCGCCGAACCCAGCAGTAACGTCTGACCTTTCCGAAGCCGAGAACCAACGCACTCCTTGTCCTGATCGATCGAGGGCTAAGACACAGGAGTCGAGCGACGACCAGGACGGGGACGAGCATTTCAGCGACGCTGATCCTGACTTCAAGGTTACCCCTAGCCTCAAAGGCAAACTTTACGATGGGGATGGAGATTGGACAGTCTACGAGGAGAACGCTGTAGCTCGTGCTGTTACTATCACGAAGGTGCGGGCTCGAGAGGTTACTATTGCTCCGCGACGACGAGGCCGCCACCATCGCCACCGCCGGGTGCAGGTCACTGAGGAGCAATCTGTCGAGCTGCAGGATGAAGTTGAAGAAGACATGCTGGTGCGGACTGGAGAGGCTGCTATCCGTCGACGACGCTGCAGCCGCGTGCAGATGGCGTCAATCACCGAGGCATGGTCTATCCAAGAGCAGCAGCAGGACGAAGCTCAAAAAGATATGCCAGTGCAGACTCGAGAGGTTACTATTCATCTACGACGCCTCAGCTCCATGAAGACCGCTCCGGCCACCGAGGAACAGCCTAATGAAGAGCCGCAGGACAAAGCTAAAGAAGAAACTCCAGTGAAGGCTGGAGAAGTTACTATACCTCCACGACGCCGCAGCTCCGTGCAGACCGCTCCCGCCACCGAGGAGCATCCCAATGAAGAGCAGCAGGAAGAAGAGACGACGGAGCAGTCCACCGAGGACTGGGAGAATCAGATCTATCGGTTAGAGGCAGAGGCAGCTCAGCGACGACCACCTCGCATCATCTACTACCCACCAACAGCCCTCCAAGCAGCAGCGGGAATTTCCCGCCAACGCCTCAACATCTGGCGCGCCTTGCTTCCACCCATGGACCACTTGATCCCGCCGGGCCTCCTTCGAGACTTTGCTACCGGCCAGAAGAAGAAGCTGTGGATGCAGAATCCGAAGACGTTCTACAGCCCGATTAGTCTGGGAGCCGTGGTTGCGCACCAGCGACGACTAGCCGCTAAAGCCAAGGGAGTACAGGTCTCATCTAGGCTGTTGGCAGATGTGGTGAAGTACCCGCGCCTAGCTGGAGAAGGACCCCATCTCCCGTCAGGTTCAAACGTTGAAGAGATGCGCCCCGTGATAAAGCTCCCCGAAAACGTCGTCGAGCTCATCGTCACCAGCGCCCTAGCCGGCAGCCACAAATGCCAGGCCACGCTCGACGCAATGCACTCTCTCCTCTTGCCCTCCAGAGCTCTCTGGACCCGGCGAGGCCGCTGTCCCATCCGTTGCGCATACTGCGTCATCGAGCTGTGGCTTCTCGTTTACTGCAACCACGCGACCCAAGCAATCGCGGAAGCTGTGCAGAAGCAGTTCTTCCCGAAGGCGGGGGAGAAGACGATGAAGCGGGCAGCTTTCAGCAAGTTCATCAATGAGCGGGCGAGGAAGGGCGATCTGAGGGAGAATGTAGCTGCAAAGGTACAGGCGCTGATTTGGGCGTATGGGAATGTTGCGCCGCTGCTACGACCGACTGGCGAGATTCAGGTCCAAGAGATTGGTAACTGGCTGGTCGAGCTACACCAGGACACCGTGCTCGTCGAAGACTTGTCAATGACAGAGGTTGAAGAGGAGGAGACGCCCGGTACATTCGCTCAAGAGATCCTGGATGACATGACTGACCCCGAAGGTGATCAGCAAGCGCCAGAACCCACACCTATCCTTCAACCGGCAGCACTCCATCGATCGGCATCAAGTATTGATCTGGATGCTGGAACCATCGAAGAGTCGCAGACGCCAAAGCGCCGCAACACGCTCCCACGCACGCGACGAGACTCGCTCAGCCTGTTGAAGATGCGCGCGGATCCATGCACGAACGCCGAAGCCGACATTAAGGAGTCTCCTGCCGAGGCCTCGGAAGAACACACTCGCACTCGAGAGCCTCCCACAACCTCCCTGAAGGACTCCGCTCAGGATCTCTCCACCATTCAAGACGGAGATACCGACGTACAGCACCCCGACCGAGCAAACGCTCTCATGTCTTTGCACCGCCTTGCGAAACACCTGCATCGAAGGGGTGGTCGCCGGCGTCTGGACTCCGATCCAGACTCAGATACCGACTCCCCCTCCATCGAGAAGGTAGGCGAAGAAGTCCCCAATACCATCACCAAGCTCCGACGAAAGCCGTCGCACTTCCTGACCCGCCTCATCCAGCGCGTCCAGGACACGGCGAAGAAACAGGAGGATGATACAGTGTCGGTGGCTAGCTTGGACTAGGCTGAGCGGATGAGCGGAATAGCAAGGCGACACGGTATGGGTGAGTGTGAATGTGAGCATCACTAAATGCCGACGAGAGCATCCAGTCCATTCACTGACGCAACATCGAAAAGAAACGGCCCGCCTGCCTGCCTGCCTGCCTGCCTGTCACAGACAACAAAAAATAATGACCGAATGATACTACAGCCAAAATGACGAAACGAGACATGACTGAGATGAAGCCACGATTCAACGACACAGCAAACGAGCCACGACCGACACGCAGCTGTTACTAAACCGCCCCAACCTAGGAGAAAGAACTGCGGCCAGCCGGCCTCCACAAACGAACACGGTGAAAACGGTATGCACCCACCATCAAGAAGGACGCGACGAAAGCATTACCCTGAAACGAGATACGACATGACACGAAGAACGGGCGGACAACATGACAGCCTCAACGTTGAGCACTTACCCACGCTCCTTCTTTTCACCCGCTATTTGCTGCATGGCCATGGTGCGTGGTTTTCTGTTCTAAGTGCATGGAGAGTCATTTTCAAAAGCCCTGCTATATATTAGCATTCTGCGTTCCGCGTTACTCGATAGAGCTACAGTTTACCTGGTTTCTGCGTAGTTTGGCGTTCCTCCAGACAGACGATGAATTGGACGCACAGTGGGGGCGCCCTTCGCTGCTGTTTTTCAAAGGTTAGATACCTAATGCGACTGCAACCTTTCGAACTCTTTATCTTCCATGTGACCGCTAACCCAAGATATTGTGAAGCGACAAGAAGAGCAATACAACTGATGTATGAAAGAGTCTATCATTCATTCAAGAACCATTGGATATAATCAAACCATCCGCCCAATATCGCCCGCGATGCCAATCATTACCTTGCCGTGCCCACGCCAAGCCCCATACCAAATGCGCCACGCCGAGCGCTCTGCCATGATTTAACCTACAGTCATAAGACTACATAAAGATATCATATAGTTCAGAAAGACAGATGCTTGAAAGGCGAGTCTACTCATTCTCCTCCCCCTCAAGCAGCGTGTATTCAAGGATATCGCTGAGCGTAAGGACACCCTTGAGTTTGCTCTCCTCGTCAATGACGATGAATCTGTGAACGCGCGACTTGCGGATCGTGTCGTAGATGGTGGAGAGTTGGTCTTGCATGGAGCATGTGTAGATGCCCGGGAATTCCTGCTTGGTTTTAGTGAACGCGGAGTGGCTGGTACGGGATGGCGTACATCCGAGCGTTTGAGCAGCGCATCTCCCACACTGAGGTTCAAATCGTCGTATACACCGCCTTTGATAAGCGTGATAACGTCGACAGCTTCGAACACATTGAGCACAGTACCTTCCTATGTCAGCCACGGCAAATCGAACTTCGCAACTCAACACATACCGTCCTTGTCGATGATTGGCACGCTCGAAATGCTCTTCTTGACGAGCATATGTATGACGTCCATAACCGGCGTGTCCATATTCGCAGTCGCTAGACCTGTGTAAGTCCCCACGTTAAGTTCCTTTAGTGGTTTTCGCAACTTCTGCGTCGCCTTGACATTCACCGCGATAAACTTCAGAATGCGGTACTGTGTTATCACACTAACGACCATGGTGCGGTGCGTCTCGTCATCGATATCGACGATGGGGATACGTCGAGCGCGAGATTCGAGCATCTTCCGGCATGCTTCATAGAGCGGCCGCTCGGGGTGGATGGAGACGGTTTCGATCGGTATAACGCCGAGAGCTTTCTCGATATCTACTCACAGTTAGATATCATCGCGCGAGCCGGGTGTGAAGTTGTACCTCGAAGGCTGTTCAAGCGAAACTGGTCTACCCTGGCGAGAGCATCAGGGTTCTGCCAGTAATACTGAATGACGTTGATGTAATCCGAGGTCGTGAGCAGACCAGCGAAGGTTGAGCTCTTGGAGTCCCATAGCGGGGCGGAGACAATGCCTGCTCCAGGCGTTAGGATCTCATTGTACAGGCAAACACGGGGCGCTACCAACCGTTCTGAATCAGAATATTAAGGCTTTTCTTCACCAACAGCGACGTATCGAACACAATCAGGCGATAGCTGAGAGGCAACACATCGTAGCTCGTCCGCACTTTCAAGAAGGCGCGAATCGTCCTCTGTCCCGTCCGTCAGCCGCAGGAAGCAACAGCCTCGAATATATCCCTTACCAGTCCGTCCAACTGCTCCCGATCCACAGCTGTGAGAGCCCGCGGAGACATAGCAGGCCGCGCCTGCTCGAGATAGGTTCGCGGGGTAACAAATGCGAGTCGCTCAGGGCCGAGGGAAGCATCGTTAGCAGGGGCAGTTGTGGGTGCCGAAGTCGCTGAGTCGGCCGTGTCCACGCCAGACATCGTGACTCAGATGCTCCTTTGGACGGAGCCGCATGGGGGTTTATGTGTGGCGCGGAGGTCTGGGTTTGCAACTGAGTCCGGCGTTGCTGGCTGCGCGAAAGTGCGGCGTCCAGGCTGCGGTCGAGGTTGAGATCGGCCGGCCGTGGTGTTGACGCCGCAGCTAACGAGCTGCCACGCGCTAAGAGTGGGGCCTGGGCCGTGCGCCTGCCTTCACTGTGGAGTGCCATGACGAGGATATTTACATTCCGCTTAGCATGACGCCATGACCGCGCAGCTGGGGACTATATCCTCAAGTTGTTGACTTTCCTAAGAACGCCAGGCTTTCGTTGGTACAGCTAACATTGACTGAGTGTCATCGAAGGACGAACCAGAGATACAGCGAATTGAACCAAACATTGCCGCCCAATCTCCAACATTGAAGCTCCTACCCCAAGCCGCGGCTCAAACAAAAGTGTCGGTTAACGCTCTGAGACTAGGCACCGCGCCCGCATGAAATCCTGTACATCAAGTGCTGTTTGGAATGTTGTTCTTCTGAGCTGCTCTGAGCGCGTCGACGTTCAGCTCGGGTCCCGGCTCTGATTCCTCTTCTTCCATTATCATTTCAGCTGCGGCGCTTTCAACAGGCTGGTCGGGCTCGCCCATTTGTTTCCTTGCCTGAGAGACGATGGCATCAGCTTCACTAATCCCCGGCTTCATTGGATCTCCGTCCACGCCCAACTGAGCCTCGATCTTGCGCTGTTTGAGGGCTTTGTTGTCAAACCGAACGATCATACAAGACAAATTGTCGGTCGAAAAGCGTGCAAGGGCGTGATCAACCAGAGTTTTAGACGCCGCTTGTGGGTCTTGGATGTGTCGGACCAAATCGACGGCCTCCTGATCGGAGCAGACATCCCAAAGCTGAATTTGTTAGCTAGGATCGCATAGTTTCAAGAAGAGATACTTACCCCATCGCAAGCGAGAATGAGGAACTCGTCCTGGTCAGGCTGAATCACGGTCTCCGTAGTGTACGGATGGCCGGTAACTAGATCCTTCATATATGCATCTCCAAGAGCTCTTGTGACCGCAAGGACACCGTTGACGCGATTGTTGAGGATTAAACCGCCAGCGCTAGCAACACGACGGCCCTCGTTTTCGTCACTGCCTTTGTGGTCATAGGATAGTCGAAGAGCTCTGCCATTACGGCATAGAACTATCCGCGCGTCTCCAACGTTTGCAGTGTACAAGACGCGTTGGCGGCTGGCATCGTTTCGTAATCGCACCTCCGCGGGGTGCTCATTACGCCCTTCTGGTTGACCGACGGGCTGGGTTGGCGTCGCGGACTCCGAGGTGACAGCATCCGTGGTTTCCGTCTGTTTCTCACTGCTCTCAGAGGCGTTCTTCACCGCCGACACCGCGGCCGGCGCAAACAAGACTGATCCGGTAGACGACTGTGAGTTGGGCACCCGGTCTTCCCATCGTAATACTGCTATTACTGCAGTGCATCCACTGTTCTTAAGGGGTAGCTTCTCCAACTGCTGATCAACCAGGGTGAAGGTCTGGTCCAGGAGCTCAGGTATAGGGGTGTTCGGGTTCTTTCGAATCGTCTCCTCCAGCAAAAGATGCAACTTCTTGCCGCACCAATCCGCCGCAAACGTGCCAGCATGCCCATCAAATATGGCGAAGTACCCGTTATCCGTTTCCACCACAGGCAGATCGGATGAGCTTGATCCGTCGGAAATGGAGCTGCGACTCTTGTCTGGGCCGTAGGATGGCGCGGGTGTACTTAGAAAGTTGTACAAATAGGCATGGGTATCCTCCATAGTTCGCCTGCATTTCTTATTCTTGTCCTCGGTGACGCCGACACGGAAAGTGGATCGTGGACCAGGCAGCGATTCACCGGCGGAGTTGTTCAGAGAGCCCTGGGGAACGCTAAGGGCAGCATCAGACTTCCCAAGCTTCTGTATAGGTGTCTGAGGACCGGGCTTCTCAGAGGAGTTGTTGGAGGCGGTTGTAGGGGACGATCCAGAGAGATGGAGGGACTGTTTTGCGCTGGAGAACATATCCCTCGCACGCGAAACACCGCTACTTCTTCGTTTCTTTTCGCTATTGGGGCTGACTTCGCTGTTCTTGCGCTCCGAGGCCACCGGTGTACTCCCAGCCCGCTTCTCCCCGCCTGAGGTCGCCTCGTTCGTCACAGTTATAGGCGTCGACGTGTCGGTCGAGGCTGGAGCATCTACAGGGTCAGACTCGTCATCCTTCCCAGGGGATGAGCCAAACATCCTGTTCAACAGGCCTCCTTGACTGGAGAAACTCCGTCGCTTGTTTCCAGCCAGGTTGATGGTTGGCGAAGACACTCGGTCTAACGCGGGGAAGGTCGAAGAATACGAGTAAGGGCTAGAAATGGAGAAGATGGAGCGGCGCGTCGTGTAGTATGACGTCAATGTCCTGCGCAAGGTCCATATATTAGCATGCCTTCGTCAGGGCAGCCTGGAGGCAAGCGGGCGAGGAGGGGCAAGCGAAGACGCCAGCATCGGCGGGACGGGCGGGAAGTTTGCGTACAAACCCAGCGCGCTGGCCGAGCATACATACCGAAGTTTTAGGGTTCCCAAGGAGCGTTATAATGGGGCGGTAGCACAGGCAGGTAGAGAAGAGGGGCTGGTGTGCAGGAGGCGTGGTGAAAGAGGCTGATAACTTAGGCGCTCGGGCTAGCGAATGACGTCGGATGTGCGCGTCGGCGTGACCAGACACGGTGAAGCGCGAGCGGAGAATACTGAGGCGGGCGGTGCGAATGGAGGGGTCTTAGGGCCGAGGGCAGCGTCGTGGATAAAAAGCACAGCGGTCCTCCGAAGCTGTCGAGGCTGTCAAGGTGCAGCGAGAGTGCGGGGATATTAGAGGCGCCCCGTGCGCTGCCTGAGGGAAGGCGGAGGCCAAACGCAGCCCTGGAGCCTCGTTTCACCGTTCCCGCCTCCGAGGCCGCCATCTCCGAGCTCTCTGCCTAGGTATGGCTCAGCGGTGGCTCTCTCAGCACATGAGCTGTAGTCGGTGAGCTTTTAGGCTAGGTGCGCGCGGCTTGCACAGGCGGAATCGCGACACACTGGGCAGAGGCGCGGGTAGCAGCGCTTTGCTATTTTGGGAGCACTGGAGTAGATGAACGATCGACGGCGATCTGGAACTCAGGATGCATCCCGACGGATAGGGCGGGTTGTAGCAGGGATGTTTGAGATCTGGGTTCTGCCATACCGTCTACGCCTTGAAACAGTCCGCGAATACTGCGTCTTCGTGCCTCCGACACAACTGTAGGGCACGTACTCACGGTGGACTTGAAATCTGCGTGTAGGTTATGCAGCCTGTTCAGCTTCAACCAGCAATACCTGACGAAGAGATGTGCGATGTTCAGCAGTTATGGACTAGAGGTGCAGCAGGAGCAACCACCCGAGCAGGAGACGAAGAAAATTGTATTACTGCTTCCCTGCCATTGCACTTGGCGGGGAAGCTCAGGGCTCCCGGCTGGCATGTAGGCTATAAGGCTTTCTAAGCATGCCAAACAGAGTAGGAGAAAAAGATGGAAGTCTACCAGAGAAAAGAGGCGATTGGGATCGTCTCAGGGTTCAAGGGAAGTTACTCCCGTGGCATGCCCCTAATTGTCTTCACCTGCCGAAGACCTTCAGGAGTCGTCTTACAGGTCAAAAGCTTGCTTGTGTGACCTCCCCAACGCTCATACCATGGTGACTGCATTATGGAACACAATGTCGTTCAGATCGAAATGTAAGTTCCTCCAATAGCTCCAATTCATCGCATTTCGTGGCCCACCCAACCCATAACGCCGGTAGCTATGAGATATGATAGATGGATCGGTTCACCTTCGCAGACTGTCGAGGCGGGCTTGAAGGTCGTCGTCCCCTGGGTCGGCACCTCCGATTGCCTGGGCTACCCTTCCTTCTGCAACTGCGGTCTTCTGGAGGCCAGTCGGGGTCTCTCCCAGCTAAACAAGCAACGTTAGCAGGCTAATACACTTATGAGGTATTTGTGGACTCACCGCTTGGCCGAGATCAATGCCTATCTCGTCCAGGACTTGATTTACGACCTCTTCGCCCTCCTCCTCGTCTTCAAGTCCAGTAACATCGTCAATGGCATCGTCCATCATCTCTTGCCGCTGGTCCATTATGTCGTTCTCTCTCTCGAACTCCATGGCAATCCGCTGCAGGGCCGGGAGGTTCATTTGCCGGTTCATGCTCCCCAACAACGCTGCTCGATGTTAGATACGCTTCGCAGGAATGGGAGTTACACTAACTCGTCGCGCCTTTCATTGACTGCATCATTTGCTCGTTGCTGCGAACAGTCTGCCCAGAGTCAGTAGCCGTACCGGTTACTTGGTTGCGGCCTGCGTACCTGTATCCTCAAAGATATTGCCTGCAGTTGGGTCCGCATCTGGTAGAACTTCTGAATGTACCTTCACACCAACATGAGCAGAGTATCCCATCAATGTGGCCATCTGGCGCACCTTCTTGTCCGCACTAGATCCTTCGCCTGTATCCGCAGAGGTCCCATCTGCCCGTTTTTGGCGCTCTTCTTGATATCCGCGACTAGCTTCTTCTCCTGGTTCTCGAGCTTTACGCGCTCTCGGTCGAGTTCCCGTTGCGTCTTCTCGAGTGCTCGCTGGTGCTTCCGCAGCCGCTCGGCGGGCGTCATGCGCTTTCCAAAGGCCCATTCGACGATCTATTCGCATATTAGCTGCGGAGCAATTCTGCGAGGAGGCTGATACAGACATTCATATTTGCAGCAGTCCAGATGCGTGAGATTGGGTGTGTGTGGTTTGCCGGAGCTCTATAGCGAAGATGGATGAGTGTGCTCTCTTGGGTGCAACCGCGCGCCAAGTACCGACAGGCAATACCAATAGCCAGCTTTGGTAGCCTCAACGCTCGACCGGCAGCGATTCACCACCTGGCGAGAAAATTAAACTATTGTCTGTAGGCTCTGTTTGTCCGATCTGATCAGAGCCCTTTTTTTGCACCGCTCATGATTATTACTTGCTGGGACGACGCGACCACGTTGTGTTGTGCAGTGACCAATCCTTGCGATTGTGCTGCTTGGCACTCTCTCGCCACCAGATTCTCCGGAGTGCTTGCAACCGCGTTACGACCCGTGGACATTCTTCACTCCTACACGAAAACTTTCGCCACCGACACCGAACCCCCAATTACCGCGATATGCTCCCCTCTCCATCCTCGCATCTCACCTAGTAGCCTCAATGAATTCCGATCAACGCGCTGGTGCTCCCTCAGCCCCTGGGGAATCTTCTTCAAGCCGCGGCGATGCGGGCCCGCCTGCCCGCCCCGCATACATGACGGTTGGGTCAGGGTCGACTCCAGAGGCTGCTGCCCGCCTTATGTCGATGCTAGATCAGGACTCCGGATACGGGGGAAGTATTGTGGACGGAGACACGTCTGGTCGGACCTGGCACCCTACCATCGTGGAAGACAGACCAACGCCGCCTCCCACGCCCATCCTGCCAGGCGGTACAGGCTCCGCTGAGCACGACCGGCAGCGCAGCCATGTGCTGCAGCTGCGGTACAATCAGAATAAAAATGCGCTCGCCCGAGCCATCCATGGCACCATCGATACCCTCAAGAGCTTCCAGGAAAAGAACCTAGAATGGCCGGCGCATTATCCCTCAGTGCCTACAGACCATAAACATCCATCACATAGCCGCACCGATTCCCGGCCCGGTCTATCTCATACCCAGACATCCGTGGACGACTTAGAGCCATCATGTTCGCCCGACCGACCACGACCTCCGCGACGGGCGGGTACATCCATCGGAGAGGATGCGACTGTGGCAGAGTCGAGCTCTATGGCACCGCGAGAACCGAAACAGGAGCCTCGGTTGGTAACTCCGCAGCTTGCTCACGATTTCTCCGTGCTCAAGCTGGAACTCCGCATGGGAGGACGGACACAAACCGATTTGGTACACTCTTTGGAGAGAGGCTCCATCGCATCACTACTTGACGGCCAAATTCAGCAAAGCATACGGCATCTCTATTCCATCAAAGAAAGAATAGAAGACACATCAAGTAAGGTTCTCGTAACCGGCGACCTCAATGCGGGAAAATCGACATTTTGCAATGCACTACTTCGACGAAAAGTGCTGCCGGAAGACCAGCAGCCATGTACCAGCATCTTCTGCGAGGTCCTCGATTTCCGAGAGAATGGTGGTGTTGAAGAAGTCCACGCCGTGCCCCTCGGATCCCGATATAACCGCCACGATGAGAGCACATACACCGTCTTTTCCCTAACCGATTTGGACAAGATCGTTACTGACAACGAGCACTTTACACAATGCAAGATCTATATCAATGACATTCGATCTGTGGATGAGTCGTTGCTCAACAACGGGGTTGTGGACATTGCGCTCATCGATGCACCCGGCTTGAACTCAGACTCGGTGAAGACGACCGCAGTCTTTGCGAGACAGGAAGAGATTGATGTGGTAGTCTTCGTGGTTTCGGCAGCCAACCACTTCACGGAATCGGCGAAGAATTTCATCTTCACTGCCGCTCGAGAGAAGGCGTACATTTTCATGGTGGTCAACGGCTTTGACACTATTCGGGACCAACGGCGGTGCAAGGAGATGATTCTCAAGCAAGTGCATGGCTTGAGCCCGGCTACCTTCAAAGAGTCGAACGAGCTGGTGCACTTTGTCTCTAGTAATGCTATCCCAATGATAGCGGCAGGCTCGGCTAGAGGCTCTCCACCAGATGGGGATGGGGACGATGACCCTACCGACAAGGGCAAAGGCAAGGAGGCAGAGAAGATCAGGGACTTTGAAGACTTGGAGACCTCTCTGCGCCGTTTCGTTCTCGAGAAGAGGGCAAGATCCAAGCTTGCACCGGCAAAGACGTACCTCCTGAATGTCCTGAGTGACATCCATAATCTTGCTACAGTTAACCGAGATGTTGCTCAGGCGGAACTGGATCGAGTGAAGAAGGAGATGGATGCCCTCGAACCAGAATTCGAAGAATCCAAGAAAGCAAGGACTGAAGCCGGAGAGTCAGTGGAGCGAATGGTGGAGGATACCACTTCGGAAGTCTACACTCACACATGGGATACCCTCAACGGCTGCATCGCTCGGGTAGGTGAGCAGGACCTTGGCATCGAATATCCTGGCCTTTTCTCCGCCTACCAGTATGCCGAAGACATCAGGGATTCAATGATTCATGAGATCTCCGAGAATGTGCGCTTGTGCGAAGAGCATGCGCGAGCACAAGCTGTCCAGGGTTACAATGGGATCAAGAACCTAGGCATCCTGCATCTTGGTAACAACCTCCATGCCGACGTCATGTTCCGTCCGGAGAGGATGTTTAGAAAGTCGGTGCATGCTCTGGCCCGACAGGTCGACATCGACATTGAGCTCTGGGATTTCTTCGATATTGCTAGTTTGTGGGAACGGCAAGAGAAGGTTGCAGGGACAGGCATGGCTGTCACTGTTGCAGGTGTGGTGGGCGGTAGATTGGTTGGCGGCGTCGGATGGCTAGATGGTGCTCTTGGTGCAGCGAAGATCATGGGGTCAAACAACCTCAGGAGGCTCTTGATTCCTGGCCTCATTGCTGGTGGTAAGCTTCTCCTCCATCCTCCCTATCTTGCAGATCGCTAACATGATTGCGTAGTTGCCATCGGTGTCTCGTACATCCTAGCATCGGTCCCCAAGTCTCTGCCCCACCGGCTCAGTGCCAAGCTGTCTGCGCAGCTATCGGCCATTGACTACACGCATTCTAATGCATTGCGCATCAGCTCAGAGGTTCGCCGGGCCCTTAAGGGCCCTGCGAACGATGTTCGGATTGGCCTGCAGCGGAACGTTGAAAAGCTGCAGCTCAAGAAGGATGAAACGCTCAAGTTCAAATCAGAGGCCGAAGGAGCCCGGAAGTATTTCAGCAACCTGTTCCGCGGCAGCAACGAGCTTCGCCAAACGGTCCAGCGGATTGACCTAGAGGCGACGCCACCAGCAGTTGCGACTGCGAGTAACTAAGCCTGTATCGCGAGCTGCGATGACAAGCCCGCTTTGGAGGGGTGCAAGCAGTGCAAAATATATACAACTGGCGTTCGGGAGCAGGTCGGAATATCAAAGGAAGGTAACCTTAAGTGACTCTTTTTTCTCTGTACATAACGCTTAATCCAATACCCCTCTTGCTCCTTCATGTAGAAATACGATCGTTCATGAGAGAATCACCTAAGATGAGTTACGATATGCAAAAGTCAGAAGTGAGGTTGCCTGCCAAGCCTCGCGCGTGAATAGACCCCTGTCCCGGTGCGGACCTCCGAACGTCATCCAACGAAGAGGCTCTAACCATCACCTCGCCTCTCGATGGCGCACGACACCCTACATCCAGCCTGATGGAGGTCCGCCGCGACCCGCGCCAGTTCGTCTTCTTCATAATCCTGCTACTCCTTATAAACTCGCCCGAACCACAGCAGCAGGCAGGCTACAACACACGATCACGGTACAACGAGGTTATCGAACGCGAATGGGAAGAGCTCGACGTCCTAAATAGAACCCGATATGGCGATTTCGACCCCGGGAAGAATCAGTGGCTGAATATTACAGGGCTAAGGGAGGAGGATGGGTTTGCGTGGGATTTGTTGGAGCCGGTTAGGCGGAGGGCGACGGAGCAGACGAAGGGGCTGCTGGGGGAGAAGGCGGAGAGTTGGTTGAAAGGCACGGTTGGAGAAGAGGAGAGCATACCAGTGTATAGGAATATTTCGGGGTATGTGCAGGGCGAGTGGGTGCGCTCGTCGCTGGGGCGCATACGGCATCCGAGCGATATGAACGCCTCCGCGCTCCTCCCGGAGTATCCGTTCCCGTTGGCCGAGTACGACAGGAATTTGACTGGGACAGGAGGGCCTGTGCGGCTGCATATAACAGAGCTGGAGGGAAGAATGCGGACGGATGAGAACAGGACCATCTCGGAGGTTAGCGCCAGAGTGGTGATTGGAGACGATGAGAGCTGGGGGGATAACTGGTGGGAGTTTGCGGTTAATGGGTTGCATTATCCTGAGTTTGGCGGCGCGGTGTTGACTACGACAAGTGAGAGGTGAGCTATCACATGGAATTGCATGCACTGGATCTCGAGACTGACGAGTATAGGTTTGCCGGCATCTTCGCGCTCCCACACTTGCAGATCACGTCGCACCTCTACACCTCATCTCAAGAACTGCTCAACTCAACCATTCATGAGACGATCGAACGCCAGACGAACCGAGCGTACCCCATATGGAACCCATGGACATCAGCCGTAGAGGGAACAAATGAAGGAACCTTGGGCACTCCTCACTGCGAGTTCGTCCTTTTCCTACAGGAACAGCCAGTGCAGTTCCATCTCCGACCGGGACAGCAACCGCTAAACGGGCAGCCTGATACAAACTGGCTTGAACACGAGCTTCGATATCCCACCGGCTCACCGATGCCCCGTCGCACACCACTGTCCATGTCCATGGTTGGCTTCTCTCCAGATTGCGGCTTCGTCATCGAGTCGAAAGGCCCGCCAGACTTCCCACCTTCAGAGGCCGCACATCTCGTGGGCTCGAAGACGGAAGAGTTCAACGCCCGAGCTAGGCATAGCATCATCGCATTTGCAGTCACCCTCGTCTTCCAGCTCTTCTTCCTCATCAAGCAAGCAAAGGAGGCTGCGACCCCATCTACCCGTAACCGAATCAGCTTCTATACGATCGCCATGATGGGCCTGGGCGATGGATTCGTGTTTCTTTCCCTGGTCTTCATGCACCTGTTTCTGGGAACGTCACAGCTTGCATTATACACCATCGCATTCCTCGCGCTATTTTCAGTGGTCTTGGAGCTTCGGTTCTTGATGGATATCTGGACTGTTCAAGTAACGGAGCAGATGCGTCAGGACAGACAGCAGGCGCCGACACCTACTCCACCGAGCCCGCAACCTACTCCGACTACAAACACGCAGACACGTCCGCCACCACCTCCCAGCGGCGACTCGCTTCCTCTCCCAGTAACCGCCAACCGACCACAACCATCCGCCCCCCTCATCGTCCCCTCCGATCAGGATGATGCCACCGGAGGCGCCACTACACCTACCAACAACACCACAACAGCAATAACTCCAGCGCGAGCCGAGCTGAGCGCTCTATACAGCCGCTACTGCCTCCTTCTCATCATCATATTCTTCATCACCCTGCAATTCACAACCGTCCGCTCCACAGCCCGCGCCTTCTACTTCAACACTCTCTGCTTCATCTACCTTTCCTTCTGGACGCCTCAAATCCACCGCAACATCATGCGCAACTGCCGAAAGGCGCTGCGCTGGGATTTTGTCCTTGGACAAAGTATCGTCAGGATGATACCTATTGCCTATTTCTACGTCGTGGAGAACAATGTTTTATTCTCAAAGACGGATTATAGGTCGCTACTAGTGCTTGCCGGATGGGTCTGGATACAGATACTAGCACTAGCTAGCCAGGAGATCCTAGGCTCCCGCTTCTTCATCCGCGAAGGCTGGGCCCCTCCAGCATACGACTACCACCCCATCCTCCGCGAAGACGAAGAAGGCGCCACGATGCCGATCGGCTCATCAACCTCCCCCGATTCCCCTTCCTCCTCGGCGCCTCAACTCCAACCCGGCGAATCAAAGGGCAAGGGCAAGAAAGTATTCGACTGCAGCATCTGCGCGCAAGATATCGAAGTCCCTGTTATACCCGCCGGCGGCGGTGGACCCGATGTACAAGGTCTAGGTGGACTGACCCTGCAGCGGAGGATGTATATGGTTACGCCTTGTCGGCATATTTTCCACACGCCCTGTTTGGAAGGGTGGATGAGGTATCGGTTGCAGTGCCCGAATTGTAGGGAAATATTGCCGCCACTATAGACAGCCTAATGAAAACAACGCAGCTCAGTTTCAAGCACAGTACTTCGAGGTCATGTCGCATTCCATGAATAGTTCACTAGAACTGGCCATGTGACTCGAGCAGAAACGCTTTTGCCGCAGCCATGGGGCCGACCTGTTTCCTACCAGAAAATTTCCGATCGCGCGGACCGAAGGCTCTCTCTGCGGGTCTGGAAAAAGGTCCTTAGTCGCAGCGAACTCCGGCTTTAACCCTCTCTAAGTATCGTGAGTTGGGAGTGCCGGATTGGTGCCCGGAGATTTGGCAGCTCGGGAATCTACTCCAGTCCGGTTTAGCATGTGGACATGAAGTCCCCAGGGCCGGCGAGCTGCATGAAGGATGAAGAAGAACAGTATGAGTGATTGTTGGGTGAACTGTGCTCTGCAGAATATTGCTTGGAGTGGAGCTGTGGAGTGCAGGTGAACTATTTAGGTAGGTCCACGAGTGGGTACGTCAGCGTTTGCTTTCTATTGCCGGGCGGCTTCGCTGCGCCACGTGGCGTACCACGCAGCGGATCAGCTCCATTATTGTCCTCAAAGACACTTGTACTCGCCTGCCGTGCGCCTAAACTACGCTTCGGTATTTGCACCCTTCCACGCTTTTGCGAATGCCGAAATTTAGAGACAATGAAGTCACTGCATAAACCAGGCGCCCCAGATTATTTAAAGCAACAAAGGGCCGATCACGTCCAATGCCTAGGGTTTCAGGTGGCTCCAACGCCGGGCACTAAAAGCCTCCCTTCTTCCTATTGGCTGATGGATGGCAGGGCTGGGGCTGTGACAGTGGCTACGACATGCTTGGTTTGCGTAAACTGGTCTCTCAGCCTCTGTTGTGCGATGTGTCTGCGCTTCAGCTCGGTGTCTCCCGACACAATTTCTTGAGAGAAAAGAGTACTTAGATCTCTGGATCCTTCCCATCGTTTTGGCTCTTCTCTCGCGTCTTGAGACGAACTTCGAGCGGGTGATTTCTGCAGGGCTGCGAATAGCTTAGCCTTCCTAGCCTGTGCCTCAGCTGCACCACCGCCGTACTGCACTGAGTTGTACAACGACGAACGCGAACCCCGAGCCGCATATCCACATCCACTCGCCGCACTTTGCTACCGCATCCTCCACGCTCGCTTGCGGCTGATATTCCTCCTCCAACTCCGTGCCGAAGCCGTAACCGTAGCCGTCGCTCGTAAAGGGTCGCCGTCGCCGCGCGCCTGCCATCGCCATGGCGGCCAACGACTACTACCACTCCTTCTCTCCCTCCGGCGCACACTCCCAACCCCACCCATCACACTCACATACCCTCGACGACTCGCCGCTGCCCCCAGTCCCGGGGCCCAACCACTCCACACAATCCATTTCTCCCGTCTCCTCGCCCTTCGACGACACCAATCGCTACGACTATCCTTCAACCACGAAGCTGACCTCCGCCGCCGCGCCATACGGCGATACATCGTACCACGGCGCTGCGACACCACAGAGTTATAGCAGTCGGTACGACCCGCCGGCGAATCATCCCCAGGGAGATCCGTTCGCGGACCAGAACGCGATTCCGCTGCAGAATCAGGGGAAGATGGGGGAAGGCGGTGCGGCTGCTGGGGTGTATGGCGCAGATCCAGAAGGGAGGTATCCGGCACATGAGAAGAGGAAGAAGAAGGGATGGTTTAGTGGGAGGGTGACGTGGGTGGTGTATATTCTGACGACGGTACAAATCGCCGTCTTCATAGGGGAGATAATTAAGAATGGTATGTCCCCCATCCATCTTCCAATCCGACTCCTTCATACGAGGGACGATGGAGCCTGAGAGGGTATAGAATTGTGCTAATGTAAGTATAGGCATCTTGACAGGCTCCCCCATCCAAACAAAACCAAACTTCAACATCATGATCGGCCCGTCGCCCTACGTCCTCATCAACATGGGCGCCCGCTACCAGCCTTGCATGCACTACAGCAAAACCGTCCTCGACAACCAGGTCATGTTCTGGCCGTGCCCCAACACTACGACCACAGACGCCACCTGCTCCCTCTCCGAGCTCTGCGGCATGGGCGGCGTCCCCGCCCAAGATCCAGACCTCACCTGGGAAACCCGCCATACCAAGGACAACCTCGAGCCCGACCAGTGGTGGCGCTTCATCACGCCGATATTCCTGCATGCGGGAATTATTCATATCGGCTTTAATATGCTGCTGCAGTTAACGCTGGGGAGGGATATCGAAAAGGAGATCGGGCCGCTGCGATTCACGCTTGTGTATTTCAGCGCTGGAATATTCGGGTTCGTGCTGGGTGGGAACTACGCCGCTGAGGGAATTGCTTCTGTGGGAGCCTCCGGCTCTCTCTTCGGCATCCTCGCACTCGTCCTGCTCGACCTGCTTTACAACTGGAACTCGCGCCGCTCGCCGGTAAAAGACCTCCTCTTCCTGCTCCTCGACATTGCTATCTCCTTTGTTCTCGGCCTGCTCCCTGGTCTGGACAACTTCTCGCATATCGGCGGCTTCCTTATGGGTCTCGTCCTCGGCATTTGCTTACTACATTCGCCTCAAGCACTGCGCGAGCGCATCGGCGTCGACGAGCCACCCTACTCAACCGTGGACACACAACCCTTGAACTCCGGCGCTGCGCCGGGTCTGCAGAAGTTCGTCAAACAGCCCGTAGGCTTCTTCAAGGGCAGGAAGCCGTTCTGGTGGGTGTGGTGGGTTGTGCGCGCCGGAGCGCTCCTTTCCGTCTTCATTGGATTTATTCTGCTGCTGAGGAACTTTTACGAGTGGAGGAATGGTTGCAACTGGTGCAAGCACCTGACTTGCTTGGTAAGGATCGCCGGAGGCACTTCGAGTGAAGACCAAGACAGAGCTAACGGGTATGCAGCCTATTACTACCGGCGGAGTAAACTGGTGCGATATCGGCAACCTGAAGCCGACTACGTCGACGCAGGCCGCTCCCGGACCCACCGCCACCGCGGCGTAGGCCGCAAGACTGCAAGCTTTTGCTCTTTCCCGCCCATGAAATAAGCCGCTTCCTTCCGATGGGGGCAGCAGCGAGGACGCGCCGTAAGCTCGAGGCTTATCTGCTCATTGTATAATTCCCGCAAGACTGTACTTTGGCGTACGAGATGTTCGAGTGGCCGTCGTAGAAACGGAAATACCACATAGCTTTGATGGAGGATCCGGAGATGCATTTTTGGCGTTCTGGTGTAGCTGATATGAGCGGAGTTAGTTGAAAGGAACGGGATTGGATTGGATTGGACTGGGGAACAAGTCACAGTATTCCTGGATATGATGATATGAAAAGGTCGATTGAAAGACCGGGCATATAGTCCCCCTATTCTACCTAATCGAATCAAGTCCGAACCGTGAAACCGGAGCCGTGCCTGAGCTTCCGAGCCAGTGAACTCCATCCATGCTTTTGAAGTCTCAAAGGGAGTAGATAAATGCAGTAAAGCTTGGTGAATGATGATGATGTGCAAGGGGGTAATCTATGAAAGAAGAGGGAGGCTAGGTTCGTAGACCGCTGATGTTTGGGTGTGCGCAGGGAAAGTGCCAGCAAATGGGACCAGGCAGAAGCACTGTTTCGTCTTTCATCGACTGCATTCCACCGACTGTTTGTCTTCCAGATTCTCTCGACGAGATCAAGCCGACACTCCAGCATCGAGATGCGACCTACCACTGTGACAGCTTGCCCTGGTAGTTGAAGACCTGCGACGAACCGCTGCCTCCAATCTGCGCCGCAACCTTATCAGGATCCTTCCAATCGACGGGCTTCGAGGAGCTGTATTGAAGATAGGTGGCGACTGGCGGCGTGTACTGCTCCAGCCTACCCGTGTCTGGGTTCTCAACCATGACGGTGGGGTTGTGAATATGATCAGCGCGCGTCTTCTCCTCCACGCTGAGGAAGCCGCCGGTCATCTTGTCTAAGAAGATATTGAAGTCTTCGGCCTTGTTGATCGGGCATTTCGATGCGCGGCTCTCACAGTGGCTCATAAGCGCTGTGACCGACTTGAAGTACTTTAGGCAGCAGGGACACTTCATCCTCGCGATGCGGTGGTCTTGGAGGATGTGTGTATTCATCTCGTCGGGCATATCGAAGGTTTGCCTGGTCAAAATGTTAGCGGCATGATCGCAACGGTTAGACTGTGGAAGGCTTACTCGCAGATGAATGGGCAGTAGTACTTGCACACGACAGTATCATAGAAGCGTTCTGGATTCCAGTCACGGCTCAAGGGGTCCCAGAAGCGGGTATTCATGATGTTGATACCGTGCTCGTGCTCCATCTGCTCATCATGATAGCTGATGGAGAACTCGCTGGGCGGTGGAGTAGGTTTAGCCTCCGGGAAAAGCTGCTTTGCTGCTTTCCCTCCCCATGGATTAAGCTGACGGCTTGAAGTTGGAGTCCTGGAAGTACCGTCGCGCGAGCCGACCGCAGTGGCCGACTCGGAGTTCCCGCCAAGAGACATCTTTCTCATTGTTGCAGAAAGATCCGAGGCTCCACTAACACTCCTAGCCTGTGACTGGGACGGGAGCGGGGGGTATGGTCCAGTATATGGTACAGGCTCCTCTGGCGCTGTCTCTGGCTTGATCGCCGCGAATTCGACATCTCTAGCTTCGTCATCGTCGTCTTGGTCGAGCGGCATATCGATACCGACCCCACCTTCCTCTTCGTAATCCTGGGCGGCATCGAACTTGGAGATCTTCTGCATGAATCTATCATAGGCGGCGCCGCCCTCGAGGAGCTTCGTCACAAGGTGCTTGTGCACTATGTGGCCTTGGAATTGCTCCGGCGTGATAACACTACAGTGTCCGAACTCAAGGTGTTCCACGAGCAGTGATGCGCGGTAGAACTCTGAGCCGCAACCCAGGCAGGGGAGCTTCTGGTCGACTTTGTGGTTCTTATGAGTGTCAGCATTAGGACGGGGCCACTAGGTGTATCAACTCATCAACCCACCAGCTCGATATGACGGCGAAGACCGGAAGTAGACTTGAACTCTTCTCCGCACACACGACACGCTTTGCCATGCATGTCCGGGCGGAAGGCCTTGTGTTGAGCGAGATCGTCGTAAGAATCGAAGTCCTCGTCGCACTTCGCACAGTAATCATGTTCCTCGGAGTGCTTCTTGTGGCTCCTCATTGCCCGCTCCGAGTCGAAGGAGGCGGGGCAGTTCTTGTACGTACATTTGTATTTCTTGATCGGCTCGAGTGGGGCAGGCATCTTGACAGGTCGTTCAATCCGACACACAATAGGCCTTGAGGCGCGGTCTCGTTCGCTTGTGTGATGTGAGCCAATGCCACGTCCTTGGTATCAACCGACTAACTAGAGCTTATGGGTGAATGAGGCGGAGTGCTTGTGGATCACCGGTCGCGAATCGTCGCGGGGTCTTGGGGATTGGATGTAGATCTGGAGTGGAGAGGGAAAAAGAGTGTGTGGTTATAGAAACCGGCGAAGAGCTAAGATAAGGCAGTCCAGGCAGCTACCAAGTGAGTGGAGAAGTGGTGTATAAAGAGATTGTATGAGATCAGGACAATTGATCGGGAGTGGAGGTATGAAGGCGAGGTGAGGGAGCGGAGACCGGATAGGCAGGAGCGTTGACGAAGTGAAGGAGGGTGGGAAGGCGCGAGTGGATGACCGGCAGCCTCGACCCTCGACCAGGTGTCATACCTAACACCGAGACTTCCATAGAATACGGCTTGTGAGGTAGCGGTGAGAAGCTGGAAGCCGGGCGGGGCAAAACGGCGATGTCGGTGAAGGAGCTGGGGCAGGTGTCACTTACAGAGCCACTCACGTGAAGTACATCGCAGCCCATTCACTCCTCTTCAGCTACACATGGTATATGACTCGCCTTACACATACCAGTATGTCTCGTTTGTCAACTGTGGGCAACCACTTGTGAAGGCCTTTGGTAGGTAAAGACCCGAATCGCTTCCGCTCGTAGACTTGCCTCCCTCAATCAAGAAGTTTATACTATCACCATGTTTTCAGAGTCGTTCTCCTTAGGTAGAACCGATCTTCATTGACGGTGTCCATATTTGTACCACTTATTTCAAGTTCCTATTCATACGCTACTGTCTGCGATCTCCTACAGCGATAGGCCGCCGCACGATACTCCGATAGTTTAGAACCGAGAATACGGCAGCCTGGGGTTGATGTTAGTGCGTATTCACAACACTTCCTGGAATGGAGAGTCCTACCACTTCCCCCTCAATGTAATGACGGCCCAATCTCCCTTCTCATCCGTCTCCTTCTCCACCTTCGTAGAGAAACTGATAGCGCTCATAATGCCATCACCAAACTTCTCATTTAGCACTGCCTTGTACGCGTATCCGTAGTTCTGCACGATTTCATAGAGGCGGTAGATCAAAGGCTCCTTGGGCGGCATGTCCATGGTGCGTCCTCGGTCGGGGTATCCTGAGAGTTGCGACTCAAGCGTCTCTACGGGAATATCCAACACCTGGGAAAGCTTCTCGATGTCTTCCGGCGAAGCTTGCGCCTGGCCGTAGAACATAGCAGCAATTGCTACCTCCTCGCGGCCCACTTCCTTTGCAATGGCTTCGAAGCTAAGGTTCTTCTTCTTCTTGGCCTCAAAGAGTGTGGGAGAGGATGGGGGGAGGCGGGGGACGAGGGAAGCCTGTCAGTGTCAGTATCTCGGCACAGCATCGGCCAGAAAGAGGCTCCTCACATCCAATGTTGCAATTGGGTAGCTCGCCATTGCGGTAGGATGGAAGTAACGCGCAGCTGTATGCCCTACGGACGGTCGGACAAAGGACGATGCGACGGGCACAATTGCTCGAGGCGCAATTCGGGTCGAAAATGCAAGGCGGGGGATTCGAGACATCCTTGTGAGGTGCCGCCGGGAGAATTAAATAGCTATAGCTATTGCAGAGCGGCAAGCAATGGAGGGGAGAAGCGGGAAGGGCCGAAGGAAATCCGAATACTTTCTGTCGCCGTCATGCTGATTGACTACGTCATCGGAGCGACATTCGGCCAACGGGATGGGGAGTCTCGCATCCGCCAATTGTTCTTTCGTAACATCATGATCCGGACCCTCTCGAGCGGCTCGTCTGCGCGATAGCCGGGTCCCAAGGCGGCAGAACTACTTGTCGTGGTCGGCATGTCAAGGGTACTCACGATCTGCTGCACGAGCGGAAGCGGGGCAGGGAGGGGCAGAACGGAAAAGGAAATATAGCAACAGCGCGTACAACCTGCCAACAAAAGGCGATCGGTTGTACGCCGCATGCTCTGACAATTACTGTACTGAGCATTTCGGAAGCTCCAATGGCTCTTGGCAAAGAACTGGTTTCACCGTGTGAATTTTCCCTGTTTGCATGAGGCAGGCCCCTGCAGAGCTGAGGCAGTATGACGCCGCGGGGCTAAAGCCTCGCTCGACGACCTGCAACACAAGCTTTCTCCAGCTCCAAGCTGCAGGAACACACTTACACAACTCTTCAACCCGTAGATCGTCAGGAGCTGCGCTTCTGTCGAGATGGCTTACAACCGCCGAGACGACGACCTGGCGTACGGAGACTATCATCATGGGCAGCAGCCGCCGCCGCAGCAGGAAGGAGAAGAGGGCGAGCGCGGCTTCATTGGCGATATGGGAAAGCGCATCTTTGGCGGCCAGAAGGATGTGAGTGCACCCTTTCCCCGCCGAGCACCTTGTTGTCTCCATCGGAGAGCCCAAATGTTGTGAGCGGGCCTACGTCGCAGCGCTATCGATTTGGCCCTCCTCAACCGCCTCCATTACCCTGTGTATTCCTACACTTCACTCGAATCCTTCGACTTCTCTCAGGGATCTCTATACCTCTACACCCTCAAGCCGTTGCCTGACTGCATACGCTAGGACTCCCAGCAACAAGGCTCTTCCAACGAAGGCGGCATGTCGTTCGTTTTCGACAAACTCCACCGCGCCGTCCACGACATCGGTACCGACATAAAAGATAAGATATCGAGCAAGGAGGATCAGCCCAGCAAACCCCAGCAAGGTCCCTACACTGAGCAAGGCGCTCCGGCGCCTCAGCCCGGGCAGGAATATCACAATCAGCACAGGTTTCTCAGCTTTGCGCCTGAACGGCGCGGGAATGACATCAAGTGGTATGTCGACGGTTGCGGTACGTATTCTCAAAGTGCCCACATCAGCTCTAAAACATGTATTGAATGTACCTGCAGGCTATATGTGGGCCGTGAGCGCCGCCATCGAACGTGCTCGAGAATCAATATGGATCCTCGATTGGTGGTTATCACCAGAGCTCTACCTCCGCCGACCTCCCGCAAAGTACCAGCAATATCGAGTCGACCGCCTCCTTGAAGCTGCCGCTAGGCGCGGCGTCAAGGTCAATATCATGGTGTACAAGGAAGTCACCCAGGCTCTGACTCGTAAGTACCTGAATCCACACCTACCCGATTATCTTCATTCCCTTCTTCCAAGGTCCACGGACCCCATCACAAAAGCCCTCACTCGAGCCGGCCTCAATGTGATCTTCACATCCCTCGAAGAAGTGGAAAGGACGGCCCCGCTGATCGAACCCCCTATACCAGTGTCGTCCGCCCACACGAAGCATGCTTTGGAGGCTCTTCATCCCAACATTGCCGTCTTTAGGCACCCCGACCACTTGCCCGATACGGCGGTGCTCGGATCTTCTTTCTTTCAATCACTGCAGAATATGTCGTTCAGTCCTGCCAAGCTCGCGCAGCTACCTGGAGACAGTCTCAAGGCGATTTACGGTGCTCATGAGGACACGGTTCTGTACTGGGCACATCACGAGAAGCTATGCCTTATCGATGGAGAGATTGCGTTCATGGGAGGGCTGGATCTTTGCTATGGCCGGTGGGATACTAATCAGCATTCAATTGCGGACGCTCACCCCGGTGACTTGGATCGCATCGTCTTTCCTGGGCAAGACTTCAACAACGCTAGAATAATGGGTAAGCATTCTGAAGTAAGTCCCTCCCATGCTGTCACTAATGGACTGTAGATTTCCAGGATGTCCCGAATTGGGAGAACAACAAGCTAGATCGCACCCAGAGCTCCCGCATGGGTTGGTCAGATGTTTCTCTATGCCTCACTGGACCGGCAGTGCAAGATTTGAGGACACATTTCGCTCAGAGGTGGAACTTCATTTACGACGAAAAGTACAGCAAGAAGGATACCAGGTACTCCAGCGTTTCGGCTACAAGTAGCGGTGCTCAGCAGGGCGGTCACTATCCGCCACCGCCAACTCAGCAACGAGGTTTCGACGGCGAGGACGAAGAAGAACGCGGGTTCGGTGCTGATGAATATGACGGCCAAGGCAGTGGTGAACGCGGTCTGTTCGGTCGGGGTGGCGGCGGATTCCACAAGAAGGTGTTCAGCCGCGTTAGCGAAGGATACCAACGATACGGCGGCCACCACGGCGGCGCCCACGCACAGCAACAATCCCACGCCGAACATAGTGCCCAGCTGGGGATGGCTGAATGCCAGATCACGCGAAGTAGTGCGAAGTGGAGCCACAACATCTCTACTGAGCACTCGATCCAAAATGCCTACTGCGAAATCATCAAGAACAGTAAGCACTTCGTCTACATCGAAAACCAGTTCTTCATCACAGCCACTGGCAACGAGCAGAAGCCGATCAAGAACCAGGTTGGCGCTGCTATTGTCGAGCGCATCCTCCGGGCTGCTCGCAACGGAGAGAAGTATAAGATGATGGTTATGATGCCGTCGGTTCCAGCCTTTGCCGGCGACCTCAAGAGTGATGATGCTCTGGGCACGCGGGCAATCATGGAATTTCAATACGACTCGATCAATCGCGGCGGTCACTCAATCTACGAGGAGATCGCAAAGGCTGGTTTCAATCCAATGGATTACATCCGGTTCTACAACCTCCGGAGTTATGACCGCATCAATGCCAGCGGAGCGATGCGCGCTGCCGAGGAACGCAGTGGCGTATCGTACGAACAAGCCCGCGAGGGCTACGATGCGGCTCATGAAGGTACTCGAGGAGATTTTGAGGGAAGCCGGGATCAGTATCAGGCCTATCGGCCGCCTCCTACAGCAGAATATGGCGTCTACGAGATGGATGCTTCTTCTGGTGGAAATTACGGACAGGGCCAGCATGGTCAGGACCAATACGGCCAAAGCCGGCCTAGCATGATGGAAGCTGAATACGGACGGCCGCAAGCGCAAGAAAGGACTGATGAGCACAAGCGAGATGACTACAATAAGTATCAACAAGCTGCCTCTAAAATCGGCGGCCGGCAGGGTCTCGGTAGCGGACGTTGGGATACGGTCAGTGAATGCTACATGCTTGGTGGCGAAGATATCCGCAAGGTTCCGTGGGAAGGCGGTGCGATGGATGAGATGGATGCTTTCGTGAGCGAGGAACTGTACATTCACAGCAAGGTGAGTACCCGAGTAAAGAGTCCTAGAGCGCATTTCACTAACCGCTTGTAGCTCCTTGTCGCGGATGATCAAATCGTCATCTGCGGATCTGCTAACTTGAACGATCGGTCGCAAATGGGAGACCACGACTCAGAAATCGCTATCATCGTTCATGACACAGAGACTGTCGAATCGTACATGGATGGTCGTCCGTGGCGCGCATCCAAATTCGCAGCCTCCCTCCGCAGACAGATATTCCGCAAGCACATCGGCTTGCTCAAGCCGCAGAACATGGAGCGTCCAGACCAGAACTTCGAGCCGATTGGCGTCCCCAACATTTACGATTGGGGCTCTCAGGAAGATCGACAAGTCGCGGATCCTCTCTCAGAAGAGTTCCAGTCCTTCTGGAACTGGCGCGCCAAGGTAAGAAAAGCATTCTATGTGGCTAAAGGATACAAGCTAACCCCAATAGACCAACACGGACGCCTTTGGTAAGGTTTTCCATCCCGTGCCATATGACGGAGTGCGGTCGTGGAAACAATACGACGAGTACTATTCGCGCTTCTTTGCTCAGGACGAGAAAGACAAGGAGCATAAGAAGCCGAGCCAGTACAAGTGGGGCCATGTGGTTGCAGAAAACTTCAGCCAGGGCGAGCAAGGCGTGCGGGAAGTGAAGGAGGAGCTTTCTAAGATTAAGGGGACGCTTGTTGAGATGCCACTGCTATTCCTCAAGGACGAAGATATTGCCAAGGAGGGTATGGGCCTGAATGCCTTTACGGAGGAGATTTACACCTAAGCTAGGTCCTGATTGCTGGATTGGAACGTGCTGCTGGGTGGGCTTGGGGGCTCAACGAATGTCACCTGTGAATGATGGCCTATGACTATCTACTGCGTTCTTCTTGCTGCGATTTGGTGCCATGAGCGACTGCTGGTCTGCTACGCGGTGAAGCCTCTCTCATGTGAATGGTGATCTCTGTTGTGATGCTCAGCACTGTAAAGTGGCTCCATTGTCAAGACGGTGGTACGTGAAAAGCAGTCACAGGGCTCGTTCCTGACTAAAATAAGCCGCGAACGTTGATTGGCTGTCGGGTGGACCCTGCCGCAGATCGGGGCTGGATCACGGATTCATCCTTCTGGTCCGTGTCAGCTCTTTCCTCTTCACCACTCTCCGTTCTACGAGGATACATACCTCCCGCACGCATCCGATGTGAAGCATGCCTATTCACAGGCGTCTCACAGCCCGCAACGCTCTCATCGCTCTCCTGGCCTGGCTTTTCATCGCCCTCGTCCTCCACCTGAAAGCCGAGCTCTGGGACTCGTCCCCTGCTGCTGGTTCCGCGGACGCGCCTGCCGGGAATGATGATGTGCTCAACGGGGAAGCACAGCATGGGAGCAGTACCAAGAAGATAGGGGTGGAAAAGGGAGGAGAGAAGCGGAGAACCGCGGTGGTGGTTGCGAGCCAGGCGAGCGAGAATGCGACGTGGCTTGATGAGTATTTTCCACAGTGGGAGAAGAATATTTATCGGGTGGATAATAAGAGTGCGCCTTTGACGGTGCCAAAGAACAAGGGCAGAGAGAGCATGGTGTACTTGACGTGAGTGGCATGCGTTCTGTGACAGGGGGACCGGCGCATTCATGGTACAAGAGCGCGCGAAGGCTAACATGGTTAATAGCTTCATCGTAGACAACTATGATAACCTCCCCGATAACATCCTCTTCATCCACCCGAACCGCTACCAATGGGTAAGGCTCCGGTACAAATAGTAGACTATAGATGCTAACTTGTACGCAGTAAGCAAAACCTTCCTTATATTGCACCCTACCTTAGGGCAAATGTTAGACACTTTCTAACATTTACTGCCTATCTGAGACATGCAGTATTTGTACCCTAGCTTTCTAAGCGCTCTGCTAATTATACCGTCACTTGTAAGGCACAACGACGACCCCGACTATGATGGGCTCCCTATGTTGCGGCATTTCCAGATACCATACCTCGAGCAGGAGGGTTACGTTAATATCCGCTGCGCCTGGAGCCTAGGATGCCCGTCAGAGATCAAACCGCTCGAGGAAGAAGGAGAGCATAGGGCCGCTATACACGCTGGTGGAGATTACAAGAAAGCGTTTGAGATCCTGTTTCCTGGAAAAGAGGTCCCGCGATACGTTGGCGTTAGCTGCTGCGCCCAGTTTGCGGCTACGAAGGAGAAGATTAGAGAGCGGAAGAAAGAGGAATATGCTAGATATAGGGAATGGCTGCTAGAGACGGATTTGGGGGACAGTATTAGCGGGAGGATCTTGGAATACTCATGGCACAGTATGTTTCATCTCCTATGTTCCCCTGCCCCTAGGACTCTACCCTTGGATTCATCTACGTGGCAACACTGCAGCACCATAAGGCGAACTTACCACGAGGTCTCTCCGGCTTCGACAGCAAAGTTGATATACGCTCCCAAGGCCGCACTGCGAGCAGCCCAAAATTGCTTGAAGTCTCGAACCCATCCGAGGTTTGTGCACTCTTTCCTCAACTGTCGACTTTCGAGTCAGCCGTCTCACCGGAGTGTGCGAAGCACCTTGCACACAACGCCCAACCTACGGAATCGAACCAATAGTAGGAGACAATTCGAAGCCAATCTTGTATCTTCTGGGCAGTTTACTCTCTATTCAAGAGTGCTGGACTCACCGGATAACGATTGACACGTCCGGCTCTTGCGAAACCTACGACACCGCTGTCGTGAATCCACGCGACCATACCACAGGGATCATAGCGGTGTAACCAAGCAATCGACGTCCTCTATTGACAATCTGCGCCTCACCTGGGCTTGGATGTTGATGCCCAAGGAGCGGGGCGGGCGATTGCACCAGGCTGAGGGACGTCAACCACCCGTTGGGTTGCGCAACTGGTCATCTGCTGAACGCCCTTAAACAAACTCTCAGCTTCAGCGCCCTTGACTTGATCATCTGCTAACATATTCCTCCAGTGATATTCGGTAAAGAGCCGGTACACTGTCCTCTCGCCGAAGAGTGTTACTGCAAAGTTTTCGGTCTCTGCAACCTCGAATGCAAATCAAAGGGGAGCTGCGAGGGACGCTACATTCTACCGCCGTATTCGACCCTGCCACAAGGCTGGCCCTATATCGGTTGGCATGGAGAGGACCGAAATCGGTCGGCTCTGGAGGACTGATCCATGATGGTGGTATGAGGTGTCCTGGCTGCTGTGCCCCTTCAATAATATCCACTCACGCGGCGTCTAGAACACAATATCGTCCTTCGACGGTAACTACGGTCAGACACGTCACTATCGTGTTACCTCTCCCAAACCGTCACGTCCTCCTCGATGTCTTCACCGATAACGGCATGCAAGACGGCTACATGCTTCCTACTCGACCAGGTTGTACAGCATACGATCGAACATTGCCATGGAAGCGGGAAGAGAGCCGCGGCAGGCTTCATTGGCCAGTTGGGCAAGATTTCGCCGGAATAATGCAAATGTGCAGCGAAGCCTCGAACCTGGGGAACGATGAGTGGTTGGAAGCTACAGGCGAGGATTGTGGATATTGGCGGCGTCATTCGTTCCCGAGGGTGATTCAGATAATGCTTGCTTGCATCACATGGAGGGCGAATTGGCAATCGGTAACACGCGCCATGAGAAGGATACGAACCGTTTGCAGAAAGGGTACAAGGGTGTTACAACCTGCTTCTGCAACAAGGCTGAAGATGGGCGACCTCTGGCGTCGACAGGCGCGCACTGCGCTGGAGATTTGCAGCTCGCTTGGCTAGCACAATGGGCTCGGCCGGGCTAAAGTCTTTGTTCTATGCATCATGCGTCAATGATGAGAAGGCTTGTATTGAAAGGCTGAGCAAAAACAATCTTAGGTTCGGTGGGGGGGGGGAGTGGGCAGACCTTCGGCAGAGCCTCAATTCATTCCGAGTGCAGCAAGGTTTAATGTGCTTGGCTAGTGCATGGGTTTCTGGCCAATCGCTGTCCCGTTGCAGAGCCGCATGTTATGTACCTTCCTCCAACCGCCTTTCCGAATCACGCACAACGCGTGATCCACCACCCTTGCTGACGAGGTCATGCGTTAGTGCCATTCGTAATATAAGTCTGTTTACAATTTCTGAGGCTCAAATTTCCCCATTCGACATTTCCTAGGTTACCTCGGGTCGATATCCTCAGCCTCGTCATGCCCGCCCCATGGAGGACTTTCCAAGGAGGTGTTCATCGGTCCCCTCATTCATGCATCTGTCCGGATGCCTGACCCTGGCGATAGCGCTTTGCAATCGCAGAGCCGCATGCATCCCAATGTTTGAAAAGGGACTGAGACCATGGCCTCCGAGCCGAGCTGCGAGGCTATCTGTTTCTCCACACAACGGCCTTTTTGAGCCGCATCCAAGCTACTGTACTCAGCTGTCTCCCCGCCCTACTGTTTTCTAGTTACTTCTTCCAGCTCCCACGCAGTTTGGGATGCGCCCGTTCTCCTGCAACTTGCTTTCGCTTGTGGCTTCTTCCTCTTCTCGCTTCTTTCCAACACTTAATTATTTTACGCCTCTTCCTCCCTGCAATCGAACACTACAATATTCATGCCTATTACTCTTGATGGGCTTCCTTTCGATATTTTGTTCTACATAACTGCTCACCTTCAATTCGACGACATCATTAACCTCGGGCACACATGCCGCCTCTTGAAAAGCCTTCTGCACGAAAGCACGCTGTGCCGTCGAACAATCGAGGTATTTTGAGCTCTAAAAGAGAAGAAATGGGCACTATTGACTTGTTTCCATCAGGCAAACTTCCCTCACAGCAAGGAAGCACGGCTTGCCCAGGACCAAGAAATAACCTACTGCGACGCCTTGAGCAGCATACACGACAGACGGGAGGCCTTTTCGAATGCCCGTCCCTTCTCAGCTCGTATCATCGGCCAAGGGAACTCTTTCTGCTATCGCCAAGGAGTCCTATGTATATTGGAAGGTAGCAGCATCCGTATCTCGGATGTACATGCCTCTTCAGCTTTCTTTGAAGTGGACCTCTCCCCATTCATCAACACGGTTCCGGAGGCCTCCACATCGCCCAGCGAACCCAAGATATCTTTGCTGCATTACAATGATGAAATCGTCACCGTGCATTATGAAAAGAAGGCCCGGCCAAACAACGGCCGCATCTTTGTCATCAGTACGAAGCTTAACCCTCCCGGCGGCAAGAGGGTCATCAAAGAGATTCAGCTTGAGTCCAGCTATAAGTTGTTTGCGCGACACACAGCCAGCTATCTTTACTATGGAACTTATACTGGAATGGGCGAGCATGGTCACCATGAGTGGGAGATAAGAGGCGTCTCTCTTGACCGTCGTCATCCCTTAAAGGGCTGCGCCCGCCCTCTACAGCTTGAAGAGTTCTTTGGCACCGATGTTGGGTCTACAATCGCATTTGAGGTCCACAACGGCTACTTCTACGCAGTTTCAAATCAAACGTCCTTTGAGGTTGAAGAATTAGACTGGACGTCTTTCTACCACTGCGTTCGCTTCCCGCTGGACCGGCCAAAGCGCGATTTTATGGACATCAATAAGAAAGTATACCGTCGGCAACACGCTGAAGGCCCGATACACGATTCCTGGACCGATTTGACTATTCAGTTCGATGAATGTACAGACGAGCCGATGATTGTTGAGTCACGTCGTGAGTGGCAAAAGGGATCCAGCCGACAGCTCAGGACCTTCTACATCTCAGATTTCGATTGCCCCGAGAAGTGTGACTCCGCCATGCCCTCCGCGGATGGGTCACCAGCAATGGGTGCATCTGATGCTCCTCTATTACCAGAAGATGATCCCTTCACAGAGTTGCTTGACTCGACGAATCGGCCCAACTACGCGCCTACAAAGCCCCGGTTCAATTGGAATTTCCATCCCGAGTTCCCCTCGGACTGCGGAACTACTAGATCCTTCATCCTCGCCCGCACGAAATTTCGAGCATACAACTACGCCTGCAGCTCATTCCTCGACTTGGTGGAAGATGAACGTTGTTGCAACAATCCCGCGACACCGCCGTGCTTGCGGATACGTATTGGGTCTCGCCGCGTTGCCCCTTTCGATTGGACGCCCGCTGATAAGACGCCACCACCGAAGGACAAGTCACTCAGCCCGCTTACCGCGGAGGACGACGTGGTGTATCGTCACTCATCCATCAACATGTGGCCCCCTCCAGCATCCAGATGCCCGTGCTCAAAAAGGCTGCATCAGATATTGAACCCACCACTACCGACAGGGCCAGCATACAACAGGTCCATCACCGGCGTCCTTGATGAACGCAGCCTCGTGTACATGATCCGCTCGGGGAGGTCATATGGCTCGAACGATGACAACGCATTGGGCCCCATTGTCATGATCAGCTTCAATCGTGGCCCTCTCCCGCCGAAGCCCAACGACAAGTCACCCGACCATGAGGAGAAAATGGAGGACGAGTTCAACCCGTCCCACTGGCAGTGGACTCCAGGGCTCTCAACCGCCTGTAAGAGTGGGACATGTCGCTGATGCGTCCTCTTTCCAGAATGAGCAATGAGCAATGAGCAAGTAGGAACAGAGCCCCAGATAAGGCAACGGTGGTGCGCAAACCACGTTCCCTTTCGCCTTGCTGCAGGCGTATGCCTGGGGCTGCATCATTGACCGGTCAAGAACCCCGCTCGTTCGTATCACAGTATTGCGCAACCTATCGTCAGTGGCATTGGTTCGGCCGAGATCATTTGAGTCACCCAGCTCCGCTCCTCATCGCTATTTTACTGGGTCAAAGGCCGTCCTTCCTTGGTGTTTTCTCGCGCCTGACATTGAAAGTGATGACGCTTAGTCATCGCTGCAGGGAGATTTCATAGATCCCTGTCAGCATCTCACAATCATATACCAGCACCGAAGGCGAACAACCGCTGAGCTCAATAAGCTCGAGGATCGTTTTCCGGATTCAGTCAAACTGCGAGATGCTGCGGTCCCTCAAAACGACAGCTTTCATCCGACATCGTGGCAGCCCTCAGCCTTCCGCCCTGGTCAACCAGTCAAGCTCGACAACAATGGCAAGGTGAAGTCGGCTGAAGGCAACTGTGCTGATGCGTCCGGTAGTTCAATGCTGTGGAACCACAGAGCACGAGCATACGGCAAGCACCTCTCTCCTTTTGCAGCCTTTACTCTGCACTTCGAGCCTGGAGACTTTCAACAAGGCATGCTGGATTCATACTTCGACTGGGTGGCAACATTTCACAGCGATTTCAACACGCATCAGGGGGATACGGTGGCTGTTTTCATTTAGGAGCATTACTGTTAGCACTCGCGCACCTTGCTAGCTCGTCACCTATTTGGTCCCGTATTTGGGATAAACTTTTTTTTTTTTTGCTTTACTGGCTAGGTTTTTAATAAGTACGGCGTTGTAGGCTTGTTTCTTCATCAGGTACAATGGCATCCTTACTTACCACACTCTTCATCTCCATCTCCATCTCCATTCCATTCCAGCTTGCACCCCTAACACCACCTCGCCCATCCTCAAACCTCAACTCACAACTCCTATCTCCGCGCCCCACCCCGCGGACCGCGCCGCTTCTTCGCTCAACTCCGCTCACCTCCATGCATGCACGTACATACACACTCATCCCATCACACCACAGCCTTCCTCCGCCCCCAAACACGTTGCCCTTTGCCCTCCGCAATCTATCTCCTCAACCGCCCTCCACCAGCGGCGCAGTACCGGTAGTCCTCCATGCACCACCGTATCACCTGTGTATATCCTCATGCACCCCACGCCCGCGGCGCGTGCGGCCAGTAGGAGCATTTCACGCTCGGCACCCCACGCGCTGCCGACGCGTTCAGCCTCGTTCGTTGGTGCGGCAGCAGCGGCAAGCGACAACGTGTCCGCGTCCCGCTCACTTCAAACACCACGATCGATGGAAGTTTTCTTTGCTTTTCGATGGTGCAATCGGCCCCGGTGACTAAATGCGGAAGCTGGGAAGTTATCTCTTGCATGGGAGGGCTGGGAGCGTGGAGGTGTAGGGCGTGGTGAGTGGTTCGACGGGCTGATTCCTAAACATGGGGATGTTAGTATCCGAGGACGTGGGTGTTGATATATTGATGATGTTTGGGGGTAGGTGCCGATTCGTTGCCGTCTGTTCGTACATGCATGAAGGACGTTGTTGTGCGACTTGTCATGCGAGAAGGAAGGCTGGGATGAGCTGTGCTGATATTTTCTTCTGTTGAGGAGCGGGTGAGCGGGCGGGCGGTTCGAAGCGAGATGCATGTGGTGGGTAGAAAGAGCACATGACTTCGCGCGTCTGACGCGAACCTGCCGAGAGCGACAAACGGGAAGGGTGAAGAACATAGATCCGAATGTATTACCTATACTATCTATACACTCTTTCTCTACGGATGAGCTTCCATTCTTTGTCTTTTCCCGTCCTTCTCTTGCTCGCCGGATAGAAAGAAACGAAAACCCAATGGGGATATGTATGCTGAGACCCAAAGACTCCAAGCTGAAGGGATATCAAAAGTTCAACCGCTGATGCAAAGGAAGATGCCGGAGGGAATGTGGTTGGATGGGTGATGCTGCCATGAACGCCAAAGCCATGGAACGGAGGGGAAAGCCGAAGTATGTACAGTGGAACCTGGAATTTGGGGGGGGGG